CTTTGGTGAGAGCTGTGAGCAGTGCCACTGGGCCTACAACTGGGGCTTCTGGCCCTCTGGTATCGACACCAGCAAGTACAGCTTTGTTCCCACTCTCTGGGGTCCTTCCCCTGACCACTCCACTGGCTTCGATGCCCAGGCTGAAGCTGCTATTGCCTCCGGTTCCAAGGCCATCTTCAGCTTCAACGAGCCCGATATTGTCAGCCAGTCTAACCTGGCTCCTGCCGTTGCCGCTGCCGCCCACGCCCAGTTCCTGAACAAGTACTCTGGCAAGGCACTCATCGGTGCTCCATCTGTCTCCAACTCTGGTTCCGTTGGCCAGGGTCTTTCTTGGCTCCAGAGCTTCGTCGATGCCTGCAACGCTCTGGACGGCGGCTGCGCTTTCGACTTCTGCAACATTCACTGGTACTCCCCCGCCTCAGCCATCGACACTCTGTTCAGCCAGATTGAACAAGCCAACAAGGTCTGCGGTGGCAAGCCTGTCATCCTCACCGAGTTTGGTGCCTCTGGCTCTGACGACGAGATCAGCGCTTTCTTGAAGGAGGCCCTTCCCAAGCTCGACGCCATCGACTACCTTTTGGGCTACAGCTACTTCTTTGTTGGCGATGGATTCCTGGTCAACGGCAACTCCCCCAGCAGCTACGGTGAGGTCTACGCCACTGCTTAAGTTGGCGTCCAAGGGCATCTTTCGCTTCCTGTATAGTAAGCTAGGGACATCTCGATGCATCTTTAGCCATTTTTCAAGACACAAAGATTTTATTGAAGGGGGAGTCATTTAACCAAAAAAAATGGGTATCGGGGGGGAATAGGCGCAACTCAAGTTCATTTGTACATATTTTTAACTCTCTGGTTCTTGGATGGAACATCCACAGCATCAGTACACTGATTTTTGTAAGGGGGTGTGCTCCAGATATTCTGCCATAGTCACTTTTGGTGGTCATCTCGGCCTTCCGTCTTTATATTTCACTTCAATATCCATGAGACAAAGGAGAGAGATGTTCACGGAAACATGAAGATCCAGTATGTATCTACGTATAGAATGGGTGTCGTGGACAAGACTTTAGCATAGATCTACGAGCTACGAATTAAACTAAAGGTCTTGCGATTTCAACTTTGTTTTCCCATCTCTCTTGTGCCTAAAATCAGTAGTTGCTTGTGACTTTTTTCTTTTGTTGTCTTTAGGTTACCTTTTGGTTTCGTCGTTTTTGACAATGCAAGCAGGCGTGCAATAGTCACTTCATCCATCCATGTAAGCTGTATAGAGGTAGGTAAAATATCAAAAAACTCTATTAGGACCAAGGGATAGATAGACTAAGCAACATTATGCGTCTCTCTCAGGACAAAAGGCTGACAGTAACAGGAATCCACTTTCTGACCAAAGTCCTCTAAGAAATGGGAGCCCCCGGCCGTGATCTTGGTCTGTGGTGAGAAGAAGCCATCGTCCGCCAAGCCTGACCCTCGGGACATCAGGCACCCGCGCCCGCACGCCTTGGAAGACTCTCTGGTCAGTCCGGTAAAGTTGTAAGAACGCGGTCTAGTCTCACTCTCAATCGTCGTGGTCACCATGACGGCACTGGCAGGCTTGCTAATAACCCTGACGGCGCTGGTTTCAGGGATGTCGTGGTCATGAGGATCAACATCGTCGGCTCCGCGGGATCGACGTCTGGTTGGCACGAGCGAGATGTCGGCAAGAGTGGATGATGGCGTCTCATGGAGCTCGCTTGGAGTGGATATGCGGTTCATCCCAGAACCGAGATCTCGGGATCGTCGAACTTCCCCAGAAGAGGAGCTGCTCACCGTCCCGGCATTGTCCCTGGATGTGACCCATTGAATGACGATCGCCGAGAAGAGGACTATTAACAACGAGAAATTAGTCGAGGTTGCCGCATAGAGAGAAGATTCTGGGGCGACAGACTGTCACAATTGCAGCACATCAGGCAGACCCATCCAGGTTCACCATTAAGGGCCATCAAAACAGACAGATTGCTAGAAATGGTGGTCAGTTAAGACTTGTAAAATCAATTGGCCTTGTTTTGGTCACGAATCATACACAATGCTGCTCACAAGCGTGCAAACTGCTCCGCAAAAGGTTCTGAATGCTACCATGCGAAGACGGATATTGGCCCGCGTTCGAGCCATGTTGGTATAAGAGTAGAGCTCTAGCACAACATCAGTCATGATCGCCTTCATCAACAATTTCCAAGGAAGTTTACTCTTCAGCGGTATGAGAAACATGATCGTGAGGTACACGTTAATCACCGTGTCAAAGGAGATGAGGGGGATCATAGCGGCACTACGCATGCCGATTATGCATTCCCCGTTGTGCATCTCTGTGATGCGACTAGCCTAGATGTTATTAAAGCTCAATGCCATCACATGTATGTCAAACTTACAAGACGAAATTTAGGATGACCACTGCGATATATATGGTGAGCATGCACAGCGAATTTACCAGATACAATATGGACTTTAGGCGTGGAGTCGTCGCACCGCGAATGATCCACTAATGTCTTTAGTTAGGAGCCCCTTATAAGTTAAGCTGTTTAATACTCACGGCCTTTTCTGCGAGAAATAAGTAAATGAACTGAGATGGTTAGCATAAAACAAATATCTAATGCGCAAAGGAACGATATGCTCACAATCTATCGAGACGTATCAAGTCAGCAATGAGACATTTGTGAGTCTGAGAACACGCTCATCACCTTGGTAGTAACGTAGCACACGAGGCATAGGAAAATAGCAGCCTCGCAAATCCCATAGCTCGAATTAACACCGAGCGAATGTTGCAGGACCGCGGTGGCAATTACAAACAAGTATGAATCAATATAAATTGCAAATACCACTTGTAATATATATTAGTGGCTTTTCACTGATGGGGAGAGGAGTATTAGTGGGGGAATCCAGAAATGCAACTTACACCAAACCACAGGTGGCAATCGTCTCCAGGCTTTGATCACGAGAACTCTCTGTGCTGACACATTCACGCCATTTAGCTTCTTTCGGTCTGAACAAGGTAGCTGAAGAGAAAGTACTCAACGGACAGCCTCACTCAAGAAAAGTGTAAGAACAGTCGTCGCTGCCAAAGACAACATGACGCTGATGATTTGCCCTGGAAGCGGTACTCTAGCCCCTGCATCCTGCGATGTGATCTTCGGGGTCATGGCGGCATGGGGAAAGGTCTCCATGGAAATCGATGCGCAGCGGTCTGTCCTTGTCGAGCTTCTTGTCCGAGAGTCTATCGTTTGAAGGGAGAGGGCGTCGCCTCTCAGAAGACGATTCGAGATCGAACCATTCTGCGGGAGGCGGCGTGGGTAGGCTGGATTCGAGGATCTTTGGCGGACACTCTGTTGTTGTTAGGAGATAGATTTGCGAGTATTAGGTTTGAAGCTGTGAAAGAAGAAGAAGGTGAAGGAATCATAGCTTGGAGTATCTAGGTAGACTGTTGGTTGGTGCCTGAGGAGAGGAGAGGTGATAAGGAGATAGGTGGATAGGTCTGTCATCTGGCAAGAGAGAGCGGCTGGGTTCAACCTTCCGTTATTTATTGAGAAACATTGTCTCAGAGTAATCGACGTCTTGTTGATTAAGACAAATACAATAATAATAGCAGACTTGATAATTTAGATTGGTCCTACTCTATCTACTTTAGGTACACAATTGTGGTACAGAGCATCGACTTGGATTCAGCTGCCATGTCTTCGATATGAGAGAATAAACCCTATATCATCTTCAATTAATCTCTTTTGCAGCAAATAGTAGCTCGATATCAGGTCATATGGGCGCTGTATGACGGTGATACAGAGAGGCTGAAAAGCCATCGCTTGGTTTGTCACGTATTCGGTAGGATCTATGCGACGGCGAGAGTACATGTAGGAGCAGTCTGAGACAGAGCTATTGAGATGCGAGCAGTTGTTGTGCAATAAGCTGAGATTATTAGTATTTAGAGAGTATGTATGAGCATGGATGGATATATTGGTTATGGATCTAACAGCAGGGAGTTGATGAACATGTTGCATCTCGCGGTATACATGAATGGATCAAACACAGCATGCCTCTATCACACAGTTGCTTCTACACTGCTGTACATCTCAGCTTGTACAAGTTCTCATCACTTACACAATGATGAACCCATCGCCGCCATTATTGGGCATCGCGTCTCGTTACACAGGCTCAATGACTTGCATCAGGCACACCACGGCTTCACCAAAAGTGAATAGTCTAGTCATACGCTGCCGCATTTCAGCGAGCCATGTCCGAGACAACGATTCAAGGTTGGTAATAAAAGAAACGATTTCCGCGGTATATGAATAAAATCAGCTGAAGCTCAATCCCCAGATGACCTTTTGTGGTCGTCGGTGTTCTGTATCGTGACCAGAATCAGCTCACCGGGATGGAACTTATCCCTCCATCCCACCATTTCCCAGTAACTTTACGTCCTGTCCAACTCATTCTCTTCCTTATAAATTCGTATTCGAGGTTGGTAATTGTCTTAGTAATTGAACTTGCAAGCTCACGCCAAGTCGTGGCTGTGGCTTCAATTGTGGCAAAGCTCGCCCTGGCGATCTCAAACCGCCAAAATCCCCAGCATCGCCTAAAAATAGATGATGTGCAGCGCCCCCCAGCCACGCAATTCGGTGGTTCCACTTGCTTCTCACATGCCGCGTCAACGCTTTGGAATTCGGTATTGACTACTCCGTACCTCTCTCTCTTTTTTTTTTTCGAGGGAAACATTGTATTTCGTCACCTTTTGTCCTATTGTCTCTACCTCTCAGTCTATTTCTTTCATCCTTCATCCTATGACACTCGTTCATCGTTAAAGTAAATATTGGCTTTACTTCCAGTCTGCTACTCTCAAACGGCGGGGTCAATCGTCTGTTGATCTTAATTTCAAGCACATGATATATCCCACCTGACTTCCATTGGAGTACCGAAACCACCACCCAAGGAACACATATTCTTCCTCTGCAACATTAAATCCATCACCAACAACCTCATCTGTGAAAATGGCGCCATGGCAGCCTCTTGAGAGCGCTTCCACTATACACTCCACCTCTCAACACCAATATCATGTCATCCTCTCTCGAAACCTCCAGCATCCAACTCACACTCAGGCCGTCACATTGGGCGTCATTGCGGGATATGTCGTCGCAATTGCCATCCTCTGGAATGTGCCTTATCTTCGCATGATCCTGTGGCCGTTCAAGGTATGATGATAGCTTCGCCTTAACGTCTCCATAAACTTGATACGGGACCTCGTTCTATCTATATACATCCGCCCGCGCAAATACATCCACATACACTAACATCCTCTCCCCCAGATGCTCGTCATCGCCTTCCATGAATTCGGCCACGCCATCACCGCCATCCTCACCGGCGGCCACGTCAAATCAATCTCCCTCGACCCCCATGAAGGCGGCGTCACTCACCTCACCGGCGGCATCAGCGCCATCACCCTGCCCGCGGGCTACCTCGGCTCCTCCATCATCGGCGCGCTGCTCACCATGTGCGGCTTCGACATTGTCGCCAGCAAAATCGCCAGCATCGTCCTGGGAGTGTGTTTCCTGCTGACCCTCTGGTGGGGGAAGCGCGACTGGCTGACCATCTTGACCATCTTGCTTGCTGTTGGACTGCTGATTGGATGTTGGTTCATTGTTCATGCTGAGGCGTTGCGCTTTGTTGTTTTGTTCATCGGCGTCATGAGTTCGTTGTATAGCGTGTGGGATATTTGTGACGATTTGATCCTCCGAAAGGTCAACGAGTCGGACGCGAGCGTCTTTGCCAAGAGATACGGCGGCTCGTCGCAGTGCTGGGGCGTCATCTGGTCCATCATTTCGGTGCTCTTCATGGCTGTGGGCATCATCATAGGGTTGGCCGCTTTCTCGCAGTCGTTTGCGCAGCAGGAGGAGGATTCCAAACACTTTATCCCTACGTAGGTGACTGATTTCCAGCATAGTGCATTCAAGCATGGCCATGGAAGAAGGACGGGAGGTCACGGCGACGACTGATTTTCAGGTGATGAATTTTTTTATGATACCCAACGTTATAAACGACGAAATTGACTACACTCAAGTATGGTACCACAGTTCAATGAAATCATATACAATTGATTCAATATGTGCAAAAGTCGGAGCTATATACAGTAGATGTTCGACAGGCATATATACATATATACGATCTTACCTTTGGGCCCTCGCATTGTCAGGCCACCCTCATTCTCCCAAACTTGAGAGCTTTTCCATATCTTATAATTTGGCCCTTCATCTCAAAGCATTGACGACCTGCGCTTCAAAACCAGTGTTCTGGAAAAGCTGGGACATGTCCCACATCATGGCGCCGGCAAAGGTGCTGAATCCCTTCGAGTACTGGAAGACCGACGTAAGTTGAGAGCCAGAGACGTAGCCTCGACCAGCACCTGGGCCAGCGGGAATGCCGACGAGAAGCTTGACACTGGGGTTGGGGCTGGTCTTGGCCCAGTTCTCCCAGGTCTGGTAGTTGTAGTTGTTCTGGGTGGTGGTGCCGGGAGTGAAGCCGCTGACGCCGCAGGGGTTGTTGTAGAACTGAATCTGGATCCAGTCCATGGGCACGGCGTTGATGAGGGCGCCGACAGCAGCGTCGGGGAAGAAGCACTGGGGAGCAGCAGAGAAGTAGTACTTCTTGCCGCCGGCAGCGTTGGTTCGGCTCTTGAGCTGGGCGCCAAAGGCAGCGAGGTTGTTGGTGGTTGCTTCAAAGTCGAAGTCGAAGCCATCGACGACGGCACTGCCAAAGGGACGGTGGACAGAGCTTCCGGATTGGACGGGGCCGAACATGGCCCAGACTTGATCAGCGGCCGATTGAGCAGCGCCTGTTGAGCCCCAGCCGCCTTGAGTGTAGGAATCGCCGCCGAGAGAGAGGATGATGGTCTTGCCGTTGGCCTGGCAAGTCTTGATGTCCGCCCTTGATGGTGAATCATAGTCAGTATAGACGTATATAAAGCGGAAGAGGCTAAGGAGTCTCACTCGATTTCAGGGCAGCTCAAGAGAAAAGGGTTGTCGGAAAAGGGCGTGCATCGGTCACCGGCATTGGCGAAGTTGGTCATGGGAGGAGTAATTCCGTTTAGGAAAGCAATGTCAATGACGTTGATGTTGGCGTCTTGGTGATAATTGTTAGTTCTGTCTTGTCCAATTTTCCGACTAAACTGTCTCGCAGAGTTTGGTAAACATACCATTGCAGTAGAAGGAGAGACGCTGCTGGGTGCTTTGCTGGTTGGCAGAGTTCTGGCCTATTTGCATGTTAGATGATGGATTTTCCCGAACCGGAGGACTTGATCGAGAAATACTTACCCCAGTATACGGCAATATTTTGCTTCGAGTTCACGTTCCAACCAGCCAGGGCAGAAGGAACAAGAGCAAGCAAGCTCGCAAGAGCAGTCAATGAAGGCATCCTGGCTGTAGAGATGCTGAGGCAATCGGATCCGAAACGAAGATGCTTTTGATGACCAAGAGGCAGCGTGCCACCTCACAAGGTCGGACCAAGAGCTTTTTATATCCTCTCTCGAGTTGAACATGCAAGAACAATGGGGAGAAGTCGTCCCCCGCTGTCTTACCTCGATGCTACATCAGGTTTCTGAGCATACGTGGTATTGGAACCTCTTGCGCTTGCCGCCGGGCGAAGGGACAAGGCGAAACCATGATGAACTCGTGATGGAGCCATGCTACCTTTAATGGGGAGGTATAGAGGAGTATCGGCGTCAGTAAGAGCCCCATCGACTCAGTATATCGGCTTTTGGAGGACGTTATCGATTGAGATCTATGCAATGGCTCGCTATAGTGACCTTGCTAGGTGACATGATTGACCAACGCTTCAACGTAGCAAAGAAGAAGGTTGGTCGCATCTGGACGAGCGTGCCGAGACTAGGTTGGTCAAGGCTCCGAAACATCAGGGGTTTTTGACATGACATGTATGTACTCGGATGGCGATGTATGTTATGTACTCAGTGGTACAGTCAAGGTCGCTTACTCTTTACCGCTTTGTACGCATCACCGCTCATAGTGCCTCGGTATATGTACCGTGTTGGTAACTGAATGGTTCCAGCTTATATCTTGACATTGACAGACACACAATACAACTTGCCAACGGCGATAAGAGAATGTATTCACATGCGAACACATGTGTACATGTACATGATGAGAACCGTGGGAGGCACAAGTATTGAAACCAAACCAGGGCCATTCGCGGGGGAAACATATATCAAAATCTGATTGGAGGATTGGGGATCATGACCTGTCTTCATCATGTATGTAGGTACATGTAAGGTTTGTGGAGGAACCAGGGTGTGACAACCTCCTACCTACTTGGGCAGCATCCAAACACCCGATTTTGAGTAAGATTCCATATTATGGACTCAAACATCCTGGCTAGTGCCAATAGAGTTGAGAAATATGAATGAAGCCTCATGAGGACCCGGACAGGGTGCGTGTAATTGATCACCGGTTAAGCTCAGACATTGTCAGATTCGGTGTTCATATACAAAACTCGCTGGAATGACTCTAGATGAACGACCTTGTTCGGCGAGCTTGAGTTGCACACACACGTCGTCAGAGTGTATCTAGTCGGTTACCACAGCCAGCCGTGGGTTCGCAAACAAGAAGGATTGCGGCTGATTCCATCTCGTCGTGGCATCTCCACGCGATGCACCATGACCATCTCTGCAACGGTAACATGGGAAGTAATGTATCAGAGCAAGTTATTACGGCAAACAGGACCAAAAAACATGCTCTCAATTCTTTCCGTCTTTAAGCGCAACATAAGCACTTGAGGAAGATACATACATCCACCAGTCGGGGAAAAGGCATAAGAAGTGTATCGCTATGGTTAGCCCTCCCTCAGCATAGGAGCTTCCCGCTTCGGCATAGAGAGCATGTAGATGCTTCATGAGTGGACGAACACACCCCTGCAGAAGGACTGCCGCAGGGATGCCCCTCTAGTGAGGATTAGCTCTGGACTGTGCGTCTCTTGATACACGGGTTGACTTGTCGTGGGAAATGCTGTTAGTATGTGCCATCGGAGCTCAGGTGGGAGAGTAAGAAACATGTGTGCATGTAGTTGAATCCACTCTCCTCCCTCACGTAGCATATAGACAGGAACTAATAGTGATTCCGAGATGATACATCAAGTTATCATTCAAGATATGCTGCGGGGTGAGTGAGTCGGCCTCGGAGAGATTCAAAGCTGGAGAGATCCGGCGGCTCGTTGGTGGTTGATGGGCGGCTAACCGGTGTTGGTAGTTGGATGCGGCGATGCGCGTGATGGGTGATTTGCTTCTCCAGATCGATCTTGCTAATCTAATTGAGCTACTGCTTACCAAGGCTTTTGGATACTAGGCAGTTGAATGGTTTACTTCTACTGAGTTGCCCAGAACTACTCGTACTCTCAAAAGACACCCAACCGTGATCCATCTCCCACTCCACGTTCCCCCACGTAAGCATCCATGGACGGGCATCTTCAAAGATATGAGCCCCAACAACCACACTCTCGCTGAAATCAACAGAGAGAACCTCCCCTCCCCTTCTTACGTCGTGTGATGCTGCACGCGGGCGTTCCTGGCATCTCTCAACCCAATCCTCTAGCCTCTTGGCAGGCCATACAAAAGCGGCCGCCCTCCTCTCTTAGGAAGTTCGAGCCTCGAAGCTCCCAACTAGGCCAGCTAGGTAACGTTACCTGATGTCGGGCTACACAGTCATCATTCAAACAGACAAGCAGAGATTGTCCTTTTCATCTCGTTGGCAGCTCCCAAAGGCTGTACAGTATTTGCATACATACCTCGGACACTATGAATGCCACCTATCTATATCATCATGCCCATCAACCACCCCCCGCCCAACCATCTTCTACCGCGATAAGGGGGTAGGAGTGTGAGCAATTTGCCGTCAATGCTTCTGTAAAACTAGCTTCAGAGAATTGAAGTTGATAGAAGTGGCCCATCATCGCCTTGATCTTTGGTTCTGTCCATGATAACCCATGTGCTGTCTCTGTCCGCTAGATATCGTATATTCTAGCGATGTGTCGTAGCGAACACGATATCTCCCATCATCTGCACCATCGACTATCCGTCTATTCTAAGGGCAGATGACGTTGAAATAGATGCTCGTGCTAGTTACTGCCTCTTGCGACGTAATCGCCGCCGCCGCCACCACCGCCCCCTCTTCTTCTCCAGGCGGTCATTTCGAAGCACATCTTGATCAGGAGTCTTCCCAAGTCCATCTTCTTGATCAGGAGTATTCCCAAGCCCATCTTCTTGATTAGGAGTATTCCCAAACCCATCTTCTTGATCAGGAGTCTCCCCAAACCCACAGCTGTTCGGAATCTCAGAACCCTCGGACTCATGATTGTCCTACCATCGGCCACGGCGGCCACGACCTCCAAATCCACCTCTTCCAATGCCGCCTCCCGCCATGCCCTGGTCATAGCCGAAACCGCCTTGGTTTCCACCGAAGCCGCCGCCAAAGTTTTGCCCTTGGTTGCCTTGCGCGCCAGCATTGCCACCGGTGTTTTGCATCCCAGAGAACATGGCGGCCATCTGGCTTGGGTCCATTTGAGAAGGGTCCATGCCTGAGGCCATCATCTGCTGCATCATGGATTGCATCTCGGGAGGAATTCCATCCATTCCCTGCATGCCACCTGCACCTCCGCCAGCGCCAGCGCCAGCGCCTCCTCCACCTTGCATGCCCATGCCCCCCATCATCATCAGGTTGAAGTCTTCCATCATCTTCTTGTTGTTAGCAGCGAAAGCATCGGCACCAAACTCGCCGCGGATCGATTCTTGCTTGGCAGCGTATAAAGCCCAAGTGAACTCATCGAAGCCGTAATTGAAGTAGTCGCTAATGTCTGTGCCTGGCTTACGCCACGGCTTGTCGCTGTCTGGTAGATCTAACGAGACTGGTTAGGCACCAGGAAGAACCGTTGAGAGAGCAATGAGGGAGAGATGATTACCTTCGTCTATATTGACTTGTGTTATAGGCTTGCCAGCTGCAGGGTGAACTGGGTTAGCATTGATGTCGATTGTCGATTTTGAGGCAGCAGCTGATGTTTGATCCGCGCTAGGAGCGGCAATGTTCAGGGCGCTCGTCGGTTTTGAGTCTTCGTCTCTCTTGATGGGCGCTGATGCCTTCGCTGGTGTGTCGTTGGAGGCTGACCGTTGAGGAATATTTCTGATGTCGCTATATTTAGCCTGCCTGTTGTCGTTCTGTCAGCTAAATGGGCAAAGACGCATCGCATCGAATCGCATCGCGACATGGCGCGCCCGAGGTGTCTTGACATACGGTGGTGGTGCTGCCTTTGTGCCATCTTTTCGCTCTGTGATGATGTCTATATCCTGCAGTTCATGTGATTAGCATGCAGCCCGTAAACTGCTTCAGTGAGGAGAACTCCATACTGAGTCGTCATCATCGTCCTCATCCATGGCGCCGCTTTCATCCTCCTCTTCGCCCTCTTCTAGCTCTTCCACCTTGAGCTTCTTTTCCTCGTCATGCTCAAGCTTCGGCTCTTCTGGCTGATAGAGATCGTCATCCTCGTCCATATCCATTGTGGCGATGGGTTAAAAGTAAGAGGGTTAAGTATAGGATGAATGGAAAATGAATTGAATGGAATAGTGTCACGGAAGTCGGCGTATGTCTGGTGGAAGTTGAAGCTCTGGGAAGCTCTTCTGCAGGCTGAAGGTCAACTAAGGCTAGCCTTGTGGAATTGATCCATCCTGTCTAGCACTCTGCACTGTAGGTACCTCTCCATCCAGACTGCCAGACCCAGCCACAGCACATCGCAGCCCCCGGAGTTTTTCCGTATCCCTTCACTCTCAAGACCCGCAAAGTCCAAGCTTTGGCATATCCAAACCCAGAGCTCCACACGAATTGGGCCCTTGACTCGCCTACGGAAAAAAAGTCTGTTTGTTTGAAAAAGCCGTTTTTTGCTCAGGTGCGATTCCATGTCTCTGGCGCGGTCTGCTAGTGGCCCAGCGGGTCTTAGCATCAACACTTCGGCTGCAAATACCCTGTAAGCTCTGCCCTGCTAAATCTTCAACACCACGCCGTGAACTCTCTGATATCACCACATCCACGAGGTGCCTTTTCACCACCGCTTCGCCCGCCACCACCTCACATCCTCTCCAATTAGCTTCGGGCTGGTACTTTGTTTCTTATTGTCGCTGACTAAACGCGCCACAGAGGCACAACCTCACAGCCAGCGGCGACTCGAGGCTTCTTTGGAGCTGGTAACGCGTCGGCAAGTCCATCTACCATCGGCAGCATGGCGACCACGGGCGGTCTCTTTGGCGCCAAGCCAGCAGCGACAGGCGGTCTCTTTGGGACTCCCGCTACACCAACTCCTCAGCCAGCCACTGGAGGTCTCTTTGGCGCAGCAACAAACACGGCCGCGACGCCTGCCACAGGTACAACTGCTGGTGGTTTGTTTGGGTCAACGCCAACTCCCCAGCCAGCCGCTGGCGGACTCTTTGGCGCCAAACCCGCAGCAACAACGACGCCGGCGACGACAGGAGGAGGTCTGTTTGGCAATACCGCGGGCACCCAGCAGCAGACGACAGGCGGAGGACTGTTTGGTGCCAAACCCGCAGCAGCAGCAACAACAACGGCGACGACCGGTGGAGGATTGTTTGGAAACACTGCGAATACTGCAACCATTCAGCAATCAGGAGGAGGTCTTTTTGGCTCGACTCCAGCTGCAGCTACCACAGGAGGTGGATTGCTGGGTCAAACCCAAGCAAAGCCCTCTGGCGGTTTATTGTATGCCACATGCTTTCTTTCCTACACAACCCATGATTGCTAACTCGATTCTAGTGGATCAACCCCAGCTGCCGCCGCTCCTGCCACCCAACAAGTCGCAGCCGTTCAAGTCAACTATGACAACCTGCGGCCGCGATCGCGTTTCGATGACCTTGCCCAGCCGATCCAGAACGAAATAGCCCTCATTGACAAGGGCATCCAGCGCGTTATCAAGATGAGGGATGAGATAGGCGAATTCATGCCCCAGCATGAAAAGGATATCGACCAGCTCGGACGAGACGTCCAATTTGTCGAGTCTAAATTCAAGACGGTTCAGGACGCCCTCAACCGCGACATCCTGACCGTCAAGGCTCTCCAGGACATGACCAAGAAGGACGTTGCAGACGCCCAGCTCTCCTTCAAAGCCGCCGACAACCTCAAGCTACCTACACACTACCACCAAACCGGCCTCTTCGCCGGCCCCCCTCCACAAGGCGACTCCAACTCCACAGACGCCTCATCGGCCCACGCCAGCGCCCAGGATCTCATCACCTACTTTAACCGCATCTGCGATGACGTCGAGAAGTACAAGAATCGCTTGGACGAGTACCGGTCACAGATTGAGCGGGACATGCCCGGGGTGGAAAACGGACTCTACGAACAGATCCGCAGTCTGCGCGACCACAGCAGCGCGCCCGTCCAGGACCAGCTCAGCCAGGTGCTCTCAGCATTGCGGGAGATGGGCAGCGCGGTTATCGCCCAGGCCGGACAGATTGCGGATACGAGGGAGAGGTTATCAAGGTTGCAGGCGGGGATCTTGGATAGCGGGCTGTATTCCGGGGTTTCTTCATGAAGCGATTGCTTTTTTTTATTTACTTTTTTTCTTACGTCTTTTTTGGGTCTGGGTTTGAAGGGGTTTCCGTTGAAAGGGGGATACGCTTTTTGGGTTTATTCATTAGGCGGCGCTTGCTGTATAAAGAGCCCTTTTTGTGGCTGAGCATGAGAAAGGTTGCCATTGTCTTCCTCTCAGTTGTTATCAATGCCGGGATATGTATGGCTAGGAAGGGTAGCAACACAAGAGTATCTAGATGATAAATGTAGGGGCAACTAGTGTAGAATTGGCTACGAGTGTAGTCGCAATGATACCCCCCAGGCAGTGTGATATAAAATGCGACATCTGAAGGGAGAGCAGTAATCACATTGCTTACTGGCGCAAGATGTGACTCATCATGGAGTCATGGTTGGTGCAAGGGATGGGTATAAGTCTTTTGGCTTTATATACATGTATGGATGAGTAATAGTAACGAAATGCCAGAATGGTGGCTTCCTCTCAATGAAAAAATGAAATCGTCCCATTAGCCAAGGGGCCGTTTGATAGTTCCGAAAACCAGTTAGAGAATAGGATAGGAATCCATTAATATGTCCCTTCACCATCATCTCCGTCTCCATAGTCGTCGCCGCCATCGTCGCCATTGTCAAAGTACGTTTCAGCATCGTAGTCACCAGCATCTTCGTCATCGTAGACTTCATCCTCCTCCTCCTCTTCCAGGCCCTCGTCGTCGTCCACGTCGGCAGCGTCGTCACCCTCGTCATCCCGCAAAGCATCCAATCGTTCCAGTATATTCTTCCCATTCACCGGCACACCTTCGTCGTCTTCACCCTCGATGGCAGGCATGCCAAACGCTTCCTCCGCATTTGGCAGAGCGTTCACTTTGCTCAGCTCCAGCTTGCGCCTCTTCCTCATTCCACTGGCATCCGCCGAGTCGACCGTGTCGAGAAGCTCCGGGGGGAACATTTCTCTGCACACCGGCCGAGAGGACCATTCCGGGAGGGCGCGCTCTGGCCGGGAGAAGCGCTGAGAGTAGGTGGGCATGGCGTTGAAGGGGTCGACCGAGGCCTTGCTCTTGACATCGTACAGGGCGTTCATTTGGTCGCGGCCGTAGACTTTCCGAGGAGCAGCGGGGTCGATGAGGGACGTTCGCTTGGATGTGTAGAGAGGCGATGAGTGGATTTGGTGGCGAAGGAGGAGGAAGCACTGGACGCTGTTGTATTCCGTGGTGGTGAGATCGCGAGGAGTTGGAACAACGCAGGGCTAGGGAACAAGGAAGACTGTTAGCAGCAGCTCTCTTCCGCAGATGTCTTTCATTTGAAGCTTTTCTCCTTGGAAATCCAACTCACCGGGAACAGCTCAGAGGGTCGGGCATCGGGTTCATCTGTGTCGTCCCACGGAAGAGCTGGTCGTCCGCCTCTGCCTCCTCCTCGACCTCCTCGTCCGCCTCCCCGTCCACCACCGCCTCCTCTTGACATTTCCAACTCAGCTCAATTCCCGTCCGACTATAATCCCAATTCCACAGCGAACGCGACTCTCATAAGCTCGATCGTGTAAACATGGGCGACTCAAGGATGTAGCAAAGCGCGCGGCTGGTCTGCTCGTGGATTTCTTTTTTTTTTTTTTTCCCCGAGGAAGAAATGCGACCTGCTAAACTTGGATTTTGTAGAACGAAAAGACTCTGGGGCTCAATTGAAGCGCCAAACTTTCAGCGGCCGGGAAAAAAGTTATGGTGGGGAGGGCGGAATTCGATCCGCTATGACGCTGCCCCGCTGCCTGGTGCTTCTTGCCGTCAGCGCATCTGCCTGCTATTGGCATTTGACAGCTTACCCTGTAAATTATAGATGCATCTTGAAGCTTTTACACCAAACATGTTTATTCCATCAGAGTAACAGTAACACTTCAATATACTCATTTCACCTGTTAATTCCTCTACACCATACTAGGCGCCATCAGCCTTCTAGCCATCGACAAGACAGGCTGTGACTGAGACTCACAATGTCTGAACGAATCATCCCTAACGGCACCACAGACGCTCATCCCATCTCCGGCCTCGATGAGTTTCACACGCACCTACGAGACCTCGAAAACGACCCTTCTGTGCCTTTCAACCTCAAGCTCCTTGACGATATCGAGCTTCAGTTGACAGGTAAGTCATCTAAATACGCCCATACAACACCCTCACATATACGGTACCCAAGATTGCTAATCAACATCCAGAATCAAACATCCCTCCTCTCCTCCCAACCGTCCTCCCGCCCCTAACCCGAATCCTCAAAACCACCACACAAGACCCATCGCCTCTCCTCTCCCTCACAATCAAGCTCCTCTCCCCCTTGACATTCACCCGCACCCTCACCATCGCCGACCCTCCGTCCATCCTCGCGGCTTTGTCCTCCCCTTTACCCGGCGCCAACCTCCTCGCCCTCGCCATCATCCACAAGGCCGCCAAAACTCCCACCGAGGCCGCCCTTCTCAGCACTCTCACCGATGTTGTCGAGGCGCTCGTCACACGCTGGCTAGTGAGCCCAGACGTTGGCGTAAGTGAGCGCGCTGCCAAAATCCTCGGCGACCTGCTCGAGACAGACTGTGAGACCATCCGTGGCGAAGGCGTCAATGGCGTGGGAAGCCAAAGCAACATCAACGGCTTCGATGTTGTCAAACGCCGCATCCCGGGCCATGGACGTCTCTGGCGGCTGATTCTCCTCCAGCGGCCCATGCTGGAACTCATCACCACGCTCTGTTCCCCTGAAACGGTTCATCCTCCCACCCGGCCTCGACATCAGACTTCGCTCTCACAAGGCCGTCTGCTACGTCTCCTTACTCGTCTTTCAACACTTAATATCCGTGCCATAAGCCAAACTGCTTTCCCAGAGCTATTCCCTCTCTCTTCCGCTGCTATCCAGGCTGCTGGTCAAGGCATCTTGCAGTGGGCAGCGTTGACCATGGTGTCCAAATCAGAAGACATCCTTATGCATCTCAACCTCATCGATTTCTTCGAGACTTTTGTCAGTGTAATGCGCGTGTCTCGTCTCACCACTGAAGAGAACGCCATTGTGAAAGCACTGGTCAGAGTAGCAGCTCAGGATGATGAGCAGCTGAAAGAGACGCTTCGAGGATTACCAAACAGGACTGTGGAGGAAGAAGCCGAGCCTTTGCGCGCATATATCAGCGAGATATTAAACTAAATAATAAAAAACCTCTTTCTGTCTATTCACATGTAAAATAGCGTAATGAATCGTATAACACCACCCAATATCTTCGAGGGTATGTCTTTAAAGACCAGGTAAAAGTAGCCGGCTAGATAGACAGCCATATATACTACACGAAGCTAAATATAGCACATCATACCATTAAAACATTTTTATCTCCCGCCTTAGCAAACAGGATAGGCAAGCCTTTCCTAACATACATACACACACAAATGGTGGCTTTTTTTTGGGAAGAAAGGAGAAAAGAAAAGCGAGGAGCGAAAAAGACTCTCTAGTACCCGCCTCAACGCCAAATATCGTTGCCCGCTCGTGGTCACGCTCACAGCATCTTTCGTGCAGCAGCTTCCGACCCGCCCGAAACCTCCTCAGCATTAGCGCTGGCCATACTATCTCGCCTCTTGTCCCCGACCTTTGCCATCCCTTCAATCCCGAGAGACACCTCGCCGACCCTCCGCAAGACGACGAGCAGCGCGCCGCGCAGATCCGCCGTCAAGTCCTTCTGAAGCAGGTCAATAGCCAGCGGGTAAAAGGAAGCCAGGTGAGTTTTGAAGGCGTCTTCAGGGAAAGTGGCGAATCCCTCCAGCACGTCGACGACGACTGGTCTCCACGCAATGATGTTCCTCTGCTGGCTCTCTTCTACCAGCATGGAGTACCCCGTGATGATGTCTTCGCAGAGCGGTACGAGGGCAGCTTCAATGTCAGGTCTGCTCTTCAGTCGCTCCGGCGCATCGTCTACAAACATCCTGAACAGGATAGAGACGTACGTGGCCGCAGCACCACTCTCCTGCTTCAACAAGTTGGGCGGCTGCTTCATAAAGCCCTCGCGCCACAGCCTCATCCGAAGCTCTTTGTCCTCGTTGAAGCGGCGTGCAAACTGGAAGGAGCGCTTCAAAAGAGCCATGAGTCGTAGGAGCTCACTGGAGGGGATGTTGGTGTACACGGTGTCATTGCTAAAGAGCTCGTTGACCGTCTCGATCATGAGCAGCTGAAGGACGCAGCGAGAAATGATGCGGTTGAAGAATCGCCGGCGGGCTGCAGTCACAACGACAGGTTGCTGCTGAAGAGTGGAAGTTGGCTTGAATTCCTCCAGCTGCTGTCCGTTTGCCGTTGGTGTCCGCGGCTCATCCTCATCCAGCTTGTGCAATGTCGGATGGTGGATAGATTCGGTATCAGATGCAGCACCATTCTCATCCCCACCGTTGATCTTGAGAGACTTTTCATCCGTAGCAGGAGTCTCGGCCGTAGTTGGGCTGAGAGGCGAAGTGAACTCAAGTCCGTTGGACGATGCCAGCGACAGGGAAGTACCTGCCTCCATGTTTGCCGCGGTAAATAGTTGATATGCTGTTGTTCGGTCGAAAAGCTCGCAAAACGCCCCAACAATCTTTGTCCAATGCACCAAGCTAAATTTCGTCACATTTTTCAATATCAGCTGCTGTAAGCAGTTGCTGCCAATTCGAGATATCGTATCATTCTCCTGACATATGCACAGAGCTAGCAGCTCCAGGAATCTGTCCAGCATGTATTCGAGGGCGTCGAAATAGTGAGTAAATAGCGTAATCATGTTGCGCAAGGCTTGTATCATAGTAGTTGACAGCCAAACTGATAGCTCTTCGTGGTTCAAGACATTGGTCATTTCTGGCCGCGAACGCAAGACCATAAAGATGGGGTAGAGCTGCTGTCTCCAGAGAATGTCCCAGAATGCTTGGGTAAAGCCTCCTCCGTACTTGAGGAGTGCGGCAAAGAAGTATTCCAGGGCATTTGATCGAACCTCGAGGTCTTCACCGGTCATCAGCACGTCATGGAAGGCGAAAAGTACGGGGAACCAGTAGCCCTCTTCCATTGACGTTTTTGTCTGCACTTTCTTGACACTCGGAGGTGGATCGCCGTTTCCAGCGTGGGAAGCATTCCACGGTACATGGGATAGCGGGCATTCTGGAGTTTTAAGCATTGTTGGGATAATCGACTTGAGCAGCTCCAAGGCACCCAGACTCTTTTTCTGAAACTTGAGGTTTTTTGAAAACTCAGTCAGACAAACGATAAGGTCCGTGAAAGCTCCCTGAGAAATAACGACACCGAATTTCTCCTTGTAAACCTGGTTGACGTTTTCATAGGCAAGGTTGACAATGCTCTCGTACGGCTCTCGTGCGGCAACTGTGAAAACGCCAAACATGGTTCTCCATCCAGAGCGGATGTTGTCTCCTCGAGCTTGAATCATCTGGATGAGGCATCGCAGCACCATGTCTTTGACGGTGATGTTGTGAGAGTTAGACAAGACATGCTCAAATGGCTTTAAAAAGTCCTTTTGGAACTTGAATCCCGCAAGCTCTTCGATTTCCATGAATCGCATCGACAGCTGGCGCAAAGAGTCCAAAGCAAAGAATACAATGTTCATGTTGTTGTGGCAGCCAACTTGGTTGAAGTGCTCGCCAAGAACGACCCAGATGTTGCTCCATTCAAACCTCACACGGTTCATGTTGTAGTAACTAATCTCGACAATCTTTTGCAGACTGTATGTGCGAGGCGAATCGTTTGAACCAGAGACTTTGATTTCATCCCAGCTAACCTCGGTCAGGGCCTTGGCAAAGAAAACCATAGCTTCGCCCGAGAGGTTCGCAGTGTTGGAGAAGATTCGGTCTACGCTTCGGATAAGCTCATCAGAACGACTCTCAAGTGCAATCTCGCTGGAGAAGCCTCGGGGTCCAGTAGCAGACCTCTGCCGTGGTCGAGATTTTAACTGCATGGAAGAGCGAGATTCCGATGTCCCAGATCGCGAAGGGGGGATAAAGCGCGCCTGGGAAACGTCTGGAATGGCGCTCTCGTCGACACCGCCGGAGATCAGCTGCAGGCGATCCAATTGACTAATGCACATGAGAATATCCTTCCACGACTCCTGAAGAACATTGCCCTCTGTCTGAGCGAGATCCAAGATCACCTTCAGCGCCTCAATGTTCTTAGCCTGCATCTCTTGAGGATTATTCAGGTTTGTGGCATTCCGAAGTGCGGAAATGAACGCTTCTCGAGGCGTTGACTGATGGAAGAGGCAAGCAATTTGGGTTGCCAGCCGCATGCCCTCCAAGCACAACTTGTTCACCTCGAGATTGTGCGCCTTTTGCATTTGCCCTGAAAGCGCAGAGAAGATGGACATCCATGTGATGTCAAACATGGCTTCTACATGCTTGAAAGACGTTGCTTCAATGTACTTTGGCGTCGTCTTGGATGCGTTTCGCCGCTGACTCTTGAACAAGTTCTTGAAAAGCTGTTCTGAACGCAGCGCAATCTCTTCTGACTGCTGCATATAAGCTTCTCGTTGCAGATCACGTCCAACATTCGAGAAAGCTTGTCCCAAGCCTGCGGCCAGACCACTGGGCTGAGGAGGAAGATTACCAGCGGCTGCTGCAATGTCACGCTCACTCTTCAAGACAATTTCATTGCTGGCGATTTCCTCGTAAATGGTGATTTGATATTCGTGAGGCAAATCGGCGTTGTCATTGATGCCCGCATTGTTTCGGATAAACTCTTCCTTGGTCATTCTTTTGGCAATCTTGCTGCTGTGCAAATCCGTATTCAGCAAGATGACAGAGTATGCCAGCACATATGCCGTGTCGGCATTGGCAAAGGCGTTGGGATTGCCAAGGACATAGCGCTCGGCAAACTTGAGCATGAATCGATCGATTTTCTGCGCTTCTCCTGGTAGACGGAACGACTGCAAGAAGTGGCGAAGGGCATCGACAAACCGCTTTTTGGTAAAGTCCATAGAGTCCACAAACGCGTGCATGGTGTCAATGTTCTTTTGGTCTCCTTCACCAAGGTACTCGCCAATCTGTGCTTTGTCCAGCTTATCCTCATTCAATAAGAAAGTGGCAATATCCTGAGGCGTGTCGCTCGCAATGAACCCATCGCGAATAAGCATATCGATACCCCTTTTGGGCTTAAAGTTGAACTGCCTGATTCCCTTCATGAGGGCTGTTTTCCTGGCTTTCTCTTTGCTTAGATGATCCGGGTCATCTTCAAATACAGGGGTCGAGGGTGGTAGAGGGGTGTCGAGCCGCGATGCATTTTCGCTTGTAGTGGGATCGATAGACGGCCGCAGCTCGTCAAAAGAAGCCCTGGTATCTCCATCCGGGCGGAGGTTTTCACTATCCGAGCGTACGGAGGCGGACCAGTTGACCAAAGAGCGAAGGGTCTCGACAAGAGCCTCTAGTGACAGACGTTTGATTGCATATTCCTTGGGGTAGTCGGCCTCGCCTTCTTGTGACGGGATAATCTGCGCAACAGTAAGAGAAGGGGGCAGGATACCCTTGAGCTGCCACTCGCTGGCTGGTGTAGTTTTCGCCCTCTGCTCCTCGTACGCCTGCTCGTGAATGGAAGTGATGGCGACAGGCGCCGTCGCAAATTTAGACAGGTCTTCAATGACTGTCTGAAAGATGTTCTCTACTGACTGATCGCAATCGTAGTTGAGATAGGTTTCAACCAACGCTCGAGGATCGGCGCAAAGGCGGTTCAGAATGGAGACGAAGTACAGCTTCTGCGTCAAGGGCGCGTTCTTTTGGGACAAGAGGGCCAAATAAATCTCGTTTAGAATGACCTCGATTTCTTTCTAAAACGGGGTGAGCATCGGATGGATTCGTAGGACGGATTTTGGGGCAACCTGGCCTACCTTGAACGAGGGGCGCATGTACTTTAGCATGAGCCAAAAAATCTCACAGCAGATATCAAAGATTCTATCCACCGAGCTGGCTCCATTGCGAGTAATGCTAAGGCAAAGATAGAATTTAATGGCTTGAAGAAAAGTGGTGGGCTCGTTGCTCTTGGAGCTCGTAATAGTACAGAGAGGCGAAGTAAAGACGGCAATGTTATTATTAAGGAGGGTGTGGATGAGGTGTAGAGAGACCAGCTTGGAACGCATTGGCTGGCCTCGCAAGTCGAATAGCTGGTCGGGGGGGAGAACCTTGGTCGACAAGTTGCAGAAAGACCGGAACACGAGATAGGCATCTCGGATGTACACCTCGTCCTCAGCGTCTAGTGCATCGCTGTCTTCTTGTGGGAGAGACTGGCCCGACACGGACACGTCGCTTTCGTCTTTTTTGTCCGACTTGAGTCGCGTAACCATTGTAGGGCCATCGCCGAGGGTGGAATCGTCGAAACTCTTGCGATGCTCAAGATCTTTGAGCGTGAGCTTGGCGGCGCTGACCGGCTCTTCCGGACCATCGCTGCTTTCAGGTGGTGCAATTGAGGACTCTTCACCATCGTCGCTGTGCTGGGTGCCGTTGGCAACCTCGGAATGCTCAAAGGTAACATTGCTTGCGCCGTGGTTAAGATTGTTCAGGCTCAATCTGGTTTCCTTCATGTGAAGTCTGGTCTTTACTCGCTCAAAGACGGTGCCAACCATTTGTGTCAGGGTGCCTTGCGCAACCTGCTGGTTGGCCGTGCTCCGAGAGAGCAGGAAGACATTGTAGACCTGGCGCACAGCTTTCAGCAGGCCTGCTCCGTGAACAACGATTTTATCATTCAAGACGGCTGCCAGAAGCGACTTGACGATCTGCAGCTGGATCTCGACGGCCGTGGTCTCGCCTTGGAAACAGTCGCATATAGTGTCGATGGCTCGTTCAATTAGCGGGGAAGCTGGCTCAGCGCCTTCTTTGTGTGCTTCATCCTTGTTGGGGAGAGAAAAGTATGAATACGATATCAGCTTTCCGATGCAATCGAGGGCTGTGGTTGTGAGCTGCGGGCTGTTGGTCTTGGTTGCGAGCTGAAGTGGCGCGAAAACGATCTCGGGATCAGGCAGCTGATCCTGCTCTTTGATGGCATCGAGCGCTGTCTTGGTCAAGTCGGCCAGCTGCTTGTTTCGCTGGGCATCTTTGGAGGTTGCAATGGCGTCCAGAGAGGACACCACGAATTTTAAGGAGCTCATGAGGCGCACCGAAGAAGCACAGGACAGACAATCGCCGGAGGAAGGACGCGGAAGTTGAAAGTTAGGGACCTTGGGCTTGGTCCATCGATTGAGTCTGCGGTTCGGAGGCGAGGGCGACGGTCGGGGCGGAAATGCGGGACAAAGGGCTTCGCAAGCAGGCCAGCTAATGAGAGAGGCCGACAGCTGGTCCCGCGGCTGGAAGCTGGAAGATGTGCGATGGGCTCAAGGCAGATCTGATGTGATGTCTCAAGGGGACAGCATTTCCAAAAGCACAAGTACGAGTAATCTGAGGGAGCCAGAGCGGGACCCGTTACGCCGCCTTAGCCTCTCAGCAGCTGTACGTACCAAGATGGGAAGAACGCGTTGCCGGGAATCATCGCCGCCTAGCGCTGAGGTACAGAGTACTCCAGGCATTGCAGCATTCCTGGCAACAGACGCCATGGGGAGGATCTAGGAACCAGGTATCCGGTACCTTTTCCATCGTTTTGTTATTGAGCGTCAAGCCACTCCAATTCAAGCCACAGCTAGAGGGAAGTTTTAAGGGTCCAGCCGAAAGCATCGACATCGCCCTGGAGTATATTGAAGGCATTTTGGTGCGCTTGCGCTCTTTTATTCGCAGCCAACAGTCAAATTGCTTGGATAGCACCTATACGCAGCACCTCATAGGCAGGCAGCTTCTAACTCGCCTACCAGGCATCTACATGTACTCAGTACGTTGAATTTATATATCTGCCTGTTGAACCATGCCAGGCTTGGTGTTTACAACATCACCTTTCCTTGATCGGCGAGATTAGGATCGCTGCATCTGTATAATTGCAACAACCAGGCAGCCAGTTGCAATCTCGTCCAAAGGCATTCCTGGTGAGCCTTGTCTGCCTCTATGCAGCAGCACTCAAGCCGTCCATGCCGAATCTTCAGAGGCTCTGCTGCTGCCTCCTTTTATACTAATGCTCTCTGACAAGAAGCAATACGAAGCGCTTTGCCGCAATTATAGATGGTAGCCACTTGGCTGCATTAATTAGCGCAGCACGGTATATGGCAGGTTTGCATCCCGTAATCCGTAGGTCAACGCCATCGGAGCCGGTCTTCTATCAGCGACTGCGCCCGCTGAAGTCTCTGCTAACGGATGCTAAGTCCAGAGAGACCGGCTGGGATGACGTACTCGTCTGGTTATGTGGAATTATGTTGAACCATTTCCGCGGCTAGGAGCAATTATGAAGCCGGGATATAGAACCGCGCTTCCTCTGCTTCAAGCAGTCAATGGAAGAATTGAAATACTAGAGACATACTACATATCAGTCTTCTCCTTGGTTGCGTCTAGTTCTATTTTAGGAGCTTCAAGAAACTGAGGCTTGCTGTGCTGTCGGGTAGCTCATCATGATAAACTCAATGCCTTTATAGCGACGCGGAACGCCTGGAAGAGCTAGCAATGTCGGAACCAGCAGCTGCTCTATCCCGTCCCGTCTATGCCGTACGGACTCCGGGAAGGGTGCGTAATCCGGCCAGGCTGGTGGTGATTGTGAAGGAAGATCCGCTGACGATACGCTCGGACGGCCAATCAGGAGGGAGGAGAATCTGGAGGACCGAAAGCGGGCAAATGCAGAGAGATGGAAACGTGGTGGCTTGCTTCTCGGCAGTTGGGTGGGTTATCAAGGGCAAAAGCCCAGACAGAATATGTTACGGTAGTATGCAGTTTGAAGATTGTGTGGTGGATGTACGAGTACCATTATGATACCTTGCTGAACGAATCACCCAAAGGCAGATGCAACATGATAGTGCCTACCTATCAAATGCTTATTCCCCGATAACAATAAATCTATTGCATCCAATCCCATTCAATTCCCTCTTCCGCGTAAACCTGCTCAATCCCACGGCTCAACTTCCAGCTTACCTTCTCCTCCTCCTCCACCGCTAAAGCCAAAAGTCTATTAGGCGGGCACTTGGCAGATGCTAAACCCCGCCCTCCCTGCTGCAAACAGCCATCCGGAACACTTTTTCACTGGACAGAGACCGCCAACTGGTGACTGCAAAAGCTGCTGATGGAGCCTCTGAGCCGCAACCCACTGGAGCTATTTTCCGCCGCTCCGGCCTGGACGGGCCATCAATCCATCCACTTCTAGTGCCTGCTGATACCGCCATTGATGGCTATCGGGGCACCACCGCGGCCGGCATCCTGGCCTTTGGAAGATTCAAGTCTGTCGTCTCACCTCGAAACTGCCGCCAGAACTTGTCTCTGGCATCTTCCACCTCAACCTGCCATCGCCTGCCAGCGGCGAACCTGACGGGCCTGCGCCGCTTGCATCGCCAGATGTCGCCTCTGTAGATGCGACGAGAAACGAGCAAGGCGACGACCGCCTATCTCGGAGCCAGCATTCACCACCTCGAAACGCTGGGTTGACGACTTGGGGCGATCCAAACAGCCGATTCTCGTCCACCAATCTCTGCCCATCTCGCGTGTGCAGCGTTCCGATCTATATCTGAAGAGAAGCGACGTATCGAGCCAGCCGTATCGAAGCGCAGTCGTTGTTCGGCCTCTTTTCTAGGGCACGAAATTGGACCATCGCTGTTCTCCAGAGCCCAAGAGTTACAGAAACCACATATCCAAACACCCAAAATGCTGTTGAAACTAGCGGCCGTTCTTGGCCTTTTGGTCGCTGCGATATATGCCGACGACAGCAATACCATCTCCACTTCAGCACAGACCGACGGCCCTCCAGACTGGGCCAACAACAATGCACTGCAATTGAATCTGTCGTCCGACCCCATCCAATATACCGTTGTTCCTGTTCTACCAAATGCTGGTACCAACGGGTCGTCAAATAGCGGCATTCAAGTACGGTTATTATCCAAGAAAGCCCATCTGTTTCGCCCTTGATGCTAACAAGCAGACAAAGACAGTAGACATCAACGGCGTCATGATTGCCACCGATGTATCCAACTTTAACAAGATCACAAGTCCCAACGATGTCGCATACATATCATGCGATGGCTCAAGCAATACCTTTATCAGCACGGACGAGTTGCTCAACGATGTCGTCAATGCAAACCCAAAAGCCATCGTCCTCTACTCACTTGCCGCCACTTGGTGTAGTCTGGATTTTGCAAACCCACCTGCGTTTTCCAACATTTTCTCCATGGCTGATAGCGGCGAGGCACAGGGAGTTTTGGACTCTTTGAATGGCACTGCCAATGGGCGAGTGGTCAACGTTTCCATTACAGGAAACTCATCGAGCACAGACTCTAATGACTCTGGAGGTGGGACCAGCAACTCGACCGTCGCCATGAGCATTCTATACACCATCACAGCTCTCATCACTCTCTTGTTCCTCGTGATTATCGCTACCGGCGCTGTAAGAGCCCATCGCTATCCGGAAAGGTATGGGCCTCGACGTGCTCTGGGCGGCCGACCTCGACAGAGCCGAGCAAAGGGATTGGCTCGTGCGGTTCTCGAAACACTTCCCATTGTCAAGTTTAATAATAACCAGGAACCGATTAAGCCGGATCCCGATCTCGAACTAGACGCAGCTACTACTGATGGCCGCGATGCTAGAACACAGAGGTCATCTTCGATTCTTACCCAGGAAGCAGCACATCACGAAGTGGCTACAGCTACGCCGGCCACGGCCGCAGCGGCCGCAGGCGATAGTAAGACCGGTGATGCAACTCCGGCTGTTGAGGCTCATGGGGCTGTTGAAGCCAACCCCCCTCCCGTCGTGAACGTGGGTTGCTCCATCTGTACCGAAGATTTTACGGAAGGCGAGGATATGAGGGTTCTGCCTTGCAACCACACATTTCATCCAACCTGTATTGATCCTTGGCTTATTAATGTATCCGGAACATGTCCCTTGTGGTAAGTTGAATCTGTACATCAACAATGTTGGGTATCTTGTCACTAACGCATATAACATAGTCGACTTGACCTTCGCCCTGAGGCTGAGTCTAACGAAGGTGATATTGGCCTGGCTCCAGCTCTTAACAGGGGCCCCGGCGACAGGAGCTCAACACTGCCACCTCCTTTGGCCCTGGAGGGTGAGGAGGGAGAGGGCGGTCCTGCCCACCACCGTCATAGGATTTCTCGCTTTTTCGACGTCAACAGGCTGAGGCAAGCTACAGCGGAAGAGCAGATCGAAGCTCTTCGACAGATGCGATCGACTCGCCAAACCGATGCAGAGACTCACGAAGCGGGCGCCACTCAGGATGCGGAGCGCGAAAGAGGCCAGAGGGCTCATCTAACAGCCAAACTAAAGGAAAAGTTCCGGATCCGAACCAGAGCTCGATCTCCAGAACGCGAACAAGACTGAGACGCGGCGAAATCGATTTTTTTACGACTCACTCTTTATGTGTATACATGAACCACTGGGACTTGGTCTTTTACAAAGATTTCTATGTTGTGCCATTCTGCATTCATTGGCTTGCAGTTTTCACAGCCATTTATATATATTTCAGTCGCTACATTGGCGTTCGAGGACATAGGGAAGCATTGGCTGGCGTTTTATTTTTTTGGTATCTGTAAATGTTTCGCGTTAGTGGTATTCAATGTGCTTCCCAGGGCGAAAGGGTTTATAGCGGAGTTGGAAGGATGAGTTGATTCGTTTAATTGAAGCAAGATGTAGATCAAATAAACAAGACTACACATTGCTAAGAGGACATGAATTCACGGACCGCTCTACATATATCTTCAGCGACCCATCTATTGAGACCATGACAGCCCGTGGAGGAACGAAAAGGACTGCATTGCTACATATTTACAAAGTGTACTGAGATGGTTGGTATATTATTAACCTCCAAAGGCAAGTATTCACAAAATCGCTGACAAAGGGTTCAAGTCATTATCTCTTTTCTCAAGGGCCACTATCCTGAGCGGCACTATAGCTTCTATGTACCTTGACGCCTCGCTTTCTCTTCCTACTCCAGCATGATCATAGTATCCACCATTGCTCATCTTCGATGCCAGAGAAAATGCCTCCACATCTCTTCATGCCTATCCATTTCACAGTTCATCATCATCAGATTCCGTCTCCTCTTCGGCCGCCGGTGCTTTGGACGGCGCAGGTTTCTTTGCAAAAGGTAAAGTTCTCGGAGCCGGGGGTTGATCATCTGAGTCCTTGGGAGGAGGCGCTGCTTTCGGCGCAGGTCCGGGGCTGCTGTCATCAACTTCGTCATCGTCATTGTCACCGTCGCTACCGCCAGACGCTGTGTCTTCTGCTGTATCCTCTTGCTCGCTGTCTTGAGGCTCGACTTTGATCTTATCCACCTCCATCTCATCTTCTTCTGTCTCATTTTTGGAAGCTTCCACTGTTTGGACTTTTCGTTTTCTAGGCCGAGAAGGGGCAGGCGTGCGAGATGGCTGAGAGTCTACTGATTGGAACCGTTGAGATGCTTGTTGGCTGCTTTGGATTGGACCGGCGGCAAGGATCTTTTGCTGTTCGCGGATTTTTACCTTCTTTTCATTAAGAAGATCTCGGAATTTGAGAAGCAGGGCCGTTTCATCGTCTTCTTTTGATGTGATGAGCTCGTCCAGTTGTGACTTTAGCTCCTTTACTGTGGCTTCAAGCTCCTTCGCGTGGGCGGCGGCTTCGAGCAAGGCCACGTTGCTTTGCGCCAGAGCATCGGCAGTCTCCGCGCACCATTTGAAAAGCTCTATGCCTTCATTTTCGTCATGCTTTAACTCTATGGAGCCGAGTCGTTGCTATATTGAAAGCTCGAGTTAGACTAATCAATTTTCCAGATTCGTGAACCACCAAGAGAGTCATACTGTAATTCCTTGAACTCGCTTTCGAATTGTGATTGAGAGAGAGGCCTCGCTCTCGATGCTAGCTGTTGCTTGTATGTCCGCAACTGGTTGGAGCGAGAACAGAGATTGCAATATGGCCTGCCATTCAGACTCGGAGACGGGACAGTTTGGGACTTGTAGCGAAGCTACGCGATCATGTTTCACTGGTGGGTGTCAATAGGATGTTTGGTATGACGATTTGGTTAATGGGTGTTCGTACAAGAAGTCACATATGGTGCTTCGCCTTCTGTGCCAACGAGCTTCACATCCAGGGGCTTGGAACCCTTTTGGATGACTTGGATGAGAGCATAGGTGGATTCATCGTCATCCCGAGGGAGCTTGATAACTCGCGACGCGGCCATGATCAACTGCACGCGTCGTCTCTGGAGTCAATCAATTTGAATTTGGCGGAAATCTGCAGAGACACGGCTTGATAAGTGCGGTCGTGTGAGCTGATGAAGCGAGAGGCGTGGAATATGTAGGTTAGGTAATTAGGGAGAGGTGATGCAACTGATATTTCGAACGTGCTTCTGGAACAGGTGAGAGAGAATCAAAGATTGGCACTGAGCGATTTATTGCTCTGTTGGGTTTGCTGCTTGTGTCGTCGCGAGAGTAGATATTTTGAAGAGTGCAGTCCGATGTGGTTTTGTTTGTGTCTTACAAGCAACCAGTCGTGACTCTTCATCGAGGTGGAAGTGCATTGCAGCCTTGCGCTTAGCGTGCTTGAATCCGCTGGAAACAGGCAGAGAGTCCACTGCAGGCAGCTGGAGAGCTTCTGCTGCAGGTACAGGTACAGCGCAAGCTTGATAGTGGCTGGGGTGCTGTGGCGCAGGCTCCTCCACAGACAGACCACGGGTACGGGTACATGGCCAGTACCAGCTTGTCAAGTGCGGAGGTGAGCTCCGGGAGGTACCTAGGTATCGTCCACCCACTGTAGAATTATACAGGTTTGCACATAATGTGCGCGACAGAAAATTTGAAATATTCACGATGCCATTCGTATTCGCGATACGAAGTACTTGTACAGCTTATACTGTACGGAGAAGTTGGGTACTAGGTAGTAATATCGCCCAGGCCTAACCGTTTCTTGTTGGTTTCGAATCGTGTCAGGCATCCGCTGAGAAGTCGTGTCGAGTACATGTACTTTGTGCCGTACTCGAACGGGGGTCTGGGGCGCATCGTACACGTGGGAAATTAATCCAATGTCCACCCGCCGGCCGAGAGGGTCCAGGTAATGAACTGGCCGCGGGAGCTTTTGGGAAAAAAGGCCCGCCATCACGCCCAACAAACGCGGCCACGCACTGTAATAAATTTTGATCAAGCGTGGAAGATGCACCCGTTTTCTGATAGTAGTAAAGGAAACTTCATAGAGGAGATATAGGCGCTAAGATCTAGTAGATGTTCTGTACGTTGTTGATACTTTGGATATAAGTAGATCTAGTACCTGTCACGTCGGCCTACCAATGTGATAGACGCCTTTGTACGTCGGTAGAGAGCCATTGATATTGCTTCCTTCATACACATCAGAAGGAAAATAACCATACAGTACGAGTGGGCATTAACATGGTCTGGCTTGGCAATTTGTTCGTCCCGCTTATGTTGTCCGCGGCCGGCCGGCTACAGCCCAATACGGCTAGGCCACGTTCGTGTGCAAGACGAGATGCCCACTTGCCTCCATCTTGTGAGTGTCCAAATGGCGTGTCTTGGTGTTGCGGCGGGCGGCCTGTGAAATGAGTAACGGCTCAGTTAACGCTAGGAGGACGAGTAGGGACGGGCTAGAAAGCTATGAAGCAAACAGCTAGTACGAGTGTTTGATAGTATCAGGCACGATGTACCAGCGTAGCATATTGGAAGCTCCATACAGTGGTTGCTCATTCGTGTGCGTTTGCTAGTTTGTTTGGATACATAGTATTTGATGTAATACGCTGTGTCGCCCACAACACGGACCCGGCTTACAGTAGGTAGTAATCAAAAACAGAGCCCAGTTCAGGATCGTCCTTCTCCATGCTCTGTGCTCTGTGCTTCCCGCGCTCCGGGCTCGCTTCGCAGCGCCTGTGCCTGTAGTATATGCATTGGCATATGCACGAGACGCTCCAGCCAAGGGCCCTGTCCCGATCTCTCTCTCCACCCAGCAGAATCTGACAATTGACGGGGCCTGCGCGCATGATTGGCAGCTGGTTGGGTTGGTAAGGATAGGGGGCCGGGATGCGCGCTGGGGCCCGTCTTGGTTGTCGTGGTAGCAGGAATCAACTGCAGGTGAGGCGTCATCAGGAGTACGAAACGCTCAGGCACAGAGTGGGCGGATGGACAGATACGGAGTAGCCTTCCAGCCAATTTCATGCACAGCACCGCGGCGAGATTAGGATGAGGATCGTGAGTCCGGAAGCGACTCCACCTTCAATATGAACAGATCATGGGTTAGCGAGCCGGCCGACGAAGTGCGAGTAGGGGTTATCCATGAGGGTAGGAGGCGAAAAAAAAAAAAAAAATTCAGAGCGAGAAAAAAGCACATGCGACGAGGCCAGATACGTACCTAGGTACCTATTTAATGGATAGCGAGGTGAGAGTTGGGAGAAAAAAAGGGGGGGATATAAAACAAGAGGAGCATCCCCAAACCGTTTTGCCTCAATTTCCCACCTACCAGGGACTTTACACTTTGAGCACGAAGAATTGTGAGCATTCACATTCACCTGCTGCACTTGTACTCGTGCAGCCTCCCGGTGGTCCAGGGTACTCGTACAGGTACAGGCAGTGACTGAGAACTTAAGGACCCTCGAGAGTCAAATTCCTTGCTCAGCTGTGGATTGCAGTGGCCCAGGCGCTGCTTGTCGCTGCTCTACCACTGAAATCTCCATGCAGGCTGCCCCCACCACCTGATCCTCGCCAATCCGACAGGCTTACAGGCAGTCCAGCCACTGTCCACAACGGACCCCCAGCCTTTCTGTTTCGCCTTCGCATCATCACTGCGCCCAATCAATTGCCCGCTGACAACATCAACAACAACGTCGACGCCTTATCGCGCGCCCATCTAAAAAAAAGCATTCTCCAGGTCCCAAATAATCGAAATCGCCTTGCTGCATCGTCAGAGCTTACAGCAGCGCTTTTGCATCGTATTTGCCCGCCATCTGCTGAGCGTCGGGCGCCCTTTTGTTTTGTTGTTATTGATTTTGGGAGGGGGAGCGCATCGTCAGCGCTGCTAGAGGAACGAGTCGATTTGTGCGCACCGTAGCGACAACGAAACACCCCCGACCCTTTTTGCTGCCCACCTTGGACGAATAAGCCGGCTGCCACGTCATAATCCGGGAGCGAGCTGCGGCCTTGGGAATTTTGGGAACAAATCCAGCGATGGACGGCTGCTATTGATCGGTTATGCCTCCGCCCAATTGTTGTCGCGACCGGCCACGACGAACCTATCCGAGAGACTGAAAGTCAATTTACCCACGCTACCCGAGCGGCCCTGCATGCCGCTTTGTTTACGACACGCGATTACAACCCAAACACCTTTGCACAGCACAGCACAGTACAGTACCTAGACGCATCAGAACAAGAGTTGATGGAAATTATGGAGCCGCTGCGGCTAAAGCCCAGACAGCCAGTGGAGGCTGAGATAGAGAACTGGGATGATGACGATTTTATCGTAGACGGCGACGAGTTGAGCCTTCGGCCTACCGCTGTCACTACTACCAATGCACAACCACGTCGACGCGATTCCACCTCGTCCCACATTTCGCTGCGCTCCGATCTGGACTCGGCGTATGGGGAGGAACAACACGTCCACCTCCCGGCAGACGATGAGAGATCAACAATGGCTGCCATAGCCGCCGCCGAGAGGGCAGGAATCCCGTTGCCCAAGAATGTGCCGTCGTCTGCATTGACCGGAGGCACCATCAAGAGGCTCGGCGGCAAGAAGATGCGGAGAACCATCGACGAGGACTGGGAAAATGACCTGGAGCTGCCCGAGGGGCTCCAAGGGCTCCAGATGAAGCCGCGAACCCAGACCGATTTTCCAGAGACCCTGCGCCAGGTCAGCGGAGGCTCGCTGCAGAGCTCGCTGCAGAACAGCCCCAGGAAGACGCCCAGCAGGTCTGCCAGAGACAGCCGGCGGAGCTCTATCATGTCCAATTCGAGCATCTTGTCGGCCGCACTCAGCCTGGACAAGTTTAGAGACACGGAGGATGAGGATGACGACTTCTTCGGCGACGGGTTTGACACCATCAAGGTCCCTAAGAGGCGACCGCCTCGCCTGGCTCCCTTTGTCACTCCTCCCACTCCCCTTGAATCCGAAGCATCGAAGGACCCGCTGGACGAAGACTTTGAGGGAGACTTTGACCTCCCGTCCGATGGCAAGCTGAAGCTGTCCGCTAGGAGGGACATACCCAGAGTGCCATTTTCGTCGTCGGATGATATAGACTGGGGTGAGGGTAGCCTGGGCACTAGATTTGGCGGCACTCGACGAGATGCGAGGTCAACTCGAAGCTCGTCGGTCTCGGCCATGAGCCCCAGTCTCTCCAGCACCTTCACGTTGGAGAGCGAGGACGAGACGTTTGACGGCCTCGTCCTGCCCCCCGGCCATCTCAATTTTCAGGAGAGGCTGCACCTGCGGAAGACAAACCCACCGCCGGAAGACATACCGGAGGAGCAGCCTGCCGAAGCAGCAGCCCCGAAGAAGCTACTTCCTGCGGCAGAAGTGGAGCAGCAGGACTTTCTCGAGGGGCTTGATATTGGCGATGGGAACGTCTTTGACGCTGGGAAACTCACCATGCATCGGAATATCAAGATCAAGGACAGCCGGCTCGTCAACCCTGCCCGGCCAAAGACGTCGGTGTCGTTGACGTTTAGCAACAAGCCCATGCCTCCACAGACAAGGATCCCTCGACTCAACCATGAGAGGTCCCATTCTACCGCTCTCGAGCCCGTCTCTGAGAGTGGCGGTCCGATCCCGCATCGGGTTCGTCGACCACAATCCCGCCTTGGCCATTCCAACCAGCTGTCCGTGGCGAGCCTCCCAACGCCCACCACCATTTCCACCTTTTCAATCGCCACAGCCCCTCGCAGGACAGATCTATCGCGAACCACCTTTACTTCTACTAGGAATGACCCTCCTACGACAAATGCTCAGCTTCTTAGGCAGAAACGCTCCCTGACAGCCGTGCGGGCTCGGAACCCTCCCACTAAGCCCATCGCCGGTCGGTCGGAGAGACCAACATCACGCACGGAGCCAGGCCAGTCTCGACCAAAGACGCCCCAGGAGCGCCCGACGGCTACCAGCGAGAGTCCTGGACAAGCAAGAAAGAACTCAATACCGTTTATACCTGCGGGGGCTTCCCACTTGCAATCGCAGCACGCCGCTTCCAAGACCCTGCGACAGTTCCGCCGTCATGACTCCGACAATGCCATCGATGCCCGCCCCATCTCCCGGTCATTTTCGAGACCAGGCCTGCAATCGCCTAGCCCACAGCGCTACAAGACGGCTGCGTCTGAGACGTGGGATCGTCTAAGCAGACCCAAGAGCATACGCCAATTTGGCGATGGTCATGAGCTAGACGCCTTTGACGATCTACCCACTTCGAAAGAGACGGAAAGCCGTTACCTGAAGCAGCCTTCCGCAGCTGGACCCAAGGCAACATTGCGCAAATCACCACAGGCACCACGACCGCCGGCAATTGATAGAAACAAGACGCCTTCGCCATGGAACGCAGCACCAAAGCCCGCCATACGACCCAACTATACCCCTAGCTTTGCGCGTGACACTGCAGCCAGCCGCATCGCACGCGAGACGGCTCTAGCCCACCGGACGCCAAGCGGCGGGCCTTTGGCTTCGGTTTCTGCTCAACGAGCGCCAAATCGAAGCAATGCCCAGCAGACGTCTTCTACAACCCGAACCAAGAAGTTGAAGCGACCCCCGCAGCTAAAGCCCCATCTCATCTCCAACTTGAGTGGCGGCAAAGAATCCAAAGGTATATTTCTAAACTCAAGTGTATTTATTGTAATCATGTCTAACGGTGCCATTTGTCTCTAGTCGTCAAAGGGATGTTTTACAATGCCGCAACGTACTGCTGGGAAGGGAACGAGACTGCTCTGAATGCGTTTGATGGCTCGACCTCGACGCCATCATCAAATTCGGTTCCCCTGCACTTGGCTCGGGATAAGGAGACGCCAGTGCCTCGACCGGCTCTCATTACCAACATCAGCACCACTAAAGGTGTGCAAGTGGTTGGTGGCATGGTGTTTGATCCTCAAAACATGTGCTGGCTGAAGATGGGCCCTCAGAGCATGACAAGATCCGAAGCCACTGATAGCCTAGACAACTTCAATGCCTTTGAAGAGGACGAGGACGTCTTTAAGGATATTCCCGATCTCGAAGACAACACCATCACTGATGAGCGTGAAGGCCACTCCAGCGACATTAAGGATGACTGGCTGGTGGGAGAAGAGTTCGACGTGGGCCCCGAATTCATCCGAAGACAGCGTGAGGAGGAGGAGAGGTGGCGGAAGAAGTGCGAGAAGTGGATAAGCCACACTCCCCGGGACCGAGACGCCTGGCGATGGACAATTCGCGAACTCGTCTCTCAATTCGACGACTTTGCGATGCCGAGCGTGGCCAGATAAGACCAGATGCAATGGAAGGCACCCTCGCTCAGCGGCATGCCAGCTATAACCCGTCTTGGACTATCTTGCTTTGTTGTTGTTGTTACTGTTTCTGCTTCTTCTTTTCTACTTTGCCGTTGCATTGCTTTGCTGCTACGTATTGGCATTGCATTTGCATGTTTTTTTAATACGATATGATTTTTTAACAACCAGTGGAGATGGGTCAAGGAGGAGGGAAGGTATCAGGACAAAGGCATAGTGTGCCCCGTTTGTTTTTGCTTTTACGCGCGGTATCGTGCTTTTTGTTTCTCCTTTTTGTTTCTTTCTTTCTTTCGGGCGTTGGGAGGGGAAACTGTTTGGTTCACGACCATATCGGCCCAACCGCACGCAAAGGGGGCTGTTGTCGATTTATGACTGGGCACATACTATGGGATATCGCGATAGAGAAAAACGGCTACGGTGCGCAAATCACCGGTAGAGTTTGTTACGACGAAATGACATCTAACGAAATGCAACATGGATGAGTTTTCTGGTATGAAAATTGGAAGGGCACAAGGGGGGGGAGGAAGGCAAATGGTTTTAATGTATCATTATCGGGTGTGGGTGGCTGGAGGGAGTTTTTGTCGTTTAGTTTTTGTAAATTTAAGATTGCGAGTTTTGTTTTGCTGTTGTGCTGCCAAACAATGGTATAATTTTTGAAGCTGAATATCAGAATCGGTGATGGTGATGACGTCTGTATATCTTTGGGTGAAGCTGTTTCAGGGGCTCGTGGCGCTCGTTTGACTTGAATTGTTTTCTTTGGCGTTGGAGTTTTGGCGGGGTATTTTTTTCGATGCGACCCCCCACGTGATTCTTGGAACCTCCAAGCTTGTCACCAACGTACCTCGGGGCTCCAAAACGGCTGCCAGCAAAGGCAGCCTCGTCTCGGATATACAAGAACCCTAAGCAGAAATATTCGAAAACTGCTTTATCCCTCTCAAAGCGCATCTCTCGCCACATTGTATTTCGTCACCTATCCCATCGACATTTCTCGTCAGGTAGCGCAAATCTCGCCCATCGCCTCTCACCCCGCCTCCCCTCTTTTCGCATCGCGACGAACGAGTCGCATCTCGACCAGAAGCTACATCACAGCCCATCGCAACAGCTCAAGATACACCACGCCCTTTATAAAAGAAGGACAACAAAACCGTCGCAATGGCCGAAGTAGCATTCGCAAAAACGTTCCTCACCTCGCTGGACTCCCGTCCCATCAAGCTCTCCCCAGACCACATCGAAGACCCCAAGACATTCCCTCCTCGCCCTCCCGTACGTCCAAATCCCCCAACACCCTCCCTCTTCCCAACTCACAAAAAGCTAACTCAAAAACCAGTATATCCTCCCCCGCATGCCAACCCCCATGACCAAACCATCATCCCGCCTCCCCCCCGGCTCCGAGCGCAGCATCGACATCACCCTCAAATCCCTACGCAACCCCCCCCTCGACATCACCCTCCCCGCCACCCCCCTCAGCACCTCCGTCCTCGATGTCAAGGCCGCCGTCAGCGCCCAGACCCGCATCCCCGTCGACAAGATGAAGCTGCTGCTCAACAAGCGGCCCGTCGCAGACACAAAGGTCCTCAAGGAGCTGCTCGCCAAGGAGGCCGACAGGACGATTGACTTTTCCGTCATGGTCATTGGCGGCGCCGCGGCGATCCCGCCCGAGGACAAGGCGCCCGCCGCAGAGGCCATGGAAACGGACGAGCCGGTTGCCACGGCCCAGGCTGACGCGGCGGCTGTCGAGGCTGAGCTCGAGTCGGATGCCTTCTGGGCGGATCTCGGCGGCTTCCTGCAGCAGCGGCTCAAGGCCCAGGACAAGGCCGAGGAGCTGTCGAGCTTGTTCCGGTCCAGTTGGCAGGCAAGCAGGTCAAGTTCGTGATATATATATATATATATATGCAAAACACATGATGGGCGTCCTCCTTTTCTTCCTTCTAATAGAGCATACTTTCAATTATTCCCTATCACGCAAGCAAACCAAGTCACCAGTGAAGCGTCACATGCAGTATAAAGAAACGAGTCTGATTTTCCCTTGGTACGGTGTACATCGTCATCTGTAGCGCTAGCACATCTGAAAAATTACCTATGCCTATCCATCGAATAAACACAGCCCTCCAGCACGCCCAATCTAAACGAGGACACGGCAGTGCCTCCCTTCTTTTGCTTCTCCCTGGTAGCTGCCCCTTCCCCCATGCATCACATTATTGTTGGTGAGGGTTCGCTTATGCGTTCACCTTGGCCAGGACGGCGTTGAGGACAGAAGCGTACTCGAGGTCGTCAGAGTCGTTGGCCTGGATCTCATAAGCGTAGCCTTCCAGGGATCGCTTGAGAGCCTCCTTAGAAGCGGCGTAGATCATCTTGGGCTGTTGCTTTCAGTCAGCGGGAGAAAAAAAAAGTCAATTTACACATGGGTAACATGGTTTAACGCACGTGGACACCGGCATCATCGGGAGACCAGGCGACGAGAATGATCTTGTTGCTGTTTCGGATTGTCAGTAACTGCGGCAGTTCACTTATGGGGTTGGCATTGGGCCGACATACATGTCTCGGCCGTCAAACTTGAAGCCAAAGTCGTAGACAGCGTAGCGGGGACCCTTGCCAACAGCACCCTAATGAAAGTCTCGAGTCAGCTCTGCTCCGGCGTGTACGCCATTTCAGACGTTTGATTTCTTCGGTGGTGATGAGACGCACAGTCTTGCTCTTGGAGGTGGCGGAGAGGAGCCTCTCGCGGAAGCTGTCCCAGTCGTCGTCGGCCTCAGCGTGCTCGACCTGGATCTCGGAGTAGTCGTCGGACAGCTTGAAGACAATGTATCTCAGGAGTCGGTTCTTGTCGTTGCTTCGCTTGAGCTTCTGGAACTCCTCGGAGACCTGGGCGGAAACTTTCGCTCTACACCAAGCTTATCATCAGCCTGCCAATTCCCGCCAACTAATGTGCTATCTTGCTTCCATTTCTTCCATATCTGTTGTTCTTAAGCTTCTCCCCACTGCCGCCAACCCAATCATGCGCCCACATCTGCACCGTCGTTGGCCGTGGTGAAGAGGGTGGCGGGTGGCGGATCGCGTGGAGGGGGGGCTATAAATAGTGGAAGAGATAACGTCAAAGGGGGGAAGACACGCACCCTGATTGAGACTGCAGTTACGCAACGCGGTCAGTACTCGGAATATACAACAAGGAACACGCCTTGCAAGCTCTCATGCCACGAGAAACAACTCACCATGTTTGCGATTTGGTCGTCGACGAAAGACGGACTGCGGTGTAGAGAAAAAAAAGGAGGGGTGATGAGCTGATGAGGTTTCTCCTGTTAGCGATGAGGGGGTTCCTTGGAAGATATGCGGGAGATACGCCAAAGCGCCGCTGCACCGTTGCCCAAAACCAACAAGTCCAAAGCAAAACACAAGAGACGGGCAAGATGACGCGGAGGGAGATCAAGGAATAGGGAAGAGCTACACACAGGAAGAAAAAAAGAAGACACGGAGAAACGGCGAGACTGGCGTCAGGACGGAGTTCGACGATGATGCCAAATTGGTGTGACAGCGGGATGGTCTGGGAACTGCGCAGGTAAGTACAAGAAACCAAACCAGCAGAAGGAGAGGCGGGGTGCTAAAAAGGGCGAGAAGAGCTCCTGGGCCCACGGGTGGGGTTTTTCTGTGCTTTTGGCCGAAGTTGCTTCGAGGGGGGAGCTGCACGTGACTGGGAGATTTGGGGGGAAAGATGAGAAGAGAGAAGACTGGAGATTGGAGGAACTTTTTTTATATGGGGAATTACGTATTGCATGGAGTCGGGATGTGCATGCTACCTGGTGCCTAACGAGAAGGGGGGAGTCGATGGATGTAGATGTACTCGTGCGGGATGATTGGATGGACGGTTTGTCCGTTCAGGTGGCTATTGGGAGGAAGGATTGGGAAGAGGTGACAAAGGCTCAATATCTCTTTCAGCTTCTCTCTCCCTACCTATCTACCAGTATTCGACAAGGGCGGTTCAATATAGGTATAATTCATCCCAGTCCAATCTAATCCAACAAAGCCAGGCATCAACATTTCCCAGGTCCATCCATCTCATCTCATCCCATCCTTTCTCATTTCCGGCTGCCTCAAGGCAACCACAAATCTCAGCACTATAGCAGCCACTATTGCGCAATAGACACAAGGTATCTACAAGTACTCAAACATCACTTCATTTCACAATTCTAGTTGCCTAAATCTTCTTGCGAATCTCTTCTCGTTAAATAAAAAACATTTCATTCGTTATTATCCCTTTTTTGGTAGTGGTACATGGCCAGGAGCGCTACAATACAATACAATAAACGGCAAAACTCGGCTTGCCCACTCTCCACAGAGACAAGGGCAAGCTCAGAGCTCAGCCGCAGATAGATGGACAGGTAGATAGAGAGGAAGATGGAGTGAGGGGAGATGGGTAGTAGGCCGCTTGAACCTTCCTTCTAGTATAACACCGGAAACCATGCCCCGTCATAGAATAATTTTTATACATCATTTCCTGTTCCCTTTTTTTCTTTCTTCTTTTCTTCTTGCGGGTGGCATCTTACATCATACCGCCCATTCCTCCCATGCCACCCATGCCACCCATGGGAGGACCGGCAGGTCGCTCCTCAGGGGCCTCAACGATGGCAACCTCAGTGGTACCCAGCAGCGAAGCAACGCCGCTGGCATCAATGAGACCAGTGCGGACAACCTTGAGGGGGTCAAGGATACCGGCCTGGATCATGTCAACGTACTCGCCCTTGGCGCTGTCGAAACCGCGGTTGAAGTCGCTGCCGTACTCGTCGGTCAGCTTGCCAACAACGACAGAGCCCTCCAGACCGGCGTTCTCGATGATGGTTCGGGCAGGTCGAGTGATGGCGTTCTTGACAATGGTGATACCGAGCTGCTGGTCAAAGTTGGCAGCCTTGACGTCGTTCAGAGCCTGGGAAGAGGCCTTGATCAGGGCAGTGCCACCACCGGGCAGGATACCCTCCTCGACGGCAGCGCGGGTGGCGTTCAGGGCATCGACGAATCGGTCCTTCTTCTCGCCGACCTCAACCTCGGAGGAGCCACCGACCTTGATGACGGCAACACCGCCAGAAAGCTTGGCCAGACGCTCCTGGAGCTTCTCCTTCTCGTACTCGGAGGTGGTGGGGTCGGCAATGACACCGCGGATCTGCTCGCAGCGCTGAGAGATGGCATCCTTGCTGCCCTCACCGTTGAGGAGGATGGTGTCCTCCTTGGTGATGGTGATGGAGCCGGTGGAACCTAGCATGTCGGGGGTGGCCTTCTCAAGCTTGATGTCAAGCTCGTCAGAGAAGACGGTTCCGTTGGTCAGGACGGCAAGATCGCCCAGGATGGACTTGCGGTTGTCACCAAAGCCAGGGGCCTTGACAGCGGCGACCTGGAGCTGGCCACGGAGCTTGTTCAGAATGCAGACAGCCAGAGCCTCGCCGTCAATATCCTCGGCAACAATGACAAGGGGGCGGCGGAGCTGGGTAGAGGCCTCGAGGGCGGGGATGATGTCCTGGACAGCAGAGATCTTCTTCTCGGAGAGGAGGATCAGAGGGTTCTCGAACTCGACCTTGCCAGACTTGGCGTCGGTGATGAAGTAAGGGGAAACGTAGCCGCGGTCGAACCGCATACCCTCGGTGACCTCGAGCTCGTCCTGCAGGGTCTTGCCCTCCTTGACGGTGATGACACCCTCCTTGCCAACCTTCTCCATGGCATTGGCAATCAGCTTGCCAACGTGGTGGTCACCGTTGGCACTGATAGTGGCGACCTGGGCAACCTCCTCGCTAGTGGTGATGTCGCGGGTGTTCTTCTGCAGGAAGTCGACGACGGAGTCGACTGCAGCCTGGATACCGCGGCGCAGGTCCATGGGGTTGCAGCCAGCGGCAACGTTCTTGACGGTCTCGGAGAAGATGGCACGGGCCAGGACGGTGGCACTGGTGGTGCCGTCACCAGCAGTCTCGTTGGTCTTGGAAGCAACGTCTTGGATCAGCTTGGCGCCGAGGTTCTCAAACTTGTCCTTGAGGCTGATGGCCCTGGCGACAGTAACACCATCTGTAGAGATAGATTATTAGCAAAAGATCTTCCCAAGACAATAAATAAGCGCTGTAGAATTTCTCAGCCATACCCTTGGTAATCTTGGGAGAGCCGAAGCTGGACTCGATCAGGACATTTCGGCCCTTGGGTCCAAGAGTGGTAGCAACAGCCTTGGCGAGAGTATCGGCACCAGCCAGGAGAGCAGCACGGCCCTCGACACCGAACTTGAGTTCCTATTGCGTCCGTGTTAGTCCCATGAAACCATCTGCAACTCGTCATCCCAATTGCCATAACCCACCTTGTGAGCAAACCGAAGTTGCTGGCCCAGGCTACCTCCAGATCGGTACTTGTAAGCGCCGGACAGGGCCGAGGCGCGGGCACGGGAAGTCAATGCGCGCTGCATCTTGCTTTGATTTCTGCAATGGAATAGGAGGGAAAAGGAAACAAAGAAACGGGGGTATCACAAGCCGGAACCACGACGAGCCAGCCTTTCACAGGAACAGCAGGTTGGAGGAGGAGGAAGAGAGTCTGCAAAGCGCTTCCGGTGTTGTTGGAGAGCTCGCACGCCCCAAAAAAATTGTCACGGAGCATCGGCAAAACATGGATCCTGAGCCGAGCCAGCCCCCAAACGAGTTTAGCGGCACAGCATGAGCTTTTCTACCCTCTTCCAGCCGAATCTGTGGGGGATTTTTCTATGCCGAGACTGATGATTAAGCTGGAGATGCATTGCGATTCATGGCCGGTGCCTTTGCAATAGAGATCAATTCAGAAGGGCTGCGATTTAAAAAGCTACCTGTGGAAGTGCCAGAGCGGCTTGTAGCTAGATACTGGCAGCTTGATTCTCCTCAAAGCACGTTAAAAGACTTGCATTCAATGCCCTGTTTGACCCCGCCAATGCCTGATAGACCCCCCGCTATCGGACAAAAAAGTACCTGTACCGTCCATTGTGCCATTCCCCCCAAACTCCAACGTACCATGCAGTGAAGTGAACTCGCCTCTCGATGCTTGCTTGTTTTTGGGATGTTCTTGTTTTCCGAGTTTTTTTTCTTGATCTGGTTTTCTGAAGTTGAAATCGTTATCTTCATGGCCACAGCAGCTGAAATGCCTGTGCCTTGCGTTGCAGTGTCCCTTGTCTTCTCTGGATGAGATGAGGGATGGGTATCTTTGACAGGGAAGGAAAAACAAATAAAAGGAACAATATTGGAAAGGAACATTGGAACTGTTGAGTGTACGAGGCACACCGTTCCTTGCTGTGAGTCAGTCTATTTTCTTAAATTTTTTTTGTTGTTTTCTCAATGATGATCGTGAGCGGGCATGCCGCCTTGGTCAAAACCCTGTGTCTTGGTGATGCGACGTCTGGGTTACTCCGAGTTGGCGAGGAATTCGAGCAACAGCTCGTGGCCGACAAAATCGTCGGAGTATGGGTGAACAGGCTTCAATTGTCAGTCCAGATCTTGGGACGATCGTAGGACAGATGATGGAAGGAAGGCAATTACTTACAGTAGCCTCGTCAAGCTGTTGCTCTGGGCTCTCAATCACCGGCTGGAGTGTCTCCAGCTGCAAAGTGGGCAGCTGGGCCGCGACGGGCGACGAGACAGGAGAAACAGAGATGCCTCTGTGGTTGTTGGCAGTTGGGGAGCTCACAGGTTCCACCTTGTCCTCAGCCTTGTAAAGAGCGGGAGGAGGAGTGGGCGGCATGGTGAAGCCGACAGGGGCATGGGGAATGAAGCCAGGCTGGGCCAAGTTGTTGAAGCCAGGTTGAGGCAAGTTGTAGTAGCCACCGTATTGAAGGTTGAGTTGATTTCCAGTGAAGAAAGGGTAGGGGATTTGGCCAAGAGGCGACTGACCGCAGGGGCTGATTTGCTCATGGCTGGGCTTGATGAGAGGCTGGAGAGTAAAAGGGTCAAACAAGTTGGCTCCGCCCATCAGAAGCTGAGTATCATTTGCAAAAGCAAGAGGGTTCTGGATACCCATAGGCTGCAGTCCCTGTTCTTTGTTAGTATGTAAAGTTTATTGGCGACTGTGGTAGGAGAATGAACTTACCTCGGTGCTGTTGAGCAGAAAGTTAGGAGGCGTGATATTGGTGAAGAGATTAGAGCCAAAGAGCTCAAGCTGTTGGGCAGCAACCACATTTCCCTGCTGAAAGCTCTGGGGCTTCAGGTTGTATTGAGTGGTAGACATAGGAGTGATAGACACAGGCGTGGCAGACACAGGGGTAGCAGACACAGGCTGTCGTGGCGCTGCGTGGCGGATAGGAGTCGGCGTGACTGGGAGTGGGATATCGTCCTCAAGGACAGTGACATTGGCATCAGCCTCGGGAGTGAAGAGTTCGCCGTTGTCAGTGAAGAGCTCGTCGTCGGCTTCAGTGAAGAGCTCGCCATTGGCTTCAGTGAAGGAGTCATCTTCACCTTCGTCCAATGCGTCAAAAGCATCGGGAAGGTTGATCTTGGCATCATCCAGCTTCTCGTCGAAACCAACTGAGCGAGTGGCAAGCTTGTCATCGCTAGTAGGATCACGAACGTAGCCTCGGACGGTGGGATCATAGGGAGTAGAAGGGGAAGACTTGTGGGCAGGGGGTGGCACCATGTGGCCTTCAGCGAGGAGCTCCTTGCGAACGCGGCCGACGTGCTGCAAGATTGCCTGGCCAGAAGAGCCGGGGCGAAGACGATGAGCGATGGCATCCCAAGGAATGTTGATCTTGTGACGGGCGCATTCATAGTGCATGTGGAGAAGAAGCTTCTCAGTCATGCGAGGACCTGGAGAAGAGTTAGTACAAGTGTTCCAGAAGAAGTCAATTGAGCAAAGGGATTTTGATATGCAATTCGCTTACGGTTCCACATGATGAGGCTGCGTCCCGTGACTCGGCCATTGCCCTTCTTCTGCTCGCCAGTAGGAAGCTTGTGAGTATAAGCAGTCGCTCTGGGAGTGGAAGTAGGTGTCTTGAGCTTGTTAAGCTTAGGAGTCTTCTGAGACTTGGAGATCTTGGAAGGAGAGCGACGGTCATAGGCCGCAAGTTGACCCTTCTTGGGAGTCATCTTCTTTCCTTGAGGAGTGCCCATCTTGACGGTAAGAAGAAGAGAATTGGCGACGAATTGAAGTCTAATTGGTGTTAGCAATGCTTGTTAGTGCTGCATTGGAAGCTATTTGAGTGTTGAAGATGGGAATTTGGGGGCGAGGTAGAGGCATGAAACTTGGCGGAATTGGGCTGCTCAAGGCCCAATTGCGGGTGTAAAGCAGCAGAAAACTGCCAATTGAAGCATTGAAAACAGAAAATAGTCACTTACAGTCAATTGAAAAGTTGTATGCGTTGTTTCAAAGGATGAATTAGTCGTGAACGTTGGTGCTGCTGTGGTTAGTAGACTGACGATGTTGGGGGGAAGAAAGAAGAGTAGCGAGGAACAGGAAAAAGTGGGAGAAAAAGATAAAAGTGAGAGGAATCTTCCCAAAAGGGAAATGCAAAGTTTTTTCTTTCTGAAATTTCAGAAATTCAGAAAACTTCGCCAGCCTGGGTGGATTGTCTGTCTGGCAGCTGGCAGCAAAAGTTGGGGGGTGGTTGGGGGGTCTTGGGAACTGTCAGGTAGACGCAACATGTGTCTCGCCTGTACGAATTGGTAGTAATGCAATGGAACAGAGTATTAATGACGAAAGAGAGAGATAGTATACAATTCCTGTAAATGTTGATTTGCTGCTTGGTGTTGTGTGCTGTCAAGGGGGATATGCAGCTTGGTGCATTTGGTGGCCATTTGGGACTTGCACAGATATATGTACATGTGTACATGTACCTGGTGTGAACACCATCCTCACTTGGTAGAATCTCTGAGAAAAGAACATTGAAGTAGAGATAGCACGAGAGCAAGATTGGATTGAAGACATAATCTACATCAGTATCCTTCCAAAGTAACCCCTCTGCGCCGTATCCCAGGAAATAACAATCCTCTACCCAATTGCACCCAAGATCCATTTGCCATACCAAGAAACTCTCAACTCGATCTATCGCAGCAGTGGGGTTACTTGCTAGACCGGAATAACCTCTTCAATGCATATCTGAAGCTGCTACTTGACTTGGAGGAAGCAATGGGAGAGGTATGCTTGAGAGAGCCACTGCCATGTTGCGTTGATGCCATAGACTCAATCTCTAAGCAGTGGTGGTTGCAAGTGCATTGGCTGGAGTTGCCATCGCTGGACACTGACTGTCTATTCCTAGAGACGTCTGAGACGGAAAACATGGCTTGTTGTTGAGCAAACATGATGTCTCGAATAGCTAGCTGAGTCTGTTGTTGAACAGCATTGTGGACAACTTGGTTGATAGCAAGAGGCAGATTGGTGACAACTTGGGAGAGGTGGTTGACCATGTTAATGGTGGTGGCAATATTGTCGGCCTGAGCCCCAATCATCGTGTTCATGGTCTTGGATTGGGATCTGAATTCCTCGACGTGTTGTTCAACGGTGCGGTAGTGAAGATCAAGCTGTCGGCTCATTGTGTCGTTTTGATCCCGTATATCGGTGTGCTCGCGGCGCAGATGTAATTGCAAATCATTGAGAGCATTTTCCTGGTGACGAATAGATTCAAGAGAGTCATCAAGCCTGTTGATGTTCAATCGCAGAGGGCCCATTGCGCTGGCCATCTTCTCCTCCACTGCTTGTTCAATGATGGAATGAATGATCTCGCTGGCGTTGTTGAAGTCGATAGGAGTCACAGGTGTCGAGACTGCTTCAAGAACGTTGGAATCTTGCTCAGCGCTCGCATTTCTGATAGCGGCGGACAAAGCTTCCATAGCCTTTGGGACATAATTCGTAGGGTTGAGAGCTGGATTTGCCTCCAAAGTCGAGAGCGCTGGTGATTGAGCTGCCGTAGCATCAAGAGAGTCCCTCTGGACGTATCGAATCGGAGATTCAGGGGGTGTAATAAGACCGGCAAAAATGGGATTCATCTTTTGCGTATAAGGCGAGCGTGGGATAGCTGATTGGTTGAGATATTGTATCTCGATGCCTGCGTTGGAAAAGGAAGCTGTTCCAGACATGATGGATGGGTAGACGTGATGATTGGAAGCTCTCGAGATGATGTTCTCTCTTGTATAAGAGGATCAACGGATGGATTGAATGTGGATGAAGATATTTGGGATTGGCAAAGATGATATCAGCTTTCTGTGGTCTTTGGAAGCTTCGAAGTTGTGTGATGGGATACTAGAAGAGCAACGATGGCGAGGAGAGAAGGGTTTTAGTACCGGAAGCAGCACGAGATGTTCCGATGGCTAGAATACAACGAGCATCTAATTGTGGTGATAATGAACTGAATGTAAGTTTTCTGGTGTATTGTCCCCCATTTCCATCTTGCCAGTGACAATATCTACAGATTCCATTCAGCAGCTGCTGCATTTCGTTTGCGGGGCCTCCCCCCCTTTCCCCTCCCTCGAGCATTGGGACGTCCCTCAATGTCAGCCGCTATCAGATGTGAAAAGTGACTATTCGAGGTGGTATGAATACAATGGAACTTCAATAGGATTGCTACTGTGCCTATTGAAGTGCGAGAGTCGGTGTTTGCTGAGTCTGAGGTGACAGTGAATCACGAGTGGGCTTGGCGGGCTGCCAGCGGAGAGAAGCGGGCTCCGACATGGAACACGATGCAAATGGGGATTGAAAAGTTTGAAAAGCTTAATCATTATTTGATCTGAAGATGATGTTATCGTAGCCGTGGTTAAAGTCACACGAGAAGGCAAAAGCACAGCATTAGTACGTGTATCCGTTTAGCGATTTCCACCGTAGACCCTGCATGAAACTAAGCTAGATGAATTCACAGAATACCTCTCTGAATTGCTATGATAGCCACTTCAATTGAAGACTTAATATCCCTAGCATGTCCGTATTGGACCAAATGTTCAGGCAAATACCCTGCCTCATATCGCAAATCCCAAACTACGTACTCATCACCGCAAATCTCCGGAGCCTCCTATATACTGCCAAGGAAACGAACTTTGTATTACAATGTTCATCATGACTTGAAGGATAGCCGGAGAGTGAAGCTGCAAGAGCTTAGACAGAGTCAAAGCTTGTGCCAGCGTCGGAATTCACACCAGAGTCGGGAGCATCTAAGAGCCATGGCCAAGTCAGTCAAGTCATCTGGAGTTGCGAGATCATAGCAGCAACATACCAGAGAGAGAAGAGTCGTACTCTTCCTTTGGCTCCTTCTTGGGCTCCTTCTTAAGCTCCTTCTTGGGAATTTTGACAGCCCTGCCCTTGGGAGTCGGCTTCGTGTCCTTCATCTCGTCATCGCTTTCTTCCTTCTTGGTAGCCCGGGACTTCTTTTGGGCGCTGCCTCTAGCAACTCCAGTGGTCTTGCGCTTCACCGGGGTGGAAATGGGAGTGTTTTCATCATCAGCGCTAGATTTAGCGGCCGGCTTGGAGGCGTTCACTCCATTGGCTTTGAGCATGCGCTCATACCGCTTCTGGCTGTTCAAGAACAACAGATAGTTGTTAGATGAGTGCATCAAGCGAGGATAGAAGGGACTTACGCAGCGGCCTTGGAAACGATTCCAAGTTCTTCAGCGACAAGAGTAAAATCAGGCTGGAAAATAAGTCAGATATTTGATGCAAGAAGGGTTCTTTCAGACTTACTCTTCCATTGGTGGTGTGACCAATGCAGGACACGAGGAAGCGAACTTGCTCAGCGGGATCTTGCTTCGACATGGTGTTGAAAAGCGTCGAGTAAACTTTAGGACTGTGAGCATGTTAATGTCAAGTGCAATGTTTGGATAAAAATAGCATAATGATGGGATGATAGGAGAAGGACGAGGAAAGGGTGGCATGGGACGAAGAGGTCATATGATGGAACATGGCAAGCGACATTGGACCGTGGGTAAACAAAACAGAGGAGGATAGAAAGAAAGGAACACACAAGCGGGATGAGCTAAAATCTGCTGATTGTATTGCAAGCAATAAAGTGTGAAGATGATGGCTATCGAAGAGCTCAAGACTGTGGTGGGACAACGAAGGGAGGCGAAGGGAAGAAGTGTTGGACACAGGAGAGATGAAATAGATAGGAGAAGAGAGAGAGAGAGAAAAGAGGACGCCTCAGGCAGTTCAGTTTCAAGCTTGACGCAGCCTAATCTGATGTTTCAGGACAGGAGTGTGCAGGTAAAGAAAATGTAGCCGGGAAAGGGGCGTGAATGTTGGACAAGTAATCACCTCGCTTCTGGCCAAGGGGAAGTGATCAGGCCAAATGCAACCAAAATAGAATACAAGACAAAGAAAGAAATACAGAAATTATAATTACCAAGATAGAGGATTTCAAGAATGCTGAAAGGATTGCAATTGGGAACTGCAGCTAAGCGTGTGCAAAGATGTTGAAACCTGGGGAGGGAGATGTGTTGTGGGGGAGAAGAGAGAGGCGAGACACAACTGTCCTCGACGCACAACAAACGTAAGTCTCCGAGAAATAAAAGAGCCGACGCGTCTGGGGTGTCCAGAGCAGCGAAAAATAAAAACAAAGACGTCCCGCCAGTTGTAAGTCGAGCCAACCGACCTGGCACCCGGACACCTGGCAGCAGAGTGTCAAGTCTCTCAGTACGTCTATGTGACCTGAAGCTCGCCCGTTTGTTTATTTTCAGCGAGCTTTGTTTTGCTTAAGTATTACAGTATGGAGGCAATTGATACTAGAAATAATTACTACTGATGTCTTTTCTTGTTTCTTGTGCTTAGACTCCGGAAATACGTGACAAGGCATTAGAAGGAGTGGAGGCTTTCTTGAGCTTGGTTGGGGAGATTACACCTAGTAGCAACTACAGTGCACGAAGTAGGCAGGTAGTGATAATAGAATCATTGATCCATGGATGCCATTTTGTTATATAACCTCAAAAAGTGACTGCTATATCGCGCGCAAATCGACTGTCCAGTCTGACCCAGCCTCAAGATACCTGACCTATCAGTCGCATAATTACCGCTCTCCAACCACAAGATCATTAGATGGTGGCCATATCAGCAACAGCCAAACTGTGTCCCCTCTGCACCCTCAGAAATAGGCGTCCTCCATTTCCTCCGACTTGAGATCGTCATCCTCATCCTTGATATCATCGTCCTCGCTCTCCTCCTTCTTAGCCACAGGCTTTTTGGTCGTTCTAGCCTTCGGCTTCTTGGTCACCTTGCCATCACCAGAGGGACCAGTCACGTCGTTCTTCTTTCCCTTGCTGGGGCTATTCATGGCAGTACCTTGAGTTCCGGTACGCCAGCCGTGGCGGACAGACATCTGCCGGAAGCGTTCTTTGGCACATTTGGCGTCCTTGAGACCCAAGTCACCGGCAACCTGGGCCCAGTCGGCGTCGGGCTTCTGGGTCATGTTGTCAAAGACGGCCTTGATGAAACGAAGTTCATTCTCACGCAGGCCAGTGGTGACTGAAGCAGAGTCGGAGCCGTCGGTTTTCTTGGGAGGCATGATGGCTGATGGTCTGTCTGCTCGTGGTTAGATGGTATCAGATGACGCAGTAAAAGAGGGAATATCTTACAATGTGCTTGGGAGAATTAACTCGTTGCTTTGTAGCGATGAAGCTGGACAAGAGATCCTGGTTTAAAGTCTTACCAGATAAACAAGTGTTGTGTGGGAAGAGAAGTGGATGGTGGATGCAGATGCAAACGAGGAGAAGAGCACAGCTTGGTTGCGGGGGAAACGGGTGTGACTTTTTATAGGAGATAAAAGCCCAATTGTCAAGAGAAAGGCAGACAGTGCATCGATTTGCTTGATTCTTATATCTGCTGGCACCTGCTGCTTGCCAGGTGGCTGCAATAATGCACTGGCAGAGCAATACTTGGCACCTCGCTTTTGGCCACCCTTATATGAGTTGACTGACCTTTTATCAGGCTGACCTCGAGATTGATTTTTCGTGTATGCGTGCTGCCGCCAGAGAGGCATATCGAAGAGCTTAGGGCATTCACACCAGGTGATACAGAAGCGATGCGTAAACTAGAGGTAAAAGCATTCAATATGAACTGTGTTGCGGAAATGTTTCTGAATCTAGGAAAAGAATTAGGGGATAGTCTGGCAAAAATGAATCCAAATATCGTGATGAGTAATTCTGAATGCGAGAATACATGCGATTGTACTACGGGTTCTACGAGCGAGGAGTGATAGGATCAAGATCTGAAAGCAACTTCATTCGAGTGTCATCATATATCATCTAGATAATCGGTTGCTTCATCCCATAGCTTCCCTCAGATTCCACGGCTGCCTCAACTCCTTCCCTGTAGCTAGTCTCTCAGCTACATTGCTGCTCAATCTCGATGAAAGTAGATTATAGCCCAAAGAACAAGTAGAATCCTCTCAGCAATGGATACTAATCTCTCAAAGAATTCCCAAAGATGGGCCATCCCTAGAGACTAGAAGGGATCTTCATGGTCCTCCGCCTTGAGGTCGACGTTGTCGGCTTCTCCTTTGATGGGAGACGACAACTCAAAGGGATTGGTGTCATAGCTGGCTTCCATGCTAGCTTCCGCACCGGCGTCGACCTCCTCTTCTTTCTTGACTCCGCCACGACCCTTGGCTTTTCCTTTGCCGCGGCTGGTAGGCGTCTTGCGGACCTTGCTTGGGGTCGAGGCGGCAGAAGAGGAGCTGCCCTTCTTTGGAGTGGTGGCCGTATCGATGCTGATGCCGAGCTTGCGTCTGACTTGTCCAAAGCGAACCTGTGTCACACATCATTAGTCAAATGGGAAATGGAACAGGGGAAATGAGAGCCGGCTTTGAGGTGAGGAAGACAAACCTTGGCGACCTCGGCGTTCTTGAAACCTTGTTCCTGGGCAACGGCATCCCAGTCGATGTCTGCCCTGTTGCGGGTGTGCTTGACGATGGCGAAGAAGAACATGGCTTCAGAAGCCGTTGGCTCGCGTTTGTCGGACATTCTGGCCTCGCTCTGACGATGCAAGAATGTTGGTTACGAGAAGAACTGTTAGCGAATGATGGTCAGTTTTGATCCTACAAGAAGTGAGGTATAGTAGACAAAGCACAAGCCGGAAACTACCTCTTGAGCTTGCACGGAGGAAACAAAATATTTGCTTACTTGATAGCTGATGATGAGAGGGTGCGCCTTGCAAAAGCTGTGGTGCGAAAACCTGGATGTGCTTGTGTGCAAGTGAGAGGGAAAGGAAGAAAGAAGTGTGAAATGCAGCAAGGCTAGTGAATAAAATAGGATTCTTGGTTTCCAGAGGAGTTGGAACGCTTTCGGGGGAGCCCTGAGTGGCAGGTGAATTGACAACCTGGTGGCAGCTGTTACAACTGGCAGGCCACCTCTCTACCTTGAGATCAAGGACATCTGGCTGCACTGAGTGATTTGTGAATGGATAAAGCAGCAGATGCGATATTCTGAGCTGGTGAGAGTATCGAAACTTGATTGCGGTTTTATAAGCTGACTGTGGCCACTTGCATAAAAAAGAGGCGGAAGTAGGGAGTATAAGATGATATTGATGGTTGAGGAGAATACGTGCATGCAAGAAACATGCAGCATACCGGCCGTATAAACATATCTTGTAGATCGGTGCACACCAAGAGTCAGTCGTAATAGCACATCAAATATCTTCAAGTTGCATCATAAGGTCACAAGCTTATAGGAGCTACTAAGGTATGTTCAGCGGTCAACAATCAGTATTGGTTTCTACCATATCATCTTGGTATCTAGGATAGCCGAAAAAAGAAAAAAAGAAAAAAGAAAAAATCAGGCAGCAAGGTAGGTAGCAAGAGCCAGGAAGTAGTAAACAAAAGGAAATGGAAAGAAAACAGAACGAGAGAAAAAAGAAAAATAGAGGCGGATATGCTCATCCACCTCGTCCTCACTATTATACACATGCCATTATAACCCCCCTGGTGTAATTTTTAAATTTCCCTAATTCCCAACCGATTCAATCTTCTCTCCTTGGAGATGAAAGAGATTTGCCCAAACCAATTAACCACTAATCGTGGCCAGTATCATCAAGTCATAAAAGAAGTTTTGTCGCTCTCCGCACTTCCCTCGCCTTCTCTCTTTTTTTCTTGAGGGTTTTATCTCCTATTCGTAGTGCGTCATCTCGAAATCAAAGCCAACTTAGTATTGTTGGTCGTTCAATCGATCGTCCCAGTCACCGAGGGGCTGGGATCCGCCAGTGAGAGACAGGCCCTGGCTGTGAAGGTCTCCCGAAGCAAAGTTCAGGTCGTAGGCAGCGTCAAACGCAGAGGTAGAGGCATGGTCATGGCCAGCATGACTCATGAAGTCTGAGTTGCCACCAAGAGGAGGGAACATCAATCCGCTCGTGTGTCGGATGTCATCGAGAGCAGATGGAGGGATGGACAATCCCTGAGTCATGTCTTCACTGCAGGGTGTGAGGAAGCGCGGGTCGAAATCGTCGCATTCATCCATGTAAGGTGATGTGAGTGATGCGAGGGATTCAGGAGAAAACTGACAATGCAATGTTAGACACTCGTATCAGCTGCCGTGGCGTGCGTAGAACTTACCTGAGCAAATGAAGAGATGTTTGCTGAGACCGGCTCTTGCTTGATTGGCTTCTCCTTCTTTGCCTGCACACCCTTCTTCACCTTGCCTGACTTTGCCTTCTCTGATGGCCGACCTCTCTTTGACGGTGTGTGGCCGGTGACGGTAGCTCGGAAGCGGGAGTACCGCATTCTCGCGGCATGGCCGTTGGTGATGGGCTCGATGAGGACGGGGTCGGCAGCCACTTGACTCCAATCAATCTAGAGACGAATGGGTTAGAGAGGCTTGATCAGGCGAAGGTAGAGAAGCGTGAACCTACATCTTTGAGGTTCTTTTGCTTCAGAATGGCGAACAAGAAGCGAGCCATGGCATTATCGCTGTTAGGAGACATGATGGCGAGCTGATGTTGGATCTGAAGTTGATATCGGGCGGATACGTCGGAGTGAAGAGCGGCTGAGCGAAGAGGAGGTTGTCGAGAGTAGACGTGTGGTAAAGTGGTATAGAAGAGGAAAATGTTGGAAGAAGAAAAAGTGGAAAAGATTGGCCGTGCGGTCAGAAATGCGAATGACCAACTTATAAGAAGATTGACCGATCGAGAGAGGTTGAGGTCATGGATGGAGAGAGGCGACTTGAACGGTGCGTGAACAATGTGCGGATCAAAGTTCAAGTGAGGCAGAAGTGAGGCTTGGGCTTGGCCTTTTAACTTCGTATAGTTCCTCAGGCAGGAAGGGGAAAAAAGTGAAGAGAAGAATAACAAGGCTTCGACCTCACACTCACGGATGACCAAATCTTGAAAGAGAGAGAGAGGAAGAGATCAGGAACAAGGAGGAGCAAGGCCTCTCTTATGAACGGCCTCAGCCTGGCAGTTTAGCGGCACAAGCACAAGCACGATAGACTCACTCCTGCAAGGATCCAGGAACCAAGCGGGCCCCGTCCATCTGTGTTACATTGGATTCGTTCATATTCTTGCTTTCCTTTTTCTCCCCCAACTCCCACCGGGCTGAGAAATCCGCATGCCGAATGGACGCCCCCCGAGCAATGTCTGAGACCAAACCAGATATCATCTGGCCTAGGGCCTGTTGTTGCCTGGATCTGGCGCCGTTCCGGCTCGAGGGATAGCGATGGAGCACAGTTGGAGTGGGTTTTACGGGGGCTGCAGCGCCTAAAGTGGACGTAGCCCGCTAACAGGGACTGGGGGGGTGTGCTGAAAGCCCGCTGTTAGTGGGTGTGGCGCCCTGTAAGCCACCGCTGGAGTCGGAGAGCTGATGCGCATCATATTGAACAATGAATGGTTCTCGCAGCTAAACTCAAGAAAAAGAAAGATGAAGAAGAAAACATTCGATGCTGCGTGAATTGTAGAATTAATTCCATTGTGTGTAGCTGCATGGATCAGATGCTGGAGGGATGTCTGAATGTGCCGCCGCCACCTCAAACCCTTGCACGTAGCGAGTGACCAAATTCCAATCGCTACAACCCAAGGAAAAAGCAAACTCGAACGGCAGAGCAAATCACAGACAACTCAGAGGAAAAAGAAAAGCCAAAAAGAAACGAAGCAGGGATCCCTCTTCCGCCATGAGAACTGAAACCCCGTGTGACTCATCTAATTCGAATTCCCACAGCAAAAAGAGGCAAACACTAATGCGTAGCCTGGCAAAATTGTTCAGGAGGGGCGTTGCGATAGAAAGAAGCTGCTTTTGGCGACCGAACCGGGCGATGGTTCTGCCGTTTAATCCATAGAAATTAAGGCTGCATGTAATTCTCAGAAGAGCCGAGAGAGCGTCCCTTGCTTTAAAGTGATTGATATGCGACATGATGGACCTGTGCTGTCTGTCGTCTTGGGATGTGGTGATGCAATTGTTCAATTCTGCGTCTACGACTACAGACTTGCTCTACAGGACGCCTGCATCAACCCTCTCGCTCCCTTTGCCTCAATCGAGATGGCCGTGTGTGTAGTGAAAAGATTACGAGCAGCCCATTCCCATCCTCACCGATCATTTTCCTCTGGCCGCCCTTGTGCTTGCTCGGAGCTAGCGGGTGTCATGCAGAGAGGGGCGAACTTTTGCGCTCTGGCAACCCCAAACGAACTGTGTGTTTTTTTGCGACTTGATTTCACAACCAGAGGACGAGAGGAAACGCGGAAAATTTGCTTTGCAACAAATGACGAGATTTAAAACTCATTGAAAACGGTTTCAAAAGTGTCCATGGTCGCATCCGGGCGGCGCGGCGGTCGCGGGCGTCGTGGAGGGGATTCGGATGAGGTGCGTCGGGGAGACGCGATGGGGCGCGAATTTTTGGGGATGCGACGACGCTGAGCCACCAGCAGCATCGCCAGGTTTCCGCGAAAGCACGTGAGACCCGTCCCCACATTTGGTCGACCCGTCTTGACCAATCTTGACCAATCAGCGGCGAGAGGGGGCCGGCTGACCAACCAGGGATGATGACGTACTCGTATCTACGATTGGCCCGGCTGGCTTTGAGAGGCTTTCCCTTGGCTTTGATCATATTTGCCTTTTCTTGCTGCTGCTTGGCTGAGATTTGAGAAGGGAGGGAGACACGGGCTGCTGCCGGGGTCACGTCGGGACCACGAGTACGGAGTACATCTGGCAGATTTCAGCTACAAACTTGGAATCCCCCTTGGCGATGCATCGCTTGTACTTCCAGAGTATTCTACTGTACTTGCAGAGGTATAGGTACCTTTTTGTCCGTCCCAACTTGCTGCCGCATCTTCCCTTCAAGTTGTCCATTCTTACTCATCCCTCAAGCTCGTCCAAGTAATACCAGGTAGTACCTACCTGAATACCCACCCTGTACCCCATACCTTAGTACTCTGTAATTCCAAGGCATCTGAGGTCCTCGTATGTACGAGCATGCACCAAGCATAAAGCAGCCCTACTCAAATCAGAAGGCTGTTGCAGCAGCTCCCCATCAAGTGCAGATCTAGTCTATCTGGCGCAATTAGTAATGTCGCTCCTGCTTTGACTCATTCCCCCGTTTCCATCACTACGTCGTGGGCCAATTGCATCAATGGCGAGCCACCACTTTTCGTCCGACGCTTTCGTATCGTTCGACCGCTGCTTGTCAAGCCGTACTGTACGAGTACGTACCTCAGCTGTTTCTCGCTCCCCGCTAAAATGAAACTTTGACGGGTAAACCCCGTGTCAATGTCGGCTAAGTCCCAGCATCGTTGTCTCCAAGATGGCTACAATCCTCTCTCCGGCGTCACTAGAGCTTGTAATTACGGCAGACAAGCTATAGGCCGGTTCGTAGACGTTGTCCAAAGACAATTCCAAGCTTGCATCTGCACCACCGTCGCATTGCTCGTGTTTCAGCGCCATGGTACAACATGCCCAGCACCTCCAGCTCAGCTCCGACCCAGGGTCCAATCGCCCGGATTAACAGTTGATCCGCCCTCCGCCCATCGGGTCGCCTCTATGCACGGGCCCCTTTACTCCACGGCTCCCCAACATCCTTCTCTGCTATACCTCCGTACCCCATTCTTCCACTACCAATTTTGCCATTGATTGCCCTCTGCTCTTAACAGCTTCTATCTCACCGCAGGTCACCAAGACAATTCGGCCTAGAGGCTCATCGACCCACCGCCCTCCTGGCCGTGTATTGTTTGCCATTTGGCTGTTTACGTTCGGTTTATTTCATATTCGTCATATTGCTTCAATAGAAGCAGGCATGAACAAGAACTGGAATGACAGGGCAGATAAAGATCTGTTCTTCACTATCTTGTCCGTCAAGAACATCGGCGTTATCAGCGGCGCGGAATGGACTACCATCGGCAATCATATGCGCGGCCTCGGCTATGGCTTCACTAATGAAGGGTGCCGGTAGGTGTCTCTTATACCTCTCAACATTTTCACAATGCCTTTTTTTTCTATTTCAATTTCCAGTCGCGAGTATCTGGGCTTTGACTGGATGGAAATAAACACATCACGTGCAAAGATCATCGTCGGTTGGCCATACACTCCTCTCTAGATGCGCATCCAACTGTTATTCCAGCACGCTGTCGATCGTATCTCGGTACACGAGCATGACCAATTCCCGCTTACACTTGGCTCCGCCACTTACACTGATTTATACACATATCTATAATTTACATGCCCTTCATCTACACTCCTTCTTCACGCTACTTCTGTCCTACTTGATTTATCCTTTGCTGACAAGATCGTAGTCAACACTTTCAAGGTCTTAGAAGAGCGCAAAACAAGGCCGAAGTGGACGGAAGTCACTCTGAAAGCGCTAGAAGAGCTGACCCAACGTTGAATCCCATCACCAGAAGGCCGGGGCCTGGCCGGGGCCGCCCCAGAAAGTCACAGGTCCAGGAGTCAGACCAGCCTGACGCAAATACCACCGATAACTCTCCCACCGGTCTTCCTACTGGCGTACCTACCACGGTTTCCGCTGCTGTCCCCACGGTGGTCCCCGGAGCTGCCGTGTCAAGTCCTATGCCAGGCCACGGCCCGGTTATGGCTGCTTCTGTTGTGCCGCTTCAGCAGCAACAGCAGTTTCAGCAACTTCAATCTCAACAACTTCAGCCTCAACAACTTCAGCCTCAACAACTTCAGTCTCAACACCAGCACCAGTTTCAACAGCAACAGCAACACCAATTCCAGCAACAACTGCAGCAGCATCAAGCACAGCTCCAGCCGCAGCTCAAAACGGAGATGCATGATGCTGATGGCATATCTGTCTCTGCTCAAACACCAAATGATATGGCTTCTAACCATCTGATTGGATCGGAACCCGGGTCAACAACCTCTCAAGAGCAGCTGCAGCTAGACGCCGTACAAAGTGGCGATGACGAGGAAGAAGAAGAAGAGGAAGAGGAAGAAGACGCAGACGAACATCCTTCCAAACGACAAAGATTAGACCCCCACGACCTTGGCCAAGATTCGGCTCTCGATGACGAAGCTGTGCTGGCGCTGGCCGCCCATAACGGCGCAGACGGCACAGACCCGTATCCCACAGAGTAAGTTTGACGAGCGCTTTTAATGATTGCGGTCAATACTAACAGATGGCATTAGCTTTGGGTACAGAGATGGTCAGATCTGAAACTGGACGTTAAATGGAGTATCTGTGTAATGGAGTGATTATTTCATTTGGAAGGGGTAGCATATTTGCTACATCCGGCCGTGCGAAGCGGGTTGGTCGAATGTCTCTGGTCCTCTTTCATTCAGATTATATCTCTCTTCTCGGAGACTGCTGAGAAGGCGTCTCCTGGTTTACGATGTCGATATACAAGGATGCTGGGTCTTTTCCTCTTTGTCTACTTTTCCCCCTTGGCAGGTGTCTTAGCGTTTTCTTGCGGAGTTGACTCATTGGGATTTTAACTTCATCTCTAGGTAGAGACATAATTGAAGTGGCATGACGAGCTGAACGGCAAGCATTTGGGGGCGTAGATGGATAAATAATGCTTGGGTTGGGTGTTCAAGGAGTGTTTGGGGCCTCGGAGCTCAAACGACATGCCACTCTCTTCCCCTTATGCCAGCTGGTTGTACACCTTAGATATCACACTAATAGATTGCAATGACTATCCAGAGCCTCAGTAATTACAAAGTATGCTTGTAGAGAAACGAAGGAGTTATTAAATCACATGAATTTGTAGCAACTGACTTGCAATGCTGGATAGCCGCCTCCAAATGAGCGCGGCATGTATTGGGTGCGAGCATAATGTGAGCTTCCATCGAAGCCAATTCACCGCGTTCCGATTCCCCATCGTCGGCCAGTTTCCAGCCGCCATATAAGTTGCATCAGGCAGCCGGCAAACATCGCATCCTCTTGCTCGACCTACCATCTCCAACCTCGAAAAAACCAACCCCGAGAAGAAACGAGCACGATCGCCAACCCTGACAAGAAACGAGCACGATCGCCCAACCCGACAAGAAACGCTACCATGGCTCCCAAAGCTGCTTCTGCGAATACCTCAGACTCGGGTGCGGGCGCTTCCTCCAAACCCGCTGGGACTTGGGACAATATCGCCTTGCTCAACGATCTTCTCGTCGCCTTTTATCAGGTGGGCAATCAGGCGGGCAACTTCAATCCGCAGGTCAATGACGCGGTGGTCGCCTTTCTGAAGGGCCAGGGCCACGAAACCTCGTGGAGTGCCATACGGTAAGATTCGATTTCTCATGACTCCTCGTTGCCCCTTCAATGGTCTCCATCTACTCAAGAGTCTCGACACACACTGCATCTCTAGAGATATTGTTTATACACTTTATTCCTCTATTCCTTTCTACAAGCTTCAATCACATCTTCAAAATTCATTCACTTTTGCAAGCCCTGTTATTTCCTACTATATCTGCTGCCCTTTATACCCTTTCCATCTTCACCACCTTGGCAATCTACCGCCATTATCTTCCTCTCACAACCTTCTGCAACATTCTTTGCCTCTTACACCCTTTCTTCTCCCATTAAACATCATCCATCAACTCCCACGAATATCAACCGCAGCACCAAAAAATGGCTTCTTCTCGCCAGTTGATGAAGTGGAGCCCCCAAGTTCACGAGGATATCCTCGTCTCTGTGTTCTACAACTTGACCCTATCCACCGAGGATTGGGCAAAGGTGATGAACGATCTCAAGGAGATGGGCTATGCCTTCTCTGAGAGTGCACTTCGGTATGCCAGATTTACTTGCCCATGTATTCTCTAGTACGAAGTCCGCATTGAATTCCCTATGCACTTGCACTTCACTTCACTTCACTGCCAGTTGGCGGAGAGCCAAAACCGGCAGAATTTCTACTACCACCTATATATTTTTGCCCGCTATTTGCCGTTTGGCCTTTCGCATCTCTTCATTTCACCCTACTTCGACAAACCTATATCCCATCTCCTACACTCCAACTCTCACTCTCCATTCTCCTTCACAGTTCTTACCACTTGATCATTTTATTTTGCCATCACCATGGGAGCCCCAAAGTCTGGCAATGCTTCAACTCCCAGCAGTAAGCCTACTCGTGGCTGGGATGCCGCCGCACATGAAGCCCTCCTCTTGTGCGTCATTGATGAAGTCAAGGGCGGCAAGGCCTTCTTGACCGAGGTCACGCGAAAGATGCAGGCTCGGGGCTACACCTACAGCTACGACGCAATCAAGTACACAGTTTCTCCTGTTCAGTTTCTTTTATATAGTACCTCCTCGTACTAACCCATCTTACCTTTTCTAGTCAGCATGTTCAGAAATTGCGCAAGAACCGTGATACGACTGCTCTTTCTGGCCCCACGGACTCTGGTGCTGGAAGCGCCAAGACTGCCACTCCTCGCAAGTCGGCAACTCCTCGCAAACGCCGCACTCCCAAGAAGGAGATGATCACTGATGAGGACGATGATATGAACCTCAAGCTGGAGGAAGCCATCGAAGACGAAGATATGCGCAGCCCCTCCATCCGCCCTCCTAAGCGCGCCAAATCCGTCGCTTCGTGAGTTTACAGAGCTTCTTGTCCTAAATGGCATGTTACTAATGTCACTTCTATGTATAGGACTATGGACGATGAGATGTATGACGAGCCCAAGCTCGAGGACGACTATTAAGCTTCTTTGGAAGCTGTTCAGATGGATGCCACTCTTTTGGGATTTCATATACCGGTTGAAACCAGTGGACACCCTGCAGGCTATGGGATAAGGATTGGAGAAAGGGTTAGCTGGTTGAGTGGCATCTAATTGGGGGACAATATCGGGCATTTAAGCAAGCATATACCGTCTTCTCTAGACAGGAAATATTTGCAACGCAAGAATTTGATCTTTGACTATATTTCTCTCTGAGTTCGTAACCAGTTGGCTGTATCTTGCGGAGTGTGCATAGGCTCTCTAATCACGAGATGAATGTCTGCTTAGTTGCAGGGGCTTCCCACAAAGGCATTCCATCCATTGAGCCTGATTACTTCGATATGAGATATGTATTGAATGCCAATATGTGGCGTCGCTGTCCTACATGATTGCAGCCATCCAGTGTACAACTTAATCGTCCATTCTACCATAAGATTAGAGTGACTGACAGCTAATACCTACAGATATCTATTCTTTACGGCACTATAGACATAGAACGCTTCACGTCAGAGACGCAATATCCTGAACGGGTTACCGCTTTCAGAGACAGGTCACCAAGCCTCGAGCCGGTAAACAGCTCCCAGAGAGGACCAGAGAGGAGAGATTTAATGATGGCTCAACATGGCGGGGTGTATGCTTGATTCTGGATGCAGGTAGTATGTCCTACTAGCCGTCACAAGTGAATCAATAAACCGTAGCCCATAATACTCGTCTGGTACCTAGAGAGGCATTCACTACCGGTAGATACAACTTAGAGTCAGTTCACTTATGCGTTATCAAAGCTTCACTCGGCGAAAAAGCAGGCGTAGTCACTGCAAAGGATAAACAATTCATAGGGACTATAAGCAGAAAACTGTAAATGACATCAAAGTGAACAGAGAGAGAGAGACTATGACTCTGTGCCTCAGATAGTCTTGTTTACAAGCCTTGAGCAATCCATCCACACCGCCCTGTTTTTCTGCTGCCCAAATTCAACCGCCTACTTATATCTCCCCGTTCGCCTCTACGAGCACTCTTCCTCTCTCTTCTTCACTTCACCTCAGAACCTGCAACAGCAATACTTTGCCCTCTTTGCAACTCTCACCAGACCCAATCACCCACGAAGCAACTCTACCTTTCCCTACATCGTGCACGACTCATATCCACCATGGCCCCTCTTGAAAAGAAGTGGGATGACTCTGCCGAGCGTGACCTCTGCGTCGCCATCATCATGGGTAGCCAAGATGGCACCAAGAGGAGCTACAACTGGCCTCGCGTCGAGGAGATCATGACCAGCCTCGGTCACGCCTTTACCAAGGACGCAATGTCGTACGTCTGACCACAACCCCAACATTCTCTTCTCTTTGAGCACCATAAGCTAACGGACATGTCCTTCAACAACACAGCCAGCACTTCAGCAAGACCATCTTGAAAGAGTTCCGTGCTCGCCACCCCGAAGGCGACATCACCGCAACTCCTCCCGCCAGCGCCACCAAGCCCAAGACCCCTCGCAAGTCCGCTACTCCTTCCAAGAAGCGAACCAAGAAGGCCGCCAAGGGCCAGGTGCCAGACGAAGACCAAGAGGACGACGACCTCGAGGCCACTCCAAGCAAAAAGGCCAAGAAGGAAGACAAGGCTGCCACCATGAAGAAGGAAGAGCCTGATTCTCAGAGGTATGTAAATTTCCATCTGCCCATTTCCAACTTAAGCAGTTATTCCCAAGTTCCTCTCCCTCTCACCCTTTCTTCAAAACAAACATCTTCAAACAGTTCAGCTGACTCGCGCATTTGTCTCAGCGGTGGCGACGAGGACGACGAGAAATTCAAGGCCTGGGCTGCCGAGGGCTCTGACGCCAAGCCTTGATCATTCTTGACTTTGCTTATTCTGCTCGGTTTATCTCTCGCGATTGGGTCGAGGATATGGGTCATTATGGGGTGCTATTTAGTTTGAGAAATTACGCAAAGGGGTGGTTATTTAACGGATATCATATGCCGGCTGAAGATCTGGATGAGACAGCAGGGAGCCTGCCTTAAGCTAGGACTGAAACTTGAATCGTGGAAAGCATTTAATGAACCTAATCCTCTGGTGAACTCTCGTCGTCTGAATTTGCTCAACAAAGGACAGCCCAAAGCCTTGCCTGGTGTAACTTTGTGCATATTGAGTCGCCCGTGTTTTCGGCAGGGTCTAATTAAACGCGAACGGTTTCTTTCACTGAGCCCAATAAATGGAGTTATTCATGGCACAAATTTTGCGAGAAAACAAAAATAGAGCTATGATTTCTATGCTGCAATTCATCAAACCATCCTATGTCACGATTTCCCAGCCCCAAACGCCGCATTGCAAGTTTAAAAGTATCAACAATGAAGCGCCTTCATCGTGGTCGCCGGCCATCTAGCCTGTTTCCATCATTTGGTCCCTTCTTGTCCGGGGCTTTCGACTTGTCGTCGGCGTCTCCCTTTCTCTTGGTAGTTCCACGCAGACTCTGTCCTTGACCAGCAAAATGGGGCTTGGACGAGTTCTCCTTATCCTGCTCCTTCTCAGCATCCGTCTTCAGTGGCTTCAGTTCATATCCAAAGAAAAGCTTGTTGGGGGGGAGGCGAAGGGGAACGGGAGCGCCGTCTCGTCGTCTGGGGGCCGCGGATGTGTCGACCGGTACTGGCGTTGCAGGTTTCGGCGTTGCAGTCTTGCTTCCTTTCTTAGCCAATCGCTGGCCTTCTCCCAGGAAATTGGTCGGCACGCTGGTTACTGATGGAGCAATAGAGTTGTAGTTGATGGCCTGAGCCATGGTCCCCTGACTGTGCAAAACACCACCGGCAGGGACGCCGCCCATGGCACTCCTTGGTGTGCTGGTTCCGCTCTTCCTCTCAGGCTCAACGTAACCAACAGGTGCCGCAAACTCGACCGATACATCAGTTTCAATCATGCTAACACCCATCTTGTCTGTCTCTGGTTTGACGTCTAGGACCGCAACGTCGTAGACCTCGTCATTGTACTCAAAGTTGAAAATATCGCCTTTAGTAAGGGTTGCAAAATTTCCGAAAGCTTTTTCCAAAACTGCCTTCGGATCGCTAATATCGAGGAAGTTGACGGATTGTGGCTGCAGCTTGACCATTCTAGCAAGCTCCAACGAAGTCGTTCGAATCTGGATCATGTCGCCCACATCCAAGCCCAGGGTCACCATCATCTGTCGATGGTTAGTCTACGTAGAAACAGAAGGGTTTGGCCTAGACGCATCCAATAACTTACCCACTGGGGGATGTATGCACGACCCTCCTCAGCAATGAACTCCAGAACACCGGCATGCGAGTGTTTGCCTTTTTCGCCGTTGATCATTTCCATCAGCAAAGGCCACTGGACGTGGAGCTTGGAGACCTTGTCCAGCGCTGATGGCGGAAGAATGATCTTGGAACCGAAATTCAGCTCTGGCCGTTCGCTGCCCGGTGCCATGATGAGGGGGTAACATCTGTAATACTCGTCGAACCGCTGGATGATGGGTCGCCGGCCATGGCGTGCCATGTTGTAGAGGTGTTCCGGATTTCCGGGATCGAAGCCACCACCGAAGACAGACTTGCGAGATGTTAGCAGAAGTCAACAGTAATTATGGGAGGCGATGTGCCAAACTCACCATCTCGGCGTAGTAGTAGGCAGCAGGCGAATATGACACGAGAGCTTCTTGACAGCTAGATGATAGAAAGGCCCAAGGGGAAATGGAGATTAGCACGGTCAAGTCAGTGTATCCCAATATTGCTAAAGAACAAGGGTAAATCTTTCGACGTCACTGATGCTCCTGCAGCGTTTTCACTGTCTTGGTGAAGTTCAAGTCAAAAGTCGAGAAAGGCGGAAGACGTGGGGTTCGCAGTGGAGGCAGCTGCTGAGTGACGCAGGTACCTCTTATCGTAGAGCTGCGACCAACGCCAAAAAGTTAATCCCGGTCGTCGAGCTTCCCTGCGCTAAACACGCGCCACTCATTGCCATCTCAACACGTCATCTCTGGTTAATTGTACGATCGGTATTCATTGCCAATTATTTAGGAGAGCATATTACTATTGGCTGGCTCTTTTGACCTGCTTCTCTGGCCACGACGCGAGAACAAGCGGCGCATCGGCTGAGCCATTCTGTCCTCTCAAGGCGCCATGTCTTCTCGATACTCTGCGGCGCGGCCCAAGCGAGCGGGCGAGAATTTTGCTCGAACGCACTATAACAACGAGGAGGACACGAAGCGAGTCAAGTTTGATGTGCGCAATCCGTCCATCTTGGCGCCAGACGCGCGAGAAGACGATGCGGTTCTCGACGCCGACGTCATAGGTGGCAGCGGCGCCACGAAACGAGGTGCTGTGAACCTCGACGGCTACGACAGTGATTCCGACAATGAGAATTTCAACGCGCGAGCAGGCAGCCGCAAGAAGGGAGCCGTCAATATTCTAGAGCAGCTAGACAACTACGACGCCAAAGAAGGCAGCAACAAGGAACAGGCGGGCGGACCTATCAACGAAGATGACGACGATGACGACATGTTCGCGGCCGAAAACGACGACGAGCCAGGAAAAGAAGAAGCTAATGGAGAGGATGAACACTTTGAAAAGTCTGGTAGGAAGAAGAAAGACGTCAAGTTTCTCGATGACGCCCAGATTCAAGGCCAAGAGCAAAAGAGCAAAAGTGGCGGCACCATCCGCCTGGACGAGCGGGAAAGCAGCGACGACGAAGATGATCTGGAGCTTGCGATCCAGGAAGAGGGAGTGGACGAAGAGGTAGGAGCGGGCGGTCTTAAACGCAACGCACCAAAAGTGGAAGCTTTCAACCTCAGAGAGGAAATGGAGGAGGGTCGCTTTGATCAAGACGGCAACTACGTTCGCAAGGCCAACGATCCAGATGCTATGCATGATAGTTGGCTCGAAGGCTTTAGCAAAAAGGAGATGAAGAAGGCGGCAGCAGCGCATGAAAAGCGCGAGGCAGAAGCTCGAGAGAGACGCATCCAGGAAGATGAGGTCTTGGTTTCAGAGCTGCTGGCAACGTTGATCCGGCGGCTAGAGAAAACGGAGACCCCCTTGGAAGCTCTAGCTCGGTTGGGCAAAGACAAGACAAGGACCAAAAAGATCCCCAAGTGGAAGCTCAAGAAGATGAACAAGGGTGCAGAAGCTATGGAAACAGATCAAGAAGCGACAGTCGACCCAAAACAAGTCGAGGTTAGGCAAGCTATCGACGCCATTACGGATGCGGCTGATAAACTACTGAGCCGCGGACACGAGGAGATTTACGATCAAGAGAGAGAGCTGCTGGTTCGTGAATATCGACGTGAGACCGGAGAAGATTGGGTCGACGCCAAAGAGGAAGATCAGCCGGCCGCCACGGCCGACGACGACGACAACGACGTCTCTGTTCCAGCTAACGGCACCATGTGGGAGTTTAGATGGACGGACGGGCGTGACAATGCTGCAAAGCAAGGTCCTTTTGACGGCCCCACGATGAAAGCTTGGCAGGATGCCGGATACTTTGGCCAAGGCGTCGAATTCCGGGCTGTCGGCGGAGCTGGAGACGAAGGTGCGTGGACCGCGTCGGCTGATTTTTCATGACGACTCAGAGCAGGCGAGCAAGCAAAGAGAAAAGTGTACGAGTACTGTACGTGTGAGAGCCGAGCGAGCAGACAAGCGAGCGGGTAGAGCCGCTCCCTCGCGTTCTTGTGGCTTAATTTTCGTGCCGGGCAGACTTGTGAAAGTGGGAACATGGGCATCTCCAAGCAGCATCTCGTTGGTCGCCTCTGGGCAGTTTAAGGCTCTGCACGTCCGTCCCGGCGCCTCTGCCGCGGCTAAAGAAGGGCACGGCACTGGGCAGACGAGAATGCAACCGCAGATGGTTCCTGGAACTCCCGATCTCAACGGGGCCGGACGGGCTGCCCATGGGGCGATCTGGGGTCGCAGGCTTCTCCAAGATCCCACAAGCCGTAACGCTCCGGCGCTTGTATTCCGCAAAGGCCCTAGGGGAAGCGCGATGGCAGCCGAGCTTTGCCGCCTGGATGCAGCGGGATGCAGGGACCGCTGCGTTGACATGTACGAGTAGCACTAGCAGACAGACGTGTTGATGTAAAGGTGAAGAAATTGAGGCCATCGCCAACCTCGCGAGACAACTCGACACCCGAGTGCAACAGAGGGCTATTTAGGCCCTTAGCAATGCCAATTACGAGAACGTGACTACTGCTTTGGGAAACGGCTGGATGAGCGATTTCTATTATTCACCAGTTGCAATTCGCACACGCCACCGTTTGCCCCCTTATCGTGCCGTATCAAGTGTATGTATATCCGCATGCCCACGGAGAAAAAAAAAAGTGCGTATCACTGCGCCAGGCGAGGCCACGGGGTGCGGCATCCTCTGTTCAAGGGGGCCAAGTTGGTTAATTCTCCCACTGCCGCCGCGGCCGCTGTCCGAGAGCGGCCACGCGGTGACAAAAGCGCTCCGTCTTTGATGGCTTGGCTTGTTGATGGATTTGGCCCCCCTGTGGCAGTCTAACGAAACGGCCAACAAAGAGAGAGAGGGAAACTGATAATACGGCCGCGGCAGCACCGGTGAAACGTGGGATGGGCTCAGGCATGGACCGTGTGAACATGCATGAGCATGAGCACGAGCACGAAGCGGATGGCGGCATCATGTCAGATGGGTGACTCTGATTCCCTCGCTCGGGGTTTCCAATAACATCTTGCCATGACCTCATATCTTCCTGATAGACGTTGGGCGGCCAAGCCCTGCTCCTGACCTGTCCCTTTTTCCCTCTCTTCTGCCCGCCCTATGTTTGACCACGGCCGGCCAACGCCGGTGGACCTTGATGATTGAGGCGGCCGGGCGTTTGTTGGGAGGCGAATTCCCGTCCCTGGAAGCGAACAAAAACGCCCCGCCGGTTCCGTAAAAAACAGCGCAGCGCCTCGCCAGGAGCAGCCCTAGCCTTGCGGCGAATTAATAAGACGGCCAGATGTGGAATCGTCGAGATCGAATGTTTGAAATCTTGGGTGCTGCTAGTAGTGGTTGAAGGCTGTGGTGGGTGAGCTGATGCAAAGGGGGCAAAGTAACAGCCATCAACGCTGTACGCGAGTAGTACGATGATGGCTCAATGGATGGATTGATCATTTGGCTGTGAGGAGGGAAACGGACGTTGCTTGCATGCCCTTATCGAACAAGCACCTCCCTGCATTGTACGTCAAAGTCACGTCAAAGCTGCAGCGGCGTATCTCGATGTAGCTCCCAAGTAGCGCCTCAGCGTGCCGGCCCAGGGCAGCAACTCGGCGATACTCGCACCCCCCAACACAAGGACCGCCCGGCAGCTAGAGGCTATACCACGCAGCTACCGCTCAGCTGCGTAGCATTTGCTAGCCATTTGTTAGCATTTGCCAGCATCTGGATGGATTGCCCATGCCATGGATACCATGCTCGTACCAGAGCCCTGCGGCGGGGCCCAGTGTTTAGACGCGTCGCTGGCCAGGCATTAATGTCGCTCATCCGATGCCGCATCACCGTTGTGTCAGAAACACTATTAATCTTTCCACCTCCCTCCTGATCTCTCCCATCCTTTCTTCTTTTTCTCTTCTCTCCATACCACTTACGTAGCAAGCATCAATCCTAAGTATCTTATCAACTTTCACTCCAGGTTAGTATTTTAGCATCATGTTCATGCTCCGGCCCACGCTACGACTGCTGTTCGCCTGCCCCTCCTAATCCTACTCGTCGTCGCCTTAGCTACCCCGCCAGACTCCCTGCGTCACCAGTTTTTTTTTTCCTCTCCCTTATTTATTACCCCTCCTCCCTCCCACCTCAACAGCAGAGATTTTGAAGCTTACCACGCAAAACCATCAATCGCAGTCACAAATCAGCTACAATGGCTCCCATCAAGGTCGGCATCAACGGCTTCGGTCGAATTGGACGTATCGTCTTCCGCAACGCTGTTGAGCACCCCGAGATCGAGGTCGTCGCCGTCAACGACCCCTTCATCGAGACCACCTATGCTGTGAGCCGCGTCCCCCCTCTTTTTTTTCTCTGAAAATGCCCCTCCTCAGCCCAACGCAAGCACATGCCCAATCGAGGGTGGAAAGAGACGATAATAAGGGTGCACTTGTTGAGTGTCTCTCTTGATGCCGTGATCTTGGAGAGCTTGTACGATGGTTGTTGTCATCATGGGAGAGAAATCTTCCCAAGCAATGGCAGAGGCTGCAATGGCGTTGTCGACGGATGGGCTACACTTAATGTCTCAAAAATCGTCAATGTCGGACAAAACTCCAGCTCCCTCGTCTCACCACTACCCCTCACTGCATGTGCAGCTTTCCATCTATTCATCCGCTAACCCGAGATACCACTTAGGCCTACATGCTCAAGTATGACTCCTCCCACGGTCTCTTCAAGGGCGAGGTTGAGGTCGATGGCAAGGACCTCGTTGTGAACGGCAAGAAGGTCCGCTTCTACACCGAGCGTGACCCTGCCAACATCAAGTGGAGCGAGACTGGCGCCGACTACATTGTCGAGTCCACCGGTGTCTTCACCACCACCGACAAGGCCAAGGCTCACTTGGCTGGCGGTGCCAAGAAGGTCATCATCTCTGCCCCCTCTGCCGATGCCCCCATGTACGTGATGGGTGTCAACGAGGACAAGTACGACGGCTCTGCCGATGTCATCTCCAACGCCTCTTGCACCACCAACTGCCTGGCTCCCCTCGCCAAGGTCATCCACGACAAATACGGTATCGTTGAGGGTCTCATGACCACTGTCCACTCCTACACTGCCACCCAGAAGACCGTCGATGGTCCCTCGGCCAAGGATTGGCGTGGTGGCCGTGGTGCTGCCCAGAACATCATCCCCAGCAGCACTGGTGCCGCCAAGGCCGTCGGCAAGGTCATCCCCTCCCTCAACGGCAAGCTCACCGGCATGTCCATCCGTGTCCCCACCGCCAACGTCTCCGTTGTCGACTTGACCGTCCGCCTCGAGAAGCCCGCCAGCTACGACGCCATCACTGAGACCATCAAGAAGGCTGCCGATGGTCCCCTCAAGGGTAAGTAACAACCACGACGATATTCAAACATTTCCCATGTCCATTTACAGCAGAGTGCTAACTATGTGCAAACAGGCGTTTTGGCCTACACCAACGACGATGTCGTCTCCAGCGACTTGCTCGGCAACACCAACTCCTCCATCTTCGATATCAAGGCCGGTATCTCCCTCAACGACAACTTCGTCAAGCTGGTCTCCTGGTACGACAACGAGTGGGGCTACTCCCGCCGTGTCCTCGACCTCTTGGCCCACGTCGCCAAGGTCGATGCCTCCAAATAAGTGTTTGTTCTGATGAGATGAGCCCAGGCTGGGGGCACGAAATCATTGTCTATAGAAACACCAAAAAAAAAAAAAATTAATAGTGAATACCGAGTGTGTCCTCGTACAGAGTTGGGCCTTTTTGGTAGTTTAGCATTGCCGTAACAAAGTAATGACAATTTGCTCTCATGCTAGTCTCTGTGTTTTTGAAACGGTGATATCATTGCTGCCCAAGTGCAAATACCGTATGTAGGACCCATCTTCGACATTCCAGAGAGGAGAAACGATGACCACTTTTGTACTTTTTGTAAAATACATGACCCAAGGCCAGGAGACTTGGACCATCACACGCGCATATTCGAGGTCGCTTTTAATCATGAACAGATGTTTTTTTTATTCCATCTAATTAATGGGACCTCTCCAGGGGCTCTCCCATCACAGGTATAACCATCATCACGCAATGCAGCCCCAGATAGAAAAAAAATAGGGGAAATTGCATGAGAAAAAATAAAAAGAGCACACTTCGTATAAGAAACGCAAGATCCGCCCTCCCCCCAACTTTTATTGTTTTAGCAAAAATAAAAGGGAAATATGAAAAAAAAAAAAAGTAACAGTTCGCAGAGCACATAGACTTGTCTGCCCAGGTCGTTCCACTTCGTCGATCCATCTCTCTCTTTTCTTCTTGCTCTTCGCCCTCGATTCCATTTTCTTTCAAGTGAAACCGATGTCGTCCGACGTTTCAGTTAAATCTTAAGAAACTGGGAATAATCGGGTTTGGTGAAGAGAGAGAAAAGAGTAGACGAATCTTCAAAGGGAATCAAGTAGATGAAAAAGAGAAACTCATCAATATTACAGTGTTCCTCTTCCAGCCACTCTCCCAAACCCACACGCCACCAAATGGGTATTATCCCCCCCCTTCCTGTTGATTCGCAAACCAGCAAAAAGAAAGTAGTGGCAAAGGTAAAGAGAGAAGAGACGACAAAAGAGAAGACAGTGTTGAGCACAGGGGATATCATAAGAACGTCAGGGAAAAGAAAAAAAAAGAACAAGTATTTTTTGCTAACAAACAAATTGTCAAACGGTAACAGATGCAGTCCCCGTCTTGCGGCGATGCATTGGTGAAATCTTCGTCTTCATTCGACCAGGTAAAACCGTCATCTCCTTTCAGCTCAGTTGAGCTCCACCAAGTATGTGAAGCCAGATAACAAGGAGAGGAAGAATGAAGAAAAAGGTTCATCGTTCGTGACCCAACGCCAAAATGCAGAATATCTCTTTCTCTCTCCCTTTAAATGAAAATCAAGCATCTTTTGTTCGCCTGTGTTGCCTGCATATAGAACCTATAGGGTTATTATGGCACAAAGAAAAGCCCGCAGGCTCTGTATCGGCCACCCAACTCTAGCCATCAGCCATGCCGCTTATCGAAAGTGTATAGTCTGAACAGGATGTACCAGCCGAGAGATTTCCCTCCGCCCCCTTTGGAACGTCATTCAATTCACTTCAGTGGCCCCCGGGAGCGACAGACGCTTCGAGGTTAGCGTCAGGAGTCCAGTCGACGTCCTCATGGCGGCACCAGTGCCTGAGCACTCGAAGAGTTTCCGCCGTCGTTTCGTCCAGCGTATAGAAGATCTGGGGATGCAGAGAAGGACTCTCGATGCTACTGAGAGCCTCGTTAATCTGAGAGTAGAGTCGGAGTCGTGACCGCTCGAGCCGTACCCAATCTGGAGGTGGGAGAATTGGGTTTTCGGTTGCCACATGGCACCGAATCAGCTCAGTAATGGCCATGACATTGAGGTTGAGAACCGAGACATAGAGAGGGAGGAACCGACGAGTGTGCGCCTCTTGCCTCTTCATTTGGCCCTGGATAAATTCGAGCAGCGGGAACAGGCTGGACCATCCAGCCGGGTCGCTCCTCTTATTGCACAACCCACGATAGATGTTTTGCGCCTGGAAGCCGGCCATAAAAGCCAGCAAACTTTCCGTGCTAATCACAAAGGCTCTGTTCAGATCAGGCTCCCGCGAGCTACCGCCGGCACCACCTCTCATTGCCGTGTCAGCCTCGTGCTTAAGGCGGCGTCCAAGAGTAGAGAATCGGGCCTCTTTTTCTCGCATAGCTCTGGCTTCGGAGGATTCCGAGCGGCCTGCATCTTGGCCGTTGACCCTACGATCAGATGAGACAGAGGCGGATGGAGTAGCGTTGACGGTGTCTCCGGGAGTTTGGGCCAGCGAGTTGCTAGAGCTGACGCGCGACATGTTGGTGGCTCCCTTTTTGGATGGTGTAGTCGGAGCGGGCAAGCGAGACGAGCTGGGAATCTCAGGGACCTTGGGTTTCTTTTGTGCGGTGCTTTCTGACGATGCCGCCGTGTCAGGGGCAACAGGCCGTTTCCGCGCGGGCGGAGGCTGGATAGAGTCTTCTGGTGCAGTGGAATGCTCTTGGTTTTGCGCTTGCAACTCCTTGCGGGCTGCCGTGGAAGATGACAGGGCTAGAATGCGTTTAAAGTCTCGTCGCAGTTTCTTGGGCACTTTCAGTTTGACAATGAGCGACTTCCGTAACTTTTGCTGAAGGGGTTCGTCCTCGTCATCAGAGTAATCAACCACGGGCTTCTTCTTCTTGGGCGGCAGTGGCGGCTCCTTCTCTCTCTCATCTTTGCTCTTGAGGGGCTTGCCTTCCAACGGCTCCATCGATGCTTTCTTTCTAAGTTGCAAGGCGGCTTCCACTATCGGCGGCAAAGTTGGCGAGAGCAACGGCGGGATTCTTGCTGGGGACTTCTGTCTCTTGAGCTCTGATATGGACTCGGACTTTCTATGTTGTCGGTTAGGCGACTTGGTCCGTTCGCTAGAGTCGTCACGAGGTTTCTTCTTGTTTTGTTTCGCCAACGATCTGTCTTCGGCTTCGCGATCCTCAAAGGTGAGGTGGAGAGGGGATAGCAGGGGCGGCACAGTTGACCGTGATGCTTCGGCTTTGGTGGGCGTGACCCGGTTGCTTCCCGAACCGGTAGGGCGGACGCCATTTAGGGAATCGCCTCGTGGACGATGTGCAGGTGAGGTGTTGTTGCGACTGGAGCCCACGGCGCCCTTGAGAAGGGCTCTGCCATTGGGGAGAGAGGAGGAGTTGGAGCCGGAAGCAGATAGCCTGTCGTCTTTGTGCGACGGTGCATCCCTGGAAGCTGCCGAGGATGTTTTATCCTTGCGTTTCTGCGCGTCATCGCGGGAGTGCTGTACCCGGTCATCGACGTGCTTGGTGCCGTCCGGCTTGGATCGCTTCTGGGGTCGCGACTCGTCATCCGGGTCAGCCACGCGTTTCTTGGAATTGGGAGAGGGCGGTCGGGGCGGCAATGGGTGTTTGGTAGGAGGTTTAAGAGGTAATCTGGGTCAATGTTAGCTGCTGCTGATCGCTCAATGCTACCGTTGCTCCGATCTGTTGCGGAGCTGCAAGTACCCACCTCATGTCGGCGGCTTGTTCGCGACCCTGTCGCTGTTTGGCGTCGACGGGCGGATCTGATTCTCGCGGCCTGGGCCTGTCCATCTTCCTCGCTTCCGAGGCAGACTTTGATTCTGATGCGGATCTGGGGTCCGAGGTGGCCCCCGTGCTGGCCGACAGCTCGCCAGCGCGTTCGCTTTCCTTCTTCTTGGCGATTGATGGCTCGGGAGGCGACGTGGACGACGTGGCCCCCGTCTTCTTGTTCTTGTAGTCGCTCAGCGACAGCTTCTTCTTCTCGCCGCCCTTGGCCAGCGCGTTGACCTCGCGTGGGAGTGGTTTGGCCGGCTCCTCACGCATGTCATAGTCGGACTTGGTGAAGAGGACGCCGCGATCGGCTTCGGACAAGAGCGTCAGGTATTGCAGGCGGGGATGATGCCATTCCTCAAAGGAATTGCCGTCACCGTGGCTGGGGCGAAACCGCCATTCGGGGTGAAATGCTAGGTGATGGGGTCGTTCGGGCAGGATGCGCTGGCTGAGCACCTCGATCGACTTCCGCGCCGCTTCCATCGTGCTTGGGCGTGATCATGCCGCAGGCACGAGTGAGCGGCGGAGCGCGACCGACGAGACGAGCGGCAGCGGGCGACAGAGAGCGCGACAATGGAGGCGGATTCGACGGTGACGCAGACGCAAGTGCCGCACGGCTGGGGGGCTGCGGCACAGAGGCAAAAGGCGAGAGACAAAGACTCAACTGCCCGGACAAAGGACAAAGAGCAAGGACAAAGCCAGCAACAGGCGACGGTGGTTGGGGCGCCCAGCAGCGCTCGGGGCTGCGGCCGCTGGTCTCTGATATCTCGCACAAGGCGCTTTCTCTCGCGAGCAGTAGCGAATCGACTGAGCGCGACAGGCGGCCGAATCGCAGCAGGGCGAGGTGCGGCAATGGATTGGATGTTCGTGGAGGGACGTGATGCAGATGCCCACGAGATGGTGTTTGGCGATCGGTACCAGGAAGAGCGGCCGGCGGTGGGTGGAGGCGCAAGTACATGTACTCTCCGACTGGACTGGCGCCGCTCAGGCCACTCGAACTCAATCCAATGCTACCTAAAATTGCTGGCGGGCGGGCAGGCGGGAAGCTGGCGCTGCTGCCACAGTGCTGGTGCTGCTATGGACAGCGCTGGCGCTGGCGCTCCCGGGGTGAAGGGGCCTGTGCGTAGATTCAGTCTGTATGGACGGATACCCGACAGCGCTGTGCGAGCTCCCTTGGCCGTTACTTCGGCTGCTTAAGGTTTGGAGCTCAGCGGTGCATGCACGCTATAATGCGATACGCGCCGCCAAGCAGGAGAATTCCGAAGTGGCGTCGGCAATTGTGACGTTGGTTGTTGATTCTTGGTTCTTGGGGGTGAGAGAAACGTCACGGCAGTCGAACGAAGATGAGGCAAAAGACGGAGGCAAGGCAAGGATTACGGCTATCGCTTGAATGGCTGACTCTGCATTCTATGTACGGCGCATTGGTTCTTTTGATTGGCTGATGGACCGTGTTGTTTCGGATTCGATGTGCTCTATACCTTACGCTTTATAGTCGATATATCGTTGAATCTAGCTAGGTATACATTGTCAAGCTCTCAACTGCCCAATCAATGCAAAAAGTACAAGCAGCAGCCTTCATTTTGCTCCGTTCTGTTGTTCCACGTTAAAAATGGCACACAATCTCATCTTGTATGCTTGAACTTTAATAGACGGGGGCGTGTGGCTGGATTGATGGATGTCGACGCAATGGCATCAAGTGACGGGTCTCGAGTGGATATCAAACTGGATCTCTTGTTAGCCACATTGTTCACATAGAAGGCCCTCCACTCTGCTGACTTTTTGTGGCCAAAGTAAGAGAGCATCAATATGTCAGTTTGGATATCAGACATGTCAATGTGAAACAAGCATTGACCTTACCCTATTGACTGTCTCTCTCTCTCCATTTCTCTTTGTTGAGATATTGAGCAAACATTCTTGTCTTTCTGCTTTTCGTCATACAGCTTGTACTACCCTCTTTGTAATATTCTTGAGTACGTATCTTTCTATTCATAGCATAAGACTCGGGAGATGATCACACAAGGTAAATCTGTAGAAAAGCAACGATAATATGGACCCCTATACACCATCAACCATGAATATCAAGCACGAATAAATCACAAATGCCATTATCTTGATAACCTTTGACTACACATCAGTCTGTTCCTTTAGTAGTATCCCTTGTCCATACAAATCTCATACATCAAGATCTCCCTCAGTCCTCCAGATCGCCCTCGCGTGCAACCAGCCAGGCTACCACCGCACCGGTGCAAAACCACCCTGACGGAACACCCCGTACGACATCAATGCGTATCCCATTGCGCCAAAGCGATCGAAGCAAACATTTTCCCTTAAAATCCCGGCCCCTTGTCTGAAACCCAGACTGGCCAAGCCCTTGGCTTAATCAATCCCGCCGTAAAGCAACCATTCAGCCGCCTCGAAACCCCCAAAACTGCTAGACCTTGGTGCTCCCTGGTGCCATGCGAATCTCTTAATACCTTTTCGGCTAGAGATAAAATGAATTGATGAAAAATAAAAAAAGAAAGAAAATCATTGCGCGTCTATTTGGCGGCCATTAACCACCTTCACGTTACCGCCGGGAAGCTTCCGCCTCTTGTTGCTTGTATTCTCCCAGGCGGCGAAGCGCGTCTCTATGCTGTTAAGCTTTTGCTTAAGCGCTATGATTTGCGGTGCCGTACCTTCCGGAATCGTTTTGTTAATGTGAGATATGATGTCTTTGTAGAGGCCTGCGGTATTGAAGTTGGTCTGCCAGTTGTTGAGACTTTCCACCTGCATGTACACACCTTCCATTTGTGACTTGAATTCATCCAGGAGTCTTATTCGACTGTTGAGTTTCTCCTCGATCCGGCTCCCTTCCAGGATATTCAGTCGGTTCTGGTCGTTCAGCTGTCGCCTCAAACCGGAGTAGTCTGTCTTTATTGTGGCATGCTCTTTTTCAATCTCAGACACCTGACGAGTAATATTGCCGAATTGTTCCTCCAGAGTCTCTCGCTTATATCTTTCTTCCACAATAAATGGTTGGAGTTTGTTCTGGATTTTCAAAATATTCTCCTTTATTTTTTCGTTCCATTTTTCCAGTTCGGGTTTGATGACTTCCATTATTTTGTCATCGGGGACAGATGCGGACCTAGTCGAACCGAGCTTTTCCACACGCTTCTTTATCTCTTCCCATTCTGCCGAGAAGTTGGATATAGTAGATTCTAGCGAATCAAGTCGCGAAGCAGCTGCATCTTTCTGCTGTTTGTTTTCTGTGATGAGTTTGAAATGATCGCATAGTTGTCCCTCCAGCCGCTTGATTATTGTAGAATGATCCTTCATGCGGGCCTCATGCTTGCCGAACTCATCATCTTGGGAGAGTGAAAGCTTCCGCAGCTGCTCAGCGAGCTGTGCCCTGTTTACTGACGATTCCGAGAGTAGTATGTGTTTCTCTTCCAGCCTTAGCACCCTATCCTTGAGAAAAGCAAGCTCCTTAGGGTCTACCAATGACTTGACCAGCAGCTGCTGATCTGCTTCCGCCCTGTCAAGTCTGGCTTCCGCTATTTTCACCCTTTTTTGAAGTCCAGAGTTCTTTTCTCTTTGTTCAGACAGGGTCTTTTCGAGGTCGGCAGTCTTCTTTTTGTCATTCGCTTGTTCAGACACACTCTTTTCGAGTTCTGCGATTCTATCTTTGTTTCGTACTTGCTCGGACAGACTCTTTTCGAGTTCTGCGATTCTGTCTCTGTTTCGTACTTCTTTGGACAGACTCTTTTCGAGTTCTGAGATTCTTTCTTTGGTGCGAACTGCCTCAGACAGACTCTTTTCGAGTTCTGAGATTCTCTCTTTGGTGCGAATTGCCTCAGACAGACTCTTTTCAAGCGCCGCGATTCTCTCTTTGTTTCGTACCTCCTGAGATAGACTCTTTTCAAGCATCGTGATTCTCTCTTTGTTTCGTACCTCCTCAAAAAGGCTCTTTTCAAGCGCTGCGATTCTCTCTTTGTTTCGTGCCTCTTCAGACAGACTCTTCTCGAGCGCCGCAATCCTGTCCTTGTTCTTGGCTTCGTTTGACAGACTCTTCTCTAGCGCCGCGATTCTCTCCTTGTTCTTGGCTTCGTTTGACAGACTCTTCTCGAGCGCCGTGATTCTCTCTTTGTTTCGTACTTCCTCAGATAGACTCCTTTCGAGCGCCGCGATTCTGTCCTTGTTCTTGGCCTCGTTGGACAGACTCTTCTCGAGCGCCGCGATTCTGTCCTTATTCTTGGCTTCGTTGGCCAAAGCATTCTCGAGCGCTGCAATTTTGGCTTTGTGTTCCCGATTAATGGAGTCTTTCATTTCTGCGACTCGCTTCTCGTTTTCTTGTATGAGTGTCTTCCTGAGAGAAGTTGCTCTGTCTTCACCCTCTTGGGCCAGCGTCTTCTGAAGCGAGTGTAGCTTTTGTTCGTTTTCTTGAGCCAACGCCTCCTTGAGCTTGGTCACTTGCGATCCGACCAGCTCCTTTATAAATTGCTGTGACTCTGCGACCTCTTTCTTGAATGATTCCTCCATCTCCTTTTTCATGGTGGTTTGAATGGTGTTCATCTTGGCCTCCGATGCCACTCTCTCCTCCGAAGCGTTTGATGCATCGGAGCTCTTGATCCAAGTTTCTGAAATGTGTCGTAAGATTGGTTGCATAGCTGATGCGATTCTGTCGTCAATTTCCCCCATGTATTTGTCGGCCCTCTGCATGTCATCGAGATTCTGCCTTTGTTGAGTGGCCAACAACTCCGGAGAGCTCGAGTAGTCTGATGGATGGTAATGATTATGCTCTTGACTTCGAACTGCCCTTTTGTGAGACTTGGAGGCCTCGGATTTGACTTTGGACCATGCGAATCGATCAAAAACAAGATCTAGCAGTGGTTTGACGGAGATGCCCGACAAGTGGCTGGTGGGCGCCTTGGATAATTGATTCGAAGGATGCTGCTTGAGGTTGTCGGGATGGCGTGGTCTATGTGAGACTGTACGAAAATGTCGTTAGTAGGTTCACAGTCTGTGCTCAGCAAGGATTTGTCCGAGCGAATGGCTTCTGGGGTGGCACTACCTAACGTCGTTGGGCTGGATCCTTCGACGTGATCGCGTTGGTCAACGGGACTCCGTTCATCAGGACGATCGACAGTGCGAATGCGCTTAAGATTCGGTGCAGTATCACCTGATGCTCGTTGACCATCCCCTTGGATCGAGTCTCGCTTGATACTGCGACCCTGTCCAAAGGTGTTATGGAAGCCTTGTTGCGAAGGCCGCCGAGGAGGATCCTGACCCATGATGGCGATGGCGTAGGATGTAGACAATGACGGCGATTAGATGGATTATGTGAGAGAAGATGCTCTGGGACCCAAGGATTCAGTTTACTACTGGATCACCGATGATCATCTTCTTCCAACTCATCTAGCGAGCTGTGGGAAAGCTTCCAGGCGAGACAGATATCCCAAAGCTTCATGAAATATCATAAAGTAGTAAGTAGGCGCCGAAAGAATATCCGAAGAATCAAGGCAGAATGTTATAAGGAAAGGCGGTTGTTTGGTCTGGTCAATACCAGTAGGCACAGTGCTGTTGGGTCGAGTATCGTGAAAACAATAAAAGACGAGGCAGGTTGGCAGAGAAAGGTGGATGTGGTGGGTGGGCGGGTCAGGGCACTTTTTTGTGTTGAACGAGCGTTGGTGACAGCTCCAATGTCGGGGGTGTAAAAAGCAATTATAGTCTTAGGGAACTAAGGCACTAATATACCTACATAGAAGGGCCTACCGCTTTCTTAAAGAGCTGCTGTGCTAGGGGGGGTTTGTTTTGTTTACAGAGCGCCTACAGCTATATATGTAGGTCTCAACTAGTTGAGCATTTGACGGTGGACTCCATGCCGCTGCATGCATCCCGATGTAATGGACTTGATGTAATTTGATGTCGGGTGATGTACCTCGTTAGCTATCAAGCTGCAGGTATTAGGGGGGATGCTGCTAGAGGAGACCCAAGCAAATAGTTTCCCCTTCCACCTGAACAAAGAGCTGCGAATAGGAACCATTTCCGTGCATACAGCTACAGCCATCTGAGCACAGAGAGCAAACAAAAACTCGGGTTGCAGGGATTAGATTACAAGAACGGCAGCGAGGTGGCTTTCAACTAATGTTGTGGAGTGGGGATTTGATGCTGCATGAGCAGGGTTTCGGTTGGTCAGATGGCGGCCAGCAAACAGGCAATTTCAGCAAACAAAGCAAATATGAGGGGGGGGGAGTCAATCAATATGAGAGACAGAGGTCGGTCAGGCTGTGGCGTGCAGCACTGGTGCCTACCACGAACGAGCCGTGCATAAGGAGCATTAGTATCTATGTAGACCTTGCATAAGTAAATGTACTACTTGGATAATAAAGAACAAAGAATTAATTGTAATTCGTTGGTTTCAAACTCAACACATTTCTTGATATCGTGCACGTTCTCTCAGTCCCCAAGACGGCATTAACAAACATCCTGGTGGTTCCAGCGATTACCGCTCTCCCGTCCGCCCCTTGTCCCCCGATCACCCTCTAGCCTCTATCAGCTCGATTAAACTGCCCCACCGCCTGTCCACTGTATTTTCACACTACCAGCCTCTGTTTAGCTGTCTAGCCAACTAAGTAACTAAACCGCAACTAACCTGTAAGCGCCAGACGCGCGCTTCTCCGGACGGAACCGTAATTTTTCCTGCGAGCTCAAGCAGCCATTCCAATTCGCCGTTGCTGCTTTGTTTGGAGCAGGCAAGCATCCTTCGCCATCAATCCTGTCGTGACCCAACTGCGCCAACGACATCATCATTCTTCACAATGGCTGCTGTGAGTTTGCTCTCCTTTCCCTGCAATGAATTGTTTGTTCCTCGACTAATTCCCCACCGTGAACCAGCCCATAGTGACCGTTTCCGAGTCCAAGGACCTTCGCGGTCTGAACCTCATCGCCGCGCATTCGCACATCCGTGGACTCGGCGTCGATGCCACGAGTCTCGAGCCCAGAGCCGCGTCTCAAGGCCTTGTTGGCCAGGAGAAGGCTCGAAAGGCCGCGGCCGTTATCCTTCAGATGATCAAGGAGGGCAAGATTGCTGGTCGCGCCGTCTTGATTGCCGGTCCCCCAAGGTATGTCGAGCATGGCAATCTTCCATTTTCTTCTTCTTTCTCTGTATTGGCATTTTACTTACGCCTATCAATCAATAGCACGGGCAAAACTGCCATTGCTACCGGAATGGCACAATCACTCGGCGCCGACGTTCCCTTCACGACTCTCGCGTCCTCCGAAATCTTCTCCCTCGAAATGTCCAAAACCGAGGCTCTCACCCAAGCCTTCCGCAAGTCGATCGGCGTCCGCATCAAGGAGGAGAGCGAGATCATGGAGGGAGAGGTTGTCGAGATCCAGATCGACCGAAGCGTCACCGGCAGTGCCAAGCAGGGCAAGCTGACCATCAAGACGACTGATATGGAGGCTGTGTACGACATGGGCGCAAAGATGATTGATGCCATGACCAAGGAGCGCGTCATGGCCGGCGATATCATTTCCATTGACAAGTCTTCTGGAAAGATTACCAAGCTCGGCCGATCATACGCTCGATCTCGCGATTACGATGCCATGGGCGTCGATACCAAATTTTTGCAGTGCCCCGACGGAGAGCTGCAGAGGCGCAAGGAGGTGGTCCACACAGTGACGCTGCATGAAATCGATGTCATCAACTCGCGAACACAGGGATTCCTGGCTCTCTTCTCCGGCGACACTGGTGAGATTCGCAGCGAGATTCGCGATCAGATCAACACCAAGGTTGGGGAGTGGAAAGAGGAGGGCAAGGCCGAGATCGTTCCCGGCGTGCTGTTCATTGACGAGGTGCACATGCTCGACATTGAGTGCTTCTCTTACATCAACCGGGCCCTGGAGGATGATTTGGCGCCAGTCGTCATCATGGCCAGCAACCGCGGCCAGTCGCGCATTCGAGGCACGGACTACAAGAGCCCACACGGTCTACCCCTCGATTTCTTGGATCGCGTTGTCATTATCAACACGCATCCTTACAACCCCGAAGAAATCCAACAGATCCTGTCCATCCGGGCGCAGGAGGAGGAGATTGACGTTTCAGCAGACGCCCTGGCCCTGCTTACCAAGATTGGCCAGGAAGCCGGTCTTCGATACGCCAGCAACCTCATCACCACATCGCAGCTGGTCTCAGCAAAGAGAAAATCCAAGCAGGTTGGCATTGATGACGTCAAGCGATGCTTCCAGCTCTTCTACGACCCTGCCAGAAGCATCGAGTTTGTGAACAAATCCGAGAAGCGCCTGATTGGCAATGACGGCGGCGTCGACCTGTCGGTCCAGAACGGTGGCACTAACGCTGCTGCTGCCGCTGCCGGCTCTGAGACCATGGACTTGAGCTAGATCTAGAGGAAAGGTGCTGAAAGGGATTTTCAGATGGCTGGCGTTTTTTGGGCAAATCGTGAGATGAAAACAAAGATGGGGGGGAGGGAACGTAATGGATTCTGTATGTACCATAAAGCAATATTCGGGCGCACGACGGTCACTGCAGAGAGACCTCTTTGATTAGTTTTTGCAATAAACAAGTAACATGGCAATAAGGCTTGAAGATATTGATGTCACGATGTTCTGCTTAGGTGGCGACTATTTGGCCTCGTGATTTCACGAGTTTCGTGATCCTCCATTGAGGATGAACAGTCAGAATTACATTATGAACTCTGTCCAGTGCCGAACGCAATGATATTCGATAGACACAATAAACACATCCAGAGGGGTTCAAGAAAGACAGAATTCAGCAAACCACTGAAGCTTTTTAGCTAGAAAGGCTCAACAGTTGCTCGCAACAAGAAACACCAGTGATCAAAACACACGCCCAGCTCCCCATTCTCAGTCAAGTCTCCTCATCTCCCATATCCACACCGACAATCCATTCCAAGAGCTTCCACATCCCCTTGTGCTTCTGTCAAGCAAAGATAATACAGTTTTACTGCGGATGAAATAGGTGTTGTGGAAGAGCTCGGCTATTCATGGTCGCTCTCGCGTCCATCGGGCACATGGGCTTTATCGCCGTCGTCGCCGTCCATCGGGCACATAGGCTTTATCGCCTTTGTCGCCTTCGCCGCCTTCGTTGCCTTCGTTGCCTTCATCCTCTTCATCCTCAGCAGCTTGGGCTTCTCCCATGACCACTTTATCTAGGTTGACTTCCATCTCAAATGCTTGGATGGCAAGAGCAAGCCAACTCTTGCTGTTGTCATACGTCTTGACTCCTTTCAAAACCGCTTTACCGGAAAATACAGGGTCGGCGATCTCAGGCTCTCCTTCCATGACAATTTCGCATTTGTCAGGCTGAATATCAAAATGGCCATCCAAGAAAGCCAGACTCGTTTTGTCCTTCTTCAGCTGAAACTGACACCATCCAAAGGCGAGGTCAACCGGGTTGCCGCTTGATATTTTGAAGACAATTCTGATTCTCTTGTTAACAAACTGGACGGTCAGATCCAAGATGGAGGTCTCCAACATATGACCCAGATCTATAGAGATGAAGAGCTCATGACCATTATCATCAGTGTCCAGCGCAGCCATAACAGGCGCTTGTTTGCTCTTCTGACGGTTGGCCTTTAGTTTGGGCATCATCTTTAGAGCGAAATCCCTGAACCTAACCATGCTCTGAATTTGAAAGCCCTCAAGTTTGATAGTCACTTCGTTTTTCTCGTCAAGAATGATATGCATGTCGTAAAGAGTCTTTTCACCAATGCGGCGTCGTCGATGCAAGAGAGAGACCGTCACAAAGCTGACCCAGCCGACGTCGATCTCGGGGTCGATTACGCCAGTGATTTCGAGATTGAAAGATCTGTGATAAGAATAAGTATCTTTGAAGAGGAGTGCAACGAGGAAGAAGTGGATGGGATGTGGGAATGGCTTGACGGCCATACCTGAAGGAAGGATTGATGAAATGAAGCCTATTAATCTTCATTTCCGCCATGATTGCAAAATCTCTCCAATGTACCTTGTAGAGCTGCAGGAATACCCAAATTGCAACGTCTAAAAGTCAAGAAACCAAGATCTGGATTATTCTCCAAAACTTGGGCGATGGGTTGGGTGACTGGGGCGTTCACAGGTTGACACTACTGTCATTTCCCGAAAACGCGTGTTTGAAAGAGAGAGAGAGAAACAGGCTTCCGTGAATTACGAAGAGAAATTATATAGCCCACTTGGCTGTTGGCACGACCCTTCTACCAGTTTGCTCACAAGTGTCCGAGCTTCCCCATCTTGCGGTCTGCAAATATGTCCGATATCATTCAGTTTGAGCTATTAGAGCTACCATAACTGCATACCCTGAGCTCCTTTTTACTTTCTTCAAATATCCACCCTATATGTACCAGCTCAATTACCGTAATCTTCCTCTATGGTCGGCTTTTCATGTTGAAAAGACGGTAGCAATCGAGCTCGTCACTCAGGCTGACGAATCACCATGTGGTCTAGATCAACTTCGATTTGGAATTCTCGGATAGCATGGGTGCGCCAAGATTTCTCATACGACTTCAGGCCCCATCCTTTCAAAGTTGCTTTTCCGGACAGCTCGCATCCCTGAGATATTTCTCCTGTCAAATGATATTGCATGCTTTCCTCTCCGCTTGCATAAATGCAAAAGTCTCCGGACAGATTAGCGAGAATAGATTCATCGTTCTCAAGCCTAAATGCAGTTTGTCCAAAGTAGATTGCCACAGTAGTTGTGTTAGACATTGAGAAAGTGATATCGATTGAGTTCCCATTGAGTTGAATTATAGGTGTTGTCGTTTTAAAGCTCCCAATACCATGCAAATCTATGGCCATTGTGAGTTTATGGCCATTCTCAATAATTTCCAACCTGGCGGTGGGGTTGTGATCAGATTGGCATGCATCAAGCTGTGGCTTGGGCATTATGTCGCGAATAAAACTCCTGAACGCACCCATATGCTGAATTACAGCCCCATTGAGTTCAATGTAGAGTTCGCCCTTGTAGTTTTCGGTATTGACAAGCTCGTCTTCAAGAATTGCCTCTCCAATAAAGGTGTGGCCATAGAAGAGGGAGATGGTCACATAACTGACCCAGCCAACATAAACTCCTGTTTTAACGGTGATATCGAGCTTGAAGGTCCTGTAACGTATAAGCATCGAGTTGAAAGGATATTAAGGTATGACAGTATATGTAAGGGACAGACGAACCTCAGAGACGAACCATCAAAATAAAGCGTCTCAATCTCTACATTCGACTTTGGCATAGATATGTCGCCCATTTGGTCGACGTATCCGGTAACTGAGGGCTGACTCGGTGCTCCACAACCCGTGCGGCGTTACGAGAGAGACTCGGCTGATGATTCTGAATAGTTCGAGGTGTCAATATTCATAAACGAAGAACAGAGGTGACAAGTATGATGTAATTCGCTGTTATGCATGAGATATATATATCCTTGAGCGTCAACACCTTCTCATATATATCTGCTCTTGGGGAGGATATAAGAGAAGAGAAGAAGGAAGTGATTGTGATTGAATTCGCGAGCAGAGTTTATATAGCACTCTCGGGGCAATTGACAGCAGATCTCACCAGCTGGCAGCATGCCAAACAGCCGGCAGCAGTCCACAGAGGGATTTCTGCATCTACTACAAACTCACGTCCTGAGGGTGAAAGTAACATAACGTGTCTTCTCCTTCAAGCCCACGAGAGACTTGTTTATGGCTACACTCTAGCATCAATGATATTATCAGATGAGGATGCAATCTAGTCACAATAATAGCAGTTAGCATATAATACATTTCCTCGGCATCTTCTTGAGATACCTGAACAGTATGTAGTCACCGGGTCGTTGGATCGCGAACTTGAGGTTCTACATGGTAACTCTCTGCATTAAGGCAGCACAGTGACAGGAATGAGGCTCTCCATTTCCATTCTATTTTAGAGCAACATGGTTTGTATTGAGAAAGAAAATGCAGAAATCCAGGCGGTGATAAGCCAGCTGGCAGAAATAATCCCCAGCCGGCAGGCGAGCACTATATAACACGGTCTCATGATTCTCTCAAGCCGCCTTCTTTCTCTTCCTTTCATCCCTTTCTTCCAATGAACGCACATCACTGAAGTGGCTACAACGCGGAAGGCACTTGGATCTGAACACAACAAGCCAGAAGCTACCTTGACCAACACCTTCTCTCATCATCCTTTCAGACTTAACGTCACTCGAATCACCCAAGCAACTTGCGGCGAGAAATCATGTCTGAGGCGAAAGGCTTCATCGACGCTTCCGATCAGGCGAACGCCATCGTGCATGGTCCGCAAGGAGAGATGGACATTTACCATCTCTGGCTTTTCAGCCCCTCCATGACGTGAGTTGGACATTCGCCAATAAATTAATCGCATGCCGCTGACTCAATATCCAGATCTTTCCATCTCGGATTATCAGGCTATCTTTGCGACGGCTTCGACATTGGATGGGTCAGCTCTGTCACGGTTCGCCTCTATCATGGCTTCATTCACATGGGGGAGATCACTTGCCCACACAAGCCAATAATACCCGAGCCGGACAATTTTATCGAAATCTTTTGGGGGCAGTCAAAGGAGTCCGAAATGCATATAAAGAATATGATGGCATTCAAGCGCTTCTTCGAAGGCTTTATGCCCAAGGTGGGTGCCAGCCATGAGCCAGATATCGAGGGATTGCCCACGGCCGACCTTGAAGTTTCCGCAAGTGGCCATCAACTCATGATGTCAGTCGATCTGGGACGAATGCCGAGACTTAAACCTGTCGTTGAGAGCCTCACACTCTCTGGCGATGAGTTCGAAATCGTCATGAACATAGAGAATCAAAGTCCATTCGGACTCGACTTTAATGGTAACTTCCATTGTGTTCTTGAAAAAGATGAAAAAGAGATTGGATATCTGAACGGGGAACTGGCCATTGGTATCGACGGAGGAAAACATGTCTTCCGAGGAAGGCTCCATGATGAAGCTTCCGGAACAGCAATTTTGAAGGGAGACAGTTTTTTAAGCTCTGACAAAAAGGACTCTTGGCTACAGTATGCTTTGAGACTATTCAAAGTCGAAATCAATATGGATGAGATCGTTGTCAAGACCAGCGACGAATAGACGCAACGCTCTTACGGTCCTGTTCTCATTAAGGATTTAAATCTATTTTCTGGGAGTTTGAGCGCATCTAGATTGCGTTTTTAGGTATGAGCTTGGCGGCTTACGCACTTGATAGTTGATGGGACGTTGGGTGCCAGTTAGGAGTCGCCAGAAGGCACCTCCCGTCAGGTATAGCATAAATGAATGAAGATAGCAAATCGATCTTCTAAACTGCTTCATGACATCACTTTGCACAATGACATCGAGTAACTGGAACAAGGAAGGATATCAATTGAGCCAATTCATCTCCTCCATCAACCTCATGCAAACCGCGCAGACACTCCCGGCAAGATCAGCCAAGCATCCCGCTCTCCAGAATATGTCTTCACTCGTCATGTTTCAAATGGTCCCCTCTTTCACCAGGTGCACACGTTGTCACATGGTAGGCATAAAGGAAAATTATCTCGTTGATGGCAAACATTGACCCTGATGCAAATGATTTCCGAGGATCTAGCCTCCAAGAACTCCCACGATATCCCCCCTCACTTCCCATTTCTTCATGAGTGGACTCATGGTGAGGATTGCCTCACGTTTTTTAGACTACATGCCGTTGTCTTATTGCGCCATGCATCATAAGATTTGTTGACCCCGAAAGAGACAGATTCGTTTAGGAAGGAGGAGCAGCACCACGTCCACGGCCAAAGCCACCACGGCTGTAAGAGACGAAAAAAAGTCAGCAAAATATCCCAACCATTGAATCGATGATGAATTCGGGCAGCCGTAGTAAAAAAAAAAAAGAACCCATTCATATCATCTCCAAAGAAAAGAGGGAGGAAAATTCTCACAATTGAGGAGCAAACTCGCCGGGAGCACCACCCTCCTTGCCCTCGCCAGCATCCCTCCTTCGGTATCCACCCTCACGGTCACCACGGTCGCCGCCACGTCCACGGCCGAAAGGTCGTCGCTCACGCTCGCCCTCGCCGAGCATGCCACGGGGAGGAGCGTGTGATCGCTGCTGCTTGATGTGAGTAGCAGGAACGATCTCGGCAGGCAGGTGAAGCCATTCCCGGAGGTAGTCGAGACCCTCGGGGGTCAGGGTGTAGTAGTAGTATTGCCAAGAGAACTGAGTCTTGACATAGCCGCGGGAGTTGAGGGACTGAGCAGCCTTGATGACGAACAGGTTCTTGGTGTCAATGTCGGGGTGCTTGGGGAGGTTGAAGTCCTTCTGCGCGACGAGGACACCCTCGCGGAAGAGGTACTACCGGATAACTGTCAGTGACGCCTGGGACTTGTATTTCAATTTCCTCGAGCTCGCGCTCGCGGTTTCGTGAGCATTGTCGAAAAATACCTCGTGAATCTTCTTGCGGTCGGCCTTGGGAATCAACATCGTGGCGGTTTGCTGCTCGGAGGGTCGATGTTGGAAAGTTGACGGTTGTTCGGGAACAGGCGTACAACCAAAAGATCTCGAATTGGATAACTTTTGTGGGCGGAAGCCCTACATGAAATTCCACCCTAGCGAAGTGGGGGGTCGCGAAAGTGTGCGTTGTGGCTGGTAATCACGTGTCGATAAGCGATTCTCCGATAATGACTGCTAGCGCCTCCCAGTGGTGTGGCGCAGGTCGCGACCTCACATGACAAACCTTCCGCCCGTCATTTCGCCGCCAACTCCCCAAACTTTATGAACGTGGCTCTGCTGCGTCGCAACGCATCTGTTTTCCGCTTTGCCCCGGCAACGACAAACCTAAAGTCTCGCAAGGCGACGTCTTAAATACGACAGCCGTCCCATCAATAACACAACAACCATCTTACGCTCTCACATCATTCATCCACGCTCTTCACCTTTCGCAGCTCTTCTCTGAAACGATCGCATCACCACGTTTATAACAAACCATTCATCGCAATGGCGGAACATCTCAACGTTCTCATCTCGACCTTCAATGGTCTTGGTCTTCCACCGACCTTGGTCCTGCGCGCATCTCCATCTACTACAGTCACTTCCCTACGAGAGCAGATCGATGGGAAGCTGCCTGCCGGTGCCACCGAAGCTAAATTCATCATCACAACTCTCTCAAATCGACTGCTACCCCAAGTATCAGAGGCGCCCCTTTCAACGTACCTTACATCAGACAATGACGATTTTCTCTCCTTACGCCTCGCCATTCCCCTATGCGGTGGAAAGGGTGGTTTCGGATCTCAGCTCCGAGCTGCCGGTGGTCGCATGTCATCGCGCAAGAAGCAGAAGCAAGATGATGGCGGCTCAAGCCGAAACCTGGATGGAAGACGAATCCGCACTATCAACGAGGCCAAGGCTCTCGCCGAGTACCTCGCTATCAAACCAGAGATGGAGAAGAAGGAAAAGGAGAAGCGACGTCAACGATGGGAAGAGATTGTCGACATGGCAGAGAGGAGAGAGGCTGAGATCAAGTCCGGCGGCAGGGGCAAGTTGGACGGTCAGTGGGTTGAAGATAAAGAAGAAAGCAACGAGCGAACTCGCGAAGCCGTGCTGGCTGCCATGAAATCTGGAAACTATAAAGACAACCTACTCAGCTCATCTCACGACTCTGCGTCAACTGAGCAAAGCAATAGCAAATCTGCGAGCGATGGGGAAGATTCGGAGAGCTCTAAAGAATCACCCCCTCCGACTGAGGCTCCTGGTCCATCAAAGGCCAAGGCGAGAACATTCTTCGGTTTTGATGAGGACGATGAATTCATGAGTTCTGATTCGGAGAATGAAGATGAAAAGGAATCTTCATAAAGGATGGCGGTTTTGATTTGAATTTCTTCTTTTTTATTTCGATTCAAAAAGCAATGAAAGGAGTTTTGGTCATGGGGTGCATGGGAAAGGAACGACATCCGAGTTTGATACGATACCAATATAGCTAATGTGTATATGGAGCATCCCTCTGAGTGGTTCTTGTAATCTTGGTGATATATGCGTGATGTACGTCATACTCAGCTATAGGTGCATCAACAGAAGCGATTGGTCACAAGGTAATAGTCAAAAGTTGAGCCTGTTTGCTTGCGATTGACTACTACTACATTTTCCTGCAGCACATGCGCCGCCTGGCTGCTTAATCTATGTGAACACCCATGCTTATGTACCCCGCCACGTCAAATATGGAATCTAAGCATCAAGCTTCACAGGGAAGTTACCAGACTCTGTTTGAACAAAATATCAGCTTTAGTTGAAGGTAAACCGACGACGTAAAACATACCGCGCTGCTCGTCCCATCGCTGGTACCATCCAGAGGGGCACAGTGATCGGTAGGCCAACCAGAACTACACAATGGTTCAGTATACTCAGGTGCGCGCAAAAGCCACAGCTCCTTCCGGTCTCCGTACCTGACGGCAAGGCGCAAAGTCCTCTCCCTTGGCGAGGATGCACTTGTGGTAGTCGACGTAGTTTTGCCAGCAGTGCTTGGTCTGGTTCACGTTGGGGAAACGGGCATCAGTGCCTGCGCGAGCACTCGAGTTAGCGACATGTGTGCATATATAACGAAAGGCATGTATCTGCGAAGCGGGTCCTCCGGCGACGGGCAAAGCTCAAGCTATTCCAAGCTGCGGGTTAAGTAGCTCGCAGTCGATGGGCAATGCATTGATCAAGCTGCCCCGAGCCGGTCGGTCGGTCGTTCACGTAGAAGGGGCGCCTTGTTTGGACAATCTCACCAGCTGCAAAAACGCCGTTGTTAGCCTCGGATGCACTCAGAGATCAGACCACTTTTTTGGGAGAGGGGATATTTTATCTCGGGCGAACAGGCCGTACCAGTGACAAACTTGAAGGGCTTGGTGACAAGCTCCTGGCCTTCCTCGTCGGACATGATGAATGATTCGGGTTCGGCGACGGTGCGGGCGAAGTGCGGGCGACAATTGGAGCGATTCGAGGAGGAGGGATTGCGAGTGGGAGATTTCGCTATGCGTCGAATGTTGGCAGCTCAAGGTTCCGAATCAGATGTTCCGGATTGAAAATGTGTGCCTCAGGCGCCATCGGGCCAATGGGGCCACTCGGTGGGCGCAAGTGGGCCATTTGCTGATGTGGGAATTGCACCAGCCCATTGAGAGGCTCTTTGAAACCAAACAATTCCTCTTTCACCAAGCAGCAATTCTTGCGCCCGCCCTGAAGCTCTCTCGCTTGAACCCTCTCCGCTCATCGCAATGCGTCCTACTCTTGCTCTTCGGGCCTTCCGCCCTACGGCCCGCATGATGCGACCCGTCCCCGTAAGTGCAGGCCATCCTGAAGCTCCCGATTGGAGTAGTTCCCCGGCTAACCTCGCGGCTATACAGAAGGAGGACCAGGCCGGTATGTGACGGCATTGATGCTCGCCGAGCAGCCCGGCAACCCAGCAGCGACAGTTATTGACAAGTTTACCAAAGGCCACACCGTCTCCCAGCGCCTCCGCAAGCTCAAGCAGATCCCTGCCGAGCTGTACCCCCTCTGTACGAAAAGACTCACCCAATCCGCGCCACTCGATGATGCGATATTCTAACATGAGCAAAACTACCATAGTCGTCGTCGTCGGTTTTGCTCTGGGCGCCGCTGCCTACTCTACCACACGCAAGTTCTTCGTCGACAAGAACCTGCGACTTGCCCGACAGGGTGCCGCTGCCCGCGCCGCTCAGAACTCGGATGGACACGGCGGCGAGCACTAAATTTGACCAAGTTTCGAGAAGCAAAGCCGTTGGTGGGATAATCTTTTGACATGCACATGGGATGGGGGATTAAGATCTGTATATGTCGAGAAGCATTAGGGCGGAGTGCCGAGGAGAAACACAGCTGACATGTTGTTCCAAAACTTCGGGTCCCCATTCATGTAAAAAGGAATACAGTATGCCATGATATTGTCCTTCCAAAAAAAAAAACACCGTCGCTATGCAAAAACAATTCAAGTACTCCGTAAACCCATTGCAATCATCCCTTGGCCTAACTGACAGTCCCCTTGTCGGCCATTACTCTGGTTTTGGACCTGCAACATCCAGCCCCTCGAGACCTTGCATAGGATCCGATGCTGGTTCCTCCAACTTTGCCTGATTTGTGACATCATCTTCCACCGCATGCTCAGCGAGCCAGCTCTCCTATACAGGGGCAAACATTAATACCAAATCACAAAGTATCGAAATCGTAATAACTCTGAAACGTACCTGTTCCCAAATCGCCTTTCTACTACCCAATCCCTCATCAGCACTCTTCGGCGCCCTCGCCTGTGACACCTTGATCACCCTGCCAAAGAACTCGGACTGGTCCATGTTGTCGATGGCCTCCTTCGCATCCGCACTGTCCTCAAACTCGACGTACGCAAACCCTTTGTGAGGATCCGTGGAGTTTGGCGCGTCTGACTTGGGGAGCTGCACCTCGACGATATCGCCAAACGGGATGAAGGCGTCGAAAACGTGCGTGTTGGTGACGACGGGTGAGAGTCCGCCGACGTAGACGGTTGCTTTCCAGCGAGCAGAGTCGGTCATTTTGTCAATTGGGTTTTAGAGATTATAATTTGAATAGTGAATGAAAAAAGGGGACAGGCCAACGTGCCACTACTGGGTTAGTAGTTTTTGGTGTTTGTATGTGCTGAGTGTGAGCGTCTCAAAACTTGGACAAGCTGGTGAACGAAGTGAGGATAGCTATTGTGCCGAGGTTTCGCCGATAAGACGTTGCTGTCTACTAAGGTAGATGAAAAGAGAGCGGCAGAAGCTGGACAGGCTGTTGATATTATCATCATTAGAATAAATGAAAGTAATTTCTTTTCCAGCTTTGAGCCTTGTTCTTAAATATTGGTATCTGGAATTTTGAAATGCCGTGGCTATAGATACCATGAACGTTTCTCATCAGGTGCAAAGCACAAGCATCTAATTCAGCTCCACCACTTTGTACCTGCATATGCATTTTGACGACTGCCGTACCCTACACATGAAGAGCTGGAATTCGGCTTCAAGAGAAGTATAAGCATTTGCTGGCCAATGACTTTTATAAATAATATTGGCTATATAATTATCCGAGATCCTAATACCACTCAATTAAGGTGAGATTAAATAAGTAGATGGGATAACTGAGAAACGACAAACATTAACCCCTAGATTCCAAAACGGCCAAAACACCAAGTGGAGAGAGAGAAGAGTATCATACACGAAGAATTTGAAGCAGCACATCAATCAAAATAACCCTTCAACCCAAATCCTATAGCCGCCCAAATACCCGCACCCACAGCAAACATAGCAGTCCTTCATCACCACATCAGATCAGCACATCAACTCATCCATTCTCTAGAACCACTTACTCAGCCCGCTTCTCCCCCTTCCACACGATGTAAACATCCGCCGCACAGATAATCATCGAGCTCAGTATAACCGTCCCCATCGCGTCCGTCTGCCCAGCCCGATGCAGCGCAAACAATGTAGCCGCCATGGTAAGATCGCGACTACCAACTAACAAGCCCACAAGGCTGGCACTGGCACCCCCGTCTCTGGGCTTCTCATCACTTGTCGACGGCTCAAGGCTAGAGAGCTCAGCGGTGCGCTTCTTGTCGAAAAGAGCGCTCGAGCCGAGCACAGCGAAAGCAGCCGCAACGCTAAGCCCGAGGGAGTTCCAGGTGGACGCAGAGATGAGAGGCATCTTGGGATAAAAACTAGAAGGCGGTTTGCAAGGGCTAAATGGTGTTTGCGGGGGAAGTTGGAGCAAGTTGATTGACACTGGAACCTGGAAGCATTCAAGATTAAGCCTTGCTCTTATACTGCCTAGCAGGATGGCAGCGCCACAGACTAAGTCTTGGGCCGAATCACGGCACCTTTTCATGTCCAGAGAGCGTCTCCAAATTCTGAGGGCGAATCAAACGAGGGGAGTTTTCCCGATACAGACAGCTATGCGAGTTCAGCTGACTTTGCGGGGCGTAATCATTTGACTTCAATGCGTGTGTTTGGATAGATGGAGAGACGAAATCGTGCCGAAGCCGGCCATAGCCAACCACTGCGCATTCGACTCAGATCATTCACCTATAGTAGCAGATACTTAGAGAACTGGGCATCTATTACCAACCAAGGTAAATGCTGTAATCGGTAGTGGTAAATAAACGGCTTTCCTTCACATCCAATTTCGATTCTCAAGCTTCACGTAGTCGCTGAATATTGGATAACCAACTTGAGGTACTGAATAGCTATTGCCTTTATGTATAATCTAACGGATCGTGCCGCCCGCGGTTCTTAATCAATGCCTTACATAACATCGTACCGCCAATAAAGCGTATCAAATAAAACACCACAACTCTCCATGTACAGACAACATTATTGACTCATCAAGGAGTTGCCTTGCTCATGCTGATAAGTCGCTTAACTCCAACCTGCAAATAGACATTAGTAAACAAGAGCCTGAACCATGGGTTTCTCAAGATTATTCAACTTACCATCCAGTTACCACACTCTTCAGTCTTATCCCGGTTAATCTCCAGCTGCAGCCTCTGGGCCGTAGCGTAGTCCCTGGTTTGAATGGCGAGGGCTAGTTGTGAGAGCTGCTCAATCGTTGACGGTTGGACAAGCTCCTCATTGTTCAGGTGATCGAACAAAATGTTCAGACGCTTCTGCGTATCCTTAACCTGAGGGGCAAATGTCGGGGGTGCTTTGGATGCTACCCGCTGCATGTCTTGGCTCAGGATATCCACCAGCACCTGGGCGTGGGCTGGGATGTGCGACCGATCACCGGGAGGGTACTTGGCTGCTGGGGGTGGTGCGGCCTGCTGTGGCGGAGGAGCAGATGCCGTCGAAGGCGGAGGACCAGGACGACCCATCGGAGGAGGTCCTGTTGGCGGTGGCTGACTGGCTGGTACCTGTCCAGGCGCGGGAGCATATGGGGATGGGGCATATGGACTGGGCGATGCCGGCTGCTGTTGAACTGGTGGCGCATAGGGGTTCGCAGGCGGCGGAGGCCTGCTTCCCGGGCCGGGAGGTGGCGGCACAGAGCCGGAATACTGTCCCGGCTGCTGCTGAGATGCCGTCACTGGCGCGTACCTATTGGAAACAGGGGGTCCGGCAGGAGGAGCGTTATAAGGCGAAGCTGTGCGTGGCATAACCGGAGGAGCCGCGTGAGTTGGGATAGCTCCGGCTATGGGGGTTGGCGGAGCATATTGGTTGGCCGCCGCAGAAGAGGTTCGAGGTGGTCCAGTAACCGGAGGTCCGGCTAATGGGGACTGTACTCGAGGAGGAGCTGGTCCCTTGGGTGGTGGAGGAGGACTAGCCCTAGCACCGGGCCCATAAGGCGATGTTGCTGACGGAGGAGGGGGAGGTAGTCCTTGGCCCTGTTGAGCTCCGAAAGGCGATGCAATGGGCGTTACGCCGGGCGTTGACCTTCGCGGCGCAACCTTCGTCACCATAGGGACATCGTTCCAGTTCTCCATATTCTTGGACTTGGATGGCGGAGGGCCTGCTGATGGCGTCGTGTTCCTCGGGGGCCCGCTGATAGGTGGTGGTGCAATTGGCGCTCCGGTAAATCCAAACTGATTCTGAGGCTGGTAGCCCTGGGGTTGGTATCCCTGGGGCTGATAGCCTTGTGGTTGATAGGGGTTAACTGGTGGCTTGTACTGTTGAGCTGTGGAGACTGATGGTGAAGTCTGTTGCAGCCCACCGTATGGGTTCACGGGAGCTTGAATAGGGGCAGGTTGGGGAGGCTGGTAGCCCACCACAGACGGCTGCTTTCCTGCGGAAGGGATTGATGGCGTTCGGCGAGCTGCTGAAACCGGTGCAGCGGCAGGCTTCTTTTGCGTGGCCTGCTTCACTCGGCTCCTGGTCAGCTCGGCAGCCGGATAAGTGGCGGGCAGCAAATCCAGATATTTCTGAGCAACTTCCAATTTACCCTGGCCGGAGAGAATCTCTGCGTATTCAGTGTACTTGTCATATAGAGTCGCCAGCTTCCAATCGGCTGTCTGTGCCAACTCTTTGTCCTGGAATTTGGCGACGTGGCGGAAGACGGTCACCTTTTCAATGAAGCTCTGCAGAGATCGAGTGTGCACTGAAAAGGTAGAACTGCCAGATTCTTCCTTCACTCCAGCTTGCTCTGATTCATTGAGCTCATCCACCCAGATGGCAACAACCTTCTCAAGTTTTGAACCCACAAGGTAACAGAATGAGGCGTCTTTGCGTTGGCCCTGCTCGTTGATCCGGTCTCCCAGAGCCTCACAAAGATCTGGGAATTCAGTTGGATCCGAGAAAGTGCAGACGATAGCCATGGTCTCCTTCCAATTCTCAAGATCTGCGTTGTATACGATATCCCATAGGTCCTTCTCGACAACGGAGCTGATGAGACGCAGGTAGCTGGGGGTATCATTCTTGCGAGAGAGATAGGTAGATTGGACCTTTTCGACAAGCTCTTGACCACCACAGTTGGCAATGAGGAAGGCATCTGCAATACGATTCTCCTTTAAGCAGATATCAGTGGCCTTGGCAAAATTGCCGAGCATCAGAGCTCTTGTGATGTCTTTCTCGACAGAAGTGTCACCGTCGCTGAAGAGGTGGAAGGGCTTATCAGTCTTGGCACCTTTGTTGGCAGTCAGACCAGAAAGAAAGTCATCGCCATCGCCCTCGCCCTCACCAAAGATGTTGGAAAGGCGTCTGGACTTGCCCTCTGCGTCTACAGATTCCTCCTCTTTGGTGGCCACCTCCGCCTCCTGTCCCTCAGGTGCTTCAGCCGACGCTCCGTTTGTTAGGTCTTCTTCTTTGAAGCCAAGATGCTCGACAATCTTGGGACGAGGATTTTCGCCCACTAGTGTCTCGATAACTGTCCAGTCTGCCTTCTCCTCGTCGGTCTGGGCTTGGTCTTTCTTCTCTTGGCAAAGGGTGGCCACATCATTGGAGTTGAGAGCCTCTTGGAATTTTTCGACGGCGGAGGCGACATCTGAATCTGCAGAAAACTGTGAGATTGCCAACTTGGACGAGCGCTCCTGGCCAGCCTGAGTTGACACCCTAAAAATAACGAGTTTGCCACCAAAGCCAAACGAAGCACCAATAGGTCGCTCAAGCCACTTGGGTGCCTTGGCCAATGACCAAGAGGCTCCCTGAGGCTGGGTCTGGGCAGCCCTGAAGAACTCCTCATCATCCAGGGGCTTTTCGTTGACAGCTTGCGACTTATCGGGGTTTGTGTTTTGAAGCGTTTGAATAGTGATTTTGCCGTCGAAGCTTGCGGTAGCTGAGAGGTTGGGGTTGTGAGGGTGGAATCGGGTCTGGAAGGTCCAGTTGGTAACCTCGGGTAATTCACCATAGCGCTCTGCCGTTTGTGGGTTCCAAACAATCGTCTTGTTGTCCTTGCCTGATGAAAGTAGCAGGTCAGGATCTTGTTGGCACCACGACAGTGACAAGACGCCCTGCTCGTGTCCCTGCAGAGTCTTTTCTGGGGCATTAGAGTTGCGCAAGTTCCACAAGAAGATGACGGGAGTGTTGTCATCGGCGGTTGCCGTGAGCAGCTTCGTTGAGTTAGTTGGGTCCCAGGCGATGGCGCTGACCGCTTTGCGGTTGTTGTTTAGGGTCAAAGATGCCTTCTTCGTCTTCAGATCCCAGACAGTCACAAAGCCACCAGGCCCTCCGGTGGCGAGAATGTGGGAGACTTTGCGGTTCCAGGCCAAGCAGTCGATGTCATCGGATCGAGCCGCTGCGTTTCCCAGACGAAAGGGGTTTTCGATGTCGCCGATGTCGTAGATGAACAGCTCGCCTTTGGCGCCGGCAGTAGCCAAGAGTTGGGGCTTGAGGGGGCTAAACTGGATTGCCTTGATAGCACCGGTGTGCTTCGTCGTCTTGGAGATGGAGGCGTCAGACGCTCCAGTCTCGAGCTTCTCGGCGTCCCATAGTTCGAGGGTGCCGTTTTCCAGAGCACCTGCAATGATGCCCTTGGGGTGATCGGCGTCGGCAGGTCCCCAGGCAATATCGTAGAACCTAACAACCTTGGTTTTAGTGACAAGGCCCAACAAGGAGGGGCGGATGCCAAGAATCCTACCTAGAGTCTGTGGTGATGCTGACAACGGGCTGGAGTTCGATGCCCTGGTCTTGGTTGTCGAGTGAAAGATCCCATATTTCTAGCTTGCTCTCGTCAGAGAAATCGGCGTCGACGGCACCGGCTTTTGTTCCGGTGACGACCATGGGTTTTCCGGAGCCGGGCGACCACGCAAAGGTGGCCGTCCGGGGAATATCTCGTAGGCGCACCATGGCGGCGGGGTTGCGGACGGAGGCAGAATTCGAAGAGGCGAATTGGAAAGGAAAAGGGAGATGGATGCCCAATCAAAGGCCTTGATGCAGCATTGATGGCTGGACTTGCACAGCTCCAGGAATTCCTCTGAGCAGAGAGACAATCGCGGAGCTGGGAGGCTGATTTGGACAGATTCAAGGCCAGCTATGATGCCAGATTGCAGGCCAGATGTTCGCATAGCTCCTCCCTGCCCAAAAACCGCGTCTGTGCTTTGCGCCTAGCTGGCGACCAGTTCCTGCACGTGACGCCACCAGAGCTGCAGCGACACAAACATGGAGCAGCGTCTGTTATTGGACCTAGAACTACCTACTAACCTCTAAACATGACCAGTTTGAGTATCAACGAATGCTGGGGAAAACACATCATAACGGGCCAATGAGGTTTCAGACGATGAATGAATTAATTTATGAAATTGAAGTTTTAGTAACTCAGCCTGCATACCCAGCAAGATCATATACAGCAATGCTACCTGGGTGTGAGGCAATAAGACGGGGCTGCTCTGCGTGGGGGATCCAGATCGGACCCTCAGTTGCGCCTCTACAAAGATGAACCAACAAGACATATAAAAGTATTAGACTAATCTGTGTACTATTTCCGACGATTTAAATATTCTATACACTGTTAGAGTTGATAATCATACCTAGCAGGTAATATCGCACTTTTAAATATCGAGTATCTGGATATACGGATACCTGCCCTCGTTTTACAAGGATCGAAGAAACCTCGGCATCAAGCCCGCCCTCACCTCATCTCAAGTCATCCCCATAGTTTTTGTCGTCAACGGTGCTGACATATCATGCCCTCCGGAGTTTACATGTAAATGTTCCAGATCGTATTGTACATGATACCTCTCAACTGCGCCATTTCTTAGGTCAATGAATTGCGCTCCTGTCTTCTGAGCGCCCTATAAATAGGTACATGTACTTCGCCTGACACAAGAAAGAATAAACACGACATGGTTGGCGTTCCACGACGGTCGAGAGGCTGCATCACCTGTCGCAAACGGAAGAAGGGCGTGAGTACATCGTCACTTTCGCGCAATATGCATATTCAGATTGTTTAACCAGCGCCGCCCAGTGCGATAGGCGCACTCCTGTGTGCGATCGATGTGTTCGTGCAAAGGTAGTCTGTGAAGGCTATGAGACTGACAGGATCTGGCTCAACTCGACTGCAAGCGCATCATCTAACCAGGAATGTTGCACATCACCTCAGTTGGAAGCAGTATCAGACATTCGGCCGTGGATAGTCAGCTATGCAAAGAAGAGAGAAAGCAACTCTCACGTTGTCCTGCCAGATTCGTTCGCAAGATCGGCGAGGGAGCAGCTGTACTTTGGACTCTTCTGGAGCATAATGATACCAGATGGACCTCAATTTTCACCAGAGTCTTCAGATTTATCCTCGGTTGGCTGGACAAGATTCATCGGGGACTTGTACAACACTGAGACTGCTCTTCGATATGCGACAGTGGCTACGGCGACTTCCGTTCTTGGAAGGATCAACAACGATGAACAACTGCGGTTGAAGGGCTTACAAGTGTATAACTGGACAATACAAGAGATGATTAAAGCTGTTAGGCAGCCGAGTCGAGCAAAGAGTGACAGCTTGGTAGTGGCTGCCAGAGTTATGGCGCTTTATGAGGTACGTTTCTCTTGGAAGGGTATGTCGTTCATGGTATGATTCTGATAAAACATCTACTTTAGCTTTTCTTTGGTCCCGATGGAGATCCAGGAGTGGCTGGATGGCAGAGACATAGCGAGGGACAAATCGCCATGTTCCTTGCGCGAGGGCCAGAGTCCTTTGTATCTGGAGTATCTCATCAGTTGTTCGTTGATAGCCGCATAAACATAGTAAGTTATCGACTGGTAAACTCCTATGTTATAGACCGAAACAAACTTGCTGATGCCAACAATTACGGGTCTAGATTTTATTAGCCATCAGGCGGAGATGTTCATCTCCATTCAGCTCCGATGATTGGAAAACAGTCCCCTGGACTATTACCGAGAAATCTACCAAAGACAAGCTCATTGATGCTATGAGCGGTATTCCAGATATACTAGTTCAGGTAGACTGGCTAGCCGGAGCCGGTACTTCAGAAACTGCGGATGAGATTCGAAAAAATATCTTGCCGCAGTGTCGGGAGCTAGAGGCCGCCTTGATTGCGTGGCGGATTCATGTTGATCTATCCATATACGACCACGCAATTGCAGGGCTGCCTCTACCCATACCACAACTTGATAGCGATTTTTCATTGCTTCATCTGAGCTGTGTCTACTGGAGTATATGCCTAATGTTGTCGTGCATCATAGAGTCTATATCCGAAGACCCCTTGGTGGACGGTGTATCAGAGGATACAACGGACTCAGCATATTTAGGGCGTCATGATCAGAAGTTGATAGGCCGCCCAGAAAGATATGCTTCAAAAATTGTCAATTGCGGCCATCTCTTTTTTGAGCCAATGGCCGGCGCTGTCCAGGGCGGCTCGGGACTCTTCCCTATGGTGTGTGCCTTGCGGTTCTATGAGCTTGCTGCCGAATGGTCAGGCGAAAGAAGCGCCGAGTTACAGATTCTATATGACCTCTTTGATAAGCCGTTCATGGGCAATCAAGTAGGGAGATATCTAGCTCATCTACAAAAGAGCATGTGGAGACATGATTTGAATACCCAATTTACCAGAAGACTTGGATTGTCTCGACTAAATTACTGGATGGCGTGGTTTTGAAGCAGTTATCAGTATTATGTTATTCAGAACCTAGATATATATTGGCCTCTATAGTCTAAAAAATGTTGCGTATATGACGGGAGCCGTGGTAATAAAACAGGTGAATTGGTCTGGTTGTTTATTCAATGGATAGATGTGACATTCGTGAAAGATGAACATGGTATTTCGTGACGGGGCATGGATGGCTGCGAACCTGATCCGCATTAGGACGGTATGATGATTCTCTCTGGACGCCGGCCGGGGAATAATGTACAGTCGGCTGTTGTTCCTGTTTCATCTGGAAGGGAGCACCTTTCTGACGTATTCCCTGACCAGTCGCAACGCTGCCCTCACGATATCTTCTAGCCGACGGTCCTTTCGACTTCGCATCCAGAGGAGTATTATGCTCAGGACGACACAGTCGATCAGCAGGTGCTTCATGACGACGAAAGTGAACCACTTTATCCAGGAAGGAAAGCTCTTTTCCTTTTTCGACTTCCACTCCCGTCCCGTGGCAATCTGTTCGCGAAGAGCGGCAACTTCTGCCGTGAGCTTAGTGATAGCTCGCTCCATCTTCTTAGACCATCGGCTGTTCTGAAGGCTGACGGCACGTTCCTCCTCGTCCCTCGCCACCGCATCTTCGTCGTCCTCGTCGATTTGCCGGCGGGATCGCAGCTCGACCACATCTTGTTCGCTCATGGGGCTTAGGATCTTCATAGGTCCATCGCTGCCGTTCCTCGGCTGCTGGAAGCTATGTGTGGGGTCACTTGGGTTGGCTGATGAGGAATCGGAGCTGGGAACGTTGTCTTTAATCTGGTTCCAAACAAACTCGAGCTCAGCAACGAGCTCTCTCCCATCCCTGCTTAAAGAAGTTAGTTTCCATGTACCAGCATCTGGTGATACCCTCAACTTACGACGTGTTTGCGTATTTGTGCATTGTCTCGATGAGCGCTTCGACATATCGCCTCTTGGACTCGGTCCGGGTTAAGCCCTTTTGTGAATTCCACGCATCCCACTTATCCCGCTCCTTTTGCAGCTCGTCCGGAGGTAAACCCGACCCGGCCGTGGGCATCTCCATGACACCATCCACATCCCCCTCCATGGCCTGCTTGTAGAGGCCATACAGCCGTAGGCGCTCAGAAGGGGGTGGCCGCGACGCTCCAGTCTTGGGTATCTTCTTGACGGTGTTTAGGGCATGAACAAAGACTCGATCTGCAGCATTGGGCGGTCAGCATGTGCATGTACCATTGCGGGCTCGTGGGGGAGCAGATGCATCTGCCATTATACCCACCTACGGAGTCCGCCATCGGGGGCGGCTATGACGGGGAGCCGTGCTGCTCCCAACAAGCCTGAAAGCAGCCTCGTAGAATCGTCCGGGACAAACAAAACTCTTGCTTAGAATTGGTGCGAATCCTTCCCCTATTCTTATTCTTCTCGGGTCCCCTCTCTCTTGGCCACTAAATGGCACTGTTGGGTGGAATAGGGCGTCGGCTGGGGGGCTTGGATTTGCTGATCCGGAAAGGCTGATCGGTTTGGCGATAACAGCCGACGACGGACGGCGCGAATACACTGCAGCTATAGAACGAGTCGTCGACGCTCAGCACTGCGACAAGCTCTTATCCCGCGACGATGACGCAAAGGCAGGTGGCAGAAGAGGGATTTCAGGTGATTACTTGGTCGTGGCAAGTTTAGTGGATGTCGAGATTATGTCTGCGGGCGTTTCGTTGGCGATGGAGGCTCGGTCTGTCTTCCGGCTCGCAATTGAACCTCGGCGCGCTCGCGCTCCATAAACTCGGAAATGCTTCGACGCTACCGGCCAGGGGGCTTCGGCTGCTGAAAAAGAGTGTGGCACAACCAAGAGCTGCGCTGGGCCTCGCGTCATCAACTCGGGTATGCGATACCTGCCGCAGCACGTGAAAGTCGCCTGGGCGCTTAGTAAAAGGTACCTCGACTGCAGACGGCGCCGGTGTTTTTAGGTCCAGTTTACCCCAGATTAGCTGCCCAGCACATGAAGAAGAGGGTCTTTACCGCTTTTATGTGCGGCAGACAAAGAAATGGCATGCAGCTTTGGTCCAGTGATTTGATTGCATTTACAGAGTACCTGCTGAGATACTACCTGATATTTCCCAGTGCACGGGTCAACACCTATTTGGAGGGTGAAGATTACAAAATACATCTTGGGCTTCAAAGTACCAACCTCGCAATGTTTGCTCCATCTGAAGCATCTTTGCTCCTCCGTGACACACAATTTGCAAGTGAAACTCTTCATTAATACCTTTTTTTTTTGGCAGACCAAGACAGCACCCATCGGGAGATCGGGTTCCCAAAACGCACGATGTGACAAGTGGTTACAAGCCGGTCACCATGGCGAGACATTTCGCTAATACCTGTCACCACACTCGATACAGCTTGTTCTAGCATCAGCAGTGATATGACAATGTTCTTTATTCATCACAACAGTCAGGTTGTATGTATCCTGTTTAACAGTAATCCAGTTCCAGGTTCGAGAGCTGGTCCACCCATTATTCTTACGCAATGTATCCTGTGTCGTATCCCTTTGTCGATAGCCATACCCGTAAACGCCTCTTATTTCACCACCCAGATAAAAGGCCGTTCACAACCGAACTCTCGTCTCTAGCTTGCATATACTGCCTCTTCTTTTCCTCGTATGCCTGGATCAGTCGCTTGTTCTGCAATGCCGTCTCAGCTGCTTTTTGTCCAGCATCCTTTTTGCTTAGGGCTGTGCCAACTGCCAATAGTCTTCCAACCTCGCCGTAGCCGGTAAGATATGCTCCAACAGTAAACAGAGGTAGTCCAAGATTCTTGTCCTTCTTCTCGCCAGGGAGATCCTTGTAGTCAATCGTAACCCCTTTAGCTACGATTTTCACGCTCAGCTGCTGCTTTGCATTTGAGCTTGTCACCTCCGCCGCTGTTGGTTGAGCTTCTGATCGCTTTTTTGCTGCTTCGGCCTTGCAGATATCTTCCTTGATAGTCCTACCCCAGAGTGTTTTCAGCCACTCCACCACTTTCGTAAGGCCTTGTTGAGGATCCGAGAGAATGACGGCCGCGACATAGGCTTCGAACATGTCGGCCTGTGTCTTGACCAAGTCTTTATCCTTTGACCTGCCTCGCCCGTGACCCCTGTAATCACCAAAGGCACCCGGAAGCTTGGCCCACTGAGACATTTCATAGTGTCGAAAGTACTCGGCGAGAGTGACGTTCCGAATCAATCTCTCGCGGAGTTGAGAGCAAGCCCCAGAACGCAACTGCGTGAATGTTTGGTGAATGAGAGAGCTCGCGATAAGCTCGAGATATGCATCGCCTAGCCATTCTAGGCGCTCATAGTTGTTCAATCCAAGTCCGGGATGCGTGAATACCTCTTCAGTAAGTTTAGGGTCCAAAATAGGAGGTAGAGGTGGCCACTCTTGCCGAATCTCCGAAGAAGTCCATGGTGTCACCCTGATATTAGAGAGCAAGGGTATGCCAGAAGTGTCATGGGTGACTACCGACGCCTTGAGGTTTTTAAGTTAGTTTTCAGCCGGCTGGTGGGATGATGGAAGTCGCTGGGAAAGTCATATGCATACCGTTGGTGTTGTCTCAATTATGGGCTGGGGAGTCTCAGGCTCAGGCTCCTCAAGAGATCCGATAATCTGAAATGAAGGAAGCAGTTGCTTGGTCAATCGAGACAGTCGTGATTTTACACTTCCAAGCCGGAGCTCTGAAGGGTTCTTGCTCTGTGAAAACTGGCGCTTCAAGGATTGAAGACAATCTACGAGCTCATCCGCCTGTTCTGCAAGCAATGTCAACGCTTGATCTGATGCCTCGGCGCTATTGACAGATTCGTCATTTTTTCTCAGGTCCCCCGTCTGCTGCCTCTTTGCCCAGTGGTCCCCCGGGGATGCATTCGGTCGTTTAGGCATATTCTCTCTGACAATATACTGAAAAAATAATGATGAAATATTTCGCGTTTGATGTGAAGAATCCAAGGATGAATTCAAGGCGCTTTTTGGGGCGGGTCGATTCACTTGAGAAAAGACCCACCTCCTTAGCGCGGTAGATGCTAGTCCCAAGATAGGTTAGCCTCTTTTCTTTTGATATGCGCATTCAAACTTCAATTCAACGTCAAAAGCCGGTGCCATCCTTGGAGATCAAGCATGTAAAGATGAGTGTCCCTCGTGCGCGGCTGTTAGACTTGATGAAGGTAAAGATTCCTCAGGATTCTATTGCTCGTGAATTGCAAACTAACTTGTTTTAGGCGCAATGCCAAGTATTTGCCACGACGTTCAACCCTGAGGGGATTCGCATGGGCAACAAGGTCTTGCGACAGCGACTCAAAGGCCCTGCGCTCGCCGCTTACTACCCCCGGAAGCTGGCATCGATTAAGGATGTGAAGCGAGAGTTTGGCCCAGTCCTTGCCACGTGGGACGACGCCGAGGAAGATCGATTCGAGTACATTGAAGAGTAGGTGCATTGGAACAAGCCTTGAAGAGACGGCCGGCTAAAACTGCAATTCTAGGCTTAAGCAGCGTGGAAAGAGTGCGCCAAAGAAGAAGAAGGGCCCTCCTGGTATGTTACCATCATCTGATGATGATTCATTTTCCTGTTGGAATGTCCATTTGCTAAGAATTTTACAGCTCCCACCCCCGGAAAGAAGCGATAATCGTCGCACTATCAGTGGCGATGGTGTTCTCTCCACATTGTCATGTCTGATTCACATGAACACAGATCTATGTTATCATAGTGGGAGGCTATCATGAGAATAAAAAAACATGGCGTTGAAGGATATGGTGACTCAAGGCTTTGTGATGCCACTTGAGATTTTAAAATCGACTGTACTGTACAATTACCCCCAAGCTCGGATCAGATCACCTGATTCCGTTGCGAGACGAGAAAAGGAATGTTGTATTAGATAGGATGGATACGAATAGAGGTTTATGTTAACTAGGATCCTCGCCGAATGGAATGAGAAATCTGGTCCGTGTTGAGAATATTGGAGGCTTCTAATTTCAGTGCCAAGGAGGTGCCTACCTGTAGGCAGTAACTTGGGCGCCTACTGATGTGATACTAGACTTTGGAAATTTCGCATCTCATGGCTCTTCTGACGGCCATTATTTCGAACTCAGATAAGTACAAATAACGCTAGTGTGTTGGTGCCTAGGTAATCGTAACAAAGAGTCAAGGGCAAACAAAGGAGAGCAAAACCCGCGTCTCTAGGCAATCTTTGGAAGCTCGCTGTGATTCACAGAGGAGTTTGTTGCCTACAATGTCCCACTCGGCAAGTTCTCGAAGCACTAGTAGGTGCCCGAAAACCGCCTGATACATCTTCTCTACCTATTCTTTCTATATATTCCTCTATCCTCTCTCTTTTTTCCAGGCCTAAATACATCTAAACTCGCTGCAAAGCCTCGTTCAGCACCGCCAAAATATCGCATCCAATTCCTTATAGGCACCTGACCTTGGCTGACGTATAAATCCTGCCTTGTCTTTTGGCCTTAGCGAGCACCAGACAAGGCGGTGGCCCTTTTCGGCGATAGGAACTGACAGCCGCTGCCAGCTCCTTCCTCTGGCTGCCTGACAGGCCGTTCTTTCACCCGAGACTGCAACCGACAGCTAACATCTACTTCTGCAATTCTCTGTCCCTTTAATTTCTTCTTCGTCCACACAACATCCCCCATCGTCCACCAGTTTTCTTCCTCTTTTCTCTCTTTCAACTTTGGCACACAAGCTGCGCCCAGTCTAGCCCTCTTAGGGGAGCTTGTCTATTCCAATAGCACTCTCCGCTGCATCCTCTCATTGATCTTTATCTCGTTACCTTCTTCCCATAATTTTCTGCGGAGGAAATGTCGACTTCCGGCTCCTCGGGATCTACTCCTCAGCGCTCGGCTACGTTTTCAGCCGGCACACCCCTGAAAGATATGTTGGTGCAGGCAGGAAATGTGCTCTCGGCGACTGTAGCCTCCAGTGTAAGTTCCTTACCGTCCTTGGATCTGATGTTTGCAACGAAACTACAAGCGCCGGATGCTTGGATTCCGATTGGCAGCATGAGAGGCATGGTGGTATATATTTGCTTACTCCCTTGCTCTAGGAAGCTGGAACCAGCTCAGCGATGAAAGAAAAGGGTATTTCGCCATTGACTACTTCCAAGTTGGCAAACCAAGGTTACCCAAAGGTAAATGTCTTAACCATCTGCTCCCGTGATTCTCCTCCTACTCACCGTTCATATGAAGCACGTCCACAACCTACCCACCAATAACTCCTTTCATATGGAGAAGCCTTTTGCGAGAATGCCAGAGCAGGTTTCCATCAATCAACAGAATCAGACCGGGAAAGCAGTGGAAGACGAAGGTGCCTTCTTGAGAGTCTGTGACCAAACTCCTTCAACCACTTCGCTTCCCATCACTCCAGTAACCGAAGGGTTCTCTGCTACGGCCCCGACTACGCGCCCAGCTAGCGTCACCCTTGAAGATCCTCGTCCAGATGCTGAAGAAGTTTTCCGCTTGAAACTACAGCTGGCACAAGCCAGGAACCACATCTCCAAGTTGGATCAAGAGCTTGCTCAGTCGCGGTCTGTCAAGGAATCTGACGCAGCGGTCTCTCGCACTGAAGCGGCTCCTCGAGAGAATATTTGGAGCAGAGGCACCCCAGATGATACTCAGTCCGATACTAGTGATTCTGCCTCAGCCACCGCACTTAATCGTGCCCGTGGAATCTGGGGATCTACAAAGGCGTCCTTCTCCAACAACAACAACTCTCTTCATCCACCTGCTCCTGAGCCATCTCCCGCTCACTGGTTTGGTGGCCGAGGATTTAACCAAAGTTGCGTGGACCCGAACTCGCCTTACATTCTTGTTGACAGCCATCGTCCTGAGCGTCAAGCTCCTGATCACGACATCATGCGGCCTCCATCGAACCGCCGTGGTGCTCGCTTCGACAACCGAATGAATCCGAACCACCAGTTTGGAGCCCCATATGTCAATCTCAGCGGCCCAGCTCATCAGTTTGACTCGGTCGGAGGCCCAGTGCCTGTCCCAATTCCAGGTGCTCACGTTAGCGTCGGACCAGCAATGGCTCCAATGGGCATTAACATGTATCCCCCATTTCACCAACAAGCCATTGGCACTCCTCTTTCTCCCCATGCCTCAGAGTTCACCTCAAAGGCTGGCTGGAAGAATGAGGTACCCAGCAGTTCGATGGAAATCACCCACTACCATCCACATGCTGATGAAAAACAGGTTGTTCCATCAGAGGGACCAACTTATCTCCCACCAACAGAGCCTCTTAATTACCGCCGCCTTCTCGACCGAAACGTGAATTGCAATTGGAAGTACATTGTTGATAAGATTGTTTGCAACAATGACCAACAAGCTTCCATCTTTCTGCAACAAAAGCTCAAGGTGGGCACACCAGAGCAGAAGTATGAGATTGTCGAAGCGATTGTGGCGCAGGCATACCCCTTGATGGTCAACAGGTTTGGCAACTTCCTTGTTCAACGCTGCTTTGAGCACGGAACTCCGGAGCAGGTCATTAAGATTGCCGAAGCCATTCGTGGAAACACTCTGAACTTGTCCATGGATCCCTTTGGGTGCCACGTTGTGCAAAAGGCATTCGACTCGGTCCCAGAAGAATACAAGGCAATCATGGTTCACGAGCTCCTCCGTCGAATCCCTGAAACCGTGATTCACAGGTATGCCTGTCACGTTTGGCAGAAGCTTTTCGAACTTCGATGGACCGAATCTCCACCCCAGATTATGAAATTTGTCAACGAATCTCTCCGAGGAATGTGGCACGAGGTTGCCCTTGGAGAGACTGGCAGTCTTGTTGTACAGAACATTTTTGAGAACTGCCTCGAAGAGGACAAGGTAAGTGGTATTCAGACTTTCCCGAGATATTTTAATATCTAGCTAATACACGGTCATTCAGCGCCCGTGCATTGAAGAAGTCCTTGCCAATATCGACATTGTGGCTCACGGCCAATTTGGGAACTGGTGCATCCAGCACATATGCGAACACGGAGCGCCCCCTGACCGCAGCCGGGCCATCGACCACGTCATCCGGTATGCCGCAGAGTATAGCACTGATCAATTCGCCTCCAAGGTTGTGGAGAAGTGCCTCAAGATTGGAAGTGCCGAGTTTCTCGGTCGATATCTTGATCGAGTTTGCGAGGGGCGCCGCGACCGTACTCGCATTCCTCTGATTGACATTGCCAGCGACCAATACGGAAATTACCTTATTCAGTGGATTCTTAACAACGCTTCTCCTCAACATCGTGAGATGGTTGCTGCCCATATCCGAAAGCATATGGTCTCTCTCAGGGGGTCTAAATTTGGATCTCGTGTCGGAATGCTATGCACTAACCACGCGGTCACGACTCGCCCCGGCCCCGGTGTTGGGCCCGGTATGGGCGGCAGCCGCATTGGAGGACCGGGACCAGCCAGGTTCGGAACCTCTTACCGCTGATGCGGTATAGGCATCGACGGTATATACGTGTGCGAGGCGCTACCTAACACTTTGGCAAGCCTTCTGCTAGGCAATCCTGCGCAGCATCGTTTGTTTTTTCTCACAAGACATGTTGCCGACTCGTCCCATATCTAATTTCCACTCTTGTTGCTCTCACGCAGATCACAAGATGACACAAAGAATTTGTCGACTTCTTCTTATGAACATATTCCCATGCAATCAATTTACAGATCACCCGTCATCCTACGCTCAGCTGGCTACTGCCTGACTGGGTGCATTGGACACAATATGGTTATGCATTTTGAAATATGCAGGAGACTACATCTGCTAACCGTAACGACAACATTCTCTTTGACAAGAGCTCGGATTGCATCTCGACATGTAAAGGCAATGACACATTCACTTAGGACGGTGCGTACCCCCAACACTCGAAGACGAGGCTGAGCTAATTGATGTAACAAGCCCGGTGATTATTAGAACATTTTAATTGCAAAAAGGGGAGTGGGAGCGGGAGTGTATCACGTTGATGGAAACTGCAGTTTGTTTTGCGCGGTGGAGACAACGGAGGGATGTTATACGAAAAAAAAAAGTCTTAATTGTGTTAATAGTTGCGACGCTCTTTATTACAGGATTTCTCTTTTTTTTGTTTTGACTGCGGCTTCCGCGTGCTTCAAGCACAAGGGGCCGTAATTTCGAATAATGACGTTAGGCCGTTTAATCGAGACAGAATTTCAGGTTGAAAGGGGTATGTTTATTAAATCGTAACCAAACATGTTCAGTTTCAGTTTGGCATCCAACTGTCACACGTGAACAAGAGCGCGGGCCATCTGCATCGGCCAGTAGACGCCATGAATGCATTTCAATGAGTGGATATTTTCTCTCCATCACCATCGGACAGCGATGACACTGCCGGCATCATGAAGATCCTGTTGCCGCTGCCGCTGCGTTCTGTTGCTCCACCGGGGGGAACTCGAGATCAAGCGTATTCTCAACACCACCAGCACCCGCCTCGACATTTGCAGATGTCTCCTTTTCCCAAGGCTTTCTAGGAACGGCCCGTGATCCAACAGGCTTCACCGTCTACAAGGGCCTCATGTGTGAGTACAGAAGCCGTATGCAAAAGACAAGCCAATCTTTGAGTTTGTGTACTTACAGGATCTCGTTCAATAGTGTTGGGGATCTGTCTGATGCCGGGAATCGGCTTGCCCTCCTGGAGGAGCTTGATCATCTCGGCGAAACCAAGGGGGTAGGACGGTTCCCCCTCGCCGGAGTGGGATTGGGCGCTTCGGTCGACGTAGAGATCTGCCTTGGGGGCGGCCTGCTGCCATGGTGTTGCGGAAGAAGACGACGGAGAGGATGATGACGGCTGCTCGTATTCCTCGGGGATGATGTGCGGGGGCTGGCGGTCCGGGTTCCGGGCGAGCCAGGCGTGGTAGGCGGAAAAGTCGATCTGGACGCCGATGCGCTGGGCGTAGTAGAAGATGCGGGCGTGGGTGGCGATGTCGCGGAGGGAGCCTTGCGGGTTGGAGGAGTTTGGGGCGCCGAGGATGGCGCGGAGGCCGGACTTTTGTGTTGTAGATGTAAGTGAGATGAGGACGGTTTATGATGAGATTGGGATGAGTTTTGGACGTACGAGAAAGGCAGAGTCTTTGGTCCAGGGGTAGGCGTCGAAGGCGTTGAAGATTGCGTCTTGGTCTGTTAGTGAGCGGATGCGGTCTGCGCCTGGATATGGTTCTTGTGGTTCTGCCATTATGTATTGTTTCTTTGGGGGGGTTGATGAGGGGATTGATTCGCTTTGGAGTGTTTATATGAGAGATTGTGTTTTTACTAATGGCTGAGTTGAGATGTGATGAGAATCGAGAATTATGCTATGAGAGGTTCAAAGAGGCACAAGGGTTAAAGGGTCTATGAGTTTGGATTATGAAAATGGCTGGTTGACGGTTCTTCAACTCCATCCATCTCGTTTGCTCAACCTTCTTAGTCCATTCGCCTGGGTTGCATGTGAAGTGGGAATGGCGCGAGGTGGGCAAACCTCGGCCCCGGTTTTGAGTCGTGGGCGGTTTGATGCCATTGGCTGCTTTTTAAGTGAATGGCTGGGGGGGATTTGAACAAACTGAACCATCGTGAGAATAAAGCTGCTGCTGTACGACTATATATCAAAAGCATCAATTCACTACTGTAATTACAATGAATTCACCAAAGCATCGTAGGGGAATAAACCGTCCTTGCCATGTGCCATCTCGCGCTTTTTCATGTCCATCTACCTAGCATTTGCGTCCTATGGATGCCGACTCGGGCATCTTTCATATCGGGAATCATGGGTAGTACTAATAATAACAACAATGATCATAACCACACAACCCCCCCTCCCGTAACTCTTCGTTTCCCTTTTCCAGCCAGAAATCAACCTGATGGACCACACATTATAACCTCCGCAGCCTTTTGTCTCTCCGAGTATATGAGCACACAACGCCTCGCAATCATCCCGTGGAATAATAAAGCCCCCGACTCCAAATATTCGAACGCTGGTCTTGACCAAGATATAAAAATAAATAGAAAAAATAGAAGAAAAAAGAGACAGAGGGAAATTACGCGTAAAACCATTAGCCGTCAAACTGATGAGCTCATCGTCCTTCGAGAGCAGCGAGCTGGGCAGTCAGGTCCCTGTTCCCCACTAGGAGTTCTTCTAGCCAATCTGCTGTCATTGTCAACATGGTGCTCTTGCTGAAGCCACCCCCGTTGAGTCCGGGAACGATCTCGCACAAGTCATCAAACCCTTCTTTTATGAGGGTTCGGCGCTTTTGCTCGCTGCGGATGTGGTTTTCTCGCTTTTGTTCTTCCGACAAGTTTTCGCGCGGTGGCTTGACTCCGTTCAGGGCTGACTTCCGTCGCTTGCCCGCCATGCCGACCTCCATGGGTGGCGACGAAACGGACCCGTTCCGATCGGCCTTTGCTTTCCTTCGCTTGGCGGCGGCAGATTTGCTCCCGTTGGTGCTTTGATCCTCGCCTTCTTCTGTGCTATCCTTTTTGATTTTGCTCTTTCGTCTCTTGCGAGGGGGTGCGTCGTCATCGTCGTCTGGTCTCTCTGCGGACTCTGATGTATCTCTATGTAAGCCTATCGGGAACGTGGACTGGTTGTTGGTCGGGCTACTAGGACGAGTTGTTGCGGCGCTCTGGCTGGGTTCCAAACACTCGAGGCACTTGAGCTGCTCCTGATGCTGCGTCTCGACCGTTTCCTTGTTCGCTTCGGGTGTATAGCCTTGGGCAAGGTTGAAGTTGGCATCAGAGCCCCATTGGTAATCCACGGGGATGGCCCGTGTGGTCGAATTCTGGCGTCCTTTGGAACCCCACATCCATTCTGTAAAGGTATTATCAATCTCCGTGTGCGCCATGCCTTTACGGCTCTCTTCTCGGAACTCTTCCATACCCTGGTGGCGGAGGTGGCCGACGGGAGGACCAAGGGGTCGCCGCGGGGTAGATGAGTCGTTTTCGTTGTTCTTGTGACCTCCTCGCAGACCGGGTCCGTTTTGCATCAACGTGGCCGCGGCGTTCAAAACATCATCGGAGGGGTGTTGTTGGTAAGCGTTCGGCTGTGAAGGGGGAGGTGGCGGCGGTGGCATTAGATGTGATCCAGATATGCCCATATGAGGGCTGTGAGAGTCGTTGGTAAAATTTAAATGTGATTCCTGGCCGAGGGGTGCGGCTGACTGAGATCCGTAGGAAGTTGCTGTTCCCATCAACTGGGGAGGCAGGTCGAACCAGGCGTTGTAATTCAGACCCTCTCCGAAAGAGGGCATGTTGTACTGGTTTGCCGTCATGTCATCGAAGAAATCACTGAGAAACTTGCTATCGGTTTCGCTCAGCAAGGGAGCGCCGGGCGCAGGCTCGGGGGCATCGAAGAGAGGTTCTTGGTTGCCATCGACGGAATCTAGCGACGGCAGGGTCAGCATGACTCTTTAAGTCCCTACACAGCAGGCGACTCGGGACACACGCACATCCGAAGGGCATCTGGAAAGGATCGGAATCGGGCTGCGACGAACCCATCCTGCTGGGAGGCTGCCGGACGGCGAGCATGGGTGCGCCTTTGTGGGAGAGACGGAAGCCGGGCGAGGCCGCGATGCTGTGCGCGGGACTAGGCGAAGACGAGTGACGAGAAACAGGCGCTACGGATGCCCTGGCCTCGGATGGACATTTGCGATGGACGACTGTGTCTGTAGGGCGCACGCGATCTTAGTTCGAGAAGCACATGAAAGAAGCTGGGGGGGGGGAATCCGGGGTAGCGGAAAATCGACCACTGGGGGGATCGAGGTTTAAAGGTCGAAGCAGAATATGAGGTGAGGCCGAGTTGGAGTGGGGCGCAGGACTGTTCAGCGGCTGGGTCACGGTTTCGGTGCTTTGGTCCAGGTGGTGTCGTGGGCGGTCCAGGGGGGGTTGGAGGATGTTGGAGGGCCTAGCAGAGCGCTGGTTCAGGCTGGTGCACCGCTAAAACGGGTCGACGTTTAGAGGGAGTGGAGTCGTGCTGGTGCTGCCACGGCCAACCTACAGTAAGTCTGCTGAGCACAGAAGCAGGCACTTTGATGTCCACTATTTGACAGCTCAGACAGAGCACGACGGTCTTGACGGAGACAGTTGAGGAGCAAATGGCAGTCGAGGGTGGCCAAGGGCAACATGTAGGGAAAAGCTGCAGCGCACCAGCCTGAAGAGGCGTCACTCCACTGACAGGCGACCCCACGAGGGGCACGAGGACATGAAATGAATTTGACGGATCTGATTCAAGTTCCTGTACTCGGACGCTCGCCGCCTGTAAGCAACGAGGAACCCGGAGCAAGCAAGCAATCTAGGTGCAGAGGCGGTAGCGGAGCCCTCGGGCTGCGGCTCGATGCGTGTACTCGGTACTCGTTACTCGCACTTGATGGAACTCTGTCGCAACAATGCTAGCGCCGTATTGATTGAACTGATCAATGTGAATCGACGGATTGTGGGAGAGCCAGTTGAGGCTGCTTTCTGCTCCACGCGCCCTCATGCAACACCGGCGGTGCTGGCGGTGGGCGTGGGCGTGAACCCGCTTGTTCTCGTCGGTTGCGGCTGTGCGTCAAATCAATCCATGGTATGAAGGAATCGCCATTGCCCGTGCCGTATTATTGTCTGTATCCGTTCGTACTCGTACCTGTACGACCGTCTTTGGAGACGAACCAGAAAAAATTCAAGCATAGACCCCTGTCCCGTCAAGGCCCGCTCTTCTTCAAGTCACCTGGTGGGTTTGGCAGAAGGTGTCTGGAGTGGCTCTAGCCGCAGGAATAGGAATAGCATGGGCAACGCCTGTGGGATACTTTACCTCTTTATCGAGGCTTCTATTCGGCAGAGGTACTTGGCGTTACTTGAACTCACGCCCATCGCCCCCCTTCAATCTGTAGATTTAACTTTTACTCAAAAGTACTCCAGCACCGTGGCTTGTACCTCCAATCCAGTTGACTGATACACCCCGTTTGATTCAAACAGCTTCTCTCTTCGCTCTACCCACTTATTCGCCAAAGCGAGTATCACATGCCATTTCGTCATTCCTTCATTCTCGGCACCGAAAGCACACAAGACACAATAATGATGAGCAGCAACCAACATACGAGTATGACGGAACGCTGAGATGCATCTAGGAACAGGCCTGCCGCCAAAATCTTCCGTACGGAGATATGCACCCCCCTCCGTAGCACTGCTTCCTCCCAACCTGCTTAACTCGGACATGCGCCGTAGAGGGAATCCCGTCTCAGCTGGGGGTATTATTAGATTTGTTGACGAACTCGGGTTGGTTGGCGTTGCAGTCGAAGCAAAAAGGGACCCCCATGCCATGCCGTTCAATGATCACCATTATGCCGAAAAAGCAGTGTTACACCATCTTCAGTTGCAGTTGGATCAACTTCCCTTTTTTCTTAGGGCGAGAGGCGTTCATGTTCTAGTCCTTAGTAGTTCTGCACATCATTTGCCGTACCGGCCTGAACTGCCAGATCAGAACATCGGTCTGTGTTTCCCCCCCTCCTCTGCCTCTGCCTCGGCCGAGGTTCGCGAAGTACATATTAGCTACTAGTCATGACTCCAGCGTCGCAAGATGCTTCGCCTCTCCCCCCCTGGCTATTTCGATCTCGAAAAGAAGGAAATAGAGGGAGAAAAACATAAGTTCCCGCGTTTGGTGGAGCTCGGGTTCGTGACATGCCGGGTTGCAGTGACATCGGTTGAAGGTTAGTGGTTGCTTGATCTGAAGAGCCGGTGCGCCAACGACGATGCATCCCTCCCTGATTGTGCTTGTGCATCGTAGCATGCAGATAGCAGCGCGGTGTGTATTATGTATGAATAATATGAAGGGCTAATGAAATGGGGTTCTGCATCCCAAGTTGGCCATCCAGCATCCCGTGTTTCAATTTTACTGAAGCACTATAGTGATGATATAGTTAGCATCTGCAGGAAGAAGCAGAAGTAATCACGAGGGAGAAGTAAGACAAGACAACCAGAAAAAAACGACGATAGTACATCACAGTTACCAGAAAAACAACCGCAAGTACTGGTGGGCAGTTTTAAAAGACCAGATTCAATGCAATCAAATGCAATGCAATGGAAGAGTCGCATCCGGCAGCTGCTGGCTGCTCTGCCGAGGCTCCGGATTCGAGATTCACACCCCACGAGGTTGAGGTTTTGCTACATGTACCTGCTCTCCGTCCCTAGTGCGCAATGCTTAAAAAAAAGGTCCCCTTTAAACGTTCAACGCCACAGTCAACGAAACAATCGGCCTTCCCCTAGCCCGCCCAATTAGCAAATTCTATGCTTTGCGTGTATTCCATGATCGTCCTTGTTTGACGTCGTTGTCAATTGGCCCCCTTTTTTCTCGTCTCCCTGCCACCGATAGCCGTGATTCGACGATATACGCAGCTGCATCATCGCGGCTGGGAGGCGGTCGCGTCACACCCTCCCGCAACCAAGCTCTCAAAGCCGCGGCCCAGCCAAACAAGATCCATTGCAGGCATCCCCCAATCATCCAAAGCGAGCGGCGCGTTACATCTTGCGGAACGCCAATTCGTCTGCCCTAGAGCTCCGGCCCCCGGGCGCTGCTTCAGGCAGAGGTCCCTTGTGCTGGGTGGCCACTCAATTAGGCATCTCGTCTCTGCCCAGCTGAACTCAACCTCGCCCAATACAGATACAGCCTCTGCCGGCTCTCTCCAAGTCCATCATGGCCTTGAGTTTAGCCTTGGAGAAGCACCCCATGGCAGCAGCCCTTCGAGCCATCCGGCCTAAAGGGCCCTTGAGCTTCCAGTCCCTGCCTGCAGCCCTGCGGCCGCTGGTCCGCGCCTATCTCTTGGGCTATGCCTCGGCCGTTGCGCCTCGGCTGTTGACGCTGATGCTGCAGTTCATCTCCAAGAAACGCAAGAGCGCAAAGAAGTATCTCTCCTCGGACAAGGACGAACGGTCGTTCAAGGACTCGGCTTTCCGAATCCTGCGGACAGGCCTGGATCCACGACGCTTCCCCACGTTTTGTGCCGCCCTGGTGGGAGGCTCGACTTTGTTGCAGGTAAGATGATGGAACTAGAAAGTCGGGTTGAGTCTGGTTTGATGACCAGAGATGGATGGTTTAGGGGGAGAGCAATCCCTCCCTTCGGCCAGCTTCCGCTTGTCCGTTCCCATGACAAACAAGATACGACCGTGTAGTCCCGTGTTCGTAACAGTCTGGGTCCAAACTGTGACCAATTTCTTAGCCAATTGTAGCATCGTTGCTTGGCAAATGTCGCTGACGATCAACTTGTTACATCAATATAGGAACCTCTGCTCAAAATCATCGGCCGCGTTGCCACCCAGCTCAGTACGACATCACAACTCAGGTAAGCCTCCGAATATAGACACAATAGCCCCTTCCATCTCGTGCAACGTTTCTATATTGGCCGAAAGCTGACAAGGTGGTTTGCTTTTTTTGTCTTGGTTGACACAGACTAGCACGATGGCTGTCTACTTTCATATCAGGATGGCTCAGCCTCCAGCTTCTCCAGTCTAAGCAGACACAGACACCCCCAGCGTGGGCGGATTCCGGTTTGGCTGCAGTGCAGCAAGGCTTGTCCGAAGCCTCAGCCGGCGGTTATGGCGGTCGAACGCTTGACCTTACTCTCTTTGCTGTCACCCGCGCCGCCGACGTCCTCGTCGGCGAGCTGTGGTCTCAACGTCGCTCCCGTCGCAAGGCCACGGGCAAGTGGACGGTGGTTAGTAGCCTCTCTTCACTGTGCTCTCTTCTTGAGCTAATTGGCTAGATTGAGCAAGTCATGTCTCGTCTCATGGACCCCGTCGTGTTTGCCGCCTCCTCGGGCCTCATCATGTGGGCGTGGTTCTACTCTCCAGACAGTTTGCCTCGCAGCTACAACAAGTGGATTACGTCTGCCGCGTCTGTCGACCTACGCCTCATCGAAGCTCTACGCCGGTGCAGAAACGGGGAGCTCGTCTACGGCAAGGAAACCGGCCAGGCGCCGCTGCTGGGCTCCATGTGCGACGACTACGGCCTGCCTGCGGAATGGGGCGACCCAGCCAAGGTCGTCCCGTTCCCCTGCGACATCGTCCACATGGGGTGTGGCCCGTCATGCGAATATCATGCTATCAGCCGCTTCCTTCGTTCCTGGAAATGGTCCATGCTGACCTACTTACCCCTCGCCTTGGCCCTTCAACTACGCAACCCCAGGCGCATCAATCTCGTCAAGGCCATCACCGGCTCTACCCGATCATCCACTTTTCTTGCTACCTTTATAACCCTCTTTTACTACGGGGTGTGTCTAGCCCGCACTCGCCTCGGCCCCCGCGTCCTCGGCAAAGAAATACCGAACCGCCAGCGAATCGACGAGGGCGTATGTGTCGGTGCTGGATGCTGCCTCTGTGGATGGAGCGTGTTCATCGAGACGGCGGGTAGAAGGAAAGACATGGCCCTGTTTGTGGCGCCGCGGGCACTGGCAACTTTGGTCCCTCGGCGGTATCCCCTGGAGAAGCAATGGCGAGAGAAGTTGATATTCGCAGCGAGCACGGCAGTCGTGTTTACTTGCGCCCTCGAGAATCCAAAGAGAGTTAGGGGCGTGCTGGGGGGTATCTTGGGCATGGTGTTGAAGAAATAAACCGGGCATATGGGCATATATGATCTCTTTTTAGGGGTCCCGAGACGTGTACATGAATAATTTCTTTTTCTTTTTCCTCTTTGGATGTCTTTGAATAAGCTACGGAATTTAGACGATATACACAAACAACCCTGATGTTATAATTGGTAATTAATACATAATATTAATTGTTGATGCTGTATTATCCATTCCTATTACACGATGCTATGAAAAAAAAATGCTATAGTGGAGCTTTACACTAGCCATGACACAATACCAAGCACAAAGACACACGTCAAAATGTCGGTCCTCACAGCGGAGAAGATTTGGAAATATCGCTGTCCAACCTCAATGTAGCCGCGGTACGGCTGCGGCAAGTACGAAATAGCGGTCGCAACAAATCCCGTAGCGTTAGTACTCCGCTTATCGAGGAAGAACCTCGTCGACAGCAGCAAGACCTCAGCTGTGGCAAATGCCCAAAAGAACAGGTTCTTCCGCCTCTCCGTCTCCTCGTCCACCTCTTGATCGAAGGCCAGGGCGGTGCGCTCGCGCTCGACTTTGCTTCCAGTGAAATTTGTCGTGAGGACGAAGAATAGGCCAAGGCCAACGGCGACCAGGGCGTGAATGAGGCGCCAGAAAGACACGGACGAAGCTTTGGGTAGCTCAACTGCAGCTTGCCGCTGCGGCAGGTTCATGTTGGCGAAAGGGTTGGAAGCTCCATCTGCGCCACCGAAGCCTGGTATCGAGCCTGCGGACATCATCTGGGACATCATCTTCATGATGGGATCGTCCTCCATGCCGGGTGGTAATTCCATGCCGGGTGGTAAACCTGGGCCCGTCGCGCCAACGCTGGGGCCGGCTTGATCAGGACGATCGAGACCGAGCATCATCTGGCGCAGCTGTTCCTCGGAGAGCGACGGCTCGGGACTGGGAGAGAAGACGCCATCGAGGGGCTTGCGGGAAGATGTCTTTTTCGGGACGAAGAAGTGCTCTGAGATGTCGATCTCGGCTGGATCCGCGGCGTGCTCGATTGATGTTGCCTTTGATAACGTGGCCGGAGCGGACGGGGCTGGAGAGTCTGAGTCTTGAGCATTGATATTTCCCATTAGCATGTTTTCGCACAGAGCTTTCAACGAGCTCCCTTCAGGTGAATAAAGAAGGAAAACGCCAAGCGGTATATACGAACCTCCAACCACACGACCGCCAACGCCGGTGATTCTCTCCAACCTCGCCGATCCTCCAGCTTTGATCTTTGCTTCTCTGCGCTCCTTGCGAAGCCGCGCCTGCTCGGCGGCTCGCTGGGCGGCGGCGTCGGCGTCGTTGGAAGTCGCGGTGCTGTCTGCCATGATTGCGCGGGCCAGCGGATATTCTGGAACCAGCCGGTTTGGCGTTTTGCGTGGGAAAGTCGTTCGAAGCTTTGTGGCGGAAAAAAAAGAAAGATGTCGGAACGTTCGAATAAGTGGCCTGAAAGGCGGACAGCTAATGACAGCACACGAGACCCCACGCAGTTGCTTGCACATGATACATGGGCGCTTGGAGGGGTCCAGTAGGAGGTGCAGGTACCACACATAACCATGCTGTAGTATTCAGCCTCTAAATCTACGTCATGAATTCAGTGTGTTGTTCACAATTTGCATTGCTTGGGATTGGTGAATTGTATGAATAAAGCACACAATACTCAAATAGTACTTTTACCTAAACTTGGCATCCATCTTTTGAGCGATACCGCCAATCTGGTAAGATGGAATCTTGAAGCTACTAGGTACCTACCTACCTTCGAATGAGTGCAAATAGCAAATACTACTACCAGGTACTATAGTAGGTAGGCTCAATAGCTAACTCAGACAAGGCCAATTGAGCTATACCTAGTAGACAACATGGGTAATCAAGCAGTGAAAAGGACATCCATTCTGAAAAGGCATGCTCTTTTTTTAGCAGTAGCAGGCACTCACAAGTTTCGATTGCGAGGAGGCGATGGGTGTTTCCAGGTGGAATTTTTGTAAATAAAGTCAGGACATTGTAAACAGGTACCTACCACATACGAGGATCTTTTCAACATGAAGAAGAAGTACTCAGTTTCTTAACAAGAAGACAGGTAGATTCACTCCAAATGATGGCAATAGGATACAATTATGCATAACTGCCAAAGTCGTAAAGGGGTAGAACAACAGCCATATGGTGCAACTTCTAGCATCACAGCGCTTTGACCCTTTTGCCAGCACACAAACGTATTACAGGCATTGATGCAGTCTTCGTTCCCTCGTATTACCTACCAGTACGAGTACTAGGTAATACTTTGTACGAGCACTTGTACATAATATATCACGAAACCACCCCTAAAAGTAAACAACCACATGTTCGGGGGGGACTTGTACTGCCATCGTGCAGGGATCAAAGCGCAATTCCCGAAATGAGCTTGTTGCTGTTCCTAGACCCGATATGTTCATCGAAGCACGCGCCATCAGCGATGCCGCACTGTGCCAGTAGACGCCCATGACCCTATTCAGGGAAGCTGTGCTGGTGCCTCTGTCGAAATCGATCCCCTAATTTCCATGGGCTGGGGTAACCGCACAGTGCAAAACAACAATCCGCCGCACTCCCCAGCACCTCGCACTAGACCCGGAACTAGCACTCCAGATTGTCCCGCGGCCTTGTCAGCTCCATCACCCGAGGCAAAGAAGAGAGACGGACAATCTTAACCAAGCATCGCTGTTCCCACAAGTCAGCTCGTCGCCGCCCAGATGCATCGTGCCGCTGTCAGGGCGTTCCGGACAAGTCACCGCCCCAGCGTGCGAATCCAAGTGCGGAATCAAGGACGGCATCACCCTCACCACGCTCGCCAGTCCAGCACCTCCCATGTGCCTCTGAGATCGTCCATGTACTTCCGTCGTCTGCCCGTCGCGCTGGCCTCTGGTCTGATCCTCGGATACGGCGCCTGGCACTACAACGGCGCCGAATTCGTCCCCGGCAGCGCCGTCACTCGAAGCTTCACCAATACGCAGGCGGCCGATGCCGCGCCGACGCGCACTGTCCTGGTTGTCGGAGCCGACGAGCTAAGGCAGGGCACCATCGTTGGTGAGGGGCCGCTGTACAAGTCGTCGACCGAGGACGGCCGCAGGATCGTCGAGATGTTGACGCCCGACCAGGCCACGGCCAAGCTGCGCCGCCAGGAACAGTCCTTTAATGTCAATCGCGGCCAGGGCGTCACGCGCTACGACCTCGTCCAGCTAGGGAGCAACGATCCGATTGAGGACGACCACGCCGAGAAGATTGTCTCGGTGCCCACCCGGGTCACCGAGGAGGAAGTTAGCAGCAGCGACTGGATGTTCTGGGGAGTTTTCGATGGTCACTCGTCAGTACACCTTTAATCTTTGTCTTGTGATCATTATATACACCATATATCTCATATAGCATATGCTGACATTGGTATTGCTCTCTTCTAGCGGCTGGACGACATCGGCAACATTGCGGGAAAGCCTCATTAGCTACGTGGCTCGAGAATTAAACAGCACTTACAAGGCCTCTTCCAACGCGGCACCGGCTCCCGAAGCCATTGATTCGGCTATCAAGGCCGGCTTCACCCGCCTCGACAACGAAATTGTCCATAAAAGCGTCGAAAAGGTCTTCAAGGCCAGCTCCAAGGCTGTGGCTGCTGAGCTGCTGCAGCCTGCCTTGTCTGGTTCTTGCGCCTTACTATCCTTCTACGACAGCAGGAGTAAGTTACTACGCGTAGCGTGCACAGGTGACTCTCGTGCCGTCTTGGGCCGTCGAACAAAGTCTGGCAAATGGATAGCTACGGCTCTCTCCGAGGACCAGACAGGAGGCAACCCCACTGAAGTTGCTCGCATGCGCATGGAGCATCCCGGTGAAGAGCACGTCATCCGAAACGGCCGTGTCTTGGGAGGCTTGGAGCCAACTCGTGCCTTTGGTGATGCTGTCTACAAATGGAGCCGCGATGTCGCTGGAAGACTCCGCGAGAACTTCTTTGGTCGAAGCCCCTCTCCCTTACTAAAAACTCCTCCCTACGTCACGGCAGAACCCATTGTCACAACGACCAAGATTGAGCCTGAGAACGGCGACTTTGTTGTGCTTGCCACCGATGGACTGTGGGAGATGTTGACAAACGAGGAGGTCGTGGGCCTTGTAGGCCAGTGGATCGAGACGCAGAAGACGGGGAGGCCAAGCTCGCAGTTCGACAAGGCATGGTCCAAAGTCTTTGGCTCACAGAGCAAGCCGCTCCCCGTGGAACAGGGCAGAGAAGCGGCTGGGTTCGACGGAAAGACACCCATTCGCCTGCAGCAATGGGGAATTGACCCCGACGCAAGAGACCGATTTGTCGTCAGAGACAAAAACGTTGCCACTCATCTTGTCCGCAACGCCCTTGGCGGAGCCAACGATGAGCAGGTCTGTGCTCTCCTAACTTTACCATCGCCCTTTTCAAGGCGATATCGGTTAGTCTTCTTACACTATTGTTTAATTCTTACCAACGGCCTATGCTAATCCCGCCACAGCGACGATTTGACTGTTCAAGTCATTTTCTTTGGTCACGGTGACAAGACAAGCGAAAAGACCGGCGATGTCACAGTCAACTTAGATGCAACGACAGATCAAGACCCTAGAGCTAGGCTTTAGAAGTATTGGCTTAGGTTTCTACTAGCGGCGGCGACGGCATTGCTGTACAAATATTTGGACGATTGAAATGAACTACGTTGATTTTCAGTTTCTCGATGCTCAGTAGCGGCAGCGAATGACATGATACTTCACCCGCAAAGAAGACTGCAGCGACAAATGAGCCCAGGGGAAATTTTATATGCCACCCAAACGATCTTTGTGTTCTCTCATTTGGTGCTCTCTATTCTACGATTTTCTTTTTTTCTCGCAGATCGTCTTCTGTGGCGTATTAAGAGTAGGGAGCGTTGTTGTAGGGCATGGCGTACGGTTTCTAGAGAAGGTGATGGGAGGCGAGAAGGTAAACGGGAAATGGAAAACTCGACGGTGTAAGAAGGGACGATTAATTGCTGGCGATCTGAGTCATGGTGTTGGGGAGTGTATTGTTTTTCTGCTATAGTATCTAATTGTTTGGTGATTTTGATGGACACGGCACCAGGAATGGCAGGCAGTTTTGACGAATGGCAACTCATCCTTTCTACCTCATTTTTAATTTGCCTGTGATTGCGGTGTTGTGTCGTGTTGAATGAATTATGGTTATCGGCGGATTCTCTCCCAGTTATCTCAAGACGATGCTCTGGTATTACAGGATGAAAGGGGATTGGTGTCAAAAATATAAGCGCCCGACAATATTATAAGGTAGTTTACTTTCTACCGTTTATCTGATCGGAAACACGAGTTACTTCAGAAGCAGTGATTAGACAAAAGCAGTAATAGATTGTTAGAGCGATTAGGTAGCTAAAGTAGAAGATACTAGAAAAAAAAATTAACGTGCCCACTCTGGTGGGTGGTCAAGAGACACTTCTTTTGCATCTTACATGATGTGTAAATACTGGAAGCATTGAATGTCTTTGAGGAAATGTTGTGGATTTTGCTTGGATTTTGTAACAGAAAGGGTCTATAATTATGGTTAGCAAACAGCGATCCAACAACATCTAAGGTCTGGTGGTCTAGTGGTATGATTCTCGCTTAGGGTACACCCTGAAGCTTGCTTGCGAGAGGTCCCGGGTTCAATCCCCGGCCAGACCCGTTGAAACGCCTCCAAGGCGATTCTGCTTCCTTTTTGACGATTTTCATGTTTGTCTGAAGGTCGAATGTTTTTTTTGTCAAATCTCTTTAGTATTTGGCTTGGCGATTTGTTATGATGTGACGTACATTTTTCGTTCTTCACGAATGAGTAGCTTGAAGATCTAGAAACAACGCTAAGAGATAAAAGATATATACAGACAGAGGGGTATCGTGAAACTCTAGCAATCATAAACATCTATACAAACATCATTACGATTTGGACTTCGGCCAGAGCAGCTTCTTCTGCTTGATGCAAGCGACCATTGTTGCGAAAATGCTAACCCACGCAATGACGAGAGCAATCGTCATGGCGCACCCGAAAAGCTGCAGCCCCCTGCTTTCAAAGATGTTCCCCATGATTTCGGTTGCGGAGACCTAAAAAAGGAGGAAACAAATGAGCCAAACAAGGTTTGTGAAATAAGCCATGGGAGGGGGAGTTTGTGACATGGGGTTGGGTGCTTACGAGAGCCGTATTTGGAAAGACAAACGACCACCATGTCATCTGGAACGGCATGCCCTTTCGTGTACGCAGATATTTCCATAGAGATCCGACAGAGACGAGGAAGAACCACATGGAAAGGCCCCAGAACCAAAGGGCCACGAGAATGGAGATTATCTTGATAATGTCGGCGCTGTTTTGCGTGTCGAGAAAGTCGGCTGGTAGGATAGCACGGGCCTCGCTCCCGAGTTGTGCTGTACAGAGAGTTAGAATTTTCTCTTCTTTGAAAGGTGAATCTTAAACTGACCGAGAGATCCAGCGGTGAAAGCATATGGCCCAATTGAGATGAACTGTTGACCATGGTTAATTCGTGACCCAAGGCCAGGGTCTAAAAGCCTCTCGAAACACTTACAACACCAGGCCGTTGAAAATCCCTGGGCAATTTTTGTGTCATCAGCCGGTATATGAAGGCGGCAGATATCATGAGAGAGATCAAGCATCCCGTGCCTTGGGTTGCAACAGCCGATAGAGCAACGGCCGGGGCATATAGCACGTCGATACGGCCCGTGGCTTCAGCTGCGGCGATGAGGTTGCAGGCAAACGGTGCAGTGAGCATGAGCGGGTACGCAGGGAAAACCCAAGTCGGAGTCATCATATGAATCGGGAATATTCTATCGTTACGTGTGAGACGACTGTAATTCGAGACCAAGAGGAAGACTTACAGTGTAGACCACAGGATGAGATACAGTCCAGCACTTGCAACGGCGCTCAGACCGGTGTATAGCCAGAATAGGATTTGCAAAGTTTTCAGGAGCCAAACACCACAATGCGGGACGCCAAATTGGCATATGTTGATGAGAATAACGGCAATACTAACGGTGTATGGTAAGAACAGTGGTATAACCAATAGTCATCCAATTACTTACGAGACAAACTGCCAAACGAAAGGTTAGCCATTGAGAGACGGAGAAGATGACGGGAGGTTAAGTTGTCGGCTTATGAGGCTTACAAAGGCGGGTATAAACAGGGACTCTACTTGGTCCGTAAACGATTTGGTGAGACTTCCAGGGCGCAAGTAAAACCGCATGGATAGCAATACGCAGTTGATGAGGAAGAGCACAATGTTAAGGAGGCAGAAGAAGACTCCAAAGCCATTCACCCACTCGGCTTGATAGACCACTTGCATTTAGGTTAGTACATCGGTAAACATCGCGGACGGGGGTAGCATGATCCGTACATCCATGAAGAGCGCTGGCCACTCCTCCGGTCGCCATTGTCTAGTGATAAGAGTGAGCTAGATGCCTGGGTATACATATATATATAATGTATAAAATGGTTGGACAGCCAAGTCTGGGTGCTGGATACGCACTCCTTGTATATCACCACTCCCCTTCCTCAACATACCATAGTGAAAAAGGTCCATTGATAGCAAGCAATGCGGTCCTTGAGTCCAACTTTGCGGGATGAGCTGCCTTTCTCCTCATCCAGCACAGAATCAAGATTAGAGGGCCCAATCGAGGACTGATACGCATCGGGACTGGGATCGCGACTTGGAGGCTGCTGCCGAGCATGCTGCAAGCGTTGCAAACGCTGCAAACGCGGGTGAGCCCGTTCAAGAAACGTGACGGCAGCGACGCTTTGCGTGGCAGCGGATATCGAGACCCTCGCCGGCGTCGTGGCTCCAGAAGGCGTCGGCGTCGGCCCAAAGAAAAACCCGGGCTGGTTGTCCTCGGTGGGCGACTCGTAGCCGTCAAACGACACGGCGAAGCCTACAGAGGCACCACGCTGCGAGGCGGCCATTGCGGTGACTCGAGGCTGTCGGCGCGGCGGCTGCCGAGGCTGGACAGCAGGTGGACGAGGAAGATCTGGCTGGGCTCGGCGTGAGAGAGGGCAATCTGCACATAGACGAGGTGCAGCAGGAAGACGACGCTGTCCAGCACCAGCGAGCCTATATTGGCCAGAGGCATGTCGGAGCCGGCTGAGAGGATCAAAGCACGAACTATAAACGGCGGGATCGCGGCGAATGCAACGGTTTGGACGCCGGCGGCCCAGCCAATGCAATGATTCCTAAGCAGGCCGTGGCGGGGCGAAGAAAATGCGGGTGGGAGGAAAACGAGCGTTTTCCGCTTCAGTTTAGTCGTTCGGTTTTCGCCTCGACTCGTGTGCCGGTAAAAGAGGCAGCAATTGCGTCAATGGTTTTGTCGGTCAGGCCTTGGGTCGGAGAATAGGAATAGCAGTTGCAGGGTTTATGGGAGCCTAAGCCAGGCCCTAAGACGAGCGTAGCGTAACAAGCGTTTTGCCGGGTTTCTTCTTCTTCTTCTTCTTCTTCTTGTTTCCACTTGGTTTGTTTATGGTGGCATTGTTGAGCTTGATTTTGTCTCTTTGGCTCGGAGATGGCGAATACTAATCAAAATTTGGCGACGGGAGCTTATGTTGTCTTGGGTTGTGAGGAGTGGGTGGGTGGGAATTAGTCACTACCTTCAATTCTTCGTTGTCTCCGTACCCGTGGATTAATACATACATGTACACACATACAGTTCCTGTTATTCTCACTCTTCAAGACTACTAGATAATGCTCTTGACTATGTTTACAGAGAAAGCGAGCTTGATGTCTGAATTGGACCACCTGCGAGACACTGACATTATCCCCCCTGCCAAGTTATCGTTGCCGTGTTAGTTTGTTGGCACCTGCTGCTGCTCTCGGATAATCTAGGAGCGTTATATTTCAGGCTTCTCTTGTTACCTCATTCTACCTAAAGTCCTACTAGTTGTTCTGAAATGCTGGGTAATACGGCCCTCCCTGATGAAAGCGCTCAAACAATGAACCGACACTCTCGTACCAACAGAGAAGCAGACACTGTACTACGCTCGCTGCAAGGCCCCAATCAGCCTATCAATCTGCCACCCCCATACGTAAAAGGGAATACAACGCATCGTCTCGCACTGTCCCGAGATATGGCCTGTTTGTTCCTCGCTTCGACGCATCTCGGTCGGAACGATTCCGATTTGTGTTAGTTTTCTTTCCGAAATCTTTGTTGTACGTTGGTCCGATTCTTACTCGGGCCGAAACCACAGAGAGCCCTTCGGACCATATGTAATCCTTTGCTAATACTCAAAACTCTCTCGTCGGCCTGGCCTTGACAGTTCTCCACATTCCCCGGACACTATTCCGTCTGTTCCTCTGCAAAAGTCGGCAGAAGCTCCACCGGGCTCCGTCCGACCTTGAAGCAACGGTTTGTTGGTGCCAAAGCCGCCCACGTGACCTCGAAAGTGACACATGTTAGCTGCCGTCATTACTTCCATGCCGCATCAACTTCACCTTGTCCAGTTATCAAGTCCACGAGGCTGCGCCTTTGGACAAAAGAAGTCTATTCCGTGGTAATGCGTCTCTGTATGCATTTCCCATAGCACCCACCTAGTCGACTCCATCGAAGCTCTCCGATTTTGGACACATCTCTTCTTTTAAAGCTGCGCTTCTTCCCTATCGAACGAGGCGCATCGCGCGTCCGCCGTCCAACCTTGGTCCTGTGAATATAGACAGCATTTCTTCGCCCAAACTCCCAGTATGAAGGCCTAAGATACGCGGGAGAACGGGAGATTAAAAGCGCAAACACGCAGCCATGACGTTTACGAATGCCCCAGTGACGAGGCTCACTGTCTTGGGCTTGGTCTCGACCTCCATAGCCGCTAGCCTCTTCGATGCGAAACACTACTTTTACATCTTGATAGATACGCATATTTTTCGCTATCGACAATTCTGGAGGCTCCTAGCTTACCAATTATGCTACACCAATTCAACAGAGGTGCTCTTTGCGGCCATCTCGCTGTACAATCTCAGAGCTATTGAGCGCATGTGGGGACCAAGAAAATATGCCGTACGATCTATCCTATATATCCCTTCCGCTATTGCGATGAGATGCGATTTGCTAACAGTGACAACTTATAGTCATTCCTCCTCATTTCAGCTCTACTCACAGCCATATTCCCTCCGCTCATCCTCGCCATTTTCCGACCCATAGCTCCGAGTTTGTTCAACTACATGCCGGCCGGGCCGACACCAATCATCTTTGCAATTCTGGCGCAGTTCCATGCCATGGTGCCTCAAATGTACAAGTACCGAATAGCAACGTCTCAAGCGCCACCTACGAATGAGCAGTTTTCCGGCGTCACGCTATCAGACAAATCTTACCAGTACGGCATCGCCTTTCACCTGGCTTTGCTGCAGTGGCCGGGCTCTGTCCTTGGAGCTGTGATTGGCTGGGTTGTGGGATATTCTTGGAGAGCAGGAATGCTTCCCACATCTTTTACAACGTGGAGGCTCCCAGGTTGGATGGTGGGCTCAAGCTCCTACAGGAGAAGCGCAGAGTTTGAAGGATTAAGGCGAAGATTAGAAGGGGAAGCCCCAGCAACGGCCGTGGCAACTGGCGCTCAAAGCCAAGCCGAAGGCCAGGCCGATCGACGGCGCACGATGGGCCAACAGATCATGGACCAGTTTCGAGAAGCGTTATAGTACCTATACTTAGTTCTCATAACCAGTTTGACCGTTAATTATGTACCTACCAGCTTCGAGATCATGACGATGACACAATGGGGGACATTAAGCTAAATGTTTTAGATCTTGATTGGGGGCTATCATACCTGGTATGATTGCTTCGCTTTTGAAATGGCATTGGCATACCGATGCATTTGGGGTACGAGCTTGTACATACGTATCGTATGTGAGCCTCTCAGCCGAGATAATCAGGGTCACTCGAAAGGCTAGGCCCCTCGACTCGACTTTACGCACATGCTCTGCCATAGCTTTTTAATAAAAATTAAATGTCTTTGCCGCGGTGGGCATACGAGTACACAACAGAGCCCTAGGATCTTCAAATGAGAGTGGATAGGGCCATTTCGGGGATCTGACAAACGTGGGAAATTAATTGTACCCGCATCTACTCGGAGGAGTGACTGGATGTACATGGAAGTAGGGCCTAGCTGCGAGGGGTGGCAACGCGCAGGAAAAGGCGTCATTCGGACGGCAGGGCGCAGTTTCTCTTTCTCATGTCATGTCTTCTTTTTCTTCTTCTTTTTCTTCTTCTGTCTATTTCTCGTTTGCGCCATAGCACGAAACCAACTAGGCGCATAATGTGGAAATGAAGGAGGATTGTTGGCTTGCAGAAGCTGAACGTGCACAGCGCAAAAGACAAGAGATCCGATAGCTCGGCAGCCGGAGCCACAGGCCTTGCTCGGATAGGACTAGCGGCGGGATGGCAGAAGGACGAGCTTTCAGGGGTAAAGACGCCTCGTCGAGTCTAACAAGCAGCTCGACGGATCAACATGTCGTCTGATGGGTTGCGAGAAGGGCACGGCGGTTTTCCCTTGCATGCGCAGCTGAGGGGCGGGTTCCAGTGGCTGCAGCTCCCCAACTCCCCCAGCTGGAGGGCTCGAGCGCTGCCCGGCCCTTTATAGTGGTGCCGGGCCTGTCGTGCAGCGCCTCCGCCTGCTGTGCCTGGCATCCCTCGTCCACCGTAATCTGCGATTGGGCCCTGTACTTGTAGCTGTGGCCACCAGCTCCTTTCCGTCCAGGTCTTTTTTTATCCCCCTCCCGGCCTGCAGACCAACAAACAACTTGCAACTCCCAACTGCTGTTGACTTTGGCTAATCACGGCTGTCTCGTCGTCTTAGACGCTGCCGCTGCGCCATTGTGTCGTTTGCGATTTTTCTTTGTTCCTCTTTGTTCCTCTTTGCTCCCTTTTTTTGGTCTCAGCTTCGATTATATTGCTTCTGGCTTCGGACTTTGGCTTGCCAGTCCTTTGAAGTGCGGCTTTGCGCCAGTGACTCTGTCATTCAGAGATCCGGCACTCGCTCTCCACGACCTTGGCTTCGGCTTCGGCTACACTTCACCATCTGCTTGACGAATTTGATGCCAAGCTTCGCGCGAACCTACATCAACAAACTCGAGGTTACTTTCCACCACCTAATGTGCTAATACGAACCAACGCGTGACGAACTCGATCGCAGACATGACCGGATATCAGACGGAGCGAAGCTCCTACGACGACGAGATGTCTAGTGTAACGACGCCAACTTCAAGCAACGGCGACCATGCGATGGCAGGGGGATATGAAAAGGACGGGGTCCATGGATACGAACAGGCTGACCACCAGCTCGAGCCAGTAGGTTATGCGCCGGTCACTCCCACCAAGCTGGCTCCAGTATTGACGCGTACCAGATGGATCCCAACGATGCGCCGAACGGATCGCTTGCCGACCTAAAAGATCCGATCCAAGTACACTTGCTCACCGAAACTGCGCTCTCCGACAGCAAAGAATATGAAATCCTATCTCAAGAAGAGGTTGATAAGCTGAAGAAACAGTGTCAGTTGCTGAGCCAGCGGGTAGAGTCCACGAGATCCAACCTGGCCATCCAATCGAAATATCGAGATGCGGCAGTGTCCATGGCCAAGCTCTATTCCGCCGGCAAAACCGAAGAAGAGCTTCTAGATGACCCCCGAGCCAAGGAAGTCGAGCTGGAGAGGGAGACGACAGAGAGAAAATGCGACGAATTGTCGCGCGAGCTTTTCAACCTTGAGAAGAACCTCATAGGGCCGCAGAGGCGTCTACTTCAGCATACGGCCGGTATCCTCCAGCTTACCCACAAGGCATCCAAAAGGGCAGCGGCGCGAGCCCTGCAAAACAACAATGAGGTCCCTGGCAGCCCCGAAAGCTTGTACACCTACTCTCAAAGCCGGGATAGTATGGCCCAAGTTGTAGATGAAGACTACTTTGAAGACCCGAGCCTCTACCAGCTCGACTCCATGCAAGGGCTGCAAACAGGGCATCTAAAATCGGCCATTGATATACCTTTGAAATCGCCTGTCCGAGAGCAGGCTACTCATCTTCGCGGAGAAATCGACAAAGCCAAGGAAGAAAATGCACTGTTGGTGAATCTTGTCGCCGATATGGAGCAAAAGTTGGAGAGTCTAAGTCTCTCGCTCCGAGAAACTATTGTCAAGTTCAACCCCGAAGTGAACGGCGACTACCTTGACCCTCCCAGAGACTCACCCGCTGGTGATTCAAAGCCTGGAGATATGCTCAGGAGGCAGATTGACTACCTTGAGAGTGGCCTTGTCGCTGTACAAGCAGAACAGGAATCCTTCATCAGCGGTGGCGGAAACAACAGCAGCAGCGGCAATAACTACCTCCTAGACGATGGTGCCGAGCGGATTGAGGCCGTCTTGGTGGGTCTTTGGAATAGAATGCAATCTGGGTTTGCCGCAAAGAAGCAGCAAAACGAGGAGCGCCGAAGACAACGGGCAGAAAAGGGGTTGGTTGATGATGATGACACATCTGATGATGACGCGTTTGACGCAGACGAGACTTACAACCTGATTGCGTTCGAATCCAAGGTTGAATGGCTCTACTCTCGAGCCTCGACGTTGAAGGACCAAAAGTCTGTGCTCAAGAGACAGATCAAACAGCAGCGTGAGCTCAACAACAAGACCGACGCCGAAAAAGATGAGGAGATTGAGCGAAGGCAGGAGGAGCTGGACCAGACACGCTTCTTGCTTGAACGGGCTGAAAAGGACGCCATGGACGCTCAGACTATGTTGGCCGATGCTCTACAGGATCTTGAAAAGGCCCAGGGATCATCATCTGGCATCAGCGAAGAGGAGTTACACAAGCATACTGTCAAGATGGGATCCCTGGAAGCCGAGCTTGCTACGCTACACGCACGGATCGAATCCCACGAAGCCGCAATCGAGGAGCGAGACGCAAAATTAGAAGCCCTAGATTCCGAGGTCGAAGAAAGCAATGCAAGGGCAGAGTCCCTTGAGGCCGAGACCCAAGCGCACAAAGCCCAGGTCGATTCTCTCGAGGGAGAAATCCAGGCTCGTAATGATCGCATCGAGGCTCTCGAGGCGGAAATTCATACGCGCAGCGCTCGAGCAGAATCCCTAGAGGCTGAAGTCCTCGCGCATGGCGTCCGGGTCGAGTCGCTGGAGAGCGAAATCCAAGCACGCAGCGCTCACATCGAATCTTTGGAGGATAAGATACAAGGCCACAATTCAAACATTGGATCTCTCGAGGCAGAGATCCAGTCACGAGACGCGCAAATCCGATCTCTGGGGGCTGACCTTGACGCGCACAACGAAAGAGGTGGATCGTATGAGGCCCAGATTGCTGCGCTGGAGGCTGAGAATAAGAAATTCCTCGAGCTGAGCTCACAGCTTGATGGTGCCTCCAAGGAGAAGGCAGCAGCCGAAGAAATGGCCAGAGCCCTTCAGCAAGAGGTGGAGATTATCAAGGCAAGCTACACGGACAAGGAGAAGGAAATTGCTCAAAAGGATGCGGACCTGGAGCAGCTCAATATGACACTGGTGGAAATCAAGACGGAGCTCACGTTTGCCAGGGCGGAGCTGGACGGCGCATATGGTAGTCGCGCCGAGCGTGCGGCCGATGCAGCGGCTCTGAGCAACCAGGAAGAAGTCGTCAGGCTGACAGGCCAGGTAGAAAGACTCAAGAAGGAGTTGGCGGGAACTGTACAAGACCTGGAGGCGATTACCAAGGAGACAATCGGAGCGGAGCGCGAGAAGATTGACCTTGAGCAAAAGGTCGACGAGGCAATCTCTGCCAAGGCCACCTTGGAAGCGGATCTGGAGAAGTCTCGACATCTGATTGCTAGGCTGCAGGAGGACCTCGACAGCGAACGGTTCAGGGTGGGCGTTTCCCAGGGAGGCATAACAAAGGTTGGTGCCGGAGCAGCTCTGCTCAGCGAGCAGTTCAGGACATCGATGAGAGAGGAACGGAAGAGGTTCCACGAGGATATCAAGGTACGTGCACTGACGGAAGCCTATGATGATCCAACACCAGATACAATACTAACGATGATGTTGCTTATAGGAGGAACGCGCCAAGTACCGAAAGCTAGAAGAGGAGTACATTCGGTTGAGGAAGAGCCAAGCAGCAAGCAATGCTCCTCCAAGCCCACGATAATCCACCGCCAGCCTTGGTCTAATGACCCTTTCCCGCCTCCTTTTCATGTCCTATCAAGCGTCTCTTGCCATGCCATCTTTTTACCCATCTTCAGCTTTTAATCTTCTTGTATATGAATACCAACTCGGGGTTGGCTTTTGCTTTCGATCTGCTTCTTGGCTCTCTATATGGATGGTTTAGGCCCGCTGTTTCTCTTTAGAAAAAAAAACCCCTCACAACTTTGAGTAGCGGCGTTGTCGACCCTGGAAATATCCCGCGCGGTCCCGGTTCTTGCAGAACCCACGGCTACTATATCATCTTGGGTGTTTTTTTTTCATCTGTTTGTCTCCAGGATAGATTTGTTCATGGCATACAGGTGGAGCCTGTTGATTTTTTGGATAATGAATATATTTGAAAAAAGAAAGGTGGTTGGATGAATAAACTAAACTAAACTAGATCAATTGTTTATTTTCAATAATACTAAAAAAAAAAAGGACTTGTTCACTTACTTTTCATCGACGTCCTTCGAAGATAATTCCCTCTTGTCTTTTAGAATCAATGCCACCCCAAGATTGATACAAATTGCATTCAATTCCGAATCACCGACTATCCATCTATCATCTTATTCCTGCAAACAACTAACTTACAATTGGTCTTTCACACACGCACAAGTACAAACGTCGTACTATACAAGTCCCTCCTCCACTGTACTTTTTCCACGCAAAGAAGCCCTTCTTCTTCGCAAGGTTCCTTTATCTGCATTAGGAAACAGCCTCGCACGCTATTGGTCGGAAAAGCCCAAAAACAGAGACACTGTTTTTTTTTTTTTTTTTTAATCCGGTGAGCACGAGGTGGTATTTTTTTACCAGATAGCGCTTTAAAGAAAAAGGAAAACAAGTCTGTCATCTCGGATAGGTAACTGACCTATAACGGGCATTGAAAACAGATTTCACACATCACAGTATTCAGGTAAATAAATAGACGAGCAACGGTGCCAAAGATGAATAGACTCAACATATCCAAGACATCATATGCATTCACAACAATCGAGAGGATAAAAAGACTTTGAATTAGGTATTTGATAAGATTCAACGGTCTAGTGTACTGATCTAACACTTTTGCTATCTTGTCTTTGTCTTTGTATTACTCTTCCGTGTTGCAACAAAAAAGCTCTTCCTTCTTTTCCTTCTATCTCTCCCACATTCTATGAGGAGGATCCACCACTCTATGTAAAAAGATTTCTAGCTGCTGGTAAACAAGCAGGCGTTCTCGCAACCAAAACACCGAAAATAAAAAAGAAACGGTAAGAAATCATGATCTTGAACATGAATTAAAAAAAAAAGCCCAAACAAAAGATGAACATAAAACAGCCCCTTTGGTATCGAGCAAAACGTAAAAAATACGAGTGGACCAAAAAGAACTCAATCCACTGTTGGAGCCTCCTCCCCGGTTCCAGTAAACGCCATATTCATAAACAAAAACAGTAAAAACAATCCAAAGTTCCGAGATTAAGATGGCAAGCAGGTGCGAATTAAATAGGGATAAGATGATAAAGCAGTGTCTGGAGAGTAAAGCATGCGCAAAAAAACTGCCAGCAGGAAGAGTCGCGAGTCTAGCGCAATGGGGGGAGAGAAAACTGCTGAAAATGCTCAAATGGGCTGTACATGTCGTGTATGCGTGTCAGGTGTGTGTGTGTGTGTGTGTGTGTGTGTTCTAGTGTATAAGTAAGGGCGTGATGCGCTTCTCAAAGCAAGATGTAAAAGCTCAGATTTGCATCGACTCGTCGTCGACCGCCATTTGGTCGACATCGTCGGCATACGCCAATTGAGACCAAACGCGCCAGTGGAGAATGCCAAGGTGTGCCAGTCTGGTAGCAATGTCGTCAAGGCTTGACTCGTCATAGGGCTCCCGCGAAAGACCGTCGGTATCGCGATCTGCCGAGCCAGGGCGGCGGCTGGGGACGCGGACGCCAGTTGCCATGGAAAACAGGGCGACTCCAGAGAGCCCTTTGAACTCGCGCACGCGATGGCCAAGATCAGCCATCAGGCGGCCGAGGAAGTTCTCTTCGACATCTCGGTAGAAGCTGGCGTCGACATCGCCAAGGGCGGCAGACAGTCTAGCTTCCAGCTCCGGCAGGGCGGTGGCTGGCAGGTTGACAAACCGGAAGATTTGCAACGCCATTGACGGAGCCATCATCTGCCATCGCGCAGAGGGCTGGCTTGCGGGTGGCGATGTCTGCAGCAGTGCAACCAGGGTATGGAACAGCTCACGGGCCTTGGTCTGGGAGTCCTGTCGGGGAGCGACATAGGAGGGAACGACAAATGAGGATCGAGGAGATGAAGAAGCAGATCCGGCCGCGCTATGGACGACGCTTGATGGCCGAGAAATAGATGGCGGTGTGTTGAAGTCAAATCGATCCATGATGTCCTCAACGTGGGAGGATGCCTCAGATGAAGGCGCTGAGGGGCTAGATCGGCGGCTCATCTTGTCAAAGTCCTCGTAGACGCGCATGCACACCTCCAGGTTGATGGCATCCAGGACGTCGGCCCTCAGCTTCATCAGCCGCTCCTCGTCAAAGAGGAAGGTGTTGGGGAGGCGTTCGTCCCAAGCCGAGGGGAGCATGAGCCTTGAAAGGGCCTCGAAGAAGACGCCCGTGTCGCCAAATGACTGTGAAGGGTGCGATCGGCTGTCGGTGTAGGCCTGCTCGGCCTCCTTATACCATTGCCTTGACATGCTGATGTCTGTCTTGCCAGATTCCATCCTCTTGATGAAGAACTTTTGCTCGAAATGGGTGGTATCCTCGATGAGGACGGGTCGCAGGCAGCGAATCTGATGGTTTGCCACGTCCAGCTTCATGGCCTCGAGAACGCTGAGCAGGCTGCGCATGCCAGTAACGAGCTCGTCGAGGTCCATGTTCCGGTTTCCACTGCTCAGCTGGTTGTACATGGTGTCAACCCACTCATCACGCATGGGCGCGCAGTGCGATTTCAGCACACGTGAGAGCCACAGGGCAAGCTTCTCCAGATCGGCGACGCCCTTGTGGAACTGCTGCATCAGGAGATCGACGTTGAGGCCCTCGTCCAGGAATTGGCGGTCTCGCTGGGGAACCAGCGTCTGGATGATCTCCTTGACGGCCTTGAGCAGGATGGGCAAGGTCCACTCGTCGGTCTCGCCATGCTTGTAGATGAATGTAGGCCTGTCGATGATGAACTCTGACAGCTCCTGCTTCAGCGTCTTCCAGAACTGGTTTGCCTTGTCCTGCTTTCTGCGGCCCTTTTCGCCATCCAGATTGGGGCGGAAGTGAAGCTCTGGGTCGAAGTTGATGTCGTGGCGAAGCTTGGGGTTGTGGATGATCTTTGAGACGTCCAGCTCGCTCAGCGTAGCCTTTGTGACGGGAGGTTCCAGAGGTAGCGCGTGCAAGGAGGATGGAAGGATGGGCTCTGGGCTGGCGGCGGCTGAGGCACCCACAGAGATGGCAGAGTCGGACGAGGGATTGCGGGTTAGGGGTGCAGACTCAGGGGCCTGGCACTGTCGAGGCGAGACCTGTGATGATTGTGCAATCTCCTGTGCCGTCTCCTCCTGGCTCACTGGAGCGACCTCGGACTCCTTTATAGGCTCTGCGTCGTTCTTGGGTGGGCAGGGGGCCGAGGTTGACAACTGCCTTCGGGATCGCTCTATCGATCCTCCAGTCTCCTGCTCCGGTACCATCTTTGCGGTTGTTGAAATGTGACGGCTTCGAAATCGAGAGTTCTATAGTCTATGAGAATAGTTGTGGTTTCGGTAGCTGCTGATATCAGCGTGGTGTGAGTGAAGCCGCTTCTAGTGTGGTAAAGGCGAGGAGAGCTGGTTCTAGTGAGTGTATGACCTCGACTGCAAAGAGGTGATGGTTAGCATTTATCTTGTACCAGGTCTTACACAAAGCCTCTCATGAACAGCGTAACCGATTCAAGAAAAAGGGGCGGTTATCAGCAGATACAATCGATCGACCACTCAGGGTTCCCACGCCTTGGCTCTTTGAGTGTCCAGCAAGCCCACAAAGAAAGGAACGTCTCTTTCAGGGGCGGGGCGCCGTCCAAGTGCCGGAGATGGTTCAGTCGAGATCTGAATGCCGATCGGACTGGAGATGGCTTTGTTGAACGTGTGTGTATACGTACTTTGTTGAGTGTATAAAGCAATGTCGGTATTGTTCCTTTGGTCGTCTCTTTGAGTTGTAGATTGATCCGCCAGATGTAAGGGTGAAACCCAGTCCAATTCAAAACGAATTCGCCGTTAGGCAATTCTCGCCAACAAGACAAAGCCGGGTTCGCACAAAGGAGCCGTGGGTGAATGTGAAGGTGAAGCACAAGCACAAGCACAAGGATACGCCAAGTGAAGGCGGTGTATATGCAAGCAAGCAAGCAGTAAAGAAGGAGAGGTGGGCGAGAAGACGAGACTCGAGACTCGGGATGGGATGGTGAGATGAAAGAAGAGAAGAAGAAGAGACGAGACGGGGGGGAGGGTAGAAGAAGAGAAGGAAAAAAGAAGGAAGAGGAAAAGTATGGAGGACAATTAGTCAAGTCTTGTACTTGTAGGAGGCGTCTTGCAGCAGGACTAATCTAGTTGCTAGCAAAAAGAAAAAGGAGCGGAAAGTCGGGACCCTGGGAAACGGAGATGGCACGAGGATGGCAGGGACATATATCCAGGATCCGGAGGTACTTGGTCAGGTATGGGGGAGAGGCATGGCATGGCCGGTACCTGCACCTGCACCTGCGCCTGCACCGGTACCTGTGGTGTACACTGTACTCCGTACACGTACTCGGGCCTAACGACCACAAGTACATGTACGAGGTCACCCAGCACTGGCGCATGCAGGCCCAAGAGACCTCCTGAAGGGCTAGCGCTCTAGTGGCCTCGCGGAGGGAGGACTGCAATCTTAGGTGTGCCTGAAGTACCGCATACCTGGCGGTGGGCGCCCAAGACTTCCCATGCTGGCGTTGCAGCGTGGCAATGCGGGCTTGGGGCCGGGGAGAGCGAGGTAGCGGGTACCTGGGCTGGCACTTTTTCTGACGGTGCAAATGCGGCAGCGGCCAGGGCGCTACCGGTAGGGGCCATTGATCCAGCGCACAGCGAGGACGGTACTCCGTGCATATGGGCGCATGTACCGGTACACGCCTCTCCGGTGCAGCGCCGAGGGAGGGATGGAGGGAGCAGCTACTGCGACACTCGAAGTTATTTGATGTCTGGTTCCGAGTCGATATGAATTTGAATTTATTTGCATTTGATGCGAGAGTACAGTACGTACGAGTACCACTTAATAATACTCGGACGGACACCCGCTCGTACAGCGTGAGTGGCGCTACAGTACGAGGGCGGAATACCTTACTTGCCCGGCCGCAGTAATACTTTTAATATAATTACCTGGTACCACTAACGATTGAACCTTGGAGGTAGCTGGGTACATGGGCTTTGTTGACCACCTTACAACTTAAGTTGTATGTACGAAGCAGGTACTTTGCTCTAGTAGGTACGCTTATCACGCGGCAAGGCGAATAAAATAAACACCACAAGCCATCCAGTCCATAAAAAAGGAAAAAGGAAAAAGGAAAAAAAAAAAGTTCAAAGGAAAGAGGTGTGGGTACGGCATCACACGGCGCTCGACTGGCAAAAAGCCCAGGCAAAAGCCGCTGAAGGCGCTATCGGCGCTGACGCATGGCCTCAACTCAACTTCAATGGGAACAACACCACAAGCACAGCGCTGGGGCTTCCGGAGGGGGCGACATACTCGCTGGTTCACCTTCAAGCCACCGCACAGGGAGGGGGCAGCTTAGCAACAGGTCACGGTACTTGCAAGGCACATGTACGAGTACCTGAACATCCCGGCCGCGCTGGTGGTGAGGGTGAGGGTGAGGGTGAGGCGTGGGGGAAGACGGAGACCCTTTTGGGACACCACACTGTGCGTCCTGGCGGCTGCTGGCATGCTCACGCTCACCCTTCCGTTGCTGATGAGAGGTGTGCGTGTGCGTGTGGACTGGACTGGACGGTGCCGGGACTCGTACAGAGCCAGAGCGTCCAAGTCTGATGTGGGTACACCGTAAGTTGCTCTCCGTAGCGACCAGCCCTTGCATGGTCCCTACTAATGCAAGCTTGAGGCCAGACGCCGCGCCTCAAAACACAAAGGGCGGAATCCGGACCATGACTAAGGGGAAGATGGAAGGCCTCTGGAAGGGAGCGGACGGCCAATCAGCCAAACCGCAAAACGCCAAAGGGCGAAAGATGCAATACCAAAGGCAGCCCGGGCATCAGGCGTGAAACGGCCGAGGTGTGCCATTTCCCCCGTCCAGAGTCCAGTGTCCAGCAGCCGGCCTGTGCAGCGTGGTCGTATGTTTTTATTCCATCACCGTCGTATTGTTATGCCCGACTAGTCGTCTCGTCCTGCCACGTCTGTCGTCTGGCTCGATGCCCTGCAGCAGCTAGGCATACAGTAGGCATGAGAGAGATATCGCAATCGAATGGCGTGCAAGAGGGTTGGGGGGGTCTGCCGCTTGGTGGTTTCCAATGGATTCTTATTAATCACCGTCGACTTTTTTTTTTCGGCGCTGGTGGCGGACAGTCTTCGTATTGGTCATTCCAGTTGCACCGCGGCCTTATCCCCAACCAAAGGGCCCAATGTTTGTCTGCGTCTGCAAACTCAGAAGCCAGTGGAGTGCAAAGAGCCCAGCCGTTGCACTTTGCACTTTGCACTTTGCACCGCACTAGCAGCACCTCAGCGGCGCAACATGACAGCCTGTCACGCAGCCAAGTGCCACATCGCAGCGCCACCAGGACAATGGATGGAATCGGAAAACTTTTTTCGTTCTGCTTTCCAATGCCCTTTGTCCTGCCCAACTAAGCGTTTCCTCGGCCTTCCAATCGCACGGCCGTGTTGCCGGTATATCTCCGTTTTCATTTGCCATTCCACCCGGCTCCGACCAAAGAGCGAGCCGGGGGCCGCACCTGAGGTACTCCAGCCCAGACAGGCGACGAACAACAATTGCAGCGCCTTTTGCCACCAGCTGACATGCTGGTATATCGTACCTGTACGAGCACCCAAACGTTGCCTTAGCGCAGCTGGCCTGGGAAAAGAAAAGAGAGACGGCACACGACCCAAGCTAACAGGGTAGCCCCTTGTAGTGTGGGATGACACGCTCGATAAGATACCAGTAGCGGGTGAGGTTAATGCTACTCCATACACCGTACACCTTTTATAATTATTCATGGGGCCACGTAGTTGTCCTGGATCTTGGGGTATCCAAGTCAATAGTTGCCGCATTGCATTGCCCTGTTCGTCGACCCTTTTGATTGGCAGTAGGAATGCTGGAACGAAATCAAAAGAAAAAGGGATTGGTTATCCAGCGTGCTATGCTCCGAAATCAAATGCACGGTAATGGGGTATTGGTGGATGAATATTCAAAGAACGTACCTGTAATGATGGCAGTGACGATGGTAGCAGGCATTATAGAACCGTAGCGGTACTAGTAGCAACTGCGAGAAGCACAAGGGAGATAAGTCATGTCATGTGGTGGTTCCTCCGCATCTCTTTGTGATCCTTGAACAGCTCAATTGCTGGGGTGTTGTTGATAGCCACTTTCACAAAGAAGAAGGGAACAAGAGGCAGTGAGCAAGAGTCGTCGAATCGAGCTGGCTGCATATTGCTCATTTACCAAAGGCAAGGCATGGAACGGGGTCCAACACGGATGCGCTCTCCGTACTCCGTACTCGGAACGCCATTCCGCAGCCTGCTATTCGCTCCGTTTGTTCGCTTGGAGAAAAGGCGGCACTTGGGCAACAATACAGCACCACGGCCATTTGCTCTGCTTGCCTAGACGAGACATGCTCCAGGGGTCGCCGCCAATTGGATGGCGCCCCTGGGGTTGGAGAGAGACCCCTGCTCTTTGAAGCCGCACCAGACAGCTGGGTACCGGTACTCAGAGACTCCCCCAACCCCAGAGGTACAAAGAGCAACCAGCGCTAGGAGCGAAGAGCACGGAGAGGGAAAAAACGGAGAGCAGTTTCGAACGGTTCAGAGGGCCAGAGTCATATCGTCCGGTTAGGCATGGTGGCATCGAATGTCGTTGTCAAGGCTGCCAGTTGCCAGGGCCGAGCGGATTGTTCCGTGATCCATGCGTGAGGAAGCTTTTGCGGACCGCTGCCTGCCCAAGTCAAAAGTCAAAGAAGAGTCAGTCGGACGCAAAGCACAAAGAAACCCAGAGGCCTCATGCGGTACAAGCTCATAAAAAGAAAGGAAACACTTGTAATATTACCACCGCCCAGTAGTTGGTGGGAGGTCGGGGCCGCATGCGGTGTTGGGTTAGTTCGCGGCTTGCGAGGAGCGACGGAGGTCACAAAAGGGGTGGGCGTGGCCAAAATGGAAAAAGAAACGAGGTGAGAGTCGGTCGCTGGCTCACCTCCGCCTGGCCTCCGTCCCACCAGCTCCTAATGCAAGTCCGTATTGCGCTACTGCGCGCAAGTGACGGTGGAATATGACAGGTGGTTTGGCTACTGATGTGCTGGTGCTGGTCCATCCCTTTGAGCGATAATCCTCTGCTGGCTGCCCCAGCCCAGCACTGTGTAATGCAATGTAACGGATTGGAAGCAATCTGGATTGCTGCATCAGGCCCAGAGGTGAGGTAGCACTGCTAGCCGTAGCGCTCCTCAGGGCACTAACCCAACTGAGCCGCGCCTACTAGACCCTGATACTTTAGTATGGGCTCGTATGGATGTACCGCCATGGGAGCGAATTCCGTCCGTCCCTTGTTGGCCTTCATTTAGCACGGGCCGCAGACTCGCGCACAGTCTAAAACGGAAGTCCCTAGAAACCCCCACTGAGATGGCGTAGTCTCGTCTCGAAATCCCCCGAATCAATCCAGGCACGAGATCCATCACTCGCTAGGGGCGATGGTTAATGTTCTGGATGGATCCCTTGATCTTTTTTTTTTCTTCCCACAACCAAGACCCCGGATATGGTACATGGGCCATGTACCTCCACAAGGCAAGCCTGCCCAACCAACCCGCCAAAAAGGGCCCGACTCGAACCCCCGTCCAGTCTCTCCGGCTCTCTTGCTCTCTGGCCGATGCATTTGATCTTCTTGCACTGTCCTATTCCTATTGCTCACATCACGCTATTGCGCGCGAGCGAATTTCTTCATTCGCCGCCGGGCTAGAGCCAGCTCACTCTGCCGGCGCGCGATTGCAACGAGGCGCAACTCTTCCTCTGACTCCTCCAGCTCCGTTGCCCCTCTATCTCGGGCCTCACCGATGCAAGTTACTCGTTACTGCTACCGCGCCTTTCCCGCCGCTTCTGCCGAGTACTACTCGTACTCGCACCGCTGCCCGCGAAAGTCCACCGACCGCCAGCGAGGCGTGAAACGCACCAGCAATGCGCTTACAAGAGCCATTTGATCATCTCATCTCTGGCCTCGCCCATCGCTCTCGTTTTCCCTCGACACCATCTCGACATCCCTCTTATGCAGACCCGCCTCTTGACTGCTGCCCTTCCCCGCCCCCTCTGCTGACTTTGGCTTACCGACCCCTCCAAAGGGAAAACAACGCACGAACGCACACGGCAACCAAGATGACAACAAGGTGTTCGAAACACAAGCAAAGCTCCCTCGCCGTACAGTATCGTACTTGTACAGTAGACTCGCCAGATCCGAGTGGATAGCATGACTTCATCCAACAGCCACGGAGTGCCGAGATTGGCCTTGGTACTAGTACTAGTACTACCGAGCGGACCGCACCACCTTGGGAGGTAGAGCTACCTGGCGCCTTACTCGGGTTCCCAGACATCTTCTGCTGCGCCCTACTATAGTTGACTCACGCCTCGGCAGCCAGGAAAACACGCGCTGTTGCTACAGTTCCGCCTTGCTTATTCGTTGTACAGTATCGTGGCCATGGATCTGACTCCAATGTTTCTCCTATTTCCCTTGGCCGTCCGTCATCGTGCATACGGCTCGACGAGACAAATACCTATCCTTGCGGCTGTCGCCCTGAAGAGGGATTATGCAGTGCTGCAGCCGCCGCTACCGACTGCTACAGACAACCCGAGGTCTGCCACCCTACATGCGCACGAACGAACCAAGTAGACGCTGCTAAGGCAGACGTGCGCCAGGAGAAGCGCAGCTGGGCGCTGGTGCAGATGGACAAACTGGCGACATCCACTTGGGGGTCACGGGGGCATTGTCAGACTGCCACGGCTAGGACGAGACGGAGCCAGTTGGGCTATTCTTGACCCATCCAAGCACATATTCACGTCTGGTCGTCGCTGCAGCACCCGTGGCCGCTAGGGCAGCATGAGCTGCAAATGAGCTGCTCAACTGCTCTTGGGGGGGATGCGCACCTCGTCCGCCCTCTCCACCCATTCAATGCACCACGCGCCGTGCAACACCAGGCCTTGCCGGCTAGTGATGGCGCCTAAGCCATCGTCGCTCTTTTTCCCTACCCGTCAATCTCAGGCTTGCGTTGTGCGCCCAGCAGCAGAACCCGTAGATGCACCACACCCAAAAGAGCTGTCCCCTGGGGGGCCCCGTGATGGCCAGGCGCAATGGCACTGGACGACCTAGGATAACGCATGCGGACGCTTTCAAAGGTCACTCATACCCAAGTCTGATCAAGGTGACTCAAGCCAGATGACGACAGCTCCCGCAAACCCAAACTCATGTTTCCAACGCCCCCCCACCGAAGCACATTTCCAGTTACAGGCCCGAATCTTGGTAGCAACTCGTTCCCTCACCTTGGCCCCTTATAAGTGTAATTCTGCCGTCGGCCGCAAGTTTGTACCAATGCGCGCCGGTGGCCCGTCAATGCGCGTTGTGTGCTCTGTGTAACAACCACAAGTCGATGGCGAGCCGAAGCCGTCTTCAGCAACCGCTATGGAGTCGGCATGAGAAGATGGTATAGCCACCGAGCCAATTATTCGTTGGCTGTTGCTGCATTGCGCCCAAAAGGGCAATGCTGTCGCCGTATTTAGCTTCTGCAACGTCGGTTTCTGTTTGTTGCTCGGACGGGGTGAGCCTGTGCTACACGCTGTGTCACCGCACCTGTCTCAAGTTCAGCCTTTCTGTAGGAGCTTGCAGCCGTGCTCTGCGATTGGCCAATAACTTTCAGGTTGTGTCTCATTCTCTTTGCTCTCATCTGCCATGTGGGAAAGGTTACGAAATGTCATCAATCAAGATGATTGTGGGTTCTCTGTATTGACTCCAGCCTAGGTGTCATGGCGAGAAGCAGAGGAGTCGTTGATATCTATTCATCTGCCCCTTCTAGTATCTATTGTCCATTTTGTCCAGCATTTGGTATTATTACCAAGGTAAGCATTTTCCGTCATCATGGAATTGGATCACCCGAAAGTGTTCCATTTCCTGGCCTCTTTGCCGCACTGGCTCAGGGTCACAGCATCGTGAAGCCGCGATGCTGTTTGACGGCGAACGACTTCCAATTCGGGAGATTAGTTGGCAATTACACTTTGACGCCACTGTCCTACGATTGCATGCCGAATACCGCGATTTTCCACAGTAGCCGTACCTCGACGTCGATTCTCAAACACTTTTCCAGGCCAGTTTACCGAACATGCAGAGCGGAAGCCGTGGCTGCAGCTTTCCGAAGCTCCCAGGTCCAGACGGGCACCCACTGCCATGATATCGGCTTGCATATTTTGCCCCCCTTGAGTCGTCAGTATGGAACGCGACCATGACTCGGCGTTCCTCAAGTTCGCAATTGCGAGTATCAACGACGGCATGGCTGAAAAAATTATCAGTGGCGCCATGGTTTTTTCACTCTCCTTTCTGGAACTTTTCCATGTGGGAGTGGATCTGCGAGCCGCTTTGGCTCCCTTGTTTGTTCTCCCGCCGTATATACGGTGTACACGGCCAATCGGTCGGCGTATCGAGTACGCATCAAAGGAAGCCTGAAGGGACCATTTCGCTGATTGATAAAAGGAGCCTAGGCCTGGCTCGGTACGAGACACGGCAAAACCGCCGTCGACGCCATCTACCTAGCCTAGAAGTAGTATTCTAGATGGAGGAGAGCGTTGTTGGCTCATCCATTGATATGAAAGACCATCCCTTGAGCCCCGAAAGGGCTAGGGCAAATGAGTGAGTTGGTATGGCATGCCGATCATCATGGCATGATCAGACTATCATAATCAATGTTCAGGCCACGGAAATACTGATCCGTTATATGCGGGAGTGCCTGAACTGGCCATCCGAGCCAACACTTTAACCATACATCGGGTGTTGGAGATGAAGATCATTCCTCTCCCATAGCTGGTGGGCAAGGGTCCTATTGAATCCACTTATTCGGACTAGATGCTGCTCGTACAGTACGTGAGTTGAAAAGTGGTTGGCAGGGTGAACAAGGCGGGTTAGAAGTCTGTCCGCCAGCTACAAGTAGTACTCGTACTGCAAAGGCTGAGGCATGGGGGATATCCTTGCTCTAGATCAAAGAGGTCGGGAGACCGGTACGAAACGCGCCGTACTACCGTCAGCACTGAGCAGCGATACTTGTACAAGTAGGCAATGACATGCATGCAGATTCCTGGATAGCTCTCTTGGCTCTCCACTTTCGTCTGTTCCACTTCTCCTGTTTTCCCTCTTCTCTCGAGTTGTAGACTGCCTTTTTTTTTTGCCAGGAGAAAGATTCACACAAGTAGAGGTACTGGAGGTTGATGGCCCGTCCGAGACGACAAGTACAAATACACGCTCCTGCTGGTCAGACCCTCGGACCGTTTCACGAAGACACCGGAGAGCCGCGTTTCTTTTGTGGTTTCGGGGGACGGGGGCTTGGTGGTCTTGCCGATCCCGCTAGTACGAGCATGATACGGCTGATGCCTCAGCACCGGGGCAAACGCCATTGACGATTTCCACCCACCCAAGAAGAGATTGTGTGTGTGTGTGAGAGTGCGAGGTAGAGCGTGAACGAGGCGATATTTTTTTTTACTGCTAATTGGCGTCAATTGAGAGGGCATTGAAGATTTACCATGGGGGAAACAAGGCGCTGAATCTGTCACGGTGTGTCTGCTTCGGCCAAAGCAAAGACCAGCCAGGTTCCCTCCCCCCGATTGGGTTCCACCGCTCTCAGGCTCAGCGGCGCGCTCAACGCATTTCCGCATGTAAGTTAGAAATGACCGTCCAGTTGGGAAACTTCGCTTCTGCATACCCGTGGACACCGACGCGGTGGAGTCGCCGCTGCAAAAAGGAGCATACGAGTGCTGTGCTGTGCTGTGCTGTGCTGTACAATAAGGAGAGGGACACGAGAGAGACAGAGACAGAAGCTGGGAGGATACTTTAAAGACCCCTGCGTGTGCTTGGATAGACGAGGCATCTTGATCGTCGCGCGTCCTCCAGCTTCCGGCCTACGAGTAACGATATATCTCGCCATGGCGAAGTTGCGGCTGGGACACTTTTTTGAGGTTTTTGGTTTAGCTCACTGGCAACCTTGAGGTGGAAAGTTGTTTCGTCCCAGGTTCAACTCGTACAGGAGACTTTTGGGGGATTTTGGGGTCAAAACGAGCTTCCTCTTCCGCTTGAGGCAGCACACTTCGATTGAGCTGTTTTACTAGCAGCGATAACCCCGGCACCGCGGTTATGCACTTAGTCAGATTGGCAATATCGAGGATCTCGGAGATGACCTTCTGGAATGCTTCGAAATAAAAAACAACCCGGCCAGTCATGCCACTGACGTCAAGGGGGGTGGTAGGGCGGTAGGTATATTGTCGGTGAGCAGGTACCAGAGACTAAACACTTTAGATGATACAGGGTTTTCGAGATTGAGCCTTTTCTCGGAGCTATTCATGCTGGGGGGCTACTGCTGCTACAGGTAAAGGCAGAGTAGTAGCGCCGACAACTTTATACGGCTTGCCGATGCTACGCTGCCGGCTTGAGAATTGTGGCCATGTGATTGGGATGCTGGGGGGTTTGGTGGTGTCGTTTCGTCAAGAGCGGTAAGAGAGGTTGGCGATAGCCTGATGCAAGAAACAAGCCTGATGCCGAATGTACGAGGCCATGCGGATTGGTTTTTGCCCTAGCGTGTGTCTTTATTTTCTCAATCGCCAGCTGTGAGAGTGCGTAAGCCTTGCTTTGCATGTGAAAAAAAAACAAAAACAAAAAAATATGCGAGGAAGAGGCAAAATCATCGTGAGCCTCGTATCCAAGCTGACTGATACTATTCTGGTCGCCAAAAAGCGGGCGCCCAATGAAAGGCTGTTGTGAAGGTTATACAAATAGCCCAATAGTCTGTGATTGACTTTTTTGTTTTTGTTGCTTCTCGCCAAGAAAGTCAGCGAGGCTGCCAGGGCTGTGAGCATAAAAGCCAAAAGGAAGCTATCCCCAAACGTCAGTCTAGAACAAGGCAGAAATTGATGTGAAATATTAGTAGCGCTTATAGGATGAGAGTAGCTACCCAGCACCTCAGCCTAGCTGTCCAACACCACAGATATTATGGTTTAGGCGAGATATCGCGAAAGCCCCAGTGTATGTATACCCAGTACCTGCCTAGGTTTCTAGGTGCATATCTGCCATTTCACCATCTTTTTCTAACATCTAGTTTGAGATTGCTGAAAGGTGAGCATCTGAGAGGTTTCAACAAGTATTACTTCATGTCGTGGCTCCATGTATTCTGCAATGCCCGCATAACTGACGATACGGGGATGCTAAACGCTGGAGAGTTAACTCGGGCTCCTAAACAACCACATCCTGGTACTGTTGATCCCAGCTCCTTCAACCGTGTAAATGGGTGACAGTAGAACAGTTCCTTTGGTGTCAGTTGTCCTGCTAGCACCCTTTGCCTGGCTGAAGTGAGAGAATATCCGCCTTGGGTAGTAAATTGAGTCTCAGAATACGGTAGAGGTGTGCTCTTAGGACCGTGTCGACCAACCAACCCCATCACCTAGGACTGCCAAAGAGTTTGTGTCAAGTCTGAAAACTGCAGATTTTCCCGGGCATCCCTGGCAGAATTCGAACCAACTCTCTGATGGTCCTGATTCTCTAATTTCTGGGATTACGAGAAGTGATATAGCGAGCATCGCCGCTGTTGGTCCTTCGGGCAACAGTAATCTGGTCCATCTCTGCACTCAACTCATGGGAGAGTTTCAGATACTGAGGCGAGGAGTGCTGTTGAAAATATACATTGTGCGGCTTTCAATTGGACAGCGGTTCTGTGGTAAAATATTTGAAATATTATATATTTGGGTAAAGATGCCTCTATCTCTCAGCGGCGATCTGTTGGAGCGCTAGACACATTGTCTAGAAGCAATTCATATGCTTTCCCGCTCTGAGGCTATTTGGCTCCATAGACAAAGCTCGTGCCCATAACGAATGCGCAATAATCTTTCAAGCTAATAGCTAAATGCCATGCGAAATATGCGAAATATTAGAGGCCGCTGGTGTACCACCGATCCAGCCTTTCTTGGCTTTCGTCTGTGAGTCATCGTACAACTTCATCTTTGATTCCTTTCTTCCTTTCGAGGTGGCGCCATCGCATGTCTATCGAGTACTGTCGGGGTGAAATCGTCCCTGGACGGGCTTCGCCTATTCGCCCAAGACTCCCATGGATGAGCTGTCTAAAATGCATGTTTCCAAATAACGATTCGGGTTTCCGTTTTTCTTTTCCTCTTGCCATACGTAGAGAGAATTTAGCTGAGCAGCATGGACACCTGATCTCTATCATTAGCATCACAGGCAATTGAGGGGCCCGGGAGTATACGTACAGCCATGACAACACAGCAAATACTTATATATGGACTTAGTCGCTCCCCTATCCTTGCGCACTTCCAGAAGATACCCATAACACTTTAGCTATATGTCAGCATTCGGCGTACAACGATCCGTGCGATTCATATGGGATTGCGCCGTACCCGTTCTTGTTCCGGTCCATGATGCCGGGCGTAAAGTGGTGGACATAGGTGCTCGTGCAGATTAAGAGCAGGATGACGAGCAGCAGGGACTTGAAGTTGAAAAGCGCAGACTGGATAGCACAATGTCAGCGGCCCAATCTCTGTGTATGAATCTTCACAATTCCTCAATCACGGGAAATCTTACCATCTTGGCGACCTGGAATTAATGCTGTTCAAACAAGTAAATGCATGTCCACAAGCTGTCCAGATGCCCGGCGCGGTCTCGTCATCCTTGGAGCTAGAAGGGGCCAGATGTGGATAGGAGGAAAGATTTACCGATCCGATTGCACGCGCGGGTCCCACATCAGCTGCAATGACATGCATGTCCCCACCAACCAGAAGTTGCGATTTCGACGCAGCTTGCGAGACGGTTGTTGCTGTTTGAGCCGCCTTTGACTTTTTCGATTCACCCATATCACGAGATTTTGATTGAGAACCTTTGACAATCGCGATTCCCTCAAAAGTCTATCTCTACACGATACCTCAGAGGGAAGCAGGCTAAAGGCCAGCGGGCAAATCAGTTCAAGATGGAGCCTCGTGCGCGAGCCGGCAAGAATGTCGGCAAAATGAACTTTTCCCACGCCGAACGTATGTAATCTCCATCCATCAAAGACAAGACGATATAGCGAAGAGAGGTGCAGTTACAAGGGGAAATGCAAGTTCCTAATCCGATTTACGCTCTACAGTGGCCCAGCTTCTCTATGCCCACGGCGATATCAAAAACCCCATGCCCGAAACGGTTCGCGTTCTCGACGAGATCCTCACCGACTTCATGCAGTCCATCGCCTTTGAGGCGAACCGCGCAGCCAACTACTCGGGCCGACAAAAGATCAAGTACGAAGACTTTGAGTTTGCGTTTCGGAAGAACCCTTCGTTTCTAGGAAAGGTCCAGGAGGTGTTTGAGAAGCAAAAGGAGATTAAGAAGGCAAGAGAGATTCTGAGGGATGGAGAGGATGAGATTATGAAGGATGCGGCTGAGGAAGAGAAGAGAAAAGAGAAGGTAGTGACGTCAAAGACGAATAAAGTCGAGGAGGAATTGGGCGAAGCGGACGACGATGCTGAGGCGGAGGCTGATGCTCTAGGGAAGAGGAGGTAATGATGGCCTTGACAGGATGCAAGGTTTCTTTCTTTTCTTTTTCTTTTTTTTTTCTCTTGGGTTCACAAAGCATTACTTCGGAGTTGGGGAAAGCATGGGCTGGGCGTTCGGAGGATTTTGGCAAGACTACGCCAAGTATATTTCTCCTTGTTTTCTAGACACAAGTCTCATCTACATACAACTGGATGCGGTAATCAGAGGCATACTTTTCACGATCCTTCAGCAAACCCCTTCGTTCTATTGGTAGCCGCTTTCTTGTGGTTTCAGCTACGGCTGAACAGCTTGGTCCACCCCGTGTCCCTCGCATATGATATATCATGCCACTACTGCTGATAGTCCTGTGCGGGGTCGGCTCTAGAAGCCTTAGAAATCCTCGAGTTTGGATAATCTCGGTTTACGCTATCAAAACACTACTATCCTCGACCCCATATTGACCAGGACACAGCAAAGGGGAAAAAAGCCGGTGATCCATTTCAGCGCCTTTGGGAATAGAGCGGAGAAAGATCAGCGACCGATATCCGCACGATGCCACCACACCAATGCTGCCGGCCCGGCCGTAGATAGCGATATCGGGTTATCACGTTTGGCCGACTCTTGGGCAGTTCTATCTTGCTATTCGCACTTAGATGCTAGTAGTTCGTGCAAAATCGAGCGCCGATTCCGTCAGCCGCTGCCGCAGGCAAACAGGTGCCCACCCAGGCCGCCCAGCAACTGCTTCGGCCATGGGGCGAGGTCGCGGGGGCGAGTTTATTAGTTTGCAAAGGCGGCTAAGAAGTGACGAGGATATCCGATCCACCCCCCAGAGGCCAATAGGGTGCCATGGGGTATGTCGCCAAGCAGCCGTAGGAGCAGTCTCTGCGCTGCTGATGGTGTTGAGCAGAGACGGTCACCAGGCGGGCTTTTTTTTCTTAAGCTAGAGTCGCCAGAGGATGAACCATCTTGTAATAGCACATCATTGCTTCCCGAGTCAACCAGAGCTTTGAAATCCTCGGCCTGGTTGGTGTTTGTGTTGTTTGTACCTGGTTGCCGCTATCAGCTTTGTTGATCCCGATGCAACTCCGTTCTCTTGTGTCTTCAAAGTGATCCGAGAGGGGCCATCATGGAGGTCAGCCGAAGGCCTCGGTCTCCGCCCGTCGCGGCAGAGATTGAGCTGCACCTCACGCTGGACAAAAACCATCCGGACGAGGCAGATGTTTCTCAGGTTGCGCCGCAAAACACCCTTGCTCCAAGCGAATATCAGACGAAATCGAAGCCATCTTTGTTTGCTGATGACTTTCGTCGTCTATCAATAAGCCCAGCTCCGAGCGGACGACTATCACCACTCCCTAATGGACCGTATAATCAGACAGGATTCTATCAGCCTCCCCCGGAAGCGTCGTCGTCCCGGCTAAAGCAGTTCTGGGTACGAAACAAACCGTCCATACTGGTAGCTGTCTCCCAGTTATTCGGGGCCTTGATGAATCTCAGCGCTCGACTGCTGGAGTTGGATGGCGATGGGATCCATCCGGTACAAGTCCTCCTCCTTCGACAAGGACTCACGGTCGTCTGCTGCTTCGTTTATATGTGGTGGAAAAGTGTTCCCGATTTTCCGTTTGGCAAAAAGGAAATTAGAGGGCTCTTGCTGCTTCGCGGCTTTTCGGGATTCTTTGGCATTTACGGCATGTGGTACTCCATGATGTATTTACCACTTGCTGATGCCACCGTCATTACCTTTCTTGCCCCTGGAATTGCCGGTCTGTTGTGTTACTTTGCTCTGCACGAGCCCTTCACGAGACCGGAGCAAATTGCCACGGCCGTCGCCCTTTTGGGAGTGGTTCTTATTGCACGGCCGGTTTCCTTGTTCACAGCCCTCTCTCCATCTGAAGATCAGATGGTGGACTCTCCCGAGCAAGTGGACGGGGCCTTTCCTAGCCTCGAACATGAGGCAACGGCCGAGGAACGACTGGTGGCCGTTGGCGTTGCGCTTCTAGGCGTGTTGGGAGCTGCCGGTGCATTCACATGCATTCGCACCATTGGAAAACGTGCCCATCCCCTGATTTCGGTCAACTTCTTCGGCATGGCATGTACCATCATCTGCGTCCTAGCACTGACTCTGGCACCAAGATTCAATATCAGCCAGCCTCACTTGAGGTGGATCACGCCAAAGTCATGGAAAGGATGGTTTCTGCTTCTATGGATAGCAGTGCCCGGCTTCATAATGCAGTATCTTCTGACTGCGGGACTGGCAGCCGATACGTCCAACAGAGCGAATGCCATGATTTACACCCACATGTTGTTTGCAGTCAGTTTTGACCGATGGATATTCGGCCATAGCATGAGCATGATTAGCTTCGCTGGTTGTGCGCTCATCTTGGGGAGTGCCATCACTGTCGTTTTGACGAAGAACCCGCCAGCTCGAACGGCCAACGACGTTGAGAGACAGGGGAATATAGAAGGAGAAGCGGAAGGCTCTCCGATGCTCATCGATACAGGAGGGAATGCTGAAGGAATCAATCTGAGGAGAGTTTGATCTGCATACTTTGTCGCAGAGTTTATGATTTTGATGTTTTGACGAATTGGATGGGTCACATGCAATCTTGGTAGACATACATTGCGGCAGTTATAGCTTTGAAGAAAGTTTACATTCTTTTTGGGCAAATACTCGTCTATTGCAGCACTATTGCTAAATCCTTACCTACCTTATTCATGTACGAGTGTTCCTCCTATGCTCAATATCAGCTCCCGCTACTATTTCTTTCTCTGCTGTGATGGCTACGTCTTATTGCATCTACACCTGTTACAACCTTAATGATGATATGGGGGGTTTTAGAGATAGGTAGGCAACAGAAAGAACTATATAATCTTCCATAGATGGAAATTCATCAAAACATAAAGCGTGGATAAAAATTGGGAAAATAATGAGCTAGTTGACGGCTTTAGGGTAGGCCAATTGGGATTGCGAGATCTCTTTTTCTCGGATCACGTGCCGAGAGCTGAGCTAAGAGTCGCGACGCCGCGCTTGGTAACTCTGATAGCTGCAGGGTTGCGATCCAATCGCAAAAAATCAAGATCATCGACTCTGGCCTCTGCCAATTCCGCTTGTTTCCCGGACATGCTATAAACTCACAAACCCAGCCATCTTCCGTTCTAGGTCCAGGGTCAAACCTTTCTTTTCCACCTCTCTCTTTCTTCCCATTGACGTCGAAAACCGGGAACGCATAGCCAAGATGGTTCAGATCAGCGAGGTCAAGGGCAACAAACGCGATAACCGCACCGCAGCCCATACGCACATCAAAGGCTTGGGGCTGAAGTCTGATGGGTATGCGGACACACAGGCCGCTGGCTTTGTTGGCCAGGTTCCCGCACGAGAGGTAAGCGGTCTCTACACCTGGCATTCTTCTCCCTTGCTGCAGCCTGCTGATGATTTTTTTTCCTACTTCGCTAATCTAGTCATGTGGCGTCGTTGTCGATCTGATTCGAGCTCACAAAATGGCCGGTCGAGGTGTTCTGTTAGCTGGTGGCCCAGGAACAGGAAAGACAGCTCTGGCGCTTGCAATCAGTCAGGAATTGGGTACTAAGATTCCCTTTTGCCCGATTGTTGGCAGCGAGATCTACTCGTCCGAAGTGAAGAAGACCGAAGTCTTGATGGAGAACTTCCGAAGAGCGATTGGCCTCAAGGTCCGGGAAACGAAGGAGGTATACGAGGGCGAGGTTACCGAACTTACACCAGAAGAGGCCGAGAACCCACTGGGCGGCTACGGAAAGACCATCAGCACGTTGTTGATTGGATTGAAGAGTGCCAAGGGCCAGAAGAAGCTTCGGCTCGACCCCAGCATTTACGAGGCTATTCAGAAGGAGAGAGTCACTGTTGGCGACGTCATCTACATCGAGGCGAACACTGGCGCCTGCAAGAGAGTGGGACGATCCGATGCGTATGCCACCGAGTTCGATCTCGAGGCCGAAGAATACGTGCCCATCCCCAAGGGTGAGGTGCACAAGAAGAAGGAAATCGTGCAGGACGTCACATTGCATGATCTTGATGTTGCCAACGCCAGACCACAAGGCGGCCAGGATATCATGAGCATGATGGGCCAGCTGATGAAGCCCAAGATGACAGAAATCACCGACAAACTACGTGCCGAGATCAACAAGGTTGTCGGGAAGTACATTGATCAAGGCGTAGCCGAATTAGTCCCAGGCGTCCTATTCATCGACGAGGTAACTACTTTTTCCCCATGCCCTTACGCTGGAGAAGAGAGAGAGAGAGAAGGGACGGAGATTTACTGGTATCCGACACTAACATTGGATTAAAATAGGCTCACATGCTCGATGTGGAGTGCTTCACTTATTTAAATCGGGCATTGGAATCACACCTCGCTCCCATTGTGGTTTTGGCATCCAACCGTGGAATGTCCACAATAAGAGGCACCGACGACGTTGTCGCGGCTCATGGAATTCCTCCCGACTTCCTAGCCCGGATGCTCATCATCCCCACCTCCCCATACTCGGCAGACGAGATCAAAAAGATTGTCAAGCTCCGGGCCACGACAGAGGGTGTGTCTGTTACGGACGCTGCCATCGACAAAATTTCCGAGCACGGTGTCCGCGTCAGCTTAAGATACTGCCTGCAACTGCTGACACCCTCAAGGTGAGTCCCATGGCCGTGAATGAATAGGTTCCTCACATGAGACACAGAGAGCTGACGTGTGATGCCAACAGCATTCTTGCCAAGGCGAATGGCCGTACTCAGATTGACGTCCAGGATGTGTCCGAGTGCGAAGATCTCTTCCTCGACGCCCGCCGTAGCGCCTCGCTACTTGCTAGCGAAGCGGGACGGGGCTATCTCTAACGTTGATTTTGATGAGAATCTGTAGACGAGCAGGGCTAGATCGGGTGAAGGGGGGAGGATCTCATTGTGAAAGATGACGCTGGGCGGTGTGCCGATAACGCCACTGGTTTATAGGTCACGACGGATTCAACAGAAATCCTAGACACTCGTGTATTTCTTTTTCTTTTTTTGGTTTGGCTGTTTTCTGCGCGATGTACGGAGTATGAGTACGGGGGCTGGACAGCCCTGGCAAACTATTGGGCTTGGATGAAAGTTTCTGAAATGGCGGGCAAGCCGTGTTTCTTAGGTGGCCAATGTAACAAGATTGTCCTGCATATTTCTACAACAGTGTCGGCCTCCCTTACGCCGCACGCCCAAAGCCCCGAGACATCGTGGGCCTCTAAGGGAGAGGAGGCCAGACCTAGCCAGTGTGGAGAAGAACGTTGAAGACCGAGAGCCATGATTCGTGCTCCACCCCTTCCTCTTTGTGGGAAGGATGAGCGTGAACATATGGCAAGGCTACTATTGATGCTATAGGACGCCTCGTGGCCGAAGATGGATGGCGATATGAGCGCGGATTCGCACTAGACGGGGAAGAGAGGCGGCGGAGTCGGAGGCAAGGATGAACAAGGTCCATCATCACGTGTAGTAGAAACTTTGGCTTGGCCTTGTCTTGAATCGTCTGTCTTTGTCTCACAAGGTAGCATTCCAGAGGGCAGATGGCGCGCATTCCAAAGACGGCATTGTCCGTCTTTGGACGAGGTCGGAAAGGGGGGAGGGGTGGCCAGCAAAAGCCCCCGGAGGAAGAGACGAAACCTGAACTCGGCCTGGCGCACTATGGAGCCGTGTCTTTGAGAAGCGAATCAGAAGGCCATTGTGAAGAGGAAGAATGTTTTGGGCCGAGAACCTGAGAAGGAAGAAGAGACGAAGAGCTAATGTGACGATCTCACGAAACAAAGGTTCAGCTGCCTGGCCGGGGCTTTTTGTCGCGACCATCCCGTGTGCGGACTGTGCGCGCATCTTGCTGAGAGCAGCGATTGAGCAGAGGCACATGCTCGTGTGTCTTTTTACTTTCCTCTTGCCCCCTTTTTTCGACGTCGTCGACTGTCGGCCGGTCGATGTTCTGCGGCTTCGTGACGGAGGTGGATGGGCAAACGAAGAAAACAACAAAACCGCAAGAATCCCGAGAGCCATACACGAGCCACGAAGCTTTCATTTTACGCAGCAATTGCATCCAGACTTCAATCATCATCCTCTGTATCCATATTTAGTCCCGTCGTCCGTCTCGATCAACAACTCAAACATCTCCCTTGCCTCCATCTTCTCTCAAACCACCCGGACACGCTGCTCCTCGTGTTGTCCTCGACATAGGCGGAGCCGTCAAGTGGCCTTACGGCCTTCTCTAACCAAGACACTTACTGAGACATGCAGGGTGCCCTCGTCCACTCATCATAGAGTATCCAGTGGCGGTTGTCGACGGGAAAGAGCAGCGCTATTGTGAATGGCATCCTCCGACATTCACAACCCCCCGGCCCAGTTAATCTTTTCTACCTTCTCTGACAGTCCTTTTAATTCCCCCATCAATTTCCGAAGCCCCAATGGTTTGATAGGCGACCTTTTCAGTATTCAATACTACCTTAAACTTGAGGCTTCGTTTGCTCTTGTTGTTTTACTGCAATTTGCATGAGCTTCCTTAGGGTCTCTGCATGCTCCCTTGTTGTTCCATTGTTGCTCGGAAACAATAAACTCAAGTCGTTTGCACATAGCTCGGGAGCCTTTTGACTCGTCTTGGAATATCCTATACAGAATATCTTCCATTACATCTTTGCTATAATACATCTCATGTTCTGTCTTCGGCACGCCACCGACGTTTAGACATGGCTACGTTCCATGACCGCAACTATCCTAACGAGATGGTCAAAAGCAGCAGGCCCCAACCAGTGTTTGAGGGCTCACAGAACTCTTCAAGTCCTACAGGACGACATTTACATGCTGCTCCAATCCGCTCCCCTTGGGAACACAGAGCTCAGCCTGACTCCTCGTCATTCCACTCTCGCAGCCAACCCAACGAAATCGACCACACCAGTAGATCTCGGGAAGAGATTAGAGGACGGCAGGCCTCTATGATCACTGCACAGTTTACAGAGATAGCTTCGCCTCGCTATCCACAAGAATCTGAATACGCAGTCGAGTGGAAAGGGGTTGAAACGCCGCTGGCCTCGCCTTTTCACAAAGGAAGTCATCTTGATGACAGAGCCTACAGGAGAGCACCCCATGCACTTTTGGGAGATTCACAATGCTCTCCAACCTTCTCAGGACGGCGTATGGATACAATCACGGCACAGCCTCATGGAAGTACAGATTTGGCGTGGAGAGGAAGCCCTGAGGACATGGCTGGAGACTCTCAAAACTCTTCCAGTCCTACTGGACTGCGTATGGATATGCGTCAGACTCGATCTCGCATTAATCATTTTGACGACATTACCCGGAGAGGCAGCTCCGATGCAGTGGCCAGAGGCTTGCAGAACTGTTCAAGCCCTGTCAGCCGGCGACTCACCATACCTCACGGCACATTTAACACGAACCACGAAGATCGGAAGTTTAGCATCTCATCCTCATTGCAAACTGACGGTAGCGAGGACTTTGAATGCAAATGTCCCAAGGAGCCACCTAGGCCTCGAAATAGTGAGTTGAGGTCTTTCTATTTGATTCATTGTTGTGGCAACAATACCCAGGAGTTTAAGCCACCATCTTCAGCGGAATATTGCTGAGCGGATGTCGTCGAGGATCATTGCTGACTGAGATTTCCCAACCGTAGGTTTTATGTTGTATAGGCAGTATCACCAAAGCGCCGTGGCGAAGGACAATAAGGGTTCATCCAATCCTGAGATATCCAAAATCATCGGAACCATGTGGAAACGCCTGGCGGAGGACGAGCGTAAAATCTGGACGGAACTGGCGGAAGAAGAGAAGAAGATGCATGGACTCAAATACCCAGGCTATCGATACAAGCCAAATCGAAGACCAAAGTCTCAGGGGAAGCAAAGCTATCGGTGTCCCAAGTGTGGTGGTCGGCAGAACAAGACGACACGATCTGCAGAGTCACCAGGATCACCGCAGTCTCCAGAATCCGTAGGATCTTCACAGTCTTCACCATCGTCCAGAACACCGCGGGTACCACGAGGGCATCCTCGAGGCCCGCAGGGGTATCAGGGGCCACGAACACCGCGAACTCCAAGAATTTTGGCGACTCCAATCACCCCTTTCGCAGCCTCGGCTGAAGGCTCGTTCACAACACCTCTGTCATTTGCAGGCCATAGGAACTCAGAGTCATATTCTTGGCCGCCTCTCAATGCACCAAACACTCATCCTCGTCTCCAGAGTGGTGTTACACCATCTCTTTATAGAATAATCGAGCAAAGGGAACCTCGAAGCCCCAGAGATTACGGCTCAGCATCACCGGACAGGAGACGACGCCGAACGAACGACGCCGGAGATTATTATGCAACCGGCCGCGATTTTGATAATGGAAGACGCCCAGAACTGGCGTTCAATGAGATACTGGGGGCGTCTGTTGTGCCCCAGCCTGCGTCTTTTCCTAGGTCGCAAAGCCTTTCTACTCTACCACCACCTCCCTGGCAGCAGGGTACGGATACGCGGCAGAATTCAGGGTTTGGCGATCCTCCGCCTCTTCCTACTCTTGAGCCGCCGCTGCCGCAAACTCCATCATGGCCATCCCTCGGGAACTACAGTATACATCGGCGCCTTGAAGAAAAGTCATAGAGGTTTATCACCCTTGGGACGGATGCTTTGATTGAAGTAAGAACGAGAAACAAGAATTAACCAAGAATTGGGTATTAGAATTCATAGGGTGATATGAATATAAGAATGGAATATATAAATCACAATACGCATAATAACGCTGTAAGGTACTATTGTGCTTTGGATGAATTTAAGCCGCTAAATAAGTTTGATGGAGGTGACCTTGGTAACGCAATCAAACCTATTGATACCGGCGACGGCCAACTTATGTTTCCAGTCCAGAAAAATTGGGAGATTTTTTTTTTCTTTATAATCTCATTACCGCGTGGATGTGGTTGTGGGTTGAGGTGTTACAACAATATTGTGATCCCACCCACTTTAGTACCGAGTATGTGCTTGCCTCGAGTTGGTAGATAGAGGGATCTGCTTATACGGAACTCAGTATGCTGGACCAGACAAAGCCAACACTATATTTAATTTCCAATCTTTGATATCAATGGCGCCGGTGGCGACTACTGGTATAATTATCGTGATCCGTCTGTAACATCATCCGCTTCCGCTCCTTTGACGACGGTAGCATCTTTCACGGGAGATGAATGGTATCCCTTTGTGTAGTACAAGCAGGTGTATTTTCGCTAATTATAGACTTTGACAATCATTATATTTATTGTTGAAAGGATGGCTTTAAAGAAAGAGCAAGGTTGGTAATTGCGTGAATAGGTACTAGGTAGCTTTCAAAAGAACTAACAATGAAGCTCCCTTCTTTGCATTGTTCGTTATATTGAACAGCAATAATATCTTTCATCTTTGCTTTATCAAGCTAAAAATATCTTTTCTCTGAGTCATTTGATCCCTTGTTAGTTTAAAGGGTCTAAAGAATTGTATCCATCTTGAACAGCTTCTGTTTCTATTCCACCTGCTTCGTGAACGGGTTGGCGGTGATCAAGAGCGCCTTTGTAAAAGCGGCGGATTTGGCACAATGTTCAAAGCTGTACAAGTACCTGCTACTTTGAGCTCTCTCCTTGCATCCTAGCGTGAGCCAGTAGCGGGGTGCCAATGAGGTCTTTTAGCGGCTCAGCAGTTCGCAGAGCTCCCTGAAAGCTGCGGAAGCGAAGGGGGGAGTTCCTCCAAACACGTACCCAGTACAAGCTGCACCTTTGAATCCTCCCTGCCCTTGTCTCTCGCGCACAGCAATCCAACGCGACTTTGCCTACCTCCACTTTAACCTCCATACAAGTATTGCTTAATACCTCTGCTTCTGCTTCCAGTCCCTCGCTACCAAGCTCATCCAGACCTATCCGTACAGCTATCGAACTCCCACTTGGACGTCAATCTCGACAGCAAGCAAGCAAACAGCTATTTCACAACCAAACCACACAAGCAAGCGCCCATCCCGACCGCCCGCGAGCCTCATGATGCAACATCCCCCCTCTGACCTGTCGACATAATGCCGGACTTCAAGCCTGGGCAGACCGTCTTGCTCAACGATGGCCGCAAGGCTATTGTGCGGTTTGCCGGCCCGACTCACTTCCAGGTGGGCGAATGGATCGGCGTCGAGCTCGAGGAGAAGACGGGCAAGAATGATGGAAGCGTCCAGGGCGAGCGATACTTTGACTGCCCCATGGGCTATGGCATGTTCGTCAAGCCCATGATGGCCACCATCATCGCGCAGCCCGCCGCTCCCAAGCCCGCTGCAGCAGCTCGCAAACCGGCCGCCAGACCGTCTGGGTTCCATCCCACCGTGGGTAGACCTTCGATCTCTGGCGGCGACACCAATCTCAGCAAGAGGAGGCCTAGCATCAACGCGCCGAGCCCCAGCCCGGTCCCTCACCACAAGCCGTCGCAATCGTCGAGCAACCTGCGGGTAAGTTGATGCGCCCTCGATCTAGCATGTCCGTATTAACAGAGAAACTAAGTCGCCTTCTAAATCTCCCACCAAACAGCTCAGCGGTTCGTCGAGTGCTAGCGTTTCTCGAACGGGGACACCCTCAACCGTCCGGGTGCCATCTGCCGCGGGCAAACCTCGCACGGCCCTGCCGGGCTCGCGCACGTCCATGGGACCCCCTCCGCCTCCCCAACCCGGCCAGCGATCGTCAGTGCGACAGTCGTCGGTATCGTCAGTCCATTCGCGATCCGGCAGTGCCCCGACGAGACCCATCAGCGGACGTGGCGGTATTACTGCCCCCAAGGGTGTGTCGCGTCCCGAATCCGGCCGCCGGACTTCTACCAGCTCTCAGGGGGGACGAGACTCGAGTTCGGCCACCAGATCCGATGAGCTTTTGAGCTCCCCCATTGAAGCCGATGAGGATGAGATACTCTCACCGCAACCGACAAGCCCAGCCGCTGGGAGGGCCAATGCGCTGGAGAGGATTGCGGCCGAGTCTTCGGCCGTACCTTCTATAGCGGCTTCGTTAAAGAAGCCTGCGGCGGCTGGTTCGTCGCGGTCCTCCGTCGGCAGCACTGCCGCGAGCAGGGAAATCGAAGATCTCAAGGCGAAGCTCAAGGTCCTGGAACGGAAGCGGGTTGAAGACCGAGACAAGCTGAAGCAACTGGACACGGTTCAAGGAGAACGAGACAAATTCGAAGGCATCATACAAAAGCTACAGCAGAAATATCAACCTATCCAACAAGAAAACACAGACCTAAGAAAGGCCATCAAGGAGGCTGAGGCGAGATATGAGTCGTTTGAGGCTCTTCAAGCAGAGCATGACACTGCCCTGGAACTGGCCACTCTGGATCGAGAAATGGCTGAGGAGACATCAGAGGTTCTGAAAATGGAGGTGGATGCCTTGAAGGAAAAAGCCGAGGAGCTGCAATTGGAACTCGACATTTTGAAAGAAGAAAACGCCGAGTATAGCAATGGTATGACCCCGGAAGAGCGTGCCAGCACCGGTTGGCTGCAAATGGAGCGCACCAATGAACGATTGCGAGAGGCGCTGCTACGACTGCGAGATCTCACGCAAGAGCAGGAGCAGGAGCTCCGAGACCAGATTGCGGGCATGGAGGAGGAACTTAAGGAATTCAATGCCCTGAAAGAGGAACATACCACAGCCAAGGAGAAGCTGGCACAGTCGGAGTCGGCCGTAGAAGACTTGCGCCAGCAGCTAGACACCGCACTGGGTGCTGAAGACATGATTGAAGACTTGACGGAAAGGAACATGAGCATGTCTGAGCAAATCGAGGAGCTCAAGGCTGTCATTGAAGACCTGGAGAACCTCAAGGAGATCAACGACGAGCTCGAGATTAACCATGTCCAAAACGAAAAGGAGATGCAGGAAGAGCTTGATTTCAGAGACGGCGTCATTGCTGAGCAAGCAAGACGAGCGCAGCAACAAGATGCTAACCTGGGCGATATGGAATACACTCTATCACGATTCCGAGAGCTCGTCACCAACTTGCAAAGCGACCTGGATGACATGCGCGCCTCCCAGGCCGTCACCGAGGGCGAGTCCGAGAAGCTCAACGACCGCTCAAGGGCCATGATGGATCTGAACATGAAGCTCCAGATTTCTGCCTCAAAGGCCCAAGTCAAGACGATTGACCTCGAGCTGAGACGGCTTGAAGCTCAAGAGGCCGAGCAACACTTGGAAATTATCAAACTGTTCCTTCCCGATAGCTACCGAGATGACCAGGACTCGGTTCTTGCTCTCCTGCGATTCCGCCGATTGGCATTCAAGGCAAACCTTGTCAACGGGTTTATTCGGGAGCGAGTCAACGGGCAGCCCGAACCAGGCCATGAGGATGATGTTCTTGCCGGTTGTGAGGCCATCGACAAGCTTGTTTGGGTCGCCTCCATGTGCGATCGCTTTGTCAACGACATCAGCCACTGCACTATTGAGCAATTCACCAAGTACCAGAACTCTCTGCTGGAGCTGGAGCCCGTTGAACGTGCGCTAAACAGCTGGATTGATGGCCTGCGACGAGACGAGCTGAAGGAGCAGAAGTGCGCCGACGAACTCCAGCGCACCATCTCGCTCATGTCTCACCTTGGCGAGGTACACATCTCCAGTGGCATCGCTGCCTTTGCTGATGACATTCACATGAGAGCTCTTATTGTTCAAAGCCACCTCGATTCGGCAACTGTCGCCTTCAACGTGATCCGAAGCATGGTGCAGCGGGCTATCCCGACCGCAGGTGAAGAAGAAGAGCTGGCGCAACATTTCGCAAAGAAGATTGACCTCGCCATCACGCAGACCAGAAGCACCAAGGTCTTTGCCGGAAAGGCGGTTCGTGCTCTTGAAGACCTAAAGGCACGATCCCTCTCACTGGGTGAGGATACCAAGGGCGCCTTTGAACAATGCGAGACTCTGACCCAAGAGCTTGCGCGCCTTACTCGTGATATTGGCCTCGGTATCCATAAGCTCCTCACTCATGACGAGGGCCGAAACGAGCCCTTTACCTACGGAGAAGTCAGCGATGTCGTCCGCCAGGCAGTTCTCGAGTCCACACAGACCAACGAGTCCGACCTCTTCTCCAGCTATCTTAACAAGCTCAAGGTCGCCACCGAACAGATATCTGATCTGGCTTCGCTCGCCGCCGATTTGGACCAAACTCACGACTACGACGTTAGCCCGTCTCCCTGGCGCCTCCGTGCTCAGGAACTCAGGATACTCAAGACAGTTCCCGTGGACACTGAGGAGGAGCTCAGAAGGCTCAAGGCTGAGCACAACGAGGTCCGTCGGACGATTGCGCAGCGAGATGAACACCTTAGCACAGCAGTGCTCAAGATTGAGACGCTCGAGTCTCGGATGCGTGATGCCCAGGCCAATGTCGAGCGCATTGGCAGCTTGCAATCCGAGCTTGAGGAGGTCAATGGCAACGTAACCAGCCTCAAGGAAGACATTGAGAAGCAAGACCGAGAACTCAAGAACCTGGAGTCTGAGCGAGACAAGTGGAAGAAGATTGCTAGCGACAGCAGAGCATATGCTGACGGCGCCGACGCTGCGGACATGAAGGCTGGCCAGGAGCGGGCTGTTGCCACGGCACGCGAAATGGATGCGCTGAAGAAGGACATTGAAAGCCTACAGGCGGCAGTTCGTTATCTGCGTGACGACAACCGCCGTGCGCGCATGAAGGAGCAGCAAGACTACGAGTGGCTCTCTGAGCCTTTGAAGAAGGATCCCAGCTCGGAGCAGCAGCGCAAGGCTTTGGTCGTTGCTGAGGGCAGGGACGTGCTTGGAGAGCTCCTCAAGATGGCAACGTCGGCCACCGTCTTCGACCTCAGCGCCGCGCCCAAGCAGAAGCTGGCCTGGCGCCCTGCCAGAACGACACCGCAATATCACGCCGCGAAGCAGACAGAAGAACTCGAGGCCTGGAGGACTTGGCAGGAGTCGGTGCTCAAAAAGACGGACATGCTCTTCGCCCAGGATCGCAGTATCAGCATCGGCAGAGAGAAGCAGCAGGCTGGCACGAAGCGAGAGGCCGCGGCTCGGCTGAGAATCAGACTGCCTCGCGATGCCGCGCAGGGCAAGTTGACGACGTACTCGGGAGACGGTGTGCAGATTGTTGGGTCGCAGGAGTGGGACGCTTTGCAAGCCGCCACGAGGAAGTTTGCCGCTGTATAATGAGCCTCTGATTAACATCATGTGTGTATGAATCGCGAAAAAAAGAAACGACTCTTTACAATTTTTTTTTTTTTTTTTTTTGGTTTTTTGTTTTGGTGTGAGTGGTTGTAGACAATGGAAGATTTTGAAGCTTTCTGTATACCCCCCCTGTTTGCTTAGCCGACTCTTCTTCCCTGAGGGTGTTCCTGTATGTACCTTAGCTTTTAGATGTACCGTTACGATGATTACTTTGTATGTGTTCAAGATTTTTGAGATTCGATGCGCTGTTTTTGTGTTGGAGCGAGCGAAGCATGGATGGAAACGCAAAAAGGGGGGATTGGTGATGATGAATAGATGCGATGATGTGGAATTTCTTGTGTGCTTTGGACTGGCTGGTGTATGTTAAATTAGCCTTTTGGGGGTGTAATATGTGTGAGAGATGGAGATTGTCGTAGAAATAGCCTTATACTAGGAACTCGCAGATAGATTCGCATGCACAATGGGTGGTTCGAGTAAATAGACATTTTTTTCACATTCCAATATTTCATGCCTTTATGTTCACTGAATCATTACGAATTCGTCATTATTGAAAGTCGTATAACATCGCCAGCATCACAGTACCATCTCTTGACTCCGGACGAACCATGTGCGTAAAATTGTACAAAATCCTCCCCCCTTTTCTTTCCCCCATCAGGGTATTAGACTAAACCGTCCTCCTCCTCATTCACTTCCACCCCGTCCAAATTCATCAAGCTTTCCCCTTTCCCTTCTTATCCTTCTTCTTCTTCTTCGTGCTCTCCTCAGAGCCGCTCATGGCACCACCCCCCTGGCTAGCCATCAACGCAGCCATCGGATCGGCACCTCCCTGCATCTCCTTCATCATATCCTTGAACAAATTCTCCGAGACGCCCCCTCCCGTCATGGCCGCGCTCAAGTACGGCAGATACTCGCCCATCTTCCACCCGCGCGGCACCGCAGGCTTAGGATAAGGCTTGCCCTCTGGCGGCTGGATCTGGCCGCCGAAGCGCAGCCTCAGGCCGGGCGAGTTCTCCGTCGTCGGGTTCTCGCGCAGGTGCTTGGCGACGAGGACGTACAGGTGGTGCTTGTTGGCGACGTCGGCGGCGCCGGGGCTCTTCTTGAGGCCGACCTTGACGCGGCCCGGGTTGGCCCAGTCCTTGGGGTGGATCTTCTCGGGCTCGAGCAGCGTCTGCAGGCGCAGGCGCGAGCAGGCGTTTGCGATCTCGCGGGCGAGCGGGTTCTTGACGGCCAGGGCGGCGCTGACGCGGCGGCCCTCGGCGCGGGACCGCGAGGCGTCGAAGTAGACGGGGTAGAGGCACTGGAAGCTGCTGTAGACGGAGCGGTCGGCCGTCGGGGGCAGCGTCGACGTCTGGGGGCCGGACAGCGGGTTGAGCATGTGCGCGGGCACGCTGGCGGCCATGTCTTCCTCGTCTTCATCGCCGTCGGAGGAGTCGACGGTGCGCTGCTGGGCCGACGGACGGGCGCGCAGGATGTCTGATTCGGCAAAGTCGTCGAGGTCGACCTCTTCGGGGTCCGAGATGATGTCGGGGTCGCTGTCGGAGACTTCTTCCACCCGTGGGTGAGACATGTTGGGCGGAGGATTGGCGCTGAGTTTGCAGAGGGAGATTGGAGGAGAGGATGTGGAAGAAAGGATGGGAGAGGAGAGAAAAGCGATTGGTGATGCGAAGAAGAAGAAAAAAGGGAAAGGGAAAAAAGAGGCCGAGGATTGAGTGAGGTGGAAAGGTTGAAGTTGGGAATTTTGATATTGCCAGTTGCCGGATTCAATGGTGGGGTCGTTGCTGGAAGTGGTTGGTGGGGTTAATTGGCTGTACCTGGGGAATACCTGGTATGCTTACTACCGCTTGGTGAGAAATCGCATTTCCAACAGGTACCTTGACTGTACTGTCTTGGCTGGAGCTCAGCATTGTTATACAACCAGAGCACATGCTCTGATACTCCAGGCTTTGGATGAACAAGATAATAAAAATGATTTGGGTGAAAGAAAGAATTGTGCACTCTCTGTAGAATTACTACGTACTCAATAATCGTTACTTGACAAAGGTAGAGCTGCCTCAGATTCACAAAAGCCGTGTCATGCGTAGATCAAGAAAAGAAAAGAAAGGAAAAGAAAAGAAAAGCCCCAAACTCCAAGTTTCCTGTTAAGCAACGTCCCCCCTCGATTAGCAATGTCAATCTTGTCTCAAGCTCTCTCATTAGTTTCGTATCGTGTAATCTCGGGTCATACGCCATTGGCTGTGCGGTTTAAAAGGTCTAATGGGCATGGATAACGGTCTCAGGCTCTCTCTCTCATTATTCTCGAATCGTAAATACGGGGTCGTATGCCATAGATTCTGTACTTCCCGACTTCTAGTTAAGTAAGTTGGCAGTAATATGGATATTCTTAAAATGCGTCCCGGGAGGGTGCGCTTCCTTTGAAAACTTGCAAAACGGGTGCTGGCAAACACCGTCTCGAATGCTGGGACACTGCCAAAGTGAATGTGAGCATGCCGCACAACAAAACTTCTTCTTTGGTTGACTAGAAGATGCATCACTTACATGGTGGCCGTATATGCAATCATCGAGTTCGCAGAACTGACCAGAAGAGCACGGATTCTGGCGGGCCAGGACAGCAACCGCCTTCATCTCCTCGTCGCTGATCTTGTACTCGTGGGCAAACGGGCAAATATCCCTCTTAGCGCAAGGTCCTCGGAGGTAGTGATTGTTGCATAGCTTGTCGCCATCCTTTCGTCGCTTGATGACGTCCAGAATCAGGGTATTGACTCTAATAGGCTCGTCGAGGCCGCGGGCGCCGGGATTCCAGTTATCAGGCGTGGTCGGCGGGATCAGCATATAGTGTGTTTCTGACTGAGCTCGCGCCTGGGGCTTATCCCGCCAAGACGCCGTCTGCGTCGGCTTTCGTGCCAAGGGGAGCGTGATCTGCGGCGGCGGGCTGGCGCTCGACACGATATCGGCATAGGAGATGATCGGGGTGCGAGTCTGACTAGAGCTGCTGGCGCTGATGGTTGGGCTTGCCGTCCTAGATGCTGCTGCATTTACAACTGTCTGAGTCAAAACCGCTGCGCTCGTCGGCTGGCTGGGTGTCAGGACTGCCTGCGAGGAGGAAGGAAACTTGTCAAAGAGCTTGTCGTCGCGGAAGAGACCGTTGCCTAGTTTGGTTATGCCGACTTTGGTGGCGACAAGCTCAGGCACCGTAGCGAAGCCCTCGATGATGCTGATCCTCTGCCTGGTGGCCTCGCTCTGAACAGTTTCGTCCAGGAAGGGGGCGTAGCCAGCATCGTGAGAAATGCCCAGCAGGATATGTCGGCAGTTGTGATTCCGCAGGTGCCATCTCGCCGTTTCTGAGTTGACACAAAACAAAGTTAGCTCCATGGTCACCAGTGTTTGCCGCTCTAGGTGAGCTTTTCACTCTTCATCATACCTTTGACTTTCAAGTCTGCCCTTTCTTTTCCAAAGCCAACGTCAACATAATCGAACGAGGCCTTGGCTTGGGTGAAGCCGAGCGTAAAGTCTTTCAGGAGGCTCGGGTTATCTATGCAGCCATCCCGCTGCATCGCCTTGGCGAGTCCCGAAAGATTGGCGACGACTTTGACCATGATTTGCAAATCTCCATCCTCGTCGCCAAACATTTCTAGCACAGCCGATAGCAGCGCATTGGCAGCTTTTTTTCCGCCTTCAAGGCCTTGTTTGATCCATGTGTCTTGGAACTATCAAAAGAAAGAAAGTTAGTCTCAATCCTTTGGGAGAAGATTTCAACAGCGCAACGTACTACAAGACCATCGCCATCTATCAAGACCATGACGTAAGGATTATGATTCTATGAGAGATATTCGTCAGTATCTTGCACTCTGCCCCAAAAAAACAGAGGACAGGTTTCGCATACCCTTACCCTGTCCACCTCCTTGCTCGTCTTGTCATGTGCGCTTTCTTCGCGAGCTTCGCACAGCTGAACGCGCTGCTGCAGCTCCCTTTGGGCATTGACTGCATTTACAAGGTTTATCTGAGAGTTGACCAGCCTTTGGCTTTCCTGGCGGAGTTCATTTTCGACACGATCGCAGTGTAATATGAGTTCCTGAAGGGTCCAAACATGGTTAGAAGAACAAGAACATGATAAAATTTCGCTGGTGGTCAGTTATTCAATGACGAAAAGAGCAGAAATGAAAGAACTGAAGCAAGTAGTCGCGTTTCAGGCCATTCATACTCCAGTGTTGAGCTCGGAAAAGAGCACAAAAAGAAAGCATCGTCAAATATCATAGAGCAGGGGGCATGGAAGGAAAAAAAAAAAAATCCACCCACCTTGATTAAATTCTCCGAAGTGTCATTATGATCTCGCAACGCATGATATCGGTTGACAAAACTCTGAATCGTATCCGGCCCCATATATGAAACCATCTTATCCGCCATCTTCAAGTGATGAAAAACTTTCTTTTTTTATGTGTGCGTATGTTCTTTCTCTTATCTTCTTTGGCGCTGTTGCGAAGGATGTTGAAATCGATTTTTTCCCCTTCTGCCTTTGCCTAGTGAGAGCGCTAGGGAGGATAAAGCCGTGCAGAAGAAATAAGAAGTAGAGAAGAGCTTCTTTCGTTATATATTGATTATATTTGACCTGCTGGTGAACGATGGCAAGACCGAATGAACAGGTAGGGAAAGAAGAAAGATATTATGCCGTGTGAATATTTTGATTGTTGTTGAGATCAAAAAGTGGCGATTCAGTGGCACAGGTAGATTTTTTTTTCTTTTGGCCCTCTAAAAACCCAGCTGAGTAGGTGCTGTGCTGTGCTGTGCTGTGCTGTAGTGTTTCAGTCCACTGCGGCCACCCGTTGTAGTGGTTCGCAATGGCGGTGTTGCACGTGTTTGCACCACTGCCAAGACCCCCTTGCTTTGGAATGAAATGGAAAGGAATTGAGGAAGCAGAATGAATCACTGATTGAGGCTGAATGAATGAACCAATGAATGCCCGGTTCAGCCTTTGCTTGTTGGTTGTCTGGGGTAGTGAGTGCACTATTGAATAGAAGGATTTAATTGCACGGTTGATCTGCTTGAATGCGCTGTGTGTCCACCAAGCAAGAAGTGCAAGTCAGAACTACCTAGGTACCTAGAGGGGCGGCGTTGTTCGTCATTTATGGTAGCCATGAGGATCAAGATTCATCTCGACGGCTTCAAGTTAATCCCAAGGCCGGGATTAAGATTAAATCTGAGCACTTAAATTTGAACTTGGAGTCTTTTTGAGGGCTTAAAATTAAGCAAGTCACCATCCAACAGCATTCTATTAAAAGTAACCTCTTGATGTCTCCGTCTTGCGCAAAAGCTGGGGTTTGCGGCGGTCAGCGGTAAAACATGGCCCGGAGCAGACTAGCGCAGGCGTTTATCCCGTTGTCAGCCTCGGAGCTGAGATTTGGATGGAAGCTCTGCCTGTTTCTGTTTGTACTTTTCTTTTCCAGAGCAGAAAAAGACGATCCTGGGTGCAGACATTCTCTGTGTCAGTACGGTGCAGTACTAATGATAACAACAACAACTTGAAGCTGTGGTCCCCGATCCTCTCCAAGCTGTAACGGTAACTGGGTGGTACTCGTACGAGTATGCAGTCTTGTCCCGTCTGTGGCCTCAGCAGGGGGAAAGCAAAGCTGGAAACCAGGGGCACTCGTCTGTTCGTCTTCAAACGGCTCTGCGCATCAAGAAGCGTTCGCTTGTCGGCCTTGGAACCAATCATCCTTGCCCCCCCAAAGACTCAGCCGCTTGAATCCTCTCTGCGTGTCTCGGGAAAACGAGCAGCAGCGTCCAGCTTCGTTGCTAGTGTAGCACAAGAGTCCAGCCACCTCATCAAACCCTCTTTTCGCCTCTCTCCTGGCCCGTTCAACCGCGCCATCACCGCTAGTTCCTTCAATCGATTCACACGGCACGGCACATCCCGCTATCCTCAAAAGGCCTCCCGTCTCAGCCAGTTTCGTTGCTACCTGGCTGATGCTGGTTGAAGAGCTGCCACACTGTATCTTGCCCAAAGCCTCCCTCGAATTGCCACAAGAATGAATCCTCTCCAAGCATCTCCGTGTCGGTCTTTAGAGCGACATCTTCGTCCTGGTCTACCGTCAGATCTTTGTATATGAGATCTCCCATCGCGAAGAAGGGCGCAATGCCGGGGAAGCCATTCCCGTCTTGTGGCATCTCCCATCCGCCAGGCATCATTGACGAGAAAGCGGACGACTCATCCTCCGCGGCAGACGGGGCCGCCACCGCCGACGACACCGGCTCAGAGGATATCTTGAAACTTCCTTCGACTGAGCTCCGGCCGATCGAACCCCTACCAATCGAACTTGCCGGCGTCGACCCCATGGTCCTCGTGGTCGACAGAGGCGTGTCAGAGGCGTTGCGTATAGTATCAGCAGAAGCGCCGATAGAAGATGGGGGTGCGCAATTCCCAATGGCTTTGACCAGTCTAGCCACGACTGCGCGGAGAACTCCAATCGCCGACTTGGCCAGGGGATTCATGTCCTTCATGGTTGCAAACCGCTCGACCGTCCAGTGGCAATGCTGCAGCGCAATTTCTCGATACTCGGCATTCTCGTAAGGGAACAATATGTAGATGGTTGCAATCAGTGTGACGGCGTCGAAACTACCGTAGAACAAATGCCAGCTAGACCAAGAGGGGAAACAAGAGTTAGCCAATATTTCTCAAGGAGGATGTGTGTAGTTTCGAAACTTGGGCGAGACATACTTCCTCCAGGATTTTGGTGGCAGCCCTGCAAACAGCTGCCTCTGCATCTCAAGCATGCCGAGACTGCCCTTGATGACTTCAACCCGACTCTCTTCCCGATGGAAGATGTAGGGCCGATGAAGCGCGACCAGTGTGAAGTGGAACATCTGTTCAGCCAGGCACCTTGCTTGCTGAAGCCAATGCAGATCAGGCCTGTGGTCCCACTGCCTGTCGGGGTTCTCTATCCGAAAGACGGCCGGCGTGCCATCGTGTATCTCCATGATGTTCTGCTGTACCTTGTGGACCTTTGAAAAGTCTCTGGGGCACGGCCCTTCCGCCTCCAAGTCCAGAACATCCCGCAGTGGGATCATGACCTTGTACAAGAACAGGTTTCTCGTCAGTGGTGTAGGGGGATCTATGCCTTCCTCTCTGGGGATGACTGGCGTCTTGGATCGATCCGATGCAGTCGTAAAGCGTGCATCAATGGGAATTGATGGCATTCCATGCCTGTAATCTAGAGAGCCCGGGCGGCCCAAGATGAGACACATGTGAATGTCCCTATACGCAGGTTTCATGTCTGTCGTCAGAAATTTTTGATTTTCTCACTTGGGTGATGTGGCGAAGGAAAACACTTACCATGTTGCCAACAGCATGTAAAGATGCCTCCTCTTCTCCACCTGCCACTGATTTAACAAGACGCTCTCTACATCGTTGGACGTCGGCTTGGGATCGAGTGCATCTCGATGCATGCCAAGCTCTTGTGCGTCCCTTATCGTTCTACCGATTTGGTGCCACTAACCCACACAACCGGCGTCAGCAAAACCATCACATCTGTATGGTAAGAGTCCCATGGGCATCCACAAACCGATTCAGTAACGTTGGCGGTATACTTGAGGAAGGCCGCTCGCATGAATCCAACTTGGATTGATGTAGAAGAAAGCATCTTGGGGCCAAAGAGGTTGATGATGGCAATCCCAGACTCGCTGTAGTCGGCTGCCAGATCCTCAAACGTCATGTTGGCGGCGTATTTGAGCGACTCAAAAGACTCATGGAGAGGCTTTGGAAGAACCAGCATTGCCGTTGCAATGACCTCAAACAGCAGTGCTGGAAAGACTCTCAGATCCGGCGACAAGGCCTCCGGGCCGCGTGAAGAGAGGACCTTGAAGGGCAAGTTGGACCATTGGTCAAGCAGCTCGTAGAAGATCTGGGGCTCGACGAGGTAATACTGCCAGTTGAAGTCCCTGAAAAAGATGTCCGCCAGCTGGTCAATGTACATCCTGGCGGGCAGCAGTCGGATCAGCCCCTTGTATTTCTCCTTGACGGCAAAGGTATCTTGGTATGCGGCGTGGCCCGAGGTGCTGGACAGCGCATCCTCCCCATCCGCCTCGCTGGCCCTCTCAATCTTCTGCAGAAAGCAGAGCGTGGACGCCCCCGCCTGGGCGTATCCCCAAGACGTGGCCATGGACGACAGCGGCTCGGCTCTCGAAGTTGGCGGGACGCTATCGCCGTGCTTGGACGTGTAGAGGCCAGCCTGCGTCTCCTGGTCGCGGGCGGTGGGCGCTCCGGCCTCGTAGGCGCAGTGGGCTTCCTTGTTCCTAGACCTGCAGTTCCCGCACGGCAGCTCGCGATCGCACTGTTTGTTTCGCCACGTTAGCGTTTCCCATCGCTTCGCTTCACGGGCTTGGCTCGGTCCCGACCTTTTGCTTCCGTCGATGACACTCGGTGCACGAGATGACAACCCGTCTCCGCTTCTTGGTCGGGCCCCGCTCGGACCGCACGTTGACGGCCACCTCGATGTCGGCCATGTTGTTTCGCTCGTGGAATCGGATGATGCGGTTTTGAGGGTGCGGCAACGGTGAGGAGTGAGAGAAGAAAAAAAAAACGGTCGGTGGACGAGCACCAATGCGGAACTGCGCAAGCCTGGAAACTTGAGCTGAAGAGCTGCACCGAAAGAATGGCAGCAGGTGGGGCCACCGGCGACCACGGAGAATCAAAGGCATTGCCGCAAAAGGCCTCCGCGTTAAATCCGGGTCGCCGGCGATTAGGTAGATTGTCCTGACGTACGTACTCACATACGATATATGACTTGCAAATCGAATGTGCTTTCTAATACTACTGCCGTTGTTTTCTCTACTCTACTCTTTTGTCAACGGAGATGGATGCTGTATCGTGATGTGCCGACCGGCATTGGTCTTCCCCGGGTTGCTCTGTAATACATGTAGCCAGTCAGTAATGGAAATTAAGATGAATGCAGACATCCCCGCTGAGCTGTCTACGGAGCGTAAGTAATGCCTGTCTGGGTGGCGGCTCTCGCGTACTCCCTGTCTTTTATTCCTTCGCTCATCAGTTAACAGACATCCTTGGGCTTAAGAACAAGGTATGAGCCAAGCGTATACACGTATGGTAGAGTTAAAACGCCCAAGAGAATAGGTATAGTAATCATCAACGCGGCCTCTTCTGGGGGCCAAAGCTTGACTACTACTTACTACTACTAGTAGACATATCGGATGAGGAAAGTAAAGTAAATTGTGCCATTAGAGCACCGCATGTTTGGCAGCCCTTGTCGCGGCTCAGAAAATAGTGCGTCGGCGGACAGTGTTGCTCCGTGCTTCGACTAAGGTTAGTAGGTAATCCCGGATATGGGCAGGGCAGCCTTAATCACCAGCATTTAGTAACTAATCCGGATCGGTGCCGTTCTAGACTTGGGTGGTTGCTATCAACGGGTGGGTGGTTTTTTAATTTTTGGGCATGGATGGGCCTCTTTCTCCAGAGCTAGCAGATAATATTGACAGTATTGCTGGGGAATAGGATCACGCAGATGCCGTGTTGCAGCGGCCAAAGTGTTTATATCATGTAGATACAGCACTGGCAGCAGCGGAAAAGCCTCCAACGGGCCAATTAGTACATGTAGGTAGTATACCATCGACATGGGAAATTCCCGTCGTATTCATTATATAATGAAAGAAAAAGAAAAAAAAAGTAGAATAAAACCATCGACGTTGATCCTAAATGTTCCTACAAATTCCCAACGTTTGTTTGCCTTAACTCGCGAGCATATCGTACCAAATTCCAAATTCCAGATCCACCAATGTTCAGTTCGCCTCCACCTTTGTGCATGCAATGATATCAACGTAGCTGGGCAACGTCCCAGCTAGACCACAAAAAGGAAGAACAAGACAGAGTTCGCCTAAATACATTGCATTCTATGATGCGGGCATTGGACAGGAGCTTCTCCCAGCTCCGCACTCCCCCCCCTTGCTTTTGTTTTTCTCCCTTCTACCGCAGCAGCCTCTCTGTGTAGGCTTTCCACGCCGCTGACCGGTATCGTTCTGCCTCTTCTACGGGGTCCGAGGCCTTGAGGATACCTCTACCCACAATGGCAATGTCGCTACCGCAGAGGCCAATAATCTTATGCGGCGTGTTGTACTGCTGGCCTTGGCCATCGCCTCCAACGGTGCCGTTCGCCTGCTGGTCTTCATCTTCGGGGGGGAGCTGGCAGCCTGGGGTCATGTGGACAAAGGCATCGTCGCCTTCCGTGTTGAGCGTCTCCTGGGAGATGAAGCCCATGACAAAGTCCTTGTGCTCCCTAGCCGCCTCCACACAAGCCTCAGTGTACTCCTTGTTCATGAAATTGCCTTGGCTAGACATCTGGGCGAGAATCAAGAGGCCACGGTTTAGCGGTGCCTCCTCAATGCCTGGAAATAGTGACTCGTCTCCCTCAGCGATTGCCTTTGCCAACCGAGGTGAAGCGACGGACTCGTACTGCTGGGTGACGGTGGTGATGGAAACAATGCTTCCCTTGCGGCCGTCTCCGGTTCGGCCAGAGTAAATGGGCTTTTCCATCATGCTGGAGGAGCCATTTCCATTTCCATTTCCATTGACGGTGACGGTGACGGGCTCGGCCTCCTTGGCCTCTTCGATGTCGTCAAAGTGATCCATTGTGGGAGTGCCAACGGTGACCGACGTCTTGACTTCGCAGGGATACCGCTCTAACCATCGCTTGGCCCCTTGGGCTAGGGAGGCCACAGATGCCTTGCCCGGCACCATGTTGACATTGACGATGTGGGCCCAGTCGATGATGCGCGCCGATCCGCCGGTGTACTGCAGCTCGACGGTGTGGCCAATGTCCCCGAACTTGCGATCCTCGAAAATGAGGAAGCCGTGCTTTCGAGCCAGCGTGGCCAGCTTGGCGCCGGTGCCAGTCTCGGGATGGAAATCCCAGCCAGAGACCATGTCATAGTGTGTCTTGAGCACGACAATGGAGGGGCCGATTTTGTCAGCAAGGTAGAGGAGCTCCCGCGCTGTCGGTACGTCGGCGCTCAGGCACAGGTTAGAGGCTTTGAGGTCCATGAGCTTGAACAGATAGGCGGTTAGGGGGTGCGTCGCCGTCTCGCTCCTCGCGGCGAAGGTCGTCTTGAGAGTTGGGTGTGGTGCCATGGCTGCGGCTGCTGGAAACTCAATCTTCAGGGTGCTGCGGTGGCGGGAAAGATGGAACGATGCTGGCGCAGAGCTGCGGGAGAGATGACCTTGAGCTTTGCGAGCCGTGCGGGAGGAAAAGAAGAAGGTGAGTGAAAGGATTGCCCTGAGCGAAAGTTGCTTTAATGTCGGGTTCGTCCCCTGGTAAGATTGCAATAGGGAGGGAGTGAGGAAGAAGCAAGCAGATGCTAGCGTAGCAGGCAAATCAATGCAGGCGGCGATACCCGATATTGCGTTGTAAAAAGGTAGGCCGGCGACCACCGAATGGTTTTGGTAAAAAAAGATGGCTGCGTAAATGCGGTGGACTAGAGGGGACGAGAGATAACGGGAGGACGGTAAAAAGAAAAGAAAGAGGCCTGGGAAAAAGAAAAAGAAGGAAATTGAAACAGCTGCACCGGGAGACGATGCCGGGTCACTCAGCAGCCAGATGTAATAAAGCCCGGTCCAGAAAGGGAGCTCGGTCAGTTGAGGAGCCCTAGATGTGAAGGACAGCTGGCGAACGTGACCAACGCCACAAAATACAGACAGATAGACAGGCTACCCAGTCAGACGTTGACAGCCAAAGGGGGGAAGAGAGAAGAGGATGAGAGGAAGAGAAAAGATGAGATGAGATGAGACGAGAGGATAGAGAGACCAAGAGAAGAGACAGTTGGTGCTTGGCATGCGCCGTTCCGATTGCCGCAGACGACAAGTACTGTAGTCTCGAATGGGATCCCACCAGGGCTTTTGGTGACCGTGCCTGGAAGTGCCTGCAGCAGCAGGATCAACGAGCCAGAGTTGCTGGGGTGGTTCGAGCAGGGGTTGGTTGTGGACGGGATGAGCGCCACCGGGGGGGGGGAGGGGGTTCAGTCGATGTTGAGAGAAGGAAGGGTTTTTCTTTTTTCTTCTCTTTTTGCTCGGCTCGTTTGGTTATGATTTTGTTTTGGGTTGGCTTGGCTTGGGTAGGATTGTGTTGTTTCGGTTTGAGGAGCGTAGCAGAAAAGGGCTTTGCTTTGCTTTTGCTCTGCTCGACGCTCGACCAGGGGGCTGATGGAGATGGAGATGCAAGAATGAATCTAACGACCGTACTCGAACATGCACTGATCAATGTGTTCGCACGCCGGAGGTCCAAGCGCAGGCCCCCAGCTGGGCTTTAAAAAGGAGAGCGAAGAGCTAGCTACTAGGTAGCAAGATCCGAGTCAATCCAGTTCCGCTAGTAGCTCGCCGGCGTTGTTGATGATGCATGCATGCGAGTTTGATTCTGGCGGCAAAAACTTTTTTTTTTTCCCCCAGCACAGGGCTATTTTTTGTGCTCCTAGTGCATTTTATGTGTGCGGCCAACTCCAGTGCTCAAGCTAGTGGAGTTTAGAAGGTTAGGGTAGCGCGAGCAGCTCCCCGTAGACTGAGGTCCAGCCCAGCACAAGCCCAGCCCAGCTTCCGCTGCTAGCGCTGCTGCTGCTGCTGCTAATGCTGCTGCTAATGCTAGGGAACCCTAGCAGTCGGTGCCAAACGGTAGTGGCTCTGCTTAATGGATGGATGGGGATGGGATGGGATGCATTGCATGTACCGGTACGCTGCGTGCTGGTGGGACGGGCCTTTAGGAGATGGCGGGGGCACCGTCTTTTGCGTGCTGGAACATGCAAAACCAACTTGCAGACCCGGCCACAGGCTGCCAGCATCATGCAGCGGATCTAGCCCCGGCCAGGTACCGGTACATGCGCAAGTCCCTTGGCGCTGGGAGAAGCGGCGTGTCCAGCCAACTGGAAGTGGGCAGGAGCCACTGGCCTCAGCTGCGGCAGGGCATGTGCCTGTCGAGTCGTCGACCTGGATCCCATTGGATGTGATTTGCTGTGATGAATCTCCAGCTACCATCAGCTCATGTCAGTCAGTGTCAGTGTTCCATGCAATTGCAAGTACCGGTACCGGGTCAATACGAGAGACATGCGTGGCAACGAATCAACCCGATGCTTGTACCCATACCAATAGGTACAGGTTGCAGGCAAAAAAAAGAAAGAAAAAAAAAACCGCGACGACGACGACAGCGGCATCGGCCAGACTTGAGGCGTCTTCTGCGTCGCTGGCTCTCGGCACCACAAGACCCGCCTTGCGACATCCAAGCATCGAGAGACCCAACATCTGGACCGGCCTAACAAGCGCCATCAATGCCATCCGGATCAACCACGACGACGTGCTGGGACCGAGTACCTCCCTAGCAGCGGTGCTAGGACTTGCTGCTGAACTCAGGGCTGCCAGCGGATGCCTGCACCTACGACATAATCGTGCTACTTTTGCAAAGTCTACCGACTGTGTGTGTCGGTGGCGCTGGACTAGAAGGGCCTGGCATCTCCAAGCACAAGATATACTACACGTCGGACCAGAGGTTATTTGGACCAATGTCTGTGCGGAGCTCGACTAGTGGTTGGCCGCAGCCCTGCTCCGTGCAGATGGACGGCGATCCCCCTTCAGACGTCGGCAGTAAAGATGCGTGTGCGGTGCTAGGAGAGGACTAAACGTCGTTGATGCTGATGCATCCTACGGCACGGTACACCGTACGTACGCACGACCATTTTCATCCCTTGGAGCCAAGAGATGCCGCCGGTAATACTGCTGCTACATCGTCCAGCACCAGCACTCGTACATGCCGCTTTCTGACCTGGATGGACGGTGCCTGTGCTGACCTTGCCGGACTGGTCTGGTGTGGTCTGACCCTGCGTCAAAAAGAGCAAAGTGTCCGTCTTGATGCTCCTGCATTGCCGTCGTCGCAACGCATCACATCGCAACCTCCAAAGAAAGGCAGGTCGCGTTGCGCTAATGCTCGAGCCTACATGGCGTCTTATCCCCGGCCGAGATGAATACGTTGGGGGCCAGAGCGGGAACAGGAGAAAAAAGAAAAACAAGGGAGGAAAAGCAAAAAAGAGGCGTCAGCACTCACTCTAGTCAAAATGTCATTGCTGATGCGCTACTGTACTACTACTGCTTGGATGTACTTGTATGCTCCTGTGAGCCGTCCGCGCCCATCTCCGAAGTTGTCGTCCGATCATCACTCACAAGAGAGAAAGGGGAGGGGGAGGATACTCTCTGCACTAGCACAACGAACAAACCAAACAGTCCAAGCGAACAACAGACAAGTCGGCTAACGCACGAAAAAAAAAATGGACTCGAGCATGACGGGCCAAGTCGGCTTTTCTTCCGCATCCCAACTATCATCGAGCCCCTGCCTCGCCCTAGCATAGCGTTGTCCCGGAGCCCCCAGAGTCGATAAACGAAACCCAAGCGCCTTTGGCATCTGTGTCCGCAAGCCGTCGTGTTTGAGGAACTTGTCGCGGGCTCGAAACCGCGAGCCCGTGTGTGCGGACTTCCGTGCCCTCGCAACGAGATGGCTTATGCAACTCTTTCTTTCTGCTTCTTCGGCTCTCCGCGCCTACCTGTCAAAAAAGGACCAACTTCTAACGCCACAACGCCATCGACAAGGACCCCGTCTCGCCAACCCCATCTTCTCCTTTTGTCTCCGGCAATTAATGACCGAGCCCTGTGCTAATTGCCTGACAGAAAGGAGAAGGAGATGCATCGTCCCTTGGCCGATCTGACCCCAAGCATAACACCGGCAATTTAACAACCCAGTATTACGGAACGCGAACGCGGAATACGGGCGGCCACGGGATACGGAAAGCACAGATGGTAAATGACTGTTCCCCTTTGCCTGGCACCACCGAGACAACTCATAATCCCAGTCCCTCGCTACCGCCAGCTTAAAAATCTCCGCTTAATTACGGAGCGGTGCTGGGCATGTTGGCACTTGATAATCACATTACTCGATAACCATGTACGAGTATAGAGTGTCCAGTGTTCGTATTGTATTTGTGATAGGTCCTATACATTAGTTATTGGGAAAAAGGGAAAGCCAATGCCTAACATGGCATAATGAATACATCCAACGGCGAACAACGAGCAACGAACCTACAATCCCGTCCCCAAGCCAACTAGCAGAGTTGGGATTAGGCCTCGACTTCACAGGCACTCCCGCAATGGCCCTAGCCACGATCTCACACACAATAGTCGGGCTTGTGGTTCGCGCCACTGCCTCACTGGACCGTGATCGACGGGGATGCCGAGATCTAGATGTGCAAGTGGTTGTGCTGACAACAACGTTTCTGGTTAATGGCAAGAGAGTGAGACGGGCCAACTTGATCCAACTTGGGCTGACGGCAGCAGCAGAGAGAGAGAAAAGATGACGAAGGATGCCACACGCAACCACCCCCCGCTCGTTTTCTTCGTCCACGGAGGGTTGCATTAGAAATCGTATGTAGCACTTTTTTTCTTCTTCTCTCGGTGTTAGTCCCCGGGGGGGGGAGGGGACCCATGGCTGTTTTGCGCTTTCTGCAGTTTCGTTTCTTTCTGCATCTTCTGCGAAGGCGTCTTTCGAGGCCTCAAAAGTCTCCGCAATAGGACCGGGAGTTTCCCCCTTCTTACTATGTCTTCCCGCAGTAGCAGTGCTAGTTAGTAGTAGGAGGAGTAGGACGATGGCCGTCAATGCCGGCAAGCATTCCCCGGAAGCTCGCCAAAATGATACATCACTCGTTCAAGGGGTGGGAACCTAATGCTAAATGGACGTGTACAAAGCGGTTGCTGCTCCATACGGGACATGGGACTGTGAGACTAGCAACATGCTGTTGGTAGGTGACGAACTGTAAGGCCCAATGATGATGCTTGTTCTTCGTTGGTGCCCGTTGGCTTGTGGCTTTTCATCCCAGAAGCGATATGCCGTTGGCGGCGCCGAATAGCCTAATTGGTCATTATGAAACCGGGATCCTTTGGGGAAAAAAAAGATAACGCTCTGCACCCTGATAAAGTTGTGAGGAGCCAACAGCAAGCCCCGGAACCGGCGTCCGGCCGGGAGTCAGTTGAAAGCATGTGAGGGTGCCACGTACGGGGAAGAGAGCAGTCAACACATGGTAATAACGGTGGCTTGGGAAGTAATATCCGAGTAAATTTTTGGTTTTATTTCTTGATGAAAAATCAATCCTTTTCTATGCTTTAGCCTGTTTCCGTTCTAGAGCCTTCTCCAACGCTGCTACGCGCTCGTCAATCTTCTTGAACGACCAGCCCTCGAACGCGGGGGGGTAAAGGAAAGGACGGAGATCAAATCGGTGATCATCAGGAGAATAGTCGACAGCGTGGTAACTGTGTGTAAAAGAAGAGAGTTAGAAAAAATGAAATTAGAAGATCCGTCTGCAGACCAATTTCTGGGGGGAAATGCTCGAAATTCGTGGGACGAGCATCCGCCTTTCGGCGGCCACCCCCGTTGACACGACGCTGAATCGACCTATGGGGAGTAGTATAGACTTACGCAGGTGTAGCGACGGTCTGCTTATGCCGACTAATTTGATTTATTAATGCCTTGAATTGCAGAAGGGGGTGGTTGGAGAAGTTTACATACTTGATGTAGTGGTAGAAATGAAAACGCTTGACTTTGTCGGCGATCTCGCGCGGACTTAGTTTTCCGTGGCCGCCCCACTCGTTGAGCAGTCTCAGAAACATGCCGTACGGCCCGAGCTTGTGCTGCTTGCGAAGAGTCTGTCGTTGATGGTAAGGTTAGTCCAGGTTGTGTGACTTTTGATGTGATTGCTGTACTTACCCCGAAGCGGGATAATTCGTCATAGGTCATGCCCATGTCGGCTGCGTTTGTCTCGTCAGCTCAAGATCTTTATCATTTGTTTGTTGAATTCACTTACCTTCATCACTTTGAACGTAGTTCTCAGTGATGGGCTCGAGTTCGGCCGTGGCTAGTTGCGCTGTTAGTAAAAATGGTGATGATTCGCGAGCTGGCGAATGTTGACTCACGAGTGGCATGATAGAATTCGTCCAAGATGGGCATATCAAAGTTCTTGCTTGCCCAGGTAATGAATCGTTTACTGTTAAAGTGAAAGTTAGCCACGTCTTGTTTTGGAATGTGCGTTGGCGGTCTGTGAGACGAATGTGGGATGATTTGAGAGCAGCGTTTCATCCAGCATCTCCTCCATTGGCACTCACAGATCGGTCTTACTGATGGATCCAATAGGATTGAGATCAGCGGAACTACAGTCGTATTTGGTGAGATCTAGAGCACAACACTGTCAGCATACATCGAATTAGGATGTCAATGCTTCAAAATTACTCACATCCTCGAAGGCATTCATCAACGTTGCTCGATCCAAGAACCAGCAGGCCTCCTCCACCAGGCCGTTGTCGAACCGTCGGCAGCATCTGAGCATAGTAGTAGGCGATTACCATGCGTGACCGGCTCTGGATATTTTGCAAAGCCACTGTTGACCGTGTTAGCAAATTCATTGAATAGTGACGGCTTCGCAGAGAAAAAACACATACAGTTTTCGGCAGCTGAGCCTCCGTGAACCTTGAACTTGGGCTCAAATCCAGTGCCCTGTGTAAGCAAGTTCTTCGTGGCGTGGTAAGTATCATCAATGTTCATATCCGTGTGGTAGCTGCCAATACGTTTGGCGAGATCCTTGGCACGCTGTCGAGTCTCCTTGCTGCTTTGATTGGCCATGCCCATGTACACGGTATGGAAGATCTGGTTGCAGAATTCCTCTGGTGTATCGGGCAATTTATCAGAGTAGGCAGCAAGTCTCTTAACGTCGGCGATTACGTCCTCATTCCCGTCCTTTACAGCCTGGATAACAAGCCGGCACATACTGTAGACAATGGTGGCTGTGGCGCATGAGTCGATGCCTCCTGATAGCGGGACCAAATAACCTGAGGTTTTGCTTCGTCGCACTTTGGTCGATGATTAGCAGACGAGATCAAAAATTTATTGAAAGAGCTCATGTAGATGTAATAAACAAAGTGATGGGCACAAAGACTTACGGTAATCCCATAGCCAGCATGCCGGGCCGAGAGCCTACACGAAATCCATGGTTAGAAATAACTCTAGTTTGTCAATGGTACTTGGGTGGATATTGATATGCCGGCTGAACATCAGGGTAAGGGCACATACAATCTCTTCCTCTGGGAGGTGATATCTTGCTGGCCTAGGTGGTGTCGGGATCTCAAGGATTCGGAGAGTGTCATGCGTGAGTCGGAAATCGACCTCAATTCTCTCGTATACTGGCGCTTGGGTGGCTTGGAAACCACGAGACGGAGCAAAGCGGTATGATCGTACTTCTTCAAGATCGACCGTTGCAACTACCACCTCGACATCCTCCAAGCTAAACTGTGCGCCCTGAGCGACGATCTCGCCGTTGACCATGATCATTGAGCAGCCATCGTAGAGCAGACGGTCACCGTCGCAACCTATAGACTGTCAGCAGATGAGTGATTAATAAAGGGAAGCTTGGCTTGAACGTGCCTGACTGGTTTGCGTAGAGATAGATGCCGCCGTTCTTCCGGGTGGCCTCCTGAATCAAAGCAATTCGTTCATTGAGCTTGCGCAAGCTGTGGTGAGATCCTGAGCTGTTTGTGAAGATTTCAACGCCGTTCAAACCCCTGAAGCAAATATTAGTAAATGCAGGTGACAGGACCACGTTTGGGATGTATCTCAACAGCCAAGCTTCGAAACAGCTATGATGTGAGGCTATTTTTCGTAAAGGGGAATACGTACATGTTGATGTGTGGTGCCTGAGGAGTAAAAAGTTCTTCGCAGGTTTCGGCTGCAAGTGTCGTATCATTAAGAGACAAGATGATGTCACCAATAGGCACCTGTCGAACTCCCTGGTGTTCCTGGATCTGTGGAGGAAGGTTATATTTCTCGACATATCTGGGGCGGTTCCAGGGAGTGAAGAAGCGGTTTTCTCTAAAATTTCTATAGCAAAGGGATCATCAGTCAATGCTCATACTAGAGCTCCCGGCTGATGATTTATAAAGCACCGAAGGGTTTTGAACACTCATGTTGCTGAGTGAAAGACAAGATAGTCTTATTCACTCACCCATCATTGGCCAGGTATATCTTGGGACGGAGACACAGCAGCTTGCCATCAAGGATCATGGCACGGCAATTGTATCTGCAGCCTCTGTGCATAAGAGGGAGACCAACGTCAATGAGGATGCCATGGAGAGATGTATCCGTTAGGATTTTGGATAGCATGTCCAGGGCATGATCATAGACATCGGATTCAAGAAAGTGATCGAGACTATCAGTTGCAGTTAGCACTCGGCCGTTTCGGCGACTATTGAGAAGCACTAGGTATTATCCTAGTAGCAGCCATATTGATGACATCAAAGAACTTACCAGCCATAGCCACTGATTTCCAGTTCAGGACCTGTTCGCAAGGTAGCTCCGGCTTCTTTGGCCTTCAGAATACTCTTGCGAATTCGTGCAAGATTTCCCTCCCAGTCCAGCGCCCACTGGTTGAGGGAGCACGTGGCCAAAGTGATGAGGTTAGCCATTGCGAACCATCAATAGGACTTGCTGGAGCGCAGGTGCTCGGGATCTCCAAAGTGACGATATACCCAAAGTGAGAAAGAAAGAGAAAAAGAATACAAAGAAGGTCCTTTGAGTAGATGGCTTTGGTGATAGCGGGCCCGGTACCAGTATAGCAGCTGTGCTAAAAAGCGGGGTGTGACTCTTACCTCAGGTATGTAAATTAGCTTACTTAAGAAAGTTCAAGATCCCGAACAACGCCGACGCATATTATCGGAGCAGCGTGACTTTTTTTTACGACTCGGATTATTGGGGAGAGGAATATCTATGTACAAGATGTGCTAGTGGCAATTATAATTTTTCGAGCGAGAGTGTTTAACTCGTAGAGGTGCGGGAGTAGACAAAGAAAACTCTGTGTAGAGGGACTGTGGTCTTGCTCGCTGCAACGGAAGTTTATAGAAGCCAACGTGAGGGAGAATCCGGCAATGAGTGGGCTTGAAGAGCTGCGATTTTCGAGGCAGAATTGTAGAATCTCATGGAATTAAATGCATTATCTGATTGGAGGCGTATTTACTACAAAATCGGACGATGTATTTGCGCTTTAATCCTCGTATCACCGGCTACGGCATCCAGCCTGGCGATATTAGAACTGGGGCGGGACTACACAAGTCATATGCTTTGTATGGGGTATAAAGATGCTCTTTTACAGAACCAAAAGTAAATCTCATGTACTCAAAAATATTTATGGAGTACTAACAACTTAAGTATACGTAAAGCAAAAACAAGCATTCTTCCTTGCTGATTTTGCACAACCACTAAAGTCTAATATTGGTAATTTGCAGTCCCGCTTATTTTGTCCACCCGACGTCAATTAAACGCATTCGTACGCGCGTTGCCTGCAACTTTACTTTGAGGGACGATAACAATGACACCAAACTCAGCAGAGATATTGTGATGCGCAGCAATTCTCCGCATGGGCCTTGCTACTACATACTTACATGTATGTACTCGTACCTGTGATGGTTGCGAATAGGCGCTGTGTCGCGCGTTGTCAATACATGCACGCGGCTCTTTTCCCCCCAGCAATGCGGAGGGAACCTTGTCTCTGGCCCGGGACCAAGGAGATGGGATGGGATCCAGGGAATAATCCGCCGCCTTGGGCTCCGGAGTTGCAGGCATACGAGTCCAGATACACAAGACATACCCATGCCTGTCTGCTCGGCCCGCTGTGGACTTTGGAGGGTGCACATGTATTTTCGCACGTACACAAGGCGGCATTGGAGCCTCACTCGGTGTGACGTCTACGGAGTATACGAAATTGTTGGTTGGCCGGGGCAGTAACATTGCACTGCGCATGTCAAAGCCTCCAAGTCGATTGAAGGAATGGCTATGATGAGCTGGCAGGGGGGGCTGAGGAAGGGATTTGAAGCAAGCAAACACGGCTTTCAGCCTGGATGCCTGACGATCTGGTGCTTCTGATTCGGTGACGATGTGGCTGAAGAAAACATCTGTTATCATGTTGCCATAAAAGAAGCCTCGACCTAGAAGGGCTGCCTCCCACCGTCCAGCTAATGAGAGTTTCTGCGAGACCCAAAGCCAAACAGCTGCAGAATCAAATTCATGCTCTTTGTGGTGTGAGTGCGGAACGGAGATTGGGCAGCGCATGAAATGATCAATAATCTTCAAGGATCAAAATGGGCTGGATGGATGAATATCCACACCGCCCGGGCTAACCCGCCTCGGCGCATCACCACGTGCGGCCACCGAGTAACAAGGCTGACGGCGGCGACTTTTGCACCGTCCCAGCCGCCAAATTGCGACACCGTGTCCGCCACCATGGACTGCTAGCTGCGTACTTGTACCCAGCTTTGCTTTTTCCAATCAAGCTCTCCTTAACTTTCTGTAGCATCTTTCCATTCGCATCCGTTCTTTCGCCCAGCTTTTTCCCATCTTGCTTCATCCCACGACGCCTCTCATCTTCCGCTTCGGGTCCCTCCGTGGTTTTCTACAGCCGCCCGCCGCTCGTGCAGCTTCAACTCCGGACCCCTCCCTCCCGCCAAAGTCCGCCTTGCTTTCTTCCCCCCCCAAAAGCTCAGGCATATATAACGAACACCGAGCACACCTTGGCACCCTTCGGTCGTTAATCACGCGAGCTTGCCGGCAACTCTGCTGCCCCTCGTATCTTTTGCGGTCCAGCTTCGTGATACCTTATCGCACACCCATCACCGCCACCATGTCGGCACCTCGGACTCGACGGCGAGCTGCCCAAGAAAAGCTCGAGCACGGCTCTGACGACGACCGCTCCACTGCCGTTGTTGACGGCAACGGCTCAACCCGCGATGCGCCGGAAGTCTCGGATTCTGACGGCGACGAGAACATCTTTCTGTTCTGGCCCAACATTATAGGTACGCGTGCAAATCTGCCGATGAGACCCCGTACGGAGGAAGAATCTAGAGAGTATTGCTAATACTTGCTGCGCTGCCAGGCTACTTTCGAATCGTCCTTGCTATTGCCTCTCTATACTACATGCCCCTGCACCCTCGCACGTGCTCCCTGCTCTACAGCGTCTCCTGCTTGCTCGACGCTCTCGACGGATATGCTGCCAGATACTTCAATCAGTCGACTCGCTTCGGCGCCGTCCTGGACATGGTCACGGACCGCTGCACCACCTCGTGCTTGCTGGTCTTCCTGTCTTCGGCCTTCCCGCGATGGGCCATTGTCTTCCAGGGCCTGATTGCGCTCGACTTCTCCAGTCACTACATGCACATGTACGCCACTCTGGTCGTTGGAGGCTCCGACTCGAGCCACAAGAACATCGACAAGAGCCAGAGCTGGCTGTTGAACTTGTACTACACCAACAAGGTTCGCATACCCTCCCGACCACTAGTGGAACCCTCCCGCCATCGAGGCTTGCTGTACTGACAAAAACGCTGTTACAGACTGTTCTCTTCGTCTTCTGCCTATTCAACGAAGTCTTCTTCATTGCGCTCTACCTCCTGTCCTTCTCCTCGCCCCTCCTCTCGCCCCACCTCATCAAGAGCGTGGAGGAGACCAGCGGTGGCCAGATCCAGCCCGGTGTCCCGGTCAACACCTCTCTCCTCCGACAAATGTTCCCCGATCCCTTCAGCGCCGCAGCCCTCGAGATTGCCCGAGCAAACAAGATGGACTCCACCCTCCCCTGGATCATCACCGGCGTCAGCTTTCCCATCATGCTGGCCAAGCAGATCATCAACGTGGTCCAGCTGGTCAAGGCGAGCAGGTGGCTTGCCGAGGTTGACATTAAATCACGAAAGGCAAAGGGTCTGAACAAGAAGGCCAGAAAGGCTTAAATCGAACCGCGATATGGAATAGACAATCCAGTAGCTGCCCATGAAATCCAGCTGGGCAGCGGACGCAGCTATCAACACATATTCGTGAAAGGAATGGGGTGTTAGTATAGGATGTGAAGAGCCATACCTTTTGAAGGCGATTAATATCTGTATTGACAGCATGGAGGTCAAACTTTGTTTATCATCTGCGGCAGAAACTAGGCGGACCAGTCTGCCTCTCTCAGCTCTTTTTTTCTCTGTCTCGAACAATGGGTGTTGTCTTGGTGAAACTCACACAGTGCTGGCCTTTCGTGATGGCTCTTTCACGGCAAAAAGCAGCTGTTAATATTGCATGGCTTGGCGCAAACGGGAGGGGACTCAACAACAGGGGTGGGTTGCCTTTATCCGTATATCGGTATGGGCGGATGGGTTGAAGGGATTTTGAAAAAAACAAATATTCAAATTCAGGGGGAGGGATATTTGGCAAGGGAGCGCTTACGGGCATCCTATTTTTATTTGATATAGTTTTCCCCCCCTTTCTTTGTTCACCTCTTTTCTTAGCGTTGTAGGATGCCATTGCTTCTTCTCTTGACTGGACTTGGGTTCTGCCAATTCCGTCCTTCTTCTCCTTTCCCTCTTCCTCTTCTTTTTTGTCATCTCTCCTGTTTCTTCGCTGTATATATCTTTTTTCTTTTTCGTCTTCCTTTCTTTTGGTAATTATGATTCTTCTTAATCTTGGTAGAACAATGGTGTTATTCCAGTAGTTAAAATACGAAGAAAACAATTGTGTTGCGGGCACAAAAAAGTCAAACAAAATTCACAAAATGCGACTCAGTGTGAGTAGGATCTATGGTTTTGGGGTATCTCAAAGTTTCTTCCATTTTAACTCAAAAATCATTATACGGCGTGAGATTATATAGCTTCATATCTTGTACTCCCCCCACACCAAGCACGTCAAAACCCCCCCTACTCCTCATAAAAATCCTCCTCTTCTCAGCTCCTCGAAACAGCGCCTCCGGCAGCAGCATTGCTGGATGAGACCGCGGCTCTAGACTCATCGCCATTGGCAGCATGGGATGTCTCAGTGACTTCTGAGTTCTCGACGATGCGAGAGACCTCAAGGGGGACGAGCTCCAAGGGAGTGGACAGGCCGTACCAGGCGACGACGACGACACCAAGGACGCCGGTGATGCAGCTGAAGACGAGAGCAACAATCCCGCGGGGAGTGAAGCTGAAAGAGCAGTGTTAGATGATACCGTTTACACAAAAGGGAGGATGATATACTTACCCGCCGGGGATGGTTTTAGCGGCCTTATTCTCGCCAGTCAGGTCAAGGAAGTCGACAGTGTTGGCAGCAGCATTGCCCTTGGAGGGGGTGCCAGCAGCGTCACAGACGGCCAGATGGTCGTCGGGGATAGTGAACTGCTTCTGGATTTCAAGAGGAGCCTCGACGAACGTGGCGAGAAGGCCAGAAGCGACGTGCCACTCAATGTGGCAGTGGAAGAGCCAGACACCTAATAAATCAGATTAGAAACAAGAAAGGGGAGACGATAATATATGGGAGAGTTACATACCAGGGTTATCAGCCTTGAAGCGCATGACAATGTTGCCATTGGGCCAGATGACGAGGGTATCCCGTCGCATGGGCACGCTAGGGTAGTCGCTCTCGGAGAGGTCCTCGTCCTCAAAAGTACCGGCTTCCTCTTCAGAACGGTGAATAGCCTGAAAGGCATGACCGTGAAGATGGAAGGGGTGGCGGCCAGAGTCGAGGTTGTTGACGACAATCTGGACAATCTCGCCCTTCTTCAGGACAAAGGGGTGGGTGAACTCGCCGTAGACGGCAGCGTTGTCGGCGAGGTCGCCGGTGGACATGGCAGTGTACAGGGAGGGAACCTTGGGCTTGGTGTAAGTGATGTTGTTGAAGAAGGCATAGTTCTTTCCGTCGCGAAGGTTGTCCATGATGACATCGAGCTCGACGACCTGGTCCGGCTCGGGCAGTAGCTCCATCTTGTCATATGGCACAAGCGTCATATCGTCAAAGGGGTTCAGCTCGTCGACAAGGGCAGGCTCGGGAAGAGTGGCCTGAGAGTCGTAGGTCAACCAACCAGTGACATTGTAGTTGAGATCATCTGGCAGGGTGTCAAAGAGAGTCTATAGACCAATTAGTATCAAATGTGCCGCTGAAGTGCCACTTGTCGGGTAATGGCTTACAGTGTCCATGCTGGAGACAATGGGGAAATTGGCAGAAGTATCGTTCTTGGTGGTGAGGAGGAAGCTGACTCGCTGGGCAGCAGAGATGTAGACCATGTCAGCCTCAGCAGCCTCGGTGTAAATACCGTCAACCTCAACGATGCGCATGGTGTGGCCCTCAATCCAGAGGTACTGGCCGGCAAAGGCACCAATGTTGATGACTCGGAACATGTAAGTTGTGTTGGGCTCGACAGGAACAGTCAAGTTCTGAGTTTCATTCATGAGCGCCGCCTTGGGCACAGGCTCAGCGCCAGTCGGGTTGTTCTTGGTCAGGAAAGCCGGAAGAAGAGTGGCCATCTGGTCATGGTACCAGTCCGAGAGGGTCAGGACAAGTTCATGGTCAACCTCCTTTCGGTAAGGGAACTTGGCGTCGTGGATGACGAGGGGGCCGCGAAGACCATCAGGATACTGCGCATTGTGGTGAGAGTGGTACCAGTATGTGCCGGGTTGGTCAATCTGTTGATTTCAGTCAGAAAGCTGTCAAATCCATCCCAGACCAATAGCGAGACATGTCAAGTCTTACAGTAAAGTCGTATTTGAAGGAGTGACCGGGCGGAATCTCACACTGAGACACACCCACGGGGCCGTCCATGTGCGTGGTGCCGTTCATGAAGAGACCGTGGAAATGCAGCGAAGTCGACTGGTTACCAAGCTGGTTGTTGACATTCACGACAATGCGATCGCCAACATTGGCCTCAATGCGAGGAATGGGCCACTGGTTGTTGATGCCAATGACGGGACGCGCAAAGGCTCCGTCCGGGTTGGCCGTGACCCAAGTGATGTTGAAGTCATAGTTGACGGTGGCGGCACTGGCAAGGCTCAGAGAGGCAGCGAACAAGGCCGCCGCTCGCGTGAAGCTATTCATGGCTGCCGAACGGTTTCACTTGCTGGTACTGGAGAAGCCAGCTCTCTCTGTTTCTCTCGTCTCCGGGACAGACAGAGTAGAGGGTTAAGAAGGGCTGAGGGAGAGTAAGAGAAGAGGTGAGGAGGGAGAGACTGGGTGGAAGAGGAGGAGGAGAAGAAGAGGAGGAGGCAGAATCAGCCAGGAGGGTAGAGGGTAGCGGCTTGACCTTCGATAGCCTTCGAATTCCGGGACGTCGCCGAAGGTCAGGCTGGTGAAAATGTTGAGGCGCTTCCGATTATCGCATCCCAGATTGATAAAAAGCAATTGGGTGGGCAATGAATGACATGCTTAGCCCGCAACTTCTGCTCCACACACCACGCAAAGCCACCGGATGTTTTTGTTTCGTTTCGTCTCGGTTTCTGTTTCTGGCCGTTGGAAGCACGGATCGGGCGCTGCAGTTCCTCCGGCTGGCATCGCCGAGACCCATCACAAGACAAAATAAGAAACAAGAAGCTCGCAGAAAACAAGGATCATGCATACAAATAAGCTACACAACTTTGCGGTGTTTGTTTGCCTAGCGGGCACGCAGCCCTCGGCTCAAAGCCGCAAGTTTACGGGCTATTCACATGCCCTGGAGTCACAAATCACCCGCTAAGAAGAAGAGCTGCAGCTGCCACTAGCAAGAAAAAAAAATAGAAAAGCCGGACAAGCATAAAACCTTGGCTGAATTGGAGCCTGTGATTGGACGGTGAAGATCGCTAAGAGATCACGGCAGTCCACCCATGGCTCAGCAGGCCAATGAATGACTCGAGAGGAGCGGGGCAAGAGCTGATGGTGGACTGATTGATAATCGTTAGTGTGATCAGATAAGATGATCAGAAGCTGGGCTTTTTTTTTTTTCTTTTTTCTTTTTTCCGTTGGCTAAAACGGGGCATCATGCGAAAATGGCGCGCAAAGAATTGTCTGTTGGAAGATGGATGCAAGCCGCAATGGAGCCACGAAGAAATTTTCACGGGTTTGTTTGCTGCAAGGGGGAGAGAGAGGCTTGAATAGTATTTACTGCAAGAGGATCATCACCACCAAATTCATCCAAGGTAGACATATGACTTCTACGTATAGGTAGCCAAGACTCCAATATGCTCGGCAGAAATGGCCAAGAGATGGATCAGATAACTCCGCTTGGCGCCCAGTTTCTCCCCCCCTCGGGGTCCTTTTGCCGACAGTTTCCTGCGCTACCACCTCCCTCTCAAAGCACAAGCACAAAGGGCTCCATCATCCATCCCAATTTCAGCCTCGGCGCTTTACTTTGCCCTTGGCCCATGCATACTCGACTCATTACGCGGGTTTTATTCCCACTCCTCTTTTAGCCGTTCTATTTCCTCGCTCGGAAACCGAGTACTAGCCCCGGGACATCCCTGCAAACCCCATCCATAGGAAGATTTTTTTCTTTTTTTTTCTTTCTCTCTTCGTTGGGGTCATTCGGCCCATGATCACGGCTGGCTAAGTGGAGGAGTGGAACGGCGGGGCCCTCACACACTTCAAAAAAGTAACCCTTGTTGACAAACTTCCCCATTAAGCTTATCTGATCCGAGTCGGATCCAAGCGACCCGGCTGTTGAATTGGGCCGGCTGGAGACAACCATTTCTTGTCGCCTTATTGCTGCCGACACCGCCGACTTGCTCTGTCTCGTCCATATCCCTTTGTATGAGTCGATATCCCCTCGCCTCTCCCTTTTCTTACCTCTTCCGCGTGCTCTGCCTCTCCATCCTCATCTCGTCTCAGCTCGCGATAGTGCTGTGCTTTCACAATGGCCAAGGACGTCTTCTCAGTCCCCGTCTTCCTCGTCGTCTTCCGAGAGACGCTGGAGACGGTCATCATCGTCTCTGTCCTGCTCGCCTTTCTGAAGCAGACGCTTGACGGCCCCAATGCCGACCGCAAAGTATACAAGAAACTGCGGGCGCAGGTAAGGAGTGCCAATTTTCTATAGATTTTCTCGCTTCTCTACTTCCGAGGAGCGAGTGAGACGCAAGTTGGAATCCGTCTCATGCTAATGCGCCAGCTTGATAGATTTGGATTGGCGTCGCAACTGGCTTCCTGCTATGCATGATCATCGCCGCCGCTCTCATCGGCGTCTTCTACACCGTCGGCTCAAACACCTGGGACAAGAGCGAGCAGTACTACGAGGGCGCCTTTTCCCTCGTCGCCTCCATCATCATCACCATCATGGGCGCCGCGCTGCTCCGTATCGGTAAGATGCAAGACAAGTGGCGCGTCAAGCTTGCCAAGGCCATTGAGTCGCCCATCAAATTCAACTCGGATCGCGGATGGATTTCTCAGGCATTGGAGAAATACGCCATGTTTTTCCTGCCCTTCATCACCGTCCTGCGTGAGGGTATCGAGGCGGTTGTGTTTATTGCCGGTGTGACCTTCTCGGCTCCGGCGTACGCTGTGCCTCTTCCCGTCGTCATTGGCCTCCTTGTTGGTATTGTCGTCGGATATCTCCTGTACAAGTAAGTGAAGCCTCTATCACTGGGTGGTGGAGATGAGACCGGGTCTAATACATGGTTATAGGGGAGGTTCATCAACCAAGCTGCAGTACTTCCTTGTCGCGTCCACTTGCTTGCTGTATCTCGTCGGTGCCGGTCTGTTCTCGCGAGCCGTCTGGTCCCTTGAACAGGGAAAGTGGAACAAGATTGTCGGCAGCGACGCCTCCGAGCTTGGCTCCGGCCCTGGATCATACGACATTGACAAGGTTGTGTGGCATGTCAACGTAAGTAGCGCATCCAAACAGGCAGACAAACAATTACAGAGGACGGCCATACTAACAATGACTCCCGCATAGTGCTGCAACCCCAATGTGCCCAACAATGGCGGCTGGGGCATCTTCCAGGCCATCCTTGGCTGGACCAATTCTGCCACCTACGGCTCCGTCATTTCATACAACCTCTACTGGGTATTCGTCATGGCCTCGTTTATTCTCATCAGGTTCCACGAGACCAAGGGACGATGGCCCTTCCAGAAGGCCAAGCCCGCTGTGCCATTTGACTCAGAGGCCCGCAGCGGAAGTGAGAGCAACGATGGCGTTGTCGAGTCCAAGAACGTCAATGTGTCGGAGAAGACTACAACTCTCAACTAAAAGGGAGAAAAGTTGTAACGGGGGACGGTACGGGAAAAGCGCGCTGCTGTGATGTACATGATATCATATAAAAGTGTTCTAAGCTCTGTCCTCCGATAAGGTTAACCATAATGAACATGATAAATATACCCTCATTCAAACATTCTATGATATCATTGTGCTTAAAGGGGAAATAAAGCAAAAAAATCCATGCTACATTGTCCCATTGCCAGCATACCTATACATGCGCAAGCCCAAATCTGCCCAGTGGCTAATACACGTACCAGACGCCAAACGTAAGACCTTTGTTCCTGCCCGACCGGCCTCCTAGACTTCGGGCGTCCAATCCCAGGAACTCGCCGTAAACAGGCTTTTGGACACTCTGTCAGTATACATGGCGCCTTCGTAACGGAGACGCTGATCATTAGCCACCGCCCTAGTAAAGACGAATTTCGAGCCTTCATAGTCATCCTCAGATGGTCGGCCGTCTCGAAGTATCGTCCACGATACCTCGGAACGACGCTTCTTCCAGTCAGCATGAGCGATGGAAGTGCCGCTCGCGGACAACATGGCTCGGATATAATCGATGATTGGCTCTATGCGGATTCTGAGCCCGCAGTTTGTGTGGTGCTTGTCGACCTGGTAGCTGGGGCATTGTTTTAGGGTAGCGAGGAGCTCGTCGATGTTGATCATGGCACCGTCGGGCACTGCCATCAAAGACGACGAGGTGAAGTCGACCAGGAACAGCAAGTTCTTGGATGTCAAGAACTTGATCATCTGGCCAAGCTGGAAGGAGTCACACGCTGCGCTAGAGTCGTATCCGAGCTTGCACTGTCGCTCCTTGGAGCAGTACAGGTCGAGAAAGTGGCGCTGAACAGACGCAATGGTATTCAAGACGCATTCTCTCCGGTATTGCAATTCCTCTGTGACAATGTTAGTTGGCTCTTTGGTGATTTCAATGCTCGAGATCTGAATGTCCCATCACTCACCCTCGATGCCATCAGGCAAATGCCACCACGCAGCTGTAAGCTCCTCCTGCTCATCGTTATACTCGCTCCACAGGCGAGACCCTCGGGTAATCAGCTCTCGTGCGGCCTGGTGCAGCTTCATGCCGTTTCCAAGAAGCCAGGACACGAGAATCTTTTCACGAAGCGTCTGCTCAACATCGGTATGGCGCCCGTTCTCGTCGGTATAGTTCCTCGTGGTTGTGACTGGCCAGCGGATGCCGTTCAGAGAGCGTGCCACGGCGGTGATGCAGTCGAAGCGGTCTGCGAGAATAGCCATGGTAGCCACCTCTGGCATGGCCGCCCTCGCCACCTTGGCCGGTTTCTGGTGGATGATCCTGAGGATGTCCTCGAAAGCGTGCTCGCGGCCCGCCGCCTTGGTGGCCTCGTCGTCATCCGTGATGGTGATCCACGGCAGGTCTGCGGCGTCTGCCTCGGCCGGCCTGATCTTCCTGGCGGCGAGCTTCTTGTGCGCCTCCTTGATGAGGCCGGCCTCTCGGAACTGCGAGTTGGACAGCAGGTTGGCAAAGTACTGCGAGTGCTTCTTGAGGGCGTCCTGGCTGACTCGATACGCAACCCGGACCTTTGTCTTGAGCACCGGCTGGGGGGCGCTGCCGGGCTTCTTTGGCGCATAGGCCGTGGCTTTACGGGACTTCTTGAGCGTCTCCTTTGACGTCTCAAAGGTCACGTCTAGCACGATATCGCCGGCATCGGCGACGGCGATGACATCTGGGCGCTCTACTTTGGGGCGTGCCGCAACAGCTGCTGCTGCTGCTGCTGCTGCTTCTGCCTCTGGCTCTGCGGGTGCTGCCGCAGACTCGCCCATGCTTCAAACGAAAACGACACGATCGACATGCAACAATCAATCAATACAGGGCAGCGAAGCAGAAAAGAAGAATCAGAAAGGAAAGGACAGGACAGGACAGAAATACAGAAGTCTGACGGGCCAGCCAGTCGAGATTTTGCTGAAGCAGCGGAGGACCTGCAGGTACAAGTGTCGTCCAGTAGCATCTCCGCGAGTCCCTATCCGGCCAGTCCCTGATGCCTAAGCCGCATGCTGGGTACGAGTACATGCTCGTACATGGATAGGTAGTACTAGGTATCTCTGGAAGGTTTGCAGGTTCCATTTTTATTTTTGAATTTTCCCTAGCAGCCTCAGTCGAATCACTCACTGACTCGATTGCCTGGGTCAGATTGCATCCCAAAAGGCGGCTAGTGTCCCTCTCGCCTCATGTACATGTACCGTCAACAGCATTGATTTGATACACGCAGGCTACATGTTCTGTACTCGTACCTAGACCCTGAATAACCACCGCAAGGCATCAGCCAAATGGGATCTGGATGGAGGATTACTCAACCGCAAAGGCGTTCTGCTTTTGTGTTAGGGGACCGAGGTTAGTGGACAGGCACCAAAGTTACAGCGCTTCCCAGCTCCATTCACCACGCTGTACCCCTGCGGGATGCACCGCTTGAGAGCCTGCAGGGATCCCCGGCATATCAGTCGGAAATGATATCACGGCTGCCTCTGCTCGGGCGTCGATGCAGTGCAATTGATCAATGCATCATTCCGAGCACAGAAGAATTCGGTGACGTAGATCATGTCAATGCTGTGCTGCATTGAGATTTACCAACATGCAGCGAGTCAATGCATGTACATGGAGCTCGTTTTCAAGAGCCGCCACTCCATGCAAGTACATGGCCGGGACATTATAACTCAATGGCACCTCAGTACCTACTAGTGGATTCAGTTCAGCCCAACAGCGCACGGCCATGTAAAGTTCCGAGCAAAACGCTCAACTCTCAACTTACCTCAGCCATATGCCGCCTCACAACCTTTGAATTTCTTCCCCCGTTCTATTCGTTTGTAGCCTTTGAACTCAATATTGTTATAAACTTTCCCTCAAAGACCGATTACGGCTCTGTCCTTTATCCATTTTTCGAAACCCTCCAACTGCCGCAGATCTTTCTTCCTGAGCCGAGTGCAACCGTTGGACTATCCGATTTGCTGACCTCTCTGGCCTGAGACTCCCCATCTTCCTCTGCTTCTCCCACAGCGAGCCCATGGCTCTGAGCAGCAGCAACCTGACAGCGATCCGACTTCGAAAGCGACACCGAATGCTTGGGCTTGCGGGTCTCCAGCATCGGCCAGCGCACACAGTAATCAATGGCCAACCTGGCAAATAAGGCGCTATGCTCAGCATCGAGAGCTGCCGCACACAGATCGCCCGACGCCGCCGCGGCCCAGACGATTCCGGCTTCACTACGAGCTGCCAGCGCAAGCAATCCTCAGAGCTCTAGAAGCAAGACCGCAGTCAATCGTCGACAACCATATTTGGCCGCAAAAGCGCGCGCAACGCTGCATCCCGTCCTGCCTTGGCGATGCGGAGCCCGCGGTGTATCTCGCGACGCCCTCGTGAGCCCTCCGAGAAGCGGATATGCCCAGCTGGCTGCTGGACGAGACTTCCATACGTATTTCATCACCCATCTTCCGTCCTCCTCCCTACATCCAGACTCCGGCCGATTCCACGGGCCTGGCCACAAGCTGCCGCGCGAGGCCTCTGAGCCGCACACCCCTAGCCCCGGATCTGCGCCAGCTGTGTCGATACCAAACATGCCCAGTCGAGACATGACAGTCGTGCGAATCCCCTTGAAGCGAGCCAAGCACCACTTTGGCACTGCAACTGCCCGAGGAAATCGGCCTTACAACGAAGACGCAGACCAGGCAGGGATAGTGAACATGCCTGCTTTTGCAAAGAGGGCACCGACGAGCGTCAAGCAGAAGCCAGGAGAGCCAACGGTGGCGGGCACCGCCACTGGAGACCCCCAGATATTCTACTTTGGGGTTTTCGATGGGCACGGAGGCGAGCAATGCTCTCATTTTTTGCGTGATGAGCTACACGGGTATATTGAAGAAGCAGCGGCGGAATTTGGCTTGCAGAGCAGCCTGCGCAAGAAGAACCCTTGGGAGACCACCAGTCGGCTGGTGACTCGCAAACAAGCCCTCGATGATGTAGACATGAAAAGACCCGATGAGGTGAAGGAGGATATCGACCTTCCAAGTCGCGAGGGTGACGAAGGAATTGTCAAAGCCCCGCGTCATGGAGATCCTCTTCCTAGTGCCAAGTCGGAGCCGGTCGAGGTATCAGATTATAAAAAGGCCATCAGTCTGAAGAAGGACCTTGTGCAAGAATACAGGGCCTCGATTGGAGGATACTTTCGCCGTTTTCAACCAGAGCACTTTAATCACGCCGACGACGGTGACAGCGGCACTATCTCGATCGAAGAAGCGCTCGAGTACGCTTTCCTCCGCGCCGACTTGGATTTCGTTGCCGCCCAGGCCCGCAAAGTCGATCCAGATGATTCGAGAGTCAGCGACAGGCCCGTGAACAACGACGAGATACTGGGCCAGCCTCACGCTACTCCCTCAGGCCACTCTATTGGTGGCACTACGCGGTTCAAGGGGGGCTCTACCGCCTCGATCGTACTCATCTCAACGCCTACACCCGCGCCCTTTTGGCATCCTGGTGCGCATTCCTCCATCATTGTGGCACATGTGGGCGATACCCGCGTGCTGCTGTGCGATACCGCGACCGGCCTCGCTCAACCCCTGACTTCGGATCACCATCCCATGACACCGGGCGAGAGCAGACGTTTGCGTAGGTACGCCCCGGCTGGCTCCATGGTTTCCAACGATAGCTTCGGAGAGGAACGCATTGCAGGGCTGGCCAACAGTCGGGCTTTTGGCGACATCAAGAGCAAGCGCATAGGCGTCTCTGCAGAGCCGGAAATCACCAGGGTAGAGCTCGGCCCCGCCCAGTACTCCTTCATAGTCCTCATGAGCGACGGCGTCTCTGGCACGCTGAGCGACCAAGAGATTGTGGACGTCATCAAGGAAGCCAAGACCCCCGAAGAGGGCGCGCGCCGCGTCGTCGACTACGCAACGGAAGTTTCTGACGACGGCGACAACGCCACGTGCCAGGTCGTGCGGCTAGGGGGCTGGGAACGCCGTTCTGAAGGCGGCCTGGGCAGTCTGGGGACCAAGGAGTTCAGAGATGCTCGACGTGCGGAGGCGCAAGACCCACGACGCCGACGCGGGAAGCTGTAAGGGGTGGAGATGAAGACGGCGGTTACGCTATTTGTCGCCAGAAGCATATTGGGAGAGGTTATTTTATTTCATTGTATCATTCTGCGGCTGCATAAAGAACAGCGAGTTTTTTTTTGGCTTGAGATTTATATACACTACATATACAGGCGTATATACACCATTCCGCGTGGAGTATTAGGCCAGGCGGAGTTTACAGGCTTGCATCGAGAGTTGGGAATGGCGGCTGTGAGACATGTGTACTCTTGACTTTTCGTTTGTCTTTATTGTCTATTTACAGTTTCTTCCTAGAGGGTTAGTTCTAGATAAGAAATCAGAGGAAATGGAGCTACTATTGCGTAAATTCTGAGCCGAATCAAAGTAGCCGTAAAAGTCAATATGCCCGGCGGCGACGCCATGTCTTAATGGTAAAGGTAGCTTTCGGGTAAACTAATGCAAGAACGTATATTCATGAGTTGCTCATTCAATGTAGACACCATGGTCTTTCATATCCTGATCCTCCTTAACCATCCTCTCATCATTTGCTAGATGGATAGCGTACAAACACCTCCAGAAACGTACACGCCTCAGACAAGGTTTTCATCGTCCAACGTACACACGTCACAGCTTAAGACACCACGCGAGCAACGACCCATGCTATGTTACAATTAGTAACCGTGTCGGTGCTCATGCTGAGAGCCCCACGGAGGCTGTTGTTCCTGGTATCCCTGCCCATGATACGGAGCATACTGTGGCTGAGCTGGGCCACCGTATCCGTGATGAGGCTGGCCTCCACCGCCGTATTGCTGCTGCTGGTGATACTGTTGTTGTTGTTGATACTGCGGCTGATGGGAACCGGATTCGTGCTGTGAATAATGCGGTTGACTCTGGTAGCCCTGGTGATAGCCAGAAGACTGGCTATGGGATGATTCCGTATGAGACTGCGAAACGTACGAAGCACTCTCCCCGTAGCCATAACCCCCTTGAGCCGGCGGTGAATAGCGAGAAGGAGGGGCTGGAGAATTGGAAGTATAGTTCATAGCCGGATTTCCATCTCGACCCTCCATGGAGTTGAGGTCTCGGGTTTTGACTTGCTCCCAGAGGGACCCGGACACTTTACCATGACCAAGCTGTGTAACTGTATCCCATGCGTCATGAGCATGGCCACTGACACCACCCTTCGTCTTCTTCTGATTGAGAATGTGATTATGGCCCTGCTTGACAGACTCTGAAGAGAGAAGACGGTCGAGTTCGTGGCGGCGAGGATGTTCACTAGCCCAGCTCTGAACGGTGCGGAACATATCTCGTTGGATCTGAATATGTTCATCACGAAGGGCGGGATGATGGAAAGCTCGCAGAACGTCGTTGACGACTTCATCAACGGGTACACTGGTGTTCTCCCAAGCGTAGAGGACGCGACTTTGAAAACGGCTGTTAAAAAACGGAGTCATGTACAGTGAAGGAGACGATACTTACGGAACGGTGTACTGGAGAATCGTAGACGCAATCCGACCAGCACAAGAGTTTAAGATGTTGGTGAAATGGTCCTTTGACAGCATAGAGTGTGTCGGGTCCGAGCTTCTGGGGTTGTCCCATGGCTCGAATTGGGAATTGGCACTGGCGCTGATGACGCCAGAAGAGCCGTCCTTTAGCACCTTCGAGACCTGGTTGATGATAGGCCTAATAAAGGGGGCAAGAAGGCCGAGAATAAACGCAGTCAGCGTCTCGCTGATGTGGTCAAGAAGTTTTTCGAGGCCAGGGATCTTTTCGATGCCTCGGCTGATGGCCTTTACAATCCTGTCGCGAAACTGCAAAATGGGGTAGATTTGCCTTGCAGTCTTGACTGGGTCGAAATTTGGGCTCATGCCGGGAACGACGTTAGTGTTCCCTCCAGCACGAGAACGTGACTCGTTGTCTCGCTCCTGGGCATCGGCCATGGCCTTGAGCTCCCTAGCTTGAGCAGCAAACCCAGATCCATCGCCGGGGATCTTGGCGATGAGTGAGATGAAATCTTTCGGGGCGTCGATACCCAGGAAGCCCCTGGAAGCGCCTCCACCACCGCTACCGGAGGCTCCAGCGTTGAGGAGAGCAACGTCGACCTCGTCGACCTCGGATTGGGTGAAATGATCGTTTGCCTCGCCAATGACAGAATGTAAAAAGTCGACGCCGCCAAAGGTTCCGGTTACCAAGGGGTAGATGCGTTTTCCTCGGACCGTGATTTCAGACTGGGTACCGCAGTGTGGAAAGACGTCTCGATGACCCAACTCACGGAGAGCCAGCTCGCAGTAGTTGCTGTGGGCGCTAAAGTCTTCCATGCAGTGCAGAGCCTGGCCGAGGCATCTAAGCGCTTCACACAAGTCGGCTTCCTTGCCGCTTTGTGATCCACTAGTATAAAGACGACCGAAGTGAATGCTCCGAGCGAAGCTGTATCGGAGGTAGCCGGCACTGGTAGCCCATCGTCCGTGCTCATTAGCAATGTAGTTCTTCATGCCGGTATGCGGATCGATGTCGATTTCAATGGGATCAACCGGACCACGGAGACGAGGATCGAGTGTTCGAGCGTCAATACCATCTGCGTAACCTTTGGGATTGTCAATGTGCTCCTCTGGACGGTAGCAACCTAAGCGTTCTTCGGTCACCTCGAACTCCTCGGTGGCATAGCCAAAGGACATGAATGAGAGGACCCAGACCTTTTATACATATTAGTACCAACAACACCTGCCATCTCACGATCAGAGATACTGCTTCCTACCAAGATGCGAATTGTGGGACCATTCACGCCCTTGAGAGAGCCAACATCGACTGCCTGTGAGTAGTCACGGAGCCAATTGCCAAAGTATGTTCTCTTGACAAGCATAGACGTCCATTTCTTGCCGTGGAGGAAGGCAATGCTGGTGAGCATGTCCTCAATATCTAAGAGCAGAGTGTCAGTTTTCTCATAGAGATCTCTCACATCCCACATCCCACGTTGTGTCACCTACCTCCATGGCGCCAGTTGTGTCCCTCGACCTAGAACCTGTGAGCTTCTAGATGCCAAACAGATTTCCATGGATAATTCGAGTACAAACCTGTGCAATCGACGGAATATTACCAGCTCCAAATGCTGCCGCTTTCGATGGTAGCAGCACGAGACAAATGCACAACACCAGCAACCAGGTGCCCCGCGGAGGTGAAAATGACGCCATGATGCAGCCGACTTGGCGGGGCAAATATCAAAGAAAAACAGACAGGCTCGGTGTATGGGACGGTCCCAAGTAAAGATCGAGTATGGTAACAAAGGTTCTTTTATTGCCTCTCTTTCTACCAAATCAAGTTGTCGTCATTTGTATGCTGCAGGTGAGATTGGTTGCCTCCTTTGGTTTGTTTTTGTTTGGGGCTACCTGTGCCTGTTAGGTAAGGTTGTGTGAGCTTCAGCAAGCCACCATTTGCTCGAGCCACACTTGCACATGATAATCTTGGCCAGTTTGGTGAGAAGGTGGCGCCGCACAGCCACACGGCCATGATGAGGACTAAGACACCTCGTTGTGCGGTGAGGTTAGATTATGCTCACGACTTTTGTTACCTTAATACCTAGTAGGCTACAGTGCGTGATTGAATATTCGTATAGTAAAATAATTATTCCTAAAATCAGCAGCGATGACTCGGATACTTCGGTATCACAAGCAAAAATGAAAAACGTAGCATGATGCCCCTGATGTTGATATTGACGATTACGGGTGCTTGCTTGGACGACCCGGATTTTATAATGCCGAGAGCTGCATGACTGAAAGAGGAAATTCGGATAGCCTACTAATACATTATCCTATACGGAGCTCTGTTGAAAAGCTACCCACAGAATACACATAAATTCACATTAGCTACTTGCTACTGCACTGAAAACTGGCATATGGACGATAAAAAAACATGTATCTCTCAAGTACCTCGAGGCCATCCCTTCATCTTTAAAGCCGCAGCCCGTCTCCGGGTTGTCGGTGTTCGGAGACTGTCATGTACATCCACACTTGCATTTGCAAAACACGAAGCCTGACGAGAGCATTGTAGATGCTCATACTAGTATCGATTTCAAGGGAACAAGTTGATCAAGTAAACGGCAAAAGTACCCATATGTAGAGAGGACCTTTAGATGAAACTCAAAAGTCATTGGTGGTGTGACTTTTGGTGTCTTCTCTGCTGAGGTTCCGTGGTAACGCCACTCTCAGCGCTCGGCTTCCGATGCACTGTAGTGTCAGACACCAGTAGCGCGCTCCAGGGACCCTCAAAAATTAATCATCGGCCCTCCTGGGAACCCGCCCATCCGATCTTCAGTAAATCTGCCGGCCCCTAATAAAACCTTCGCTCCGTTTGCTCTTCAACTTTGCTTCTCCATCAACGTGGTGACAGGTGCTTTACCTTCACATTCGCATCCTTTTTCTTTCTTTTTTTTGGGTTTCACCTTAGATCTGGCCTGCTGCCAGATGCGCCAATCCTTCTTCTCATAGCTTTCAATTCGAGTGCCGCTTTTGATCAGCCCCATCTGTCTTCATTTACGCCACCTCATCCCTGCCCGCCTTTTTAACCCTCGCAATAGCACGACAAAATGCCTTCCAGAACGCTCCCTACGTTTACGCGCGCCGAGGTCGAGACGCATAGCTCAGAGAAATCCTGCTATGTCACCATCGGCACCAAGGTCTACGATGTCACCGACTTCCTGCCCGACCACCCCGGTGGTGGCCAGCTCATCATCGACTATGCTGGCAAAGACATCGAAGACATTTTGAAGGACAGCGTTTCGCACACGCATAGCGAGGCTGCATACGAAATCCTTGACGACTCTCTCGTTGGCTTTGTCGTTGACGAGAAGAACAAGGCGGCCAATGGAAACGGCACTGCCAATGGCCAGCCGTATGTGCACCCGAGAACTGGCATGGCTACCGAAGAGGACCTCAGCAAAGACACGGACTATACACAGGACTACAAGAAGCACAAGTTTTTGGATCTAGGCAAGCCCCTGTTCCCCCAGCTCTGGTATGGAAACTTCACCAAGGAGTTTTATCTCGATCAAGTGCATCGTCCACGTCACTACAAGGGTGGTCAGTCTGCGCCCCTCTTTGGAAACTTCCTGGAGCCTCTTTCGAAAACCCCATGGTGGGTGATTCCAATCCTCTGGCTTCCCTGCGACGCATACGGCTCCTTCTTGGCCTTCCAAGGCTTCAATTACCCCATCATCTTTGCGGCATATTGGGTCCTTGGCTTCTGCATTTGGAGCCTCGTGGAATATGGTCTGCATAGATTCTTGTTCCATCTTGATGAGTACGCTTTCCCCCATGCTGGACTACTTTGCATGACCTGTCACTAACCATAAACCAGCTATCTTCCTGACAACAAATATGGCATCATTGCGCACTTCTTGCTCCACGGCATCCACCATTATCTGCCCATGGACAAGTACAGGTTGGTCATGCCTCCAACCATGTTTTTGCTGCTTGCAACTCCTTTCTGGTATCTCGCTCATACCATTTTCGCCTACAACTGGTATGCCGCGACGGCGGTCTACTGCGGCGGCATTTTCGGTTACATCTGCTATGACTTGACCCACTACTTCCTTCACCACGAGAATCTGCCTCTCTGGTACAAGCAGCTCAAGAAGTACCATCTGGAGCACCACTTCCTCGATTACGAGCTTGGCTTCGGCGTCACCACCAAGTTCTGGGACAATGTGTTTGGTACCGAGCTGAAGCCCAATGTTGTCAAGACCCAGTAAACTCAGCAAGTGCGACACGTACATATGTGCTTCTGCAGGCCCCTTTTATGAGGGTGAACACTGCAATATCAGTCCTTTCCCTAATCCTTCTGGCTCTGTTTCGTACGGGATGGGGCGGAGGCTTTGGCTATTTTTGGAATTTGAGGATTATGCATTGTTATGAACATGGGCAGACGGTTTCTCAGGGTTGATAATGGATGGGAATGGGAAGAGACAAAGTTTCTAATGGCTGTTGATACGAGTTACGGACGAAATTGGAGATCCAACGAAGAAGGGGATCTAATGGCGACACAAAAAAATACCGAACGAGAACCTGTAGATACTATACACTTTTTAATTCAATGACTAGTACTTAATACTTTTATTACTTTTAACATGCCATTACCTATATTCGCCACCGCCTTGTCGTCTAGTATTCTACTCAATATTGCAGCAAATTATCAAGCTCTGAAAGAGACAGGGCCAACCATTCACTAGCATAGAAGACGTAGGACGGGCATTCTCCTGAAGCGGCCTGCGAATTTGCATCCCTTTTCCTGGGTTATGTAATCAGCGACAGCGCATGCGGCGAAGCCACTCACGTGACTCAGTCTCAGCCAGCTGCCCAAGGAGAAACTCTCCGTGCTGAAACCTGAAATCCTCAACTCGCTGGAAACTTTCTAGTCATTGATCTCAACAACGACGTCGTCGGCTCTAAGGAACTGCCTACAAACGCCTTAATACTCTCAGGCTACTGTTGATGAGAAACTTCCTCAAACGCTGGCAATTCCTCGTTTTCAACCATTGGTCACCAAGGGCAGTTCATCATCATGTCTAATCTAGATGTTGAGGCACTGCTCGACGCAACGGCTAAGAACCCAGAGAAAAAGCCGAAGAGCCCTGATGCTGAACGTTCCAAAGATGATGGTAAATCTGATAGGCGAGATAGAGACTCCGACCGCGATCATGGCCGAGAACGTGATGGCAGCCGTGTGAGAGACAGAGATCGAGACTACGACCGTCGCCGCCGAGATCGTCGAGAGTACAGCCTTACTCGAAGCCGCCGAGAAACGCCTGATGCGGGCACTCCCCGCAGTGACACCGGCAGCCACAAAAGTAGGCGGAGAAGCAGGAGTCGTGATGATGACCGCCGTCACTCACGCCGCCACAGAGACGGCGATTACTATCGAGGTGGACGACGCTCGCGGTCCCGTTCGCCCCCTCGACACTATCGCCCTCGCGATGATCGCGATCGCCGAGACAGACGAGACCGATCCGACCGTTACTCCAATGATTACGGCCGTGGCAGAGATGATGACCGTAATGATGCCCGCAACGAGGGGGGCAATGCCCCGCTTACGGAAGACGAGCGAGACCGACGCACTGTCTTTGTCCAGCAGCTTGCTGCTCGGTTGCGCACTCGTGAATTGAAAGAGTTCTTTGAAAAGGTCGGAGCTGTTAATGAGGCTCAGATTGTCAAGGATCGAATCAGCGGACGGTCCAAAGGGTAAGTGTTTCTTCTTCCAGCTTCGATGGCTCTCTTGTACGTGATGCTAACATGATGTCAGCGTCGGCTACGTTGAGTTCAAAAATGAAGACTCGGTTCAGCTAGCCCTCCAACTTACCGGACAGAAACTCTTAGGCATCCCTGTCATCGTACAGCATACGGAAGCCGAGAAGAATCGCCAAGCTCGCAACCCAGACTCATCGAATGGCCACCCCAATTCCATTCCCTTCCATCGCCTCTATGTGGGCAACATTCACTTCAATGTCACGGAGCAAGATTTGCAAGCTGTATTTGAGCCATTCGGAGAACTGGAGTTTGTTCAACTCCAAAAAGACGACAATGGACGCAGCCGTGGCTATGGGTTTGTTCAGTGAGTCGTCCGTTCCCTTTTACAAATTTTCCATCAAGGAAAAGAATGTCCACTAATGCCGGTTTCCTCTCTTCAGATTCCGAGACGCAGGCCAAGCTCGCGAAGCTTTGGAAAAGATGAACGGCTTTGACTTGGCTGGTCGTCCTATTCGTGTTGGCCTTGGCAACGATAAGTTTACCCCTGAGAGCACTGCCAACCTAATGCACAAATTTTCCGGTAACAACCAGGGCTTCCAAGGCTCTGCGTTTTCCGGAGCGGGTGGCCGTGGCCAGCAGTCTACATTTGACCGAGCTGGAGGCCGCGACAGCGAAAAGACCGGCGGTGCTAGCGCTTTGGATGATACAGACGTTGCTGGTGTCAACTTTAACAACTATAGTCGCGATGCATTGATGAGAAAGCTTGCCAGGACCGACGAAGCCCCGACCAATGGCAATGACGAACGCCAACAGATCCTCAAGCCCAAAACGGAGACGAAACCCCTCCCTGTCAACGTAAACATGGCGAGCCGTTGTGTTGTGTTGCACAACATGTTTGACCCCACAGAGTAAGCAGATGATTCACCCCCGATGCAAGTTTGCGCACAATCTTTATGCTAACGGTGAAACAACAGAGAAGAGGGCGACGACTGGGTCAAGGAACTCGAAGACGAAGTTCGCCAGGAAGCCGAAGAACGATATGGACATGTTGTTCACATCTCGGTCGATCCGAACTCCAAAGGAGATATTTATCTCAAGTTTGACAAAGTCCAAGGCGGCGAAAATGCCATCAAGGGCCTCAACGGTAGATACTTCGGCGGCCGAATGATCGACGCGTCACCTGTTGTAGACGCCGTCTACAGCAGTTTGTTCTCTCGCACCCGGGCAATCTGAAGCTAATGCTCTCCTATTCACATTGTGCAATCTAGGAACTTGGAGGTTTGTAATTAGTCTTGTGTGAATATATTCCCCAGAGTCACTCATTAACTCATTGGCAGTCGTCCCTATGCCACGTGTGCAAGATTTCCAGAACGATTCCTGCCATCACAGGATAGCAACGAGATGCAGGTTACACCTTTTTGTCCAAACGAATACTAAAACAACCAAGCTCTTTTTTGGTGCAGCAGATCTCTTGAATCGAACGGGGCGCCTTGGTCGCCAACTTTTGTCCATTCAATAATGCGTTTTAGCACCTCTTTACATGGCAATGTCCCAAACTGATGTTTGTGTGCCTAGGACGGTCATCGATAGTCGTTTTGACCTTGAAAATCATTTTCGAAATTCGTTGTAGGATTAGTTTTGATATTGTAGCAAAAATAGTCACAATAATAGTCTTAGAGTATGCAATGCATATGAATCACGATGAATGGTCAACTTGGAAACGGCATTGCTGCGGATGAGACTCACAGATATCCAGTGAGTATGAGAAGACTCAACTTGGTGATGATACATCAGAGTGTTGATTATGGTAGCCCTATGCCCCTGATCTCTTCCTTCAAGTCCATCATATCCATCATGCTGCGGTATTCCCCCTACTTCTTCTCCGTCTCTTTCCCCCCATCCAGCTTGGAATCATCTTCTAGGTGCTTCAATCATTTATTTCCTTGTGGACGTGTTACAGCAGCATTGTACGTATCCATGTGTCGTGCATGACACGTGATGGCAGTATACTCTCTCTACTCGCCCTTTTTGGCTCTGTTTGCAATTATTTCCCACCTCACTTCTCCCTCACCCCTTAGGGCGAGCCCACCTAATTGAGATTAATATCTAATCAATTCATTCACTGTGCAGTTAATCACGGGCATTGTTACTTGTCAAAGTACCATCCCCTTTTTGTTTTCACATTCTCCCCGATTCTTCTCAATGAGGCGCCTCCTTCTCGGCTTCTTGCAGGCTTCTTGGTGGCGGTTCAGGAGAAGCCCCACGGCCGGCGGAAAACCTGCACGAGTTGCGGTGCTCACTGACGACTTGACGGCTTCACTTTGGGCTCACTTTGCATTCAGCTGTTGGACTGCTGGCCCCAATTTTGCGGCGTGATTCTTTTGGGGGCTGTCGGAATTTTGCGTTTGCTTCCCTTCACCTTTTACCTTTTTCCTTCTCCCAACCTCGACAGGCCTGCTGGGGATATCCCACTTTCTCGGCATTTTTCAGCAAAGGATTCGCATACTTTTCAAGGGAATCGATATTCAGCATTATTTCGTCTCTTCGAGGGTTTCTTTCTTTCTTACTTGACTATCTGCGTGGCGCACTTGGACAGGTTCCACGGGATTGATGTTCACAGCCTAGGGGCATAACACTCACTCAGGTCTGTTTCCGAGCAACATTTTGTTGGCATCTTCTTTTCAATATATCATTCACGCAGTTAGGCTCTTTCATCTGTTATCTGGTCTCAACGACCACTGCCATGCTAAACACCATCATCTTTCCCCTTTGTGTTTCCACCTTGCAGCTATTCGCATTCACCGAGCAGCCATCCGCCATACTAACGCTCTAATAGTAAATCAAGTTTGGTCGCATCTCTTCACCTAATTTTGAGAGCCTGATTACCAGTTATTCTCCTTTGGATTTTTGCTCTGCTCTCGCCCCTCACACCAGCCGTCGCAGACATCTCTCGGCACTCTTCCTCTCCGCAGAGAATGTTCCTAGGGGATATCAGGCCCCTTGCGGTAGAACAACGCTTCAATACCCGCAAAGCATCGATCAGTTCGGCTGAATCAAGTATCCAGGGAGCCACTGAGGTGATTGGGAACATGTTGTCGGTCAACTTTTCTACTCCGCTTACCGGGCCTGCCCGGTCTGAAAGGATCAAGCAAATGTCTAATAACCACGTAAGTCTATATGCTTCTCCCACGGCCGTCTATCACTGACCAGATATTGCCATTAAGCCGGCGTATGAGAAGTCACGCATGTCGCAGGAGATCTTGGTCAAGATACAGCACTCCTTGAGGCGAATGCCTGGAGTTTCCGCAAAAGAATCGGCCGAAATCATTCAAAGCCTGATGGAAGTTGGTCAGGTCATCAGCCAGGAAACCAGCGCACTCGTTGAGGCCGTGATGAATCTTCATCTCGACCAAGAAGATACGGATAAAGCGATTGCTCGCATGAGCATCGAAGCAAACCTCGCCAAGGCTAGAACTGATGATCAGAGCCAAACAATCAACAGCCTCCGCGAAGAGCTCAAGGCCGAAAAGGAGAAACGGGAACAGGCTGAGTCTATCCTCAAGAACATGGTGGAAGGCATAGTAGACATTGCTGCCGAGCTCAAGCAGTTGAGGGACAAGGCTGACAGGCAGAAATCCGAATCTCTGGATAATTCACCAACCGCCAACGGTGAATTTGTTGTCAAGGTAAGTCATTCCAACACACCGACCACAAGCCGATTTCAACTAATTATTACTATTCCATGCAGACTCTTGACAATACGATCCAGATTTTGGAAGACCAAGTCAATAAGCATCATATGCCTTGGGTTGGCCCCGTGACTCGAGCCATCGAGCCCATCATCGAAACTGGCACGGCCAGAAATGGCTATCACAGGCCTCTGGTGCCTCTCCAGGAAGAGACTTCGGGCGACGGAAGCGTCTTCAACGATGCTCCACCACCTCCCCGTGCTGCTTCGGCCTTTCAGCCTGTTCATCGCCCTCCTATGGGACCGCCGCCGCCGCCAAAGTTTGGCCAGTTCCAGGGGATGCCACCGCGGCCTCCAACAGCCCTCTCTCACGAGCGCCGAAGTGCCAACGCGTGGAATCTAGTTGCGCCTGTCCAGGGCGGTAGGCCTGGCTCCTTTAACAACAAGCCCCAGTTCCCGGGTCCCCCTTATGGCAGAGCTCCCTCTCGCCAGGGGTTCCAGAATAACCAGCGTTTTAGGCCTGATAGCTTCCCCCATTCTGCATTTGCGCTGCCAGAGAACCCACCTCCTAGGTCCAACAGCGCATTTGCATATGGGCGTGACTATTTCCCCAACACCCCAACAGGTCCAGCCCGTGGCAGATATGGCGGCCGCCTGCGTGACAATAACGTGCCGCCGCCCCCTTCGCTAGATTTCGGTGCCTCCTCGTCAAGCGGTTCTACTTCCGGCCCTGCTAGCACCATCGCCAACCGCAGCCCATACCCTAGCCAGCCGATCACGATCACGGAACAAACCGTCCAGGCCTGGCATGGGTACATGATGCATTTCTATGCGGCCATTCGCAACTTTGTCGAGCGTCATGCCAACAATCCCGATGTCACAGGGGAGATCAAACTGAGCCAGACTCATCTGTGGCCGATCTTGCTTGCCACATACTTTCCCCTTTCTGAGCAAGAGGCCGATTCTTACCTCGAGTTTCACGTTCGCAGCGAGAACTCCAAATCATGCATCGTCACTCGAGTCGTCATCGACTTTGTCGTGAACCGTGTTTGGAACGCCAGCGCCTGGGCCGGTGCCGATGCCGACTCTACCTTTAGCATCATGGAAATAGAGAGAGACCTGGACCGAACAGCAGGTAAGCCATTTTCCACCCCTTTCCCTCCTGCATGTGTGAAGCGAGTAGAACTGACAATCGACAGGCCAACCATCGGCTGTCCGCCAACCAATCCTCGACCGCATGGCCACCGTCATCGATGCAGTCATCAAAAGGGAGCAAGGCGGGCTCTTTGTCAAGAATAAAATCGAAGAGGCCACCCACACGCTCCTCGCCAGCCTGCAGCCCCTCATGAACAAGTTCTACAACTCCGCCGACGCCTTCCGCGACCTGGAGCAGGTCATCGACAGCGCCTACGAGATCTCGTGCAAGATCCTCACTAGCCGCCTGACGTTTGACTTCCGCTTCCCCGAGATCGGCAGCCGCTTCTCCTCCCAGTCCATGCTGCCCATCTGGCCAAACAGCGACCCGTTGGAGCTGCAGGCGAAACACTGGCGCGTGGCCCTTGTGACTACCCCCGTGGTGACTTGCCGGAACGACACGGGCTCCAACATTTCCGCGCACTCTGTGTCTCTGGCGGACGTGTTTTGCATGCAATGAGAACGGGGGGGGAATGGTTGAGAGCCTGCTACGAATCGAGGGAAGAGCGGCTATTTGAAGGCCAAGAAACAAAGGGAAGGGATTCATTAGGCAGAAACGGGAAAAAATGAAATGGGCTACGGCGTTCTCTGGTTTATCTGATTTTCAGGTTTTGACTTACTTTATTGATTCCTCTCGAGCATAATTCAACGTCACTCGCCCGGGAGTCAAGCCCTTGGAGAGGCTACGTCGGTTTTCTATTTCCTTGTCTTCTCTTTATGCTCAGAGCATGGGGAGCTCTTCAAATTGAACACTTGCAGAAAAACACCAGGCTAAGAACAATGAGGACACTGAACGATAGTCTTTTTCTAAACGTCACAAACTGAGAAATGCGAGATATGGACCTAGTCTAAACAGATAGTCTCTTTTTCAGCATTAATAAGAGCATTTGCTTTGACAAAGCAACACTTGGAAACATTAAGAAATGACGTGCTTTCTTTCTAAATCTTGCCTCTTGGGATTGCCATGGAGCAGCCTTTGGGGTAAACCTTTCTATCCTGCCCAACCCTTGTCCAAAGTGATAACCGTAATCCCCGTGGTTTTTATAACCGCCCAGACCATAATTTTTGATACAAAGGTGTAATCAACCTTGCCAATCATTCATCGGAAGCCCTCCCACCAATGTCCCCGAATATCAGATTATCAAGAAACCTTTACAAAACTGTAAAGCAAAAAGCATATCTGCCCAAAAGGTTGTCACGTTTACCAAGTGACTATCCCATCGCTGAATCATCTCTTATCCTCTCCAAGAGGAGCTTTCTTAGGACTTCTTCACAGCGGGCAGCTTATCCAAGCGGCGAATAACCGCTCCGAGAACTACCTTGAGGATGGTGTCTGCAGAAAGGGTCCTGGGACGGAATCGCCTACTGGGGTTGGCATCCCAGCTGACCGTGTCCACCATGTCCCGGACATCGCTCGAGGATCCAAAGAGGTCATCTAGATGTTGCAACGCCTCTGCGGCGCCAGGCAAGCTCCCAACTTGAAAGAACTGGATGCCGACTTGGTGCACTGGAGCGTCAAGTTCATCGAGATCCTTTGCGTATTTTCTGATGACAGCGTCTGGGTCGTCTGAAGGTGCGCCGTCGGTGATGACGATGATGTTGATTGGCTTAACATCATCGATATTCCTGAATTTATCTTTGGGAGTTGGCAAGCCAAGAACATAAGGTCGAAGGATAGTCCGCAGCCTCGCGCCGGTAGGCGTACCGTTGTTGGGCTGAACAGTTTTGAATATTTCCGTGATCTCTTCGGGAGTTTCGATATTGTAGTACCCGTATTGTCCTTTGCCTTCGGGTTGCTTTTTGCTTGATCTATGGTTCAAAAAATACAAGTCGATGCCGTCCTTGTCGTGGAAGGTGCAAATTGGCGTGATGGCTCGGAGGACGTCGGCTGCCTCATTCCAGGACTTGCCTTCCATGGAGCCGGAGTCATCGATGAGGAAGACGGTGTCGAAATGTGACAGAAATGCAAACGGATCTTCGCCATTCGAGTATTTCTGCAAATGCTCCGGAACTTGAGGTTCGGCAATCAGATCGTCCGGGGAGTCAAACGGGTTGGCCGGAGCTTTAGAGTCATATGGATTAGATGGAGCCTTGGAGTCGGACGGGCCAGCTGAAGAGGGAGCCGATCCGAGCGAAGCATAAGAAGGGGGGGGTAGGTCATCTTGTCGCAAACCGTCAGCAATCATCCTTTATCCAGATCTAATCCTCTGTGGAAAGGGGCAGAGTAAGTTACGGGGGCTCTGCACTCACTGCTCTCTTCATCTTCCCAAACGGACTGGCTAGGCCCAGCATATGAACCGCTCGAGGCCCATTGCTCGCGATTCTGGTTGGGCCGTCTTTGAGAACCCCTGCCCTTGAGACTTCCAAAAAATCTCTTCATCGTTGCTGAGTATGAAGAGAGAGGTTTTCGCAATCTGCAGTTTGGTAGAAGGGTCGAATAGTGAGAGTAGTGATGGTAAGAGAAGAATGAAGAAGAGAAAGAGAGGGAGAGGAAGAAGGGGAGGAGGAGGAGGAGGAGAAGTATTAGTGTTTGTTGCTGAACAAGTGCTTGGCAGTGTAGCCGCCGGGTGAATACGTGGAATATCCTTTGTCGTGTCTGTGCTTTGTTCTGTCTGATCTTGATGGTGAAACCTCCAAGTGCCGTGAATCCAGCGCTGTTCAATTTATGACCAACCACCCAGTGATGAAAGAGGGAGGAACTGCCGGTAGCCGTGCCTGCCTAACCACGATGGAGTTTTGGCCTCTCTAACGGGTTCCGACTTGTTTGAAAATGGAAAGCGTCAAAGCCAATCAAACAATGCCAGCTTCTGCTTTCTTGCTTTGTGTCTTCGCCTCGTTTCTGATTTGTTCTTGTTCTCTCTTCCCCTTGCGTTCAGTGCAGGTGATGAGCCACTCAGGCACAGACTCGTGTATAACAACAGGTGGTGGCACGTTTTATATGTAATGTGCGCTGTTCATCATTGTCCTACGTGAATCTGCTTCAAGTCAAACAAAAAGTCCCCCATTAGATGGCGCTATGGCCCACCACAGCCCGTTAAACTGGACTCTTGGTATGAAGTTTGCATGTCTTCAAATTCCATGGCGATGCGCAGCGGTCTTTACCTGCTAGGCGGATTACTTCAATCTCCTGACATGGTCACCCAAGAGACTTGGGAGAGTTTACAAGTGCTAACAGGGCGCTAGAGTGGCTGGTGGAGACAGTACGAGAGTCCACTCAGTGCCTTGACCGATCTGGGGCTATGGGTGTGGCGCAGCTCCCACATGTCCCTTGTGCACCTCCAGAAGAGGCAGCATAGCCCAGCAAGGCCTTCTATGAGGCTGAAGGCCAGTTGGAGATCCGATTGATAGGTGCATGGAGATGCTTCTGCATCATTCGAGATGCTGGACCAAGATCTCGACCCTGTCTGCCTAGTACTCATGCGTGTTAGCTGCCTCCTGCACTTCGCTTCTTCGGCCCCCATGAACCGAGTGTATGGCGTCGGTTCACAGCCTTATGTTCAGGTACCAGTTGACAAGCGATAAGGCAACCTCAAAGGCAGATCGACTAGCCGCACTAAAAGGGTCCGCGCATACAAAATTGCATTGGCATTACTCATTCCAGGCGCTACATGTTGGCATCAAATGCTAATCCGCCGGTTGTCATTTCTCTCCAGGCCGTTCAATCTCCCACATGGGCTCACAGCCTCATGTTCCACCGAACATACCTCCACTAGTGTCTAGGTTTGGGACCTTCGCCCTTACCCTCGCCTTCACCTTCGCCCCATTCTGTCCACGGTGTGAAACTCGGTCAAATATATATCTGCCTCGGGCTTGGGCAAGTCTCCCACTCGCCTCCTTAGTTGGATCGCTTGAACCTAGACCGCAAATGTCAGTGACCGATAGCTAGATCAGGGGCTTGGGGCAAAACCATACTTGTTGACAACTCGCTCGATTCCGTCCAGGCCAAGCTTGAGCACGTCCATTTTGGGTCCGTATGACAGACGCACAAAGTGGTGGCACGGGCTGTCGAACAGGTCACGTCGTCGAGAGGGGTTGAGATCAAAGAAGATACCCGGAACAACAATGACCTTTTCCTCCAAGCAAGCCTGGAAGAAGTTGAGGCCGTCTGAAATGGCATCAGGAAGGCCCTCAAGGTTCAGCCACCTTGAAAGTTCAAATAGTCAGCTCAGTCATGTCCAAGACACCTTTGGGGTTGAAAAGGGCCATACAGGTAAAAGGTAGAATCAGGGACGTATTTGATGGAGAAGCCCATCTCACGCAGACGTCGGACAGTGTAGTCGCGCTTGTCCTATTCACCAGTCAGATCTCGACTCTCTCATTTTGTTTTGGGTTGCACAAACTCGGAAGTGGCGCTGGAGATGAATCATCTCATTCTGGACCGTGCTTGGCTCAAGCATGGGGACAGCAGCCTCCTGGAGAGCGTGCACAGCACCGCCATCCAAGTAGCTACCACATGAGCCGATGCTAAACAATCCGTCAGCAAAATCACGAAAATGGCCAAGGCGGTCTTGCAAGATAAAACGCACGCGCTGATGTACTCCTTGGGACCAATGATCCACGCAATTCGCCATCCGGGAAGTCGGAAGCGCTTGGTAAGTCCATCAATAATCAGGACATCATCCTCATCGACGTCCTCGACGTTCTCGGCGGCCGAAATCGTGGTACCGTCACAGTTGCTGGTGTAGTTGTAACCGGAGTAGAACTCGTCGCTGATGAAGGTGGCACGGCCTCGGCAGAGGTCTTGGATCTCAGCCAGCTCGGGGTTGGCAACGACTCGGCCGGTAGGGTTGCGGGGGTTTGAGGTAAGGATGACAGAGGTACCACGGGCAATTTCCTCGGCAATCTTGTCGGGGTGGATGTGGTAGCCGTCCTCTTCGGAAAGGGGGACGGGGATAGCCGCAAACTATGGCGTGTGTAAGTCGAGTTTGCCTAGTATTTCAGATTCAATATGACAGCAAGACTCACGTTCTTGAACAAACTCAGCATCTCATTGTACGCCGTGTAGTCGGGCAAGAAGAAGGACAGATAGGAGCTGCCCAGGACGGCGGCAATTCGGATCAGACCAGCACGACCACCGGGAACAATGGCAACGTTCTCCCAGGTGTACTGGCTCTCCTTGCCCTGGCGGTGCGTCTCGTTGTAGAGCTTGGCAACAGCCTCTCTCAGGGGCTTGATGCCCGCCGTAGGGCCGTACTCTCGCGCCGCAACGCTGATGTTGATGGTGTCGGGTCGCTTGAAGCAACCGGCAATTTCGTCCTCAACTTCGGGGGCACCCTGGCCAAGGTTGGCCCACGCATCGGGCTCGTCCAAGAAGCCATACTCGCTGGCGCGCTCAGTGCACCAGATGACACCGGTGGACGATCGGCTGGCGTCCAGGCCGGCGTGGGGCATGTGACCTTCGTGCGCATTGCGGAATTGTCTGTGGACCTTGGACTGAATCTCTGCAGGGACACAAACACAACGCGGTCAGCCTCGTCTCAAATAACTGGGCATTCTGGAAGTAGTTGATTTGGCAATTCGGACAATGAATTGCCGGGTCAATTTGGCGGTGGCTGTATATTGGGCTAACCGCTGCGGGGGAGGGGTAATTGATTGATTGATTGGGCTTTGGAGTTGGGGTTGGGTTTTATGGCGGGGTCTGGACAAAAGAAACAATCAAGCCCAGTCGTGCGCCACCGCTGCTTCTGACGGCCGCCACCATCGTGAAGCCGCCATGCGTGAAAAGGAGAGGAACAACGACGGTGGCGAATATTTCTGGTGAATTGATCGATGGGGAAATGAAGGGAGCGAAGCTACAGAAGCAGCCGCTGTGCGCATCCCGGCATGGAGACGGTGTAGAGGCATCACTAACCGTTCATCGAGGGCTCGACGTTGCTGAAGCGTCGCAGCAGCGGCTTCGGGGCGCCAGTGTGGCGATTGATGGAGAATTTGCGTCCGGAGAACATCTTGGCGGTTCGTGAGACTAGAAGGATGGCCGGATTGATCAGTTATTCTGTCGAACAGTGGGAAAGAAGAAAAAGATTGGAGTTGAAGCAACAAACCGGAGGTGAAATGGGAAAAAGAGCAGAGCTGGAGATGTGCTTTCCAGAGAGAGACCCGGAGGTAGGACGGCCTTCGGAAGAACGGCACGGTACAACGTCACTCGGCTACGAAGCGTGAGGAGCAAGTCAGGAATGAGAATGTCCGAGCTCCAGGGGCGATGCGTCAAAAATGGGAACTGAAGCCTCTGCTCTTGTGTAGCAAACAATGGAAGCTGGACAAGAAAAATTACGATCCGGATTTCTCTGGGGGCGTCACCGCGAAGCTCGACCTCCATATATACGGAGCAATTTGAGAGGCCCAGAGCCAGAAGGGGGGGCCACTAACAAACGGATCCCGTAGCCTACATAACAAACCACAGCGCTAGATTCTTTCAGATGACCCTCCTAGAAGGGGCCCCCAAAAATGCCACAGGCCGGTTCTTTTCAGGTGGAGAGGCCGCTGTTCGGCTGCCAATCCGGGACGCTGTCTGGGCACCAAGTGTGACCAAACGGGGGGGAAGAGGCTTTGCGGATTGTAACTAAAACCGGCATGGACCAGCCGATTCGAGTGACGGACGGCATGGCCGATGGCAGGATGATTGTTCAAGATGAATGGAGTAAAATAGGGTTTTATAAACGCCAGAGAAAGAGGAATCAAATAAGATAGTCGAGTTTGAAAGGTTTGGGTGTTTTGTTTGGATGACAGGCGTTGGTGGGCATCACGTTAGATCCAAGGGGGGGAAACATACATAGGCAACCCGGGCCGCAGTGAGGCTATTCCCACCATTGACCTTACTCCTCCTCCCCCTTCTCCTCTTCCTCCACAGCTGCATGTTAGTTGATCACTTTCACTCGAGAAAATCCTGCTAAATCTCCAGCAGTGGAGCTTGCATAGCTGGCCCTGCATCAAACGCAGAACAACAGAGCCGGGAGAAGAAAAAAAGGAGCGGTGTCCGGGGCCTCCCCATTGACCAACTTCGCCGGCCTGATACGGAACATGTCGAACAGACTAACAAAAGGCCTCATGCTCGACGTCGGGGAGGTGTCGCAAATAGAGGGTTCGACGTGTATAAGTCGAGCAGCTGCCTTGGCCTTTTTCGGTGACGTCGCTTATCGTAACCTGCAGCGGGCAGTCACAATGTCTCACTTTTAGATGTTTCGTCGTAATACGAAGCCACATGCATGGACGAGAACAATGCAGTCCCCCGAAACAAAAAAAAACACTTCATCACCCATAGCTACAGGGGGCCACGAGAACGCAATCACAGCCATCGGCCCCCTCAAATCCTTCTTTCATCCCTTTATGCCTGATATACTCGTACAAGAGCTCGAGACAGGTGGCCACTCATCTTTGCGTCCCGGAAACTACCGCCCGACTCCGTACCGCCCCCCTCACTCCCGCCGCGATGCCCTACTTTTTTGCGATGGAGTTGCGTCTCCGTTTTGATTCAGGAGCTTCCCAGCGCGCTCCACGCCGGAGATCCATTCAGCTAGAGAGCCCAACATTAGCAGTAGCATTCGCTAGCTTGACGCATTGAGACACCAGACGGCAAATTCGAAAACACCACCGGAATTCTCCAACATCTGCTAACAAACAACAAGGTGCCGTAAAAGGACATGGGAGGTCGGGAGAATGAGGGGTCCAGTGAGAATTTGCTTGGCATAACCCTACGAGTACTTGAGCCTCAACCAACATCAACAGTCAGTCCAATTGCGTGTGTGCCAAAAAAAAAAAAAAACAGATTTGTTTCTTTTTTTCGTGTTGCTCTACGGCACCCACTGCCGGACTCGACTAACGTGGCCGATTTATTTTAATTCGTGCGTAGGTCAGGCAAAAGACTCCAGGTCGGCTGGGAACTGCCCCCCCCCCCCGGGTGTGGTCACTCAAACGCATTTCTCCGTATTTAAATGGCGTGGTTTAGCATCCGGCATCCCATATTACGTACATGTATGGGGACGGGAACCATCAGAATTTCTTTAGCCAGTATACTAAGAAGAGCATAGCAGCCGGAGCAGATATTTTGAGCAGTGGTGTAGACAACAAAAAAAAGTTGCTTCCTCTGCATCTCGCCAAGAGTAAGTTGGAGAGTCCTGCCGAGCCACTCCCATCTAAAATCAACCAATTACAACACCAAAGAGGGGCTGTGAGTTCTAGCCTCGTCCAAAAAAAAAACCGCCAACACAAAATTCTAGAAGCATCATCGACAACCATCACCTTCGAGTCCCATAAAAAAATAAAGAGACCCAGCTTTGCTTGGAGGGGAACACCTGATTCTGATCCTTCACACTCTAAAATCGGTACTTTCACGCGGAACGGCCAGCCGATCGGGTTCAAATCGTACCCCAGCCTTGCTTCTAGCTGCATCTCTCGCACCCACTATAGGCCAACTACACGTCAAAGGGAACAGCAAGATTGATAAAGGCCTTGGCAAGGCAATACCGATTCATCATTTTATATAACACGCCCATTCCATCGATTATCAAGGCCAATGCTTCGCCGCAGCATCTTCACATTCCGCAGCCCCCTCGTACCTCGCTCTCTCATCTCGCCCTTTTCATCATCTTCTTCCAGCATGAGCTCAGCCAAAGACAACTCATCCTCTTCAACCCCCTCAACAGAGCCTTCATCCCGTAATGCTCTTCCTGCTCCGGGTTCAAACAACGAAAACGTCACGACCCTGGACGTCAGTGGCTCAGGCACAACCGTCAAACTGGACGCGCTCGGCCCCATGGTCGTCAACGTGGACGGCACAATGTCCCGCATCTCCAACTGGGACAAGATGGCAGACATTGAAAAGGAAAACACTCTTCGCATCATCGGCAAGCGGAACCAGCAACGCTTGGCAGCCCTGCGAAAGGCCCGTGGCATCAGTGAAGGGAGCAATGACAGCATAGGCGCTAGTGGCAATCACGACACTTCTGGCAAACAATAGAGCATAGTCAAACCTGATTCGGAGACAAGAAAAAAAAAAGGAACGTTTCATGTTATATAAATAAAGCGTCATTCCACATAGAGCTCAATTCTTTTACTTTGGCTCTCTATCTCCACCACTTTGGATATATGTGCCACGTATAAAAAAAGACCGCAAAACAAGTTTCCGCCGCCCCGGCCTTTGTTCATTTCAGTCCCAGATTGGATCGGGTGGGTATTCCATGATCCAAATCTTCCCAGGACAAAGACAAAGCTCCCGCCCAGTTAACAATATCAAACGCCAATAACCAAAAACAAACGCCCCCTCACCCCTTCCAATCAAAAGCGACATTATGCAGGTTGGGAAAACCAAGGGATGAGATGTGATTTATCAAGAAGCTCGGCTTCCTTCTTCATCGCTCTTCTTTGAGCTCTTTGCCGCTACTTGATTCGGCAGGCGTCGTCTTGGCCTTCTGACTGGCGTGCTTGGTGAACTCCTTCCACAAGGCGACAATGTCTTCACTGCCCTCGTTCTTCTCGACAAGGAGGTTCTTGAGCCACTTGTTCTCGGTCTCGAGCTGAGACACCTTGCTCTCCAGGTTGGAGACCTTATCGGACATCTCCTTGGCAGACTTTTCGAGGGCCTGTTCGCGTTGCTTCTTCTTGATGCGGAAGCGCGCGCTGGCAGCCGTGTTCCGTCTCCGCTTGTCCTCCTCGGCAGCCATTCTAGCGGCCTCCTCTTGGTTCAAAGACTCGGACTTGCGCTTGTCACCAACCTGAGGGGGCGCCTGATGGAACCGCGCATGGTGAGGAGGAACCGGTACGTGGCCGTGGTTTGGCTGCAGGGGCTGGAAGCTCTGTTCCGGGAAGTTGTTCATGTGGGGCGCCGCATATGTGTTATTGTTATAGTCAAAGGTAAACTCTGATATCACCATGGATGATTAGCACGGCAACGCCAAGTATGGTCCCTCACACCAATGGATTACGGGTGAGCAGTAAAAGAGACGAGACAAAAACAAGACGGCAACATGACGGGTATAGAGAAAGGGGATATAGGGCCCGAAGCATCCATGGCCAGTAGTAACGCCTCGCTGAGCCATGGTTGCATTGGCGATGAGAGTGTCAAAATCACGAGGTATTGCACCATCGCCCCGGGATTTGTCAGCGCATAGGATGTGCGGGATGCCCCACTCGTAGGCGCACTTCAGCAGCACTTTTGGTGCATCGCATCCATCTTGGAGACAGCTCGTCCCAATAACAGATGGGGGGAGTATGGGGGGAGCAGAGCAGCAAAAGGACCAGAAAAATGCAAGGGCCCGTTGGATGGGCCGCGAGTCTGCGAGGTGATTGCGGAGATGGTTGACGAAGCGTGCCCGTGACGCTAGAGTGCGCGGGTTTGGCTGGAAAGGGAAAAAAAAAAACCAGGGTCTGCTTTCTTCCAGGAATGAAGGAAATACAGGTATTGCAGTAAAAAAGAAACACAGGGAAGAAAGAGCCAAAACATCGAACAAGTAATGCAGGTGTGCAAGTAGAGCCAAAGTACTCACCGGACATGAAATCCAAGTTGGGCATTTCACCGATCACAGAGGGTGCTGCGCTGACATCCTCAGATGTGGTGCCACTGTGGGGTGCCTTGCCCTCAGTCTTGACAGGTTGAGCTTGAGCCTGAAAGTCGGTGTTCTGGCCAGAGTCGAAATCGAAGAACTGCGTGTTCGTGAAGAGAGCCAAGTCTTCCTCCATGTTGAACGGCTCTTCGACGGCGGTGGTATCCGTGGGGCTAATGGTGTTGAGGTCGCGGAGGTACTGCGACACGTTGGGACCGTGTCGACCGTTGTAAGTCGACATGGCAGTTCTCGTCAAGAGGCGAAAGGCGAGGTCGTCGTCGCCGATTGACTTGCGTCTCGCAGTCTTGCGGTCGTCGTGATCAAATGTCGACGCTGCGGGACGGTGTGCTGTCGAGACAGAAAAGTCGTGTGAGATACTGTGCAAAACCGGACAATCCAAGCAATATCGCTTCGGTGTGAGATGCGATGCGATGGCGCGCCGTCTATGAAGCTGGCCTTTTCGACGGACGATGCGTGACGTCGGTGTTGATGGGTTGAGGAAAAGAAGATGCCAACACGAGTCTGTAGCGAGATCGTAGGGAAGCCATGAATCGCTCGGATCGGGGTTATGACTCTCCAGCCCTCCAGTGGAGTTTTTCCCTGGCAGCGAAAATGCGTTGCAACGTGCCAGTAACCGACGGCTGGCCGAAGGGCTCCGACTGCAGTGGGCCAGAAAAAGCCCTTTTAGCGCTTGCACAGGCCGTGCTGAGAAATCAATCAGCTGAAGCCCCACCGGAGTGACATGCCTTTTGCTGGGCTCCCGGCTGGGGCTGCAGGTACCTCGCACAGCGAGAATAGGCCACCGACTGTCTAGTGCCACTTGCAACGCCTTTGACGCCTGCAAAAGCCTTGGTTCCCCACCTCCGCTTGGGACGCGGCAGCCAGTAAGAGCGGCCGTTGCGGCCGTATCGCCGCATCCATTTGCTCATTCGTTTTGTTAAAGAATTCAAGCTTAGCAGCAGGTTCGGTAGGACTCGTCCATGTGCGCCCCCGTCCTTATCTCTGATGCTGTGCTCGTACTGTACTGTACTGTACTGTAACTGTATTTGGACAGTGTTCATGTTTGCACCAACCGGGGGTGCTCCATATTCAATGCCCTGCTTACCTGTTGCCTCTTAACCAAAGTGCAGCAAATTGATCACCTACCTCAACTTCCTACTGTACTGCAACTGTACCGCACTTTGCACCTTGCAAACCTCGAGCATTTGCCCACCGACATATCACTACTAGGTACCTACATACTTTGCCCTGCCTTCATACTGTATTACCTCGTCCGTACAGGTAATGCTCGGCCGCGGTTACGTAGCCGTTGCTGCACTGTGTCCCGCATCTCCTCCATCACAGCCTGTTTTTGCAATTCGCCTCCTGCTGATCAAAGCGCCGATTGCCTCCACCGTCCCATCATCCCGTCGAACCACCGCGCCCCGTCCTGCACTGTGCCTCAACTTACTCGCACAGCTGCTGCAATTAAACCCTCACCCTCACCTTGCTCAGTGCCTAGCCGCAATCCTCCCGCAAGGCACGCTGCTATGCCAATGTCCGATTCCAAACTGTTGCGGAGGACGTGCGTGGGGGCATCGCCAATAGCCTCGACATCCGGCCAACCAGCCGTCGCGATTCACGAGCTTGCAGATGGCGCCGCCTTTCCCCCCCGCTGCTACTGCAACTCTGCAACACCAGGCTCGGGATTCTCGCACTGGATCCAGAATGTTGGAGTCGCCCTGCTCGGCTGGACTCCGCTGCTCCAAGGCATCCGTTGGTTTTCGCATTGCTAGCCGAAGAGCCTTCGGCTATCCTATTTGACCATGTGGTGCCTCTCTCCTTTTTGTTTTCGTGTCTTCCGTATTGTCCGCTTTGCCGGTATCGTGTCCTCTTTGACGGGCACAGTCGTGACACGGCCAACAAAACGCCACTTTCGCACATCACCGCGGTTGAAAAAAGGAAAATGCTGTAATAAATGATTACCGTCGCTTCGTGCGCTTGAAGATTTTCAGGATCTGCTCCCGCCAATCCCTGTCTCGGCTAATGGAATAGCCCTCAAAAACTGCCAGGGTCCTGCTCACCAGCTTGCAGGCCGGGTGCATCGTCGCATCCTGCCGGGCTCGTGCAATTGGTGCGTTCATGCATGCCTACGGAGAAAATATCGCCATGTGATCCGTTGTTGGCCGTCCGATGCACATATAAGGGTGCGTCGCATCTTTAAGACGCAATCACGCAACGTGAGGGCTGTTGGGTGCTTTGGCCGACTTGAAGCTTCACCGAAGCCTAGAGTGCTCGGAATGGTGGCTTTCGGCCAACATGCTCCGTATCACACATTCAAGCACTTCGTAGGCCTACAATTCGACCAGTTCCAGTCTGGAATAGCTGGAAGCAAAATCAGCGCATGCAAGCTAGAGAACCTCGAGTGAACATGTATTAGCCACGCCACATTTTGCGTAGCCAGCCGTGTAGCTTTGCGTTTTCTCGATCTATTGTTACATGTACGAAGATTGCATGTGACAGGCAGGCGTCAAAGGAGCCGTCGATGAACACAACTTGGGCACATTTTCTGTACCTGCTGACGGCCTTGACCTAGGCAGCACTCAAGTCTAAATCGCCCAGTCCTGATGTGACGTTCACAGCTTTGATTTGCCATGGATCTTGGGTTGTGGGCAGATTCGGCTCATGTGAAAGCGATTAGCTCCGACCACTCCTTTGTTTGCCATTGGTTTTGGTGTCGAATAAGCTTTTGTCGGTCCAACTGTTGAAATCCCATTGACGCAATTGGATTCCCCGGGGCATACAGAACATTGTGATGCTGAGAGTCCATGCGTCTTCCGATAAGTCATGGATCTCTTTTCCCAGTCGGGGAGGGGAAATCCCAAGGGGCGCTATTTTAAAGTCAAGAAGCATAACGCCTCAATCATGGGAGCAAGTAAATAAAACTCTTGACATCATTGTTGAAGATGCCTCAGTCTGTCCAGGCATCCGAGCGTGGATGTATGTTCATTTAATATTGCATCCACGTCAGATAACTTCAATTCGATAACAGGGATGAAGGAAGAAGTTCAAGATACAACGACGCCATCAAAGACCATGAGTGAATTTCTCTACGTAGAGATAGAAAAGGGAGGGCCCAAAGTGATATTAAGAGGCAGTGGGCCACCTACATAGTTTTGTTACACTACTCTTCGTAAAGTAACAACACTGGATTTGCTGCTACATTGAGGAACCCGAACAGCAACCTGTCCCTCTTGTATCACAGAATGGTAGCAAGCAAGAACATTCGTTGTTTGGTTGTCGATACACTTGACCCGACGTAAATGATATTTCACTCCCGCTGCTTAGTAGTGACCTAGATCATAGTTGTTTCCTGATCCACAAAGTCTAGAATCGGCATGGTATATTTTATCATTGGTCTCTCAGAGGAATTGTGATCACTATTGGTCAGAAGTGATGGCACCCAATCCCCTGATTGGCATGTATGGGAGGCGATACTTCTACTCTCCCGAGGAGTACCCAGTTCACTGTGAGATATCCGGCCCTCTGCAAAGGGTAGTAACTACTAATAGAACTCTTACCCAGGGTGATAATTCCCTTCCTTCATCTCAGTCCCCTTCGCATTCACCAGATGGTGGACTTTTTCCAAGGGATGAACTTGGGGAAGTCGGGCACAAAAGTTGCTGAGAATAGTTTACATATATCTAACGATACAAGTTCATATACAAAGAGAAAGATGAAGAGAATTTTATTTACGGAAGAGACGGCGAATACAGACCCAAACACCAGAAATTAGGGCAGCCCAGATCTCAACACCTGAAGTTCTGTCAGGTAAACAATCTGTAATGCCCGAAGCCTCATCACACATACAAGCTACAGACGAAAGCGGAAGCAGAAAAAATCCCAGATCCATCAGTGAAGGAAATGATGATGATGCGGCAGACAAGCGCAAGCTTCGAAATTTGGAGGGCCCCGGCATCCCTTTCAGTTCTTCATATGTTACTATCTCAACAAGGGGTACAAGAAGAAAAAGCCAAGGTCAATGAGAGAAATTGTGAGGTGGCATCCGACCAAATGATGCTCGTCCAAACGTAAATGAATCTACCGCATGAACTCGATGGTTCAGTAGCTACATCAGTGGCAATATGCAATCCAAATGGAGCATTCAGCAACCGCATTACGAGAACGGGATAGTTTAGACAAGCCACGCATGATTCGGTAGAGCTGTTGTTGCTTGTTGGATAGGACTCTAATAAGAATAGAGATTCTGAGAATATGTTCATAATCTTGACAGGTAGGTACCAGGAAACTGACGACTACCTATCCGGGATATCGCGGTTATCCTAGGACTGGACGGAGCGAGCTTGAAGGGATTGCATTGCCTGTGTGGAGTCTTACAATGCCGGGGGACATAGACCACCTAGTAGTCACCGAGTGAGGTTAAAAATGCTGTGAAGTTAATAGTTTCATCAGTTAATGGTTGCATCATTTTTTTTCACAGCATTTTTAACCTCACTCGGTGGTTACTAGTTGGGCGTGCCGACAACCATCAACTTCACAGCATTTTTAACCTCACACGGCAGCTTGCAGAGGGAGGAGCCGGGCTACCAATAATCTTTCTCCAGAGGGGCTATGCAAGAGATGGATATACACCACCATGGAGCAGACTGCAAGCTACGAGTATGCCAGCAAATTACTATCCATGCTACGCAAGGCATCTGAAGAGCAGTGTCGGTATTTAGCCCTTCAAGCTTTGGAGGCGGCAAAAAATGCTTGAAAGATCTCCCCACTTCACGTTTGACCTCATTATATAGTAGCACTTTTCACCAGCCCTGTGTTCTGTACTTGCCCCTAATATAGGCTGCCCATTCCCAAAGGCATTGTCGTTGTCTTATCAGGGCGTAGTTCAATAAGGACTGGAATTGGAGATGCCCGGTTTCTTGTAGGCTGCATCCTTAGTAGGGTAGCAATACTGAGATTATCCAGATCGTTAAATAGTGAATGACGCTGGGGGGCTTTCGAATGGGCCTTGGTTGATTACCGTGAATTTAGCATACATACACTTAGCATGGCAAGCGGGAATTGGGAACTCGCGGGAAGAAACTTGTAAGCATGACTTCAAAGTTGTTGTTGATAGGTTAGTAGGAGGTACCTAATATATCATTGGTTCCCAGAGATATCCGGTACCTACATGATACCTACCTAGGTACCTGGGCACACAGTGAAAAAAAAAAAAGGTCAAAATGCCAGAGGATATTAGGGCATATGTAGGCTATTAATCTATAAACTACACATCTTCTTACGGACCTGCCTGGCATCATTCATCTCTTATCCTCAATCAACCCTTTCCCGACTGCCGGTTAGTGGAAGATCATGATTGAAGCCCGGCCGTGGCTCCACAGTGCACCCCTGTCAGCCCAACTCCGGAGTGGCGCAACAAACCGCCGCTTCTATCCAATTCGGCAAGGAAATTCTTCGTGGTGGGCAACTTCAGCATCTCTCGCAACTCCTTCGATTCTGGGGGCAGGCCCTATTCGGCACCTCGGCGCGCAGTTGGCGCATTGGACAGAAACCAGCGACAGATTGAAAAGCAATCTGCGGCAGAATGAACGGGCTCAGCTATTCGAATGCTTCTCGGTCGCTGCTGAGGGCCGCGCGGGGCATTTCGAGACAGGCTGCGACGTGCTCGACTTCGGCTTCGACCTCGATAGCGAATATCACAGCCTCGCGATGGATGTCATGCTGTCATTTCCAGGGCCCCGGTAGAGAAGCGCTGAGGCGGACCGAGTGGACAGGCTTGAGGGCGTGCCGACGGCTTGACGGTGGCCGCCGGACCTTCTTTGCGCCCAAGACTATTCGTGACTACGAAGAGCTACCGAAGGACTACCGTGACCAGACCGGGCTTGCTTTCGGCGGCAGGGATCTCTCCGGGGCCGAGGTGGACAAAATATTTGGCTCAGGAATCGGCGGTAAAAAGGCAAATCATTTGCTACGGATTCTACATGGTAGAAGAGTGGCTGGGACACTTGAGGATCCTGCATTTGCGATACACACGGCGCAGTATACAGAGGAAGAAATTGCCAGAGCATTGGCATATCTACGGAAAACTGTACCTGTGGAAGAGATTAGGAACGCGGGCCTACGGGCAGAGGATGAACTGGAGCAGATGGAGCAAGAGATGGAACAGGCGGCTGAAAAGAAGGCCAGGGCGAGCAAGGGAGACGGCAAGGAAGAGGACGATATCGCCGATGTTTACAAGCCCGATCCCATCTACGGTCGAAGCAAAATTGACGAGCTGCGAGCGCGGACCAAGGCCAGAGAGAAGGCCAGAGAAAAGGCCCTGGAAGAGGAACTCAAGGCAAAGGAAGCTGTTGAGGGCGTCTCAGGTCCATTGGCGAAGCGAGATGACCAAGTCCGAGAGATTACCAACCCTCGTGTGGCGGAATACTACAAGGCTGCGCAGTCTGACATGGAGGCACCGCCAGAGTTGAAACCTTGGGAGCGAATTCTGCCCTCAGCTACTGTGGTAGCTCTGGTGCTCGGCTTCATCGCCGCCGTAGCCATGGTGTACGAGGAGCCGGCGCCGCGGTATAGGCTGTTCCGAGAAATTTCGACCTCGCATGCTACGGTTGGTGCTCTTATTGGAATAAATGCCCTGGTGTACTTGGGATGGAGGATACCACCGCTCTGGGCTCTCTTTAACCGATACATGATCTTTGTCGTGGCGACAGTGCGGCCTGTAACGCTGTTCACCGCGGCCTTCTCACATACCAAACTCAGCCACTTGCTGGTCAACATGGTGCCTCTTTGGTTCGTCGGAACGTGTTTGCACGATGAGATTGGGCGTGCGGACTTCCTTGCTCTGTACCTCGGCTGCGGCTCTATGGGTTTCTTAGGCAGCCTGGTCACGTACACGCTCAGGGGCTGGCTGACAGTCACATCCCTTGGTGCGTCGGGCGCAACGCTGGGATTATGCTCGGCTTACTTTTGGGAACATCGCTCGGATGGCTTCAAGATCTTTGGACTGCCACAGGACGGCGTCCACGGCATTGTCTTTCTGGCACTGATCACGGCGGTACAGCTGGCCGGCCTGGGGAAGACGGTGAAGCTCAAGGTAGACATTGCGTCGCATATTGCCGGTATCATTGCGGGCATACTGGGAATCGAGCTCATTAATAGGACGGAGAGGAGGAAGACGCCCGTAGGGGAAGACAAGGCCGTGATAGATATCTTGTCTGGAGAGGCGGAGGACCGGAGGGTGATGGATGAGAAGAAATAGAGGGGTCTGGATATAGAACCAACTGTATCTATGTAACAACACTACTTTTATTTTGCATATAAGATACAGATAACATGAGAATTTGTGGGAGGTGGTTTGTGACGGCCAGAGCTTTGACATGTGCATAGCGGGGGAACTGCACTGAGTTGAGAGTTTGCTACTATACTCAACCAGCAGCGTTTGTCACTGCTGGTTTGGATTCTGTGATTTGGAAGCTCTGCTAAGTAGGTACCTATAATCAATACCCAGGCAATTGACATGCATATCCAATACCACGTAAATGCGTCATTCTAGAACCGCGCTCTCTGCACGCTGCCGAACGCGCATTGCAGATGATATATGCGGTACGTATTCCGTACTTGGTACCTGAAGTACCGGTTTCTGGCTTGCTGCAGCCCGTCGTCATCGTCTGGGCGAAAATGCAAAACGGAAAGCGCCCCACTACAGAATGCTACCTAGCTAGTTAGCGCGGCTGCAGTTTCCGGGCAACGGCAGCGTCATAACAGACCACCTTGGCAGGAACAAGCCGGGGGCCCCACTGTAGTTGCTGTCTGTGATGAGCTGGCAGGAGCTGGGCTGGGCTTCAATTTGGGCGAGGGCTGCTGTAATATGGGCGTGAAAAAAAATGACGATATCCTGCTGCTTCTTTTTCTGCATCTTTTGGGGGAGATGCAGGCGTGCATTAGCCGCTTCAATTTTGCAATTTTTCACTTTCTTCTTCTAAACTCTTAATCTTATTCCTCTCCCTTAATTCCCATATTAAGGTTTCGTGCCTCTTCCACCTGACTGTACAGCTTCTCTCTCTCAACAGGCACGGCGCGGAAAATTGGAATACAATGGGCTGGATCGCCATTGGCTCCCAACCTCTGTTCTGAAAAGATTTGCGTTCCAGGGCCTCGCGTTTCCCGTTTCACGCAACTTGGGCTCCGACACGATACAACGAACGCGCTTGGCGCCACTGATTCAACCACCGTGTGCCAGTCAAGCCTCACCCCGACAAGGCTTTCTTGGACAGAAACCACCTAGCTCCGGCCGAGGCTGCAGAGACGATTCGACTCTGCTTTGTGCCGTGACTGGCATAAGCCCCAGCCCACCTTGCGTCGTGCCTCTTCCTTCGCGAAAAGGGAACCTTGGAACTCTACAAGCAAGCCCCCTTACGCCTGCAACGCCCCACGCTGCGCTAAGATTGTCGCTGCACGTTCGCGTGCCGGGCTTTAAACCAGCAGCTGGAGATTTGGCTGCAGGTTGGGGTACTGGCGGTGGCCCTCTCTGACACCGGTTACTGGCTCGGGTCTTCACTCGTCTGCCCACACCCCCGAAACTCCGCATCTGGACCTGCAAAACCTTGGGACGCAAAAGTCGCCTCAAATTCGCTCTTTGACCCTGCACCATCGCGTTTGCTCCAGGCTGGATGTAGCCGAAAGACAGCACAAATCCCAGCTGAAGAGAAGGAACAACTAAAGACCGACAAGAAAGCAAAAAGAAAGACGGGACTTTGTCAGCTGCGAGATGGTCTAGCCTGGGTTCGCGGTGCACCTGAATTTTCTCTTTTGGACGTCCTCGCGCGTCCTCGCGGCAACCTTCTCCCTTTCCTCTGCCCCCTTCCTCTTTCTTTTCACCACAAAAGACCGATCGAAACTGGATCCAACAACATCATGGATAACCCTTCAAGTCCTCTATCCTCTCCCGGCGGCTCCCCGCGCGAGTCGCCATCGTCACCCCTCTCGACCCTCTCAAATACGCCCTCCCTGCCCGATAGATCAGTTTCTGCCGTCGACCTTTCAAGGCGCTATCCTTCGCCCATGTCTACGACTGCCTCGGGAGCTCAATCTCCAATGAGGCTGACGGCCACCATCAGTCTTGGCCAGCCTATATACGACAATGATTCCTCAAAGAGCGCGGATGACGAGCAACCCCCAGCAAAAAGACGCAAAGTTTATCAGCCTAAAGAACGTAAAACGGAATACTTGAACTACATGAACAAGGAGGACAAGGACATGACAGATGCGGAAAAGGCCCAGGAAAAGAGACTGATTGCGGCCCTGCGGAAGAAGAAGAAGATTGTCGTCATTGCCGGCGCGGGTATTTCCGTGTCAGCAGGCATTCCTGATTTTCGATCATCCTCGGGTCTCTTTGCGCGTGCCAAAAATCAGCACAACCTCAAGGGCTCGGGCAAGCACCTGTTTGACGCGTCTGTCTACCGGCATGATTCATCAACGCAATACTTCCACTCTATGGTCCGGGAAATGGACGAAATGACCACCAAGGCCAACCCTACTGCATTCCACCGCCTGCTGGCATCATTGGCGCAAGAAGGACGACTGCTGCGACTCTACTCCCAGAATATCGACGGTCTCGACGCAAACATGGAACCGCTGACTACTAAGATTCCGTTGCCCCTCAAGGGCCCCTGGCCGGCCACCATCCAGCTCCACGGTGGATTGCAGCATATGGTTTGCAGCAAATGTGGCAACGTGGAAAAATTCAACAGGGAACTCTTTGAAGGGCCAGAGGCTCCACTGTGCAATGCATGCACGGTCGACGACGAAGTCAGAACGAGGCACGCAGGGAAGCGAAGCCACGGTATTGGGCGCCTAAGGCCGCGATTTGTTCTTTACAACGAATACAACCCTGATGAAGAGGCTATTGGAAATGTTTCTAGTGCCGATCTGAAAGCTCGGCCAGATTGTGTCATTGTTGTTGGAACGACTCTCAAGGTTCCAGGCACGAGGAGACTCGTCAGGGAAATGTGCCAGGTTACGAGGGGCCGAAGAGATGGACTCACAATCTGGGTCAATACCGACGCGGAGCCCAAGGACGCGTTATTCAAGGACTGTTGGGATCTTGTTGTGCGCTCTCCGTGCGACAAGGTGGCTCACCTAGCGGCTCTACCACCGTGGGATTGCGATATTGGCAACGACTATCTCGTGTCTACAGAACAGGATAGCCAAAACCAAGAACGCCTCAAGAAAACCAAACTTGAGGTTGCACTGCCTCTCAGCCAATCCAGCACTGATCACGATCTCAGCCTGGACGCTATTCCCACGCCACGACCCAGCCCTAAGCTTACCGCCAAGAAGCCGATCAAACTCGCTCTCGGAAAAGAACCTCCGCAGAATGGCAAACAAACCAAAGCAGCAAAGCCGCGCCCACGGAAGGCGAAGGCACCTGCCAAGCCCAAGGCACCTCCCAAAAACGCAGTCACGGACACATTCAAAGCCGTCAAAAATGTTCCCAAGGGAAAGACGGCAAAGAAGCTCGACGATCGTCCTCAGCCTTTGTCGCTGCCACCTCTGAAATCAGAACCTCTGAAAATAGAGCTGGGCTTCTCTTATGATACCCCATTGAGTGATTTGAGCTCTTTACCTCCCTCCACCCCCGTCGGGTCTTCGCACCCATACAAAAGGGAGACGATATCTCCCAAGTCTATTCCTCACAACATGCAAAATTTGATTGATTGCTGAACTGAGGCGAGTTAAGGTTAGGATGTATAAATGGCATTGGTAAATGGAGTTTTGCCCCTGGCGGGATGAAGAGCGTTTTGCAGGCACACAACAGTGGATTCGGGATTTGGGTATATATACATGATTAGGCCGGGGTTATGGCTGGGTCTGGGGGCCAGAGCAAAAAAATAATAACGGTAAACTTATGCCCGTGATAATAAAGCACCAGGCACCTACTTGATATAGGGGGAAACCAAGGTTTATTCGGCTGATTCGGTTTATTCAGGGAGATTTTGACAGGACAAAATCACGCGGGAAGAGAGGCACGGCATCAATGATAGGTTTAATGCTCATTATATTTACATGTATTCAAAGACGTCTGACTTTACCGTCATGGAAACTACGATTAAGACAAAGCCATAACCAAGCTTCATTTTCTGCATCCCTCAGCGTAATTTCACACCTTGTAGGGACTCCAAAACAATTCGTCACCATTCCACCTTTTATGTACTCGATCCAACTCGGCCAGCCTCTCCTCGGTGACTAAATCTCGTCGGCCAGGGAGGAACCTCATTACGCCCGAGAGCGTTCTCGGAGGAAGGCCATCCTGTTCATCGTCCTTTTGCAGAATAGCTGTGGCCTCATCAAAGAATTCCACCAGGGCATCTCTTGTGGCGGGCTCAGAGCACCACAGGACCCCAATGGAGCAAAATCCTCTGTCCCTGCCCTCGATGAATTTCCCCTTGCCTTCAGGGGTAGTGCCATACTGGACGAGCTTGGAAGGGTTGAAGTTGTGGAACATGAAGGCGGTGCGAGCAGCGTCGGGATATTTCTCTGTCACGGCGAGATATTTGGCAAAGGCGGCCTTGAAGTTTTGAGCAGAGAGGCGAGCAATGCGGGCAGAGGCCATGGATTTGAAGCCGCCGTGAGCGTTGATCGGCTCGAAGCCGTTGTTGATGTTGGGGAAAGGGATTTGGACTGTGTCTGCCTTGAGGGCCTTTTCGACCAAGGATGGGTTGAGGAGGCTTGCTCCGGCTGGTGAAGCTTCTGCCTCGCTGGCAGGGCCATAGTATGTGCCTGTGAGGACAATGATGGGCTTTCCGGCAATGGGAGTTCCGGGGGGGCCTCGAGTGAAGCCGAAGACGAAGTTCATGGGGTCTGGAGGCGGGACAAAGGCGAGGAACGCGTCGGCGGCGGCGTCGATAGCAGTTGGAGGGAATATCAAGGTGCGGCTCCAGATGCTGGGAGTGGCATCGTCTTTGCTGGCGGGAGAGAGATTTAAGCCGCTCAAGGGGTAGATTCGCATGGTGGCGGCGGCGACAACACAGAGACCGTGGCCGGCGCCGCAGAGAACATTGAACAGAGCGAGTTCATCTCCCGTGGAAGATGGCCCAATTTGGAGGATTTCTCCTGCAGCGGTGACGACACGAAGAGACACGACGCTGTCGGCCATCCAGCTCACGAGGCCGTTTACAGATGTGTTGCCGCCCCCTAGCAGGCTTCCGACGACGCCGACTGCGTTTGAGTTGACGACGGCGGTGAAGTAGCCTTGATCAGAGAGCTGCCTTAGCAGATCGCCAGTAAGGACGCCTCCTCCGAAATGGACTTGCTCTTTTTGTTTGTCTATGATGATGGATTGGAGATTCTTGAGATCCAGGTACAACACCTTCGAATGGATGGGGAGAGCTGAGCCGTGTCGGCCTCCAGTGGGGACGACGGCGAGATTGTTGAGGCGAGCGAATTCGATAGCCGAGACGACATCCTGTTCGGTGTTTGGGGAGATGATTATTGCTGGGGGAGCCTCGATGAAGGAGTCTGACCAACGCGAGAGGAGCTCTGGGGCGGAGGCTGTGGGGTCTGGGATGGTGAAGGGACAGGCGAGGAGGTCTGTCCCGTTGAGTTGGGGATCTGCCATGATGAGTTTTTATTTAGGATGAGATATTACGGATGGGGGAGAGTGAGTGGTGCTGGGTATGGGGAGGTTAAAGTGAGGCACAAGGAGAGGATGACGGTGATGGCTCTTTAATAAGGTATGTAGCACGATGGGGCGGCTTTGTTAGAGTTGGCCGTTGGATCATTTGGGCTTGCGATGTAGGTGAGACCACGAAGACAAACAATATGATGGAAATGTATATTGATAACTGATAAAAGGAGGAGTGGTACTTGGAGGCGTTGCTTAACAAGAGCTTATAGTCCATCTATAATAAGCACTTGTTTCGGGCATCAGCAATTACTGTACGGAGACTATTCCCGAATCTGATAGAGGGCCATGTGGGATGAGCCGATACCTTGATGAACTGCATAGAGATATGGAATCATGAGGTGAAAAATAGCGCGATAGGGGTTGTTGTGGGTAATTCAGATGTCAGATAAAAGGGAGAAAAGTACGGTAAGGCATGAGGGTTGATTGTTGTAAGTGAACGTAGCTGCGCAGTGTGGAGAAGTACCGGTGAGACGACCTACTGAAGCGGTGAGACGATGATGTGAACTAAATTACTTGTCAAACTAGGTATGAGCTGTTGCTGATGGAGTGAATAATCGAAAATGGTAGTGGATGGAAGCCATAAAAGAGCATTGGATATGAAATAGAAGCTAGAATAGCAATCTCACTCGGCGCGGATAAACTGAATGCATGTACATGTATTATCCGAATCAATTTTTATGCCATGTGCTCCGTACGCTGTAGGCTTTCAACGAATGTACAGATCGGCCTTCTGAGAGGATACAGCAGCGAGATTCAGCCCTACCATTTGTAAACCAATCTTTTTCGGGGCTTCGATCTCTCAAATAGCCTATAGGTTTAGTGCATCGACTTTTTGGAGTTTCAAGCCACCAGCGTCGTACACCGTCAGCGGCAGACCAAAGGGAAAAAGAGAGAATTCGCCTCCCGGCCGCTCTTCGATCACGAGCCATACAAATCACAATCCCAGTCTCGAGTCGAAAAGCCTCAATACTCGTCTGGTAGCTTGAAATCGCCCGGTGATTGAAGTCGTCTTCCCAACGGCGTCATGTCCAACAACGTCAGCGTCGGCTGCACCTTTTCGCCTCCCCTCATGAACGTCGAATACGTATGATAAATGCTGCCATCCTTGTTCAAAAAGATGCTGAAGCCGGGAATGTCGCCCTTGAAATCCGGCGTGAACCTCGCGTCGCTCTCCTTGAGGTCCTCAAAGTTGTACTGCTTGGGGGCCACGGATTCGTCCAGCGTGGCGTGGAAGTCGTAGTTGAAGTCGGATTTGCCGCTCGAATACCATGGAAAGGTCCAGCCGGCCTTGGCCTTGTACCCCTCGATCTTGTCGATTGGGGCACGAGAGATTGCGACGAGGTTGGTCTTCTTTGACCTGAGATGGCGCACGTCGGGCAGAGATTCGCCCATGTGCGTGCAGCCAGGACAGCCGCGGTCGTCTTCGGGCTTGAACATGAAGTGATAGACGATCAACTGATCTTGGCCTTCGAAGAGATCGTTGAGGGACACCGTCTTGTTGCCGGGGCCTTGGAAGAGATACTCCTTGTCTATCTTGACCATGGGCAGCTCGCGGCGTTCGGCGGCGAGATCGTCGCCCTTGTGCGTGTACTCTTTCTCTTTTTTGAGGAGAGCTTTGCGGGCGGTCTCCCATTCTTCACGGCTAACAACCTTTTGATGGTGCATTGTCAGTATTTGGATGAGCTTTGAGGTCGCCGCCGATCCAAACAACTCACTTTGCCAGGCATATTGCTCAGTGATAATGTCGAGTGGCTAATCTGATTGAATTGAAATTGTATGTAGCAGGCACCAGATCGGATCCAATTGGTAAAGACCTGGAGTTTGAGTAAAGTGGCGATCAAAGAGATTTCCAACTCGAGAAGCTTGCCATTCCCATTGTTTTATAGTCACTGAACGAAAGGGTATTGCCATCAACAGCTTCCTTGTGTTCACTAATCAACTGTCTTATTCAAATCTTGCCAACTATTCTGCCTGCACCACTCGGCATCAGTTCGACGCCTGTGGCGTCCGCGGCAGGCAGACATGCCATCCATCTCAACTTGGAGATGCCGTAATATCGAGGAATTTCTATGCTGCAGAAGAGGGGCTCCCAAACTGATTTCGCAGTGGCGCCCATCCCCGGCGGTCAAAGAGGCGCCTTGCAGAGGTGGTGATTGGGCATTGGGGAAATCCTGTTTGTAAGTGCTTCAGTGAGGGGAACTCGAGCTGAAATTTGCAAACGATGATGTTGGAGCGCCGTGATAATTGCCACAGCCCGTATAGTAAAATTGTCACGGCAGGTTGCATGTTGCGTGTCGAGTTCGTTAATAATAGTGATGAAGATTCTTTGTGAGAATATTTGTAATATGACTTCAATCGAATGCATCTCCGACATATTGGGTTCTGGGGAGCATGTTCGCTATGCTTCATTCTTCTTAGTCTGTCATGTAAGTTCTAGTTGCAGAGCTGAAGTACAGCAAGCTCCCACGGCAAGTTCTTGATTATTCCTGTTGCTTGTCGTTGAGCATACAAAGTCACTATATGTGACTTACACCGGGAGCTGGCATCACTTCTAAGCATCATGCAGCCCAATTCCATCTTTGGATAATCTTATACTCTCACTTCCATAGGGAAAATATATCAGGCCATATAGAGTCGGCGATAGACTATTCCACCTGCTTCCAAATGGACTCTAGCTGTGCCATACGGACCCAGTCCTCTGGTCGATTTGCATCCGAGAGCCCATTCGTGAAATCGTTCCAGTATTGCTTCGACTGAGCTCCATAACTCGAGTTGAACCATCCAAGGCTGCTGTTCCCGTATCTGCGCCCATCTTCGTTGCCGAATATGCTCGACATCGCATCCATGCCGCCGTACTGAATGCTGAGTATCCCGTTACTGACTGCGGTTTGCTGTTTAATATTTTGCATTGTGCGAATCATGTCAATCTGCGAAACCGTCTTCAGATATATCTGAACCCTCTGCAGACAGAACGTCTTGAACTGCCCCAGAGCGACTTCTGACTCTTCGGACCCTGGCTCGCCGGAATTACACACTTCCAGCCACATCTCCCGCAAACGTGGCGACCATATCTGGCAGAGTGTCGTGTCCTCGATATACTCTCCGTTCAAGGGGAGCGAGTCCGCCAACGGCGTGTAAGCTACGAAATCGAGATAACACTCCTGGCAGAATTGAGCCTCTGGGTATCCCCACCATTTCGCTTTGCTATACCCCTTGAGCTTGGGACACAAAGGTACTCCTGCAAAAGTCGTGACGAACTCTGAAAAGTAAGAGAAAACTCCTCGGTCGAGCATCTCCGCAAACTTGATCATGTATTGGGAGAAGCGCGGAGTCCAAGGGCAAAGGTCACACACGTAGGCACCGTAAGTGTCTCGATCCGACGGCTGGAAGAAACGGTCCAGGTCCCTCGTCTGGATAAACCCTGCATAGCATGCCTCGCAGATGTTGAACTTTTCGCATCCCCCCTTTAGAGTCCACCAGTTTCCGTAGAGGATGCCGTCTGCTGTGCAAGGGGGGAGTTTGCAAATGACCCGCGCCGCTTTTACAAACAATTGAAAGTCTTTTCTTTCCTCGGCTTCCCCTAATGCTACATGTGTTGACAGATTCCTATCCGCCAGTCCGCAGGTCCACAGCTCCGGATCCAAGTCGTTGTCCAGGCGTTGGAACTCTCGTTTAAAAGGAGTGAGTGCCAACTTGTCCCAGTAGCACGTCTCGCAGACCTGAAAGTTCCCAATGTCGTGGTTCGTTGATAGATACCATTCAGCAGCATCAGTCCGTATCTGCTCGCCTTTGCAGGCTGGAAGTTGAAAACGTCGGCGCGCGGTAGTTACGAAGCCGTTCCAGTCATTGTGTTTGGACATGGGAGCGATAGCACCCGCAACGTAGGGGACGCTCAAATCGCAACTGAATTTTGAGACTCCTTTAGGATAAGAGCCAAACTTGGACTGAAAGCTAGTTCCAGCAACATGATCCTCAATGCAGGCTTCACATGCGGCAAATCCGTCGATATCATTGTCCATCATGCCGTAGACGAGTCTGCCCTCGGTATCATCAGTCATCGTCTGCCCGGGACATTTCTTGAACTGCAGGCGCCTGGTCATGTATTCACGTAGAGCTTTCACGCTGTTTGTCCGGACAGCTTGGGGCCAGAGAACATTTTTGATACGAGGAAGCCGAAACCCGCAGACGGCAAGCTCGCCATCGGGCCAGCGTATCATTTTGAACCGAGATTCAAGGACAGTTCCGTTGATGTGATCGGCATGGCATCTGGTGCATATCAAATAGTCTGCGGTGTCGTCGAACACGTTTGGGAGGTAATACCAGTCCAGGGCGTAGTTGACTGCGGTGCCCCCAGGACATCTCGGGACGATTTCTAGTGCATCTCCAGTCTCTCGAACTGGATCAGCCGGTTGCGGACCATCGTCTTCATGATTATTTGATATATGTGGGGTTGCATCTTGCTCTGGCGGGTGAAGGTTTAGATCACTCAACTCTGCGGTGAGATCGTCAAAGGGATTGTCCGCCATAGTACACGTATCCTTGTTTTGTCGCTTATCAATATTACGAGCACGATACAGTAAGTTTTAGTATTTGACGATGGTTTGGAAGAGCACAAGAGGTGACAACTGCGATATTTACTGGCGAGAGCGCTAACCCTTGGACTCGAGACCCTCGTGCGGCTGATTTCATCCGATGATAGCAAGGCAGATTCGCTATTGTCCCGAGGCAGCCCTTGTAGTATCTCGCATACGCGTATATGCACATACATGTATGTGACATGCAAGGAGGAGTACATGTTGCTTTCTGCAGCCCTGCGTCTAAGACGAGGTAGGTAGACATTAATGCCTATTATTCCCATTTAGCCGAGAGATGCAGGAGTCCAATAGTTCTAGATCCCATGTAGCATATACTACCAGTATTACAAAGCATCATATTATCGTAAATATATCATCAGAAAAAAGTCAACATACGTGTATGCACGATCGTTATCGTTGGGCGAGTGGCGCGAAGTAAATACATGTATATACCTGACTACTACGCCAACCACGGATGTCATCTCGTCATATATGGGGTGAAAAGTATGATCAAGGTCATTGAGTTCCTGGAAAATGCAGGTTTAATTAGAGGTTGACGAACATGAACACATATAGCTGGCGTGACATTGAGACGAACTTGTGGTGGAGTTTGAACGATATCTTGGTATTTTAGTAATTAATATAAGATTTAAGCTTGAATACAGCATTTATTTCAATTAACACCAGAGGTGGGTATGTGATTATGTGCACCTGAGCCAACGCGAAATTGGCGTCTCGTTTATTCTAATTTTCAATAAGCATGCCGCGGTTTCTTACTGCCCCCGAAGATTGCTCAGATGTTGGATGTGCTTTAGTGCATCTTCAGGGTCCTTGGCGCCTCATTTCTGACCCTTGACAGGCGCCGTTGCGGCGAACGGGAAGAAATTCATGCAGTTAACGAAGCGGGCTCGAATCGTCTGCCGTGTCCCGTACGGATATAGCATCCATTGATCAATAATGTGACTCACTTCTGAATATGATTCCCCCCAAATTATCGACCAGAAGACAGCCAGTTTTCGCCGGACCAATTGCTTCCTTTGACCGAACCGAAGTCTGCGGCAATTCTCACCATTATTCACCCTGTTGGCTGTGGCATTGAGAGCTTGAGAGTCAGCTCCCGCCACTTGCGGAACCACACATACGAAACAGCACTCAACAGACGAGAATCACTCACAATGGCTTCTACCTTCCATCCCTTTCCGCGCCTCCCATTCGAGATTCGCAGCCAAATTTGGGCCTTGGCAGTGTACCCACGTCTCCTCCACGTCCGCATAACTCCCAGGTCAGGCACGCTTGGGAACAGCTCCAGTCACTATGCCTATGCCTCCATGATTCCACAGGCGGAACTCATGCATGTCTGCCGAGAGTCTCGTCAACTCGCCCCCTACCGGAAAGCCTTCTTCACCACCTTGCCCGGTGACTCCGAGGCTCGGTACATCTGGGTCAACTTTGACGAGGACATGATCAGCATCCAAGACGAGAAGATGGAACTTCTGGCCCCGCACGCGGCAGATATTCAGCGGCTGCGGTTCACGGTGCCAACGGGGAGTTATGGTGAATACTGGGCCGACACGTTTACCAGATTTCCAGATACGGATTTCAAAGCGTTTACGGCTCTGCGGGAGCTACACTTTGCTATATCAGAGCTCTATGCTCTCTGGGGATATACGAATTGCTATGGAACGTGTCGCCCGGAAAATGTTAGATATGTTAATGTCCATACGGGATTTATGTTGACTGGGGCTCAGTTGGAGTTGGTGAATGACTGGGCGTGGCGGAAGGGGGGCCTAGTAGAGGATATGGATAACTTTGATGAGGAGTTGCAGTGGATGATTGAATATGTTATTACTTTTGTTGCTGATTGCGCAGAGATAGACTAAGGTATCAATGTCATAGCACCTAATCGAATAATGGGGGAGTTTTGTTAGTAGGTCAGGTAGCTTTACATGTAGATACATGTATATAAAAGCAGCAACATATTCCTAAGCGTGAAAATCAAGATTCGGGTGGGAATACACCATCGAAAAGGATGGATGAAGCAGCAGCGAGACATGAAGATTCTGACCAAGGGCAAAATGCCCACACTTAGGGATCAAACTGAACGACATATTCTGATTTCTCTATTATACCACACGAATCTCGCGCGATATCTCATCATAAAATGGCCTTCTCGAGAGCCTGACGGGCCAACCCAACGTCGTCTGCCTCAGTCTCCCAATACCGCAGATGTGCAAGACACACCTTCAGCGTTTCCTGCGCGTGTCGCTCAAGATTCATCTTCTGTAGAAGCCCAACTTTGCCTGCACAGATGAGTATCAGTGCACGACAAGCTGTGTCGCGACACCTGAACCACATGCCAGCATCTCTATGCCTCAATCCAAAATTGAACAAAGGGTCAAGGCATAACAGTACCGCCTTTTGAGCCAGTTGTCGTACAGCATCATCAACAGGCCAGCATTTGTCTCTCCTGTGGGCAAGGCAGTATAGGAATGGGCGGTAGATACGCAGCTTGATGTTGGCCGAGCGTAGCCAAGGAGCTAGCTGAAGCTCACTGACTGTCGACAAATCCAATGACTTGTCAAAACAAGAAGCAATGGGGTGAGGAAGGGTTCCTTGCCATCGCTCTATCTGCTCTTCAAAGCCACATGCCATGGTGATCATGTCGAGTAAATTCATGGTCACCCAGGAAGCGGGAGATGTCGTATAAAACGCCTGGTCGACGCCATTCGAGAGCCGGGAGAGCGAAATCTCCGAGAGATAATTAAACCATGAACTCTCATGAAGCTCTTTAAAATCTTGAATCTCAGTGGGGGGAGGGCAAGATGATAAGATTGTGGTGGAGGAGGATGTTGATGTGCCATGATACTGGCTGTCGTCTAAACCGTCCACGCTCTTTGGTGTCGGAGGCGAAGGAAATTGGTAAGGGTAGTCCATGACATGTAGAGCAGATTTAGGTAACTCGACCTCGGCGCAAATCTCACTTGATATCGTCATCAGCATCGTGTTCACGTGCTATATCTTGCATGGGGGCTAACCTTTCAGACTTGATGCAACTCCAATATAATCGCTGCTCAAGGCACTCCCTCAGCTCATCATGGCAGGCATGCTCGTCAGGCAGCATGTCTATATCAACACTGCCTGGTTCATTTGTAATACGCGCCGCGGCTTGGCTTTTGAGATATACAGTATACAGTGATGAAGCCTGAAAGAACGCGTTCCATGCTTCTATTGGACGCAAGGTATATAGAAGGTAAATACCGGATAATAAATGGCAGTGACACGCCGTGAGACTTATGCCTAGCAGGCCAAATCGCCTTCTGGCGGATTGATAATACGACTCTGCTCTTTGGCGAGCTTGAGCTCCGTCTTGCCGTGATGAAGAGCCTGAAAGAGTCTCTACTGTGTCCGGGAACGAACTAAACGAATCGGCAATTGCGCCCAACGCCGCAGCAACAAGCTGTCCAGGGTTAATCCTTGTCATTCACCAATTGGACGGACATGTGCAGTAACAATGTGCTGCCTGACCAGAAAAGGGGGTTATGCTGGCTTACCACAAGACAAGTCTGAGAGTCCCACTGTGGACCAAGTTCAGCAACGGTCCTCCCATATTTCATCAGAGTAGTGCAGTCCAAGATTGGATTCATTATATGGACCATTCTCAAGAACCTTGTCAACAACGCAGAGATTTCTTCGCCATCCAGCCGTGGCATTCCAAAAGCTGGGCTCGCTCCGCAATTGATTTGTTGCATCTGGCCAGTTCCTAATACGTCGAAGGCTACACCATGGGATGGTGTCTTCATGGCAAATATGGGCCATTCAAAAACATGGCCCATGGCTGTGAATGCATGTGGACTGGTAGCAACAGAGCTGGCAGCCTGTACCTCTGGCCTTGATTCTGTAGCTGGCGGTAGCCTCCTTAGAATTTCATGCAGCGTATCTAGCACTTCGGAATTGCTCTGGCTGGAACTAGAGGGGGTGCTACTAACAGTTGTGGTAAGTGTCTACCGGTTCCATGACCCAACAGTAAGGGGTCTGGCGATACATACGATTGGAGCGCGTACTTTGGAGGCTCGGGATACACGCATTCACAGCCAAGCCGGGCGCATCCAGCGCAAGACGGCCTGTCATTAGAACATTTAACCTTGCGAGCGCGGCACACTAGACATGCCGTTGGAGCTCGCGGGCGACGGGCTGGTCCGATATTGTCGCCTCGCCCTCTACCGGATGGGCTGGCGGCATCTCCCCGCGGAGAGGACCAGCTCGTATTACTGCGCCGTCGGTCCATTCCGGGGGTTGAATCTCGTTCTAAATGACGTGGCAACATGCAAGTTGAGAGGAAAAGTAACAAGAGGAAGCTTCTCTTCCGTCACGGGAACAAAGACCGACATGTCCGACAACCACCGGGTCATGGATTTGGCCGCTCGGGAACGGAGCCGAAGTTGCCGAAGACTTGGGCGGCAACGCGAATATGGCGCCACAATGCGAATCCTACCTTGGCTGTTTGGCTGGAGATGGAATAGAGAGGTTGTTTCTGTAGCCTATCTTGCATGGATTATAGTAATGGAGTAAGCATAAATCAAGGTCACTTCCAGACACGTCAATTGTCAATGCTTTGCCTCAATATTCAATTGTTATACTTGCATAGAAAGCGAACTTTACTCTATAATGGGAGAAAACATCACTACAAAATATTTGTGTTTATAAAGTACATGAGCATCGCTGTCAAGATCGTATTTCATTGTTACTATTCGTAGTTGTGCTCTTATGAATCTCTGTTCCAGAGTCTTCTTCAGTCCTACACTGAGATGGAGAGGAAATGTCATACACGCATAACGCTACATGCAATCAAGCAACTGTGGGCTTTACCGTCTTCTTTGCCCTCCCGCCAAAACCCCATCCGATCTGGTGGGCGATGTTGATGGTAACGCCCAGCTCGTCTGCCCATTGCCACACCAAGCCCGGGTTCTTCAGAAACATTCGACCAGCGGCAATCAGATCCAGCGGCGTGTCGTCGGCGTCTTTGCCCTCGATAATTTCCTGTGCCACTTGCCCCGTCTTGATGCTTCCCACGGAGCTCACCAGCATAGAGTCCCCGACTGCAGCCTTGATTGCCTTTGCAAACGGTGCCTGATATCCGGGTCCGCCGACGACTTTCTGGTGTGAGTGGTTACCGCCGCTCGAGACATCCAGGACATCAACTCCGCGCTGGGCCAGGAGCTTGGCAAACTTGATGCTGTCCTCCACAGTCCAGCTTGGGCCGGTCCATTCCGAGTTTGTGTCCAGCCAGTCGGTGGCGCTGATGCGTACAAACAAGGGCATGTCCGTGGGCATAACCTCCCTTACTGCGTCAACTATCTCAAGAGCGAGACGCGTACGGTTTTCAAAGCTTCCTCCGTATTGATCTGTGCGATGGTTTACTGCAGGCGAGAGAAAGCTGGAGACCAAGTAACCATGGGCAAAGTGCAAGTCGATTATATCAAACCCGGCTAGGAGAGCTCGACGCACGCCGGAAAGGTAATCACTCTTCAGCTGTGCAATCTCTGCTAGGCTTATGGCTCGGGGTTTGGGGTAATGCTCGTTGAAGGCTTCATCACTTGATGAAACCACGTTAGTTGGCCATCCACCAACCGCCTCGGTGGCTGTGGCTCCAGAGCTAAGCCATGGCGCAACTGTTGAAGCCTTGCGGCCAGCGTGTGCAAGTTGGATCCCAATGAGGGCATTTTGGCTATGGGCAAAGTCGACATGCTTTTTCAAAGTATCGACATGTGCATCAAGCCAGATGCCTGAGTCTTCCGGAGTGATGCGGCCGTTGGCTTGAACAGCAGTAGCTTCAAGCATGATGAGACCAGGCTATAAGTCACTTGCGTTAATTCACTGTAGATGGAAGAAGCAAACTGTAGGTGAAAGGTATCGCTTACCCCTCGCTGAGCCATGCCACCGTAATGGGTGATATGCCAAGGTGTATGGAAGCCCTCGTGCGCACTATACTGACACATGGGGCTGACCCAGATACGGTTGGGCACTTGGATGCCACGGATTTTGAGAGGCGTGAAAAGTTTGGGAACAGGATTGCCGGATGCTTGGACAGCGGTCGCGCTGCCAGCTACCGGATCTTGCTCAGGTGTGAAAAATGGGACGCCCTTGGCGGCGACGTTTGGAATTGGCGCGGAGCATTTCTCATTCTTCTCAGGGGCAGGTGTTCCAGCTCGTGAGACGGTGATGCCATGGTGAGGATGGGCAATGTGAGGGTGAGGTATGCGTTGATTGAGATAGGCGGCCATCTTGTACGGTTACTATATTGTTGCTAGGATGAGATCAATCCAAGTATGTTGAGATGGAGGTGTAGTTGCAAAACAATTCTTTGCTGGTGGTACAAGTGGCTTCGTTTTATATAAGTACTAAGCGGCCCGTTGAGAGGATTCCTCTCGCCTGCTCCGATGACGACACGGACAGATTCAGTTCAGCGGCAGATGTTGATTTCTCAGCTTCGCGTCTACAAGATGATGGCGAGATCCATCCATCTTGGCTCAACCCCATTTCACCAATATCAACAGGGCACCGAAGGATTAGATGGTGGAGTTAGAGTAGCGGGTTGCTGCAGATCCGGCAATTTCGGTATGGCCTCCGAACAGCCTTGCAGGCCGGAGGATAGACTTTTCATGACTCCACGTGGCGGGACACCTTAAACATGTCGAGTTTCCTCTGCTGAAGAGGCCTTCTTAATCAATTGCTGAAACCCGGCTTTGTCGCGCCACCCATTCATCAAGTCTCAATCACTGACGGGAACCGGAGTCATCATCTTCTTTGCCAGCATCACGATTATTCCATGTACAGCAAACCTTTGTCCATTTGCCGGCCAAGGCGGTAGAAAGGCAAATAGACCCGCATTTGATGGTAACTGAGACAACTTGGTTGTTAGTACCGATGCAAGACCGAGGACGAAACTGGCAGAAGCGAGAACGAGAATACGACAAACGCCATGCACGCTTGTGATGCAACCTTGCCGGTATGTGGGTACCGAGAATACCGAAATGGGGCGTCATTTTAGACTTGAGGACATCCAACCAGTACAGAGCAATAGGCGCGGATATACCCGACTTGATTATCCCTGTTAACTGTATCTGAGGGACTTGATATGTCGGCAAATCAACTCGAGCATGTTAGATGATGTCAAGTGGTTGAAAAGAGCGATAAAATGAAACGTCTCGGTTAGCGAATAGAAGCTGGTATCCTAAAGTCGAGAACTGGCTTGACTCCTTGGCAAAGAAATTGCGACCAGAAATCTATTGTTATCAACAATTTCACAACTATAGTCCATTTTATGAAGCATACAACACTCATGATATCATTACCTCGTCTTTCATCATCTCTCAGTTACTGCTGGTATCCCCAATGCGACAACAGCGTCCCGCTTGCTTATGGATACTTGTTCCAGTCAGGTTAACCAGATGGGGCCAACCAAGTCCGATTCCCGGCAAGCCAACTCAACTAGAGACAGGGCTTCGTATGACCGGAAGATCCCCGACATGCCAATCTTCAATGTTCCTTCATCAAACATCTCAAACTTGCATCGCTGTATCACTTTCCCATGGGTCACGAATTTCTTCTCCCCAGGGATCAAATACATTGCCTGAGAAGCTCTTTGATCTAGGAGATTCTGGTATTGAGTGAATCCAATGGCGCAACCCGATGATGGCACCAGCACAGAGCCATGGCGTTCAGTAGAGGATCTTGACGATGGCAGTAAGTCTCCTTCTCCAACTACAATCAAATCACGGCCGAGTGCTCATGGAAATAGTCATGAGATTCTCGCAACTTGATCTGGCTTGCCTAGGACTTGCCACAGAAACCAACCCCGAGGCAGTCAGCGTGCAGAATCCAGACCTGTCAGAAAATCATTTCCCTCCCTTTCAGCTACCTCATTATGAAGAATCGTTTGATGAGAGCTCATCACATCGAAGACTCTTTGGTGGACATCAGTCAATCTTTACTGATTCGTTAGAATCAAATGTTACTCCCTCGACATATATGATGGATCCTAGCCTAAACGAGCAGCGCTGGGAGGCACCATCATTCCCTCTACAATCAAGCCTAGCACATAATTATGCATCACAGACCGAAGGAGGAGAAAGAGGCGAGGCGTCAGCTACGAATACACCCATCTATAGCCCCGCTGGGATGTTTCAATGCTCTCCAACAGCTGAAAACCAGCCGCCAGGCCTCCCGAGACGACGGAGCCGGTATTTTCGCAGCCAACAATATCAACCAACCCTTCCACCTCCAATAGACATTGCAAGCCCGACGGCGGTTGCTGATGCTTTAGATCCGATGCAGAGATGGCGCGAGTCGCCGCCCGAAACCGAGCCGGCTTCTTTGTCCGCCATCGCTGATGCTTTGAAACATACACCCCTGAGAACTCTCTCCTCCTCAGCTGGAAGCCTCAATAGCCAACGAGTTGGCAGCCGCGCAGCTTCAACTATTAGCTTCGGGAGCGGCACCAGCTATTCTTCGGCTTCCAACGCCTCGACTAGCTCGGCAACCTTTCGAAATTCGAACAATCGTTCCCGCAATAGGGTGACGAAGCGGACTCGAGTAAATACGGCAAAGATGAAGGAGAAGGACCAAGAAAAGAGGATATTCCCATGTACATTCTGCTGTGATTCGTTCAAGAGCAAGTATGACTGGGCCAGACACGAAAAGTCACTTCATCTCAATCTCGAGCGCTGGAGATGCGCTCCATTCGGCGGCACGGTGGTTTCCCCTGAAACTGGGAGAGCACACTGCGCATATTGCAGCATGCTTGATCCCAACGCCAAGCATCTCGATTCTCATAATCACTGTGCCTGTGAGAGCCAGGGACAGACTCCCACCTTTAGCCGAAAAGATCATCTCGTTCAGCACCTACGGCTTGCGCACCACGTTGAAACTCTGCCCATCATTGACTCATGGAAAGATCAAGGCCCTCCAGTGTCATCAAGATGCGGCTTCTGTAACATCCGCATGCAGACCTGGCAAGACCGAATCGACCATTTAGCAAAGCACTTCCGCAAAGGCGCAACAATGGACAATTGGAAAGGAGAACACTGCTTTGAGTCTTCCGTCGCAGTAAAGGTCACACACGCAATGCCCCCATATCTCATCGGAGCCGAATCAAGAGCCTTAATTCCGTTCTCAGTCACCAGCCACGGGACAAAGGATCATCTCTCTCAGATCCAGCAAGCAACGGAGCAGAGCCTGGGAATATGGGATGGCGGACGCACGGCCTCACCTATCAGTGGCCCCGAGCCTCCGCCCGAGTTGACAATCCAGCCAGCGGCATTAGAATCGTTCAATGAGGAAGCCAGTTCCATGACCTTTCCCGAGGTCTTGGCATTACATCTAGGACGTTATGCTCAGGAACAAATGAGACTGGGTATTATTCCCACGGACAGGATGTTTCAGGACGAGGCTAGGCGGATCATGTTTGATTCTGTAGATCCATGGGATCAGACCATTGCTGATAATGACAATTGGCTCTCGCTGTTTCGTGACCGTCACCTCAAAAATACACCAGGAAACAAGGAGGATTCAGCGTAAGTTACATACTAGAACATATACAGTCTATTATATGACATTCCAAATGCAATTAGTTACTATCATGCCTTGGCCCACACTCAAATTCTTCTACAAAATAATGTGATTCATATAGGTGGATAGACCAATTCATTCCATCATGACTCCTGAACAATATCTACCCAATCACTTTCCCTCTTCCCAAACATGATCTCTGTCATTCTCTCTCTCAGCAACGGAACATGTGCCGTTGCGCCAATGTCCACTCTGATACTCTTACCATTGAAACCAATCTCGCTGACCTCCTGGATCCAAAACGCCGTTCCAACCACAAAAACGCTCATGAGCCTACCGTTGCCAGATGCCTCCTCGACCTCACTCATAGTAATCTTACTTTCCAGCATCTCACACTGCAATTCTTTACTCGCAGCCTCCATAGAAAACATATCCCGTGCTAGCTCTATGATGCTGCGCCGCGTGTTACCCGCCAGTATCAGGCCGTCCTCGTCCAACGGGGGTGTGACCATTTGAAGAGCGCCGGAAAGTGTCTTCCATATCACAAAGATATTCGTTGAACCCGCTTCAGTGATCTGGCGATCAGGTCCAAACAACCAAAGCACTTGGTCATATCCCTTCTCCTTGGCCACACCATGTTCCGCGAGCGCTGGTCCATAGTTTCCTCCGACTTTGGCTGACCCAGTGCCTCCAGGCCAAGCCCTAACCGCGGACACGCTGCTCGCCAACAAACGCGTTCCCGCTTGAAGCGCAGCTTCGCCATCCACAGTGACCGACTTGGGGGCCGGCCAGTACAACATGAGGATGTACAGCTGCGCCTCTTCCGGCACCTTGAAGCCCAAGCTTGAATCTGACCCGATCATGGTTGGCCTGAGATACAACGACGACCCATGCTTATCCTTGGGCAGCCACTTTGGCGCCTCGAGCTCGCAGAGCTTGTGGACTAGCTTGAGCAACTCCCGCGGATCGAATGCCGGAAGGGAGATGCGCGTCGCTGATTTGAGCATCCTCTCGCAGTTATACAGAGGCCGGAAGAGACGAAGACGGCCGTCGTAACCGCGAAAGACCTTCATGCCCTCGAAGCATTGGGTCGCGTACTGCAAGGCGCTTGCTGAGGGCATCAGGGAGATGGGTCCGTAGGGAACCACCTGAGGATTAGACCATCCTCGCTCTTTAGTCCAGGAAGCCGTTACCATGCGGTCCGCGAATGTCTTGATGTTTACAAGGTCTGGGTTGTCGACATCTGGAGTAGGCTTGGGATTGGGGACGGCGTTGATCTCGAGTTTAGATGCGTCCAAAGGCGTAAGGGGGGATTCAACTGCCATTTTTGCAAAAATGATTATAGGGAAGATATCACAGGGGATGTTGTAGCCGAAAATACTCAAGCTGGTGGGCTTGGGGCAGGATCACATCGTTGATATTAATAGTGGCCTGTACTTTTGAAGCATGAATAGAGCATGATATCAAATTGGCTCATCAGCTTGCATCTTATGATCTATCTAAACATGGAGTTTAGGGAGGCAGTAAAGCTGAGCGAAGCACCGGCGATTCCAAGCATCAAGCATCCATGGAGTAGGGCGTGCTTCTCGGAGCGGCGTACTGATAGACATTCTATGACTATCTGTAAGCTAGATGCTCCTACAGCCCACTCTCCCAAAGATTTCCGACCATGTTCATACATTGTACTTGGGGGCTTCTGGACCCTTCTCGGCCCATAGTGAAGCAGTTGTAAGTGCTGCGCGGACCTAGCATGAAATTGGGGATCTTACCGAGTCTGCATCCAAGCCTGGCCCAGCTTGAGTGCTAGTTGCATGAAGCATAAGGCGTAGGGCGTGAAATCTGCGCCGTGAACGGCCATCGGTGTCTCTGCCGAGATGCGTCAGCTCCACTCCGGTTCCGATTCCGTGATACACTGAGTTCGCGCCCTGCGCCCATTGCATTGTGCCGTGGATTCATGGACCTTCAGCTGACTCGACAACATTGACCGCCTGTTGATAAATGGTACAGAAGGTGATTCTGGTGTTGAACAGAATCGGAACTATGATCAAAGGCAAAATAGCACGCCCTACGACGCTCTACAATGAGTTGCAAAGGCGTTTTCGGTGGGGCCGATATCATATGGATCGCCTTCAACTTTGCGATTCAAAGGGCACTCAGAAGATTTGTTCCATTTCGCTGTGATATTGTAAGAAAGCCAGATGTGTGACGAGTGATGGTTGTTTTTCTGCTCAAAACAGGTGAATTCCTCATGGCACCGTACAGAGCGTGCTGGTTAAACACCTTCCACATGTATACACCCAAGGCTTCAATTTGGATGAGGAAAATGAACACAATGACTCCAAAGGCCACATGTGACCAGCCCAGACTACATGTTTTAGGACTCGGTAGCATTGGCACCTTTGCAGCTCATTGCCTTGCAGGGATACCAGCCCCTCTGACGCCCTCCATCACCTTGCTACTACATCGGCCAAATCTCGTCGACGAGTATATTAGGAGAGGTCGCAAAATACGTTTGGAAACGATAGCAGGAGAAGTTGTGGACTGCGAGAATTATCATGTCGAAATCTTGGATAACGGGGAATGGCATCGCGTTCAGACAGAGTCAGGATTAAGCCCAGCCGTTCTAGACGACATCATCGACCATCTCATTGTTTCGGTCAAGGGTGCGCAAACAACAGCAGCTCTCAAGCCACTGAAGCACCGACTAAACGCATCTTCGCACATACTATTTCTACAAAATGGATCTGGCATGGTTGAAGCCGCCAACGAAGAGGTGTTCACCGATCCAGCCACAAGGCCAAACTATCTCACCGGGGTCATCTCACACGGCGTCACGCTTAATGCCCCTTTTGACATTACGCACACTGGATTTTCCGCTACATCGTTGGGGCCTGTTCCTCGATCAAAATCTGATACAGAAGAAACCGCGCCGTCATATCTGCTGGAAGCCCTTCCTCTCGTCCCGAGGCTCAATGCTACGACGTACTCCACCTTGGACATTCTCCAGATCCAGTTAGAGAAGCTCGCCGTCAATGCTTTCTGTAACCCTCTCTGCGCTCTCAGTGATGCCAAAAACAAGTTTTTATTCACCATCCCTGACACTCGCCGGGCTCTCCTCACAGAAATCTCTCGAGTTATACAAGCACTTCCAGAGCTACGGGGGATACCTGGCATCTCGGAACGCTTCTCAGTCGACAAACTGGAGGCAACAGTGAATGGCATCATTCATGCAAATTTGGAGACAACTTGTTCGATGGTGGTGGATTTGCGGCGGGGGCAGAAGACGGAGATCCTGTTTATTAATGGATACTGGTGTCGAAGGGGGAGGGAGGTTGGGGTACCGACGCCCATCAATGATAGTCTGGTTCGGCAGATTCTGGAGAGGCAGGGAGACATGGAGCTAGCAAAGGAATATTCATTAGAAAGACGAAATGGACCACTGGTTGAGGAGTCCGTCGTACTCTTACATGTGACGACGGAGCAAATCTGTGGAGAGAAGTAAAGGGGGATATCCTCTAACACGACTGAGACACCGATTTATTTCCATAATCTGACACGGTTGCGGCCCGCTATGGACCTCCATCAATAAACCAGTAGGTCAGCCTGAGGTCGGTAAGCCGTGCCAGTCCATATAAACTTCAGCATTATTCCCGATGAAGCCGGGGCTTACTTAGGTGGCTGTGGGTTCCATACCAAAAGCCAATTAAGAGTGCCTTATTGCTGACGACTATGTTAGGGAGAACCAGGAGAGTCTTTCTTTCTAACAAAAACATTCGAATACATCCCGGTGTTCAACTTGGGCAACGAAACAATCTCTTCAGAATGGCGTCGTCGTTTCGTGTAATCCAACACACCGTCAAGGGCTCCCACACGAGAGAATATATTAGAGCGACAGCCAATGGCGATGCTGAAACGCCAAGATTATCGGTGAAGCAATACATTCCGCTGGACAACCCTACGCCAAAGCCCGGCGATGTGACAATCATTGGTGCTCATGCCAACGGCTTCCCAAAGGTCAGTGTGATTCCTGCAAATGCTCACTACAAGAAGTATGCTCAACAGCCTAATAGGAGTTGTATGAGCCCCTCTGGGAGGAGATTTATCAACGGGCCTCTCAAGCAGGCGTTCGCATCCGGTCAATATGGATAGCGGACATGTGGAGTCAGGGTCAATCAGGTGTCCTTAATGAAAAAATCCTTGGAAATGACCGTTAGTGATCACTGTGCGATTTTTTTTTTCAGCTATTGACCAGCGGTAGCGAGTTGGACCGATAATGCGAGAGATTTGATGTATCTCATCAACCAAAAGCAAGATTCTATGCCTCATCCCATCGTTGGTATAGGCCATAGCATGGGGGGTACTCAACTGTAAGACACATCTAGGTTTCTTTTCCATCCCTTACTAACATAATAAACAGAGCACTCTTGTCTCTTGGACACCCACGCTTATTGAGGTCCCTGGTTCTTATCGATCCTGTCATACAAGTCCCAAATAGCAGCATTCCCCCCGCCATGTCGTCTACTTCCCGTCAAGATATCTGGCCATCAAAGGAAGCAGCTACATCAAGGTTCAAAGGAAGCAAATTCTTCCAGTCTTGGGATCCGCGAGTTCTGGATCGCTGGATAGAGTACGGCCTCCGCCAGGCTCCCACAGAACTCTACCCTACCGAGCATGCCGAAGCAGACAAACGCTTCACACTTACGACTTCAAAACATCAGGAATTGTTCGCTTTCCTCCGGCCCACATACCCCAAGGTCCCGGGAGAGCAGTATATGGACAAAGACCCAATTTCAGATGAAGAGTACCCTGGATACCCATTCTACCGCCCTGAACCAGTTTATGTCTTTCGTCGCTTGCTAGAATTGCGTCCTAGCATTCTGTATATCTTTGGAGAAAAGTCCAACATTTCACTGCCAGAACAGCGACGGGCCAAAATGGCACTAACGGGGACAGGAGTTGGAGGCAGCGGCGGTGCTGCTGCTGGCCGAGTTAAGCAGGTGACCTTTGACTGCGGTCATCTGGTGCCGATGGAGAAGGTTGTCGAGTGTGCAATCTCTATCACTGCGTTTCTGGGAGAAGAACTCGAACGATGGCGACAGGAGAAGGCCGAATTCGATCAATATTGGAACAAGAAGTCAAGAACTGAGCAGATAACAATTGACAAGGAATGGGCTCACAAAGTAGATCCAAAAGCTATACCTGCTGGCAAGGCAAAGCTTTGATGGAAGGACAAACGGCATTACGAGCAGTCACCTAAGCGATTAAGATGTCTCAATCAGCGAGAACACTAGAATAGATCTTATATCGGTGTAATATAACATTTCCAGTGTGACCCTAACACTGATATATATATAGCAGGACGCTGTGCAGACATGAACTCAGGTACAGCCTTTCAGTCCTACTTCCCTCTGGACTCTCAGTATATACGCCACCATGGCTCAGTCTGTTCACGATACATACGCCATTGTTAACTCCACGATCAAATTGTTAAGAAATCTTTTATGCCTGAGTAAAGAATTAAGATTGGAGAGCAGAGCTAACAGTGGAGGTAGGTATGCCCCAATCTGGTTTGCCGTTCAAAAAAATACATTCTATCTGCTACAAAACTACTAGTCTAAGTAACTCCGAGGCCAAAGATCAGCAAAAAATGAACTTTCACGACTAAGTTGCCAAGGACATTGGAAGGAACAAAGTCCAAACTATTTAATGAAAATGAGAAGTCAAGACAAATGATCGTTGACCATGGATGGCGAGGTTGAGGCTCCAAATCACCAAGCAGGAATCTTCTACTACAATAACACCGTAGGTAGGATTTACAAAAGCAGAATAACTGCCCCTTGAGTAATCTATATGACCGTAAACTGTATACTTCTCTAATAGCTCAAATTTCTTCATGTTACATAACCCTGTATCTCATATATCACATCTCGGCAAGGTGACCATTGGGTCATTGAGATGTGGAAGAGGGCGATGAGTAATCTGCAACGGCTCTTCTCATAATGTCACCTTTCTTGAGTACTTTTCGTAGAACAAAGGCAGATGGCCGAGATCAGCTGACACATACACCGACATCTTATCTCATGGTGTGAGAAAGGATACTCTGCTTTCCAGACATCCATCGACATCTCACTATTCCAGAATTGGAATTTGTAGAAAAGAGTATAAAATCTCACTTACAGAGGCCTCCACAAAGCTGTCTTAGCATCTCAGCCAAACCTTAAAACCCAAGCAAGGCCCCAAAGCAGGAAGCTGTATACAAGTCCCTTGACGGTCTGACAGCTGCGCTAAACAGACCCCAGGCAAAGTTCCAGCACGCCGTTCTATCAGTGAACTATCCCCGAGATGGCATTTGCTGTGATCAAATCTTTTTCTTTGCCGAAGCGAATAGCCGCAGGTCGCTTAACTGTCGATTAGACTTCGTTCCCCGCGTATAAGTGCCGCCACCATATAAGCCCAGGCGGCCTCAAAATAGGTAGTAGACTCGAGATAGTATTTGGTCTGAGGTAAGCGGCTACTCGAAACTCCCAACGGGACATGGTCTGATTGGCTCAGCCTTGCTCCCAGAAGATTGGAAGCAAGGTGAACCACCACGAGGTGTGGATGGCAGCCTACCCAAGTTGTCAAGTACTAAGCGCGGGCCCTTGTGAGCTTAATCAACGGTCCTCTTCGGTAATCCGGACGGATGACATTTCAGTTGATTCACCGAGCAAAGGGCCTAAACCCAAATGACAGACGGGAGTCTCACCCTCTTCCTCCCTCTATCTCCGCTAAGGCTGACTGGCGAGCAGCCTTTTTGCTATTTCCAGTACCAACCTGCCAGCCAGATTCTTAAGTCCACGCCTCCGCACCAGCCGGCGCCAAGTCACGAGTTAGAGCGAGGATGTGACAAATCCGTGGCTGCCACATAAGGCTGTTGAACTCTTCCCTCCCCCTCACCCGTGATTAAGGGTGCCAGTAAGACCTAAAGCCTAAGTCCACGGTCGCGGCGATTAATCAGTACCGGCGCTAATCGGGAGTCGAAGCCTGAAGCCTGACAAATGCCTGTGCATCGGTTCACACCCCCTCCACCTCACGGATCGCGATTGACTCTGAGGCGATCATGAGGGAGTGAGCCGAAACTTGCCACTGATTGGTCCTTCGGGCCATGTGGACAATGGAGATAGCTTGGATAGACGGGTTGTACAGCATCAAGGTTGGATATGCCGATACCAATCTACCGGAAGCCAAGTTGTATAGTTGACTCACAAGATAACCGCCGACGAGAAAGCTCGCAGCTTGTTGTTTAGCGGCTATCATTTTCCTCGTACTCGCAGTTTTGGGTCTTGTACCAATTACCAGAGACGCTGCTGGGCGGTACTGAATCCCGTCATGACTGGTCAGTCATCTACAGCCCTATCAGCCATGGGCGTTGCTAGGTCCGACAAAGTCCGCGGTGCTCCAGCAAACAGCATTATGCGGGGGAAAGTCAAAATGCCGCTGACAGAGCAAAAGCGAGGAACCCGAGCTCCATGGACTTTTTCCCATTTGCCACTGGGTTAGCCAATGAACACCCCCCGAGAGCGCAAACGATCGATTTCGTCCGAACCGAAACCCCAATCCGAGCTGCAAGCCAGCAGGCGTGTAAAGCCCCGTCAAATCGTCGAATCGTCTCTTTTGCTTCCGATGTTGCCCGTACTGCTGAGCAGCTCGCTGCCGGCAAAGGCGGGGCAGCCTCGGTCTTGTGATGGACAGATGGATACCCGGACACCGGAATTGCGCGAGATATCAACGAGTCGATCGTCCACACCCTTCACACCCCTCCGACTTTCTTGTTCCTGAAAGTGGACAAGGTGTAGGTGTAGAGGGTGTAGGGAGCTCTGATCAAGGCCCGGCACACCTGACCTGATCATGCAGGCACCGCGATCGGAGCGGCATTCAAGCAGAGCACAGACTCATCGGTGGATCGGATGCACGAAACACCACGGCCCAAAGGGCGGTTTTCGTTGTGATCAAGGTACACGGGACTGGCGGCACCTTCAAAGTCACGCGAGCCGACTGCAGATTGAGGTTCAATGGGGCTTCTCTCCGCCCTCGAGGGTCATTCCGGGTAGTGTTTTAGCATGTAGAAGCAGTCAAGGAATCGAAGCTAAGCGTAAATACGCATTTTTTTAATCGCCGCTGAGGTTGATGTTTCGACATCTGGAGATCGCACCCCGGCTTGTGGTCTGAGATCGAGGAGAGAAGGGAGATATGATGCCACTTATCTCGTCTTCAGATCTAATACGCATTTTAAAAATAGATGGTTCATTAAAGGATTCGATTTCGCTCCCATGGGCGTCAATGGCGTATGGGTAGTACAGCCAAAGGATTCTGAATAACGTAATTAATGATTCAAGAGGATGAAGCCATTCAATGTTAGTAATCAGTTGGCACAAGGGGTCCCCCATAGGCGCACGGGATCCTGTGTGTTTATTTCACATAGGATCCTATATAATTAGGTTAGTAATATAGGGCCGCTGCTTACTAATTTTATTTATACACAAAGGGCACTTCCGCTGCGTTATAAATAGCTTTAATTTATATACTACTTTATAAATAGCTTTATATAATAAAGTAATCTTTCTCTAGCGCCCTTTTCCTCTAGCGCCCTCTTTTATATACTTAAGTTTATCCTCTAGCGCCCTTTTCCTTTAGCGCCCTTTTTTATATACTTAAGTTTATCCTCTAATACTATCTTTAAGGGTTTAGAATAATAAGCTTATTTACTTTTAATAAATAGCTTTTATTTTATCTATTTTCTCTTTTATATACTTAAGTTTATTCTTTAATACCCTTTTCCTCTAATGCCCTTTTTCTTTAGCGCTTTTTTTTATATACTTAAGTTTATCCTCTAGTACCCTTTTTCTTTAGTATTTTTTTTTATATACTTAAGTTTATCCTCTAGTGCCCTTTTTCTTTAATACCCTTTTTTATATACTTAAGTTTATCCTCTAGCGCCTTTTTTTTTAGCACTATCTCTAAGGGTCTAGAATAATAAGTTTATTTACTTTTAGTAAGTAGCTTTTATTTAGTTTAAAGCTAATAATAGCGCCTTTTTTTTCCTTTATTACCCTTTAATACTAAGGGTTTAGAATAATAAGCTTATTTACTTTTAGTAAGTAGTTTTTATTTAGTTTAAAGTTAATAACGCCTTTTTTTTCCTTTAGTACTAAGAGTTTAAAATAATAAGCTAATTTACTTTTAGTAGTAGTAATAGTTATTAATAGTAGTAGTAGCTAATAATTATAATAATAATTAATAGTTATAGTAGTAGTTAGTAGTTATAATAGTAGTTAGTAATAGTTAATAATACTTATTTATTTATAAATAATTACTTTCCTTTATAAAAGCTTAGTTATTTTAGTAGTAAGAATAAAGTTTAGGTATATTAATAACTAAAATTAACTATATTTTATACTAAGGAGGGTTTATAATATACTATAGGTTAAAAGTAAATTATTAATTATAAATATAAAAAATAATTAATAGCTTTTTAATAAGGTAAGGCTTTATTCCTGCTATTAAGATTATTACTTATAGCTTATAGGCGAGGCTTTTAGAATCTTTTTATAGCTTATAGGTAAGGCTTTTGGAATCTTTTTATAGCTTATAGGTAAAGCTTTTAGGATTTTTTTATAGCTTATATAAGTAAGGCTTTTAGAATTTTTTTATAGTTTATAGTAGCAAGGCTTTTAGAATTTTTTTATAGCTTATAGTAGTAAGGCTTTTAAAATCTTTTTATAACTTATAGTAGTAAGGCTTTTAAAATCTTTTTATAGCTTATAGGTAAGGCTTTTAAAATCTTTTTATAATTTACTAATAAGGCTTTAAATAAATTATAAATAAATTAATAAGTAAAAAGAAAAAATATATAAAAGAATATAAAAGGTAAGCTAAGTAATTAAAATTTAGAATATAATAAAAATAAAAAGAGGAAAGAATAAGTAGAAAAATAAGGAGGATAGCTAGCTATTAGGTAAGGTAGGGTTATATAATAAAAGCTTTTAGTAGTAAGGCTTATAGGTAAGGCTTTAGAAATCTCTTTATAGTCTATAGGTAAGGCTTAAGGAACTTAAAGCTTTATATTTCTTATTTTCTTATACTAATTTATTTATATATAAATCCTATTATTAGTAATTATTTTTCTTAATATAGTCCTAAATATATATTATACTTTATATTTAGTATTATACTAGATCCTTTA